AATAAAGTTAAATTAGGCAAATCCAAAAAGTTCAAAATATGTTTATAAATTATAAGGGAGTTGTGTGTTGAGGTATTTCAAATAAGATAGCATTTAGAGAGTATCCAACAAGTTGAAAAAGACTTCCACTCCTCCGAATATCACTGATCCTCCACACATTGCTCCAATAAAGTAGAGTACATAGGAGTTACTTTTAGTAGCCATTTACACTTGAGCAATGGCGGCATCATCTATAAATATAATTTTAGGGATAAGACAAGAGACTTCAGTTTCGATTTGGGAGTATCCTTCATTTGAATAAATGACAGATTTATTTAAGAATTTGACTAATAGGTTTTCATCTTACGAGCCTCTTGAGAAAGTGATATTTATCATTAAACTGAATTCTGATTAATTAAACTCATTGATTTATGAGGTATCCTGAGTGAGTTGAATGGACTGATCCATTTATTAGACACCAAGGCTGTTCGAGATGTGAAAGGTTAGATAATCTTTGATTTGAAAACCTTCTTTAATAACAATTGGAGTAATATAGTATAATTTAAATAATCGAGTAACTGAGTAGACTTAAGAGGAACCTACACTCTATAGTAATGGTTTTGGATAGTTTGGTACGATACTTACACCATTTACAAATATATACTTACTTTCTAGTTTACAATAATTATCACACCCATCACCTTTGATTTTATTGCCATCATCACATTCCTCCTCCTTTACTTTGATTTAATCTCCACATATATTTAAACAAGTTCCATTTTCCTCATCAGCCAAATATCCAGATTCGCAGAGTTAGCACTTATGATTCTTTTGTTATGGAAACCTACAGCTTACACAATTATAAGCTTAATCAAGACATTCTAAACAATTGATCGAGCATTCAACACAATCATTTTTATCTAAGAAATATCCTACTTCACATTTATTACATTTCGACTTTTTTGTTAAAGGATCAAGTTGGCATTAAATACAATGTGTTGAACATTGAAAACAAATTGACTACTTTAGTATTTCATTAGAGCAAGAATAATTATGATCAATCTTGCAATTCGAGCACCCATCTCTAATTACATCATTACCATCATCACATTATTCTCCATATGTCCAAATTTTATCATTGCAATCCGAATACTTACAAATTTCTTAAGATTTCCCTTAATCAGTCAAACAAGAAATGCATAATGCATCTTCACTTTCAAAATAATCCTAAGCACACAAACATTTGTGATTCTTTAAAGTTCGATGTAATTTTTAATCACATGTCAAACAATTAAATTTATCATCAATACAAGTCAAGCAAGATTAATGGCATTAGGAACAATTGTTCTCCTTCCAGAAGTACCCTGGGCTACATTTGCATTGAGCATTTTCATCTAAGTGCAAATTAGATAATTGAAAACATTCTGAACATATTGATTTACTTAAGCATTTTTTACATGGATATTCACATTTATAACATTGATTCTACTCTTCATAGTATCCAAATTTACAAATACATTAATCTTTAGAATTGATTTCGTAATTGGGTCTACAAGTAAGACATTTTTCAGAAACTTCATTACAAGTTAAACAATTTTGATTACATGCCTCGCATTTCTAATCCAATAGATAATAGCCATCGAAGCAAACATCACAAATTTATGGATCACCACATATCTTACAAGAAGAAACACATGCTTCACATTGAAACTATTAATTTATAAAGTATCCCTCTTAACAGGTTTAGCAAACACTTTGATCATAGCAAATATCGCAGTAATCAATACATTTTAAACATCTATTGATATTAGTTAGAAAGTATCCTTTTATACAACTATTACAACTATCAACTCCTTAACAATCTGAGCAATATTCATCGCAACAATAATTTCCCTTCTTTACAAACCCTTCCTTGCATAGGCATTTAAAATTTTAGACTATCTAGTTTGGGTCCACACATGTTAAACATTGGTTAATAGCATTAATACAAGTAGCACACGGGTTTAAACATTGAAGACACACATAACCTGATTAAACATATCCAGGTTTACAAATGCACTACTTATTGATATCCAGGATTTGATTTACATCAATGCAGTTGATGCAACCATTTGTATCACATTCATAACATGGTTATTAACACTTTGCACAAGTTATTGGGCTGTCAGCATAATAAGTGGATTTGCACACACATTATTTTGAAGTATTAACTTCCTGATTGATATCAAAACATGCTAAGCATTAAGAAGTAGATATCTCACAAGTCTTACAAGGTTATTAACATTGTATGCAATAGTAATTAGTGTCAAAAATCCATCCAGGCTCACAAACACAAGTATCAGGAGATTAATGTGCTTGATCTTAACAGGTAACACATTTATTAATTGTATCTTCACATTCTACACAGGGTAATACACATTTTGTGCATGTTTCACCATCAGCATCTAAAAGCCAACCTGAATTACAAACACATTAATTTGAATTATTGACTGTTGAATTAGGATCTATACAACTCAAACAGTGGTTCTAATTCAATTAACAAGTTTCACATGGACTTACACATGCTTAACATGTCTAAGGATCCACATAAAAATAGCCAGGGGAGCAATCACATTGATATAATGTAGTAGTACTTAATGTAAAAGTAGAGACGCAATCTGTACAATTAGTAGCATTATATTCACACTTGGAACATGGTGCTGTACAAGACTAACATTAATTTGATCCATCAGTATAATATCCATCAGCGCAAACACATTGATAATTGACTGCTGTTTTTTTGCTATCAATGCAAGCTGTACAAGAAGTTGAGGCATCGATGCACTCAGAACATGGGGATGAGCAAGTAAGACACGATGAACCAGAAAGATATTTTCCAGGATCACACGATGTACAAGTAGTAGTAGTAGTTTCACAATTCTTGCAAGAAGCATCACAAACTGAGCAAAAAGTTCCAATTAGTAAATTATGATCCGCACAAGTTTAACATACAGTATTACTAGTACAAGTTTTACATTAAATAGGGCAAGTTGAACAATTACCGCCAGATAAGTAATAGCCAGGATAACATAATGAGCAAGATTTTTTTTTAAACGTAGGAGGGCATGTTGCACAAGAAACGAGACTACAAACTTGGCACCCATTTTAACATGAGTCACATAGATTAATAATAGGAACAACATAGTAGGCAGTTTTACATGTGCCACAAGAATAATCATTTGAACAACTTAAGCAATTAGATATACAATTCTTACATTAACCACTATCATCAAATTATCCTGGATCACAACTCCAAGTTACTAAAATAGAATAAGGTATCCTTACATAAGCAGTTCATAAAAATGAGGTTGATTGTAAATAAGAAGTTGGACATTAATAAAATAAATAATATATAAATAAATAGATGATGCAATTAGGAATTAATAGATATAATTATAAGAGATTACAAAATATTAATCACTTTTTATTTGATCCCAGAGATTGAAAATGATTTGTTGCTTGTAGAATTTCTATGTAGAATTTGTAAAAAGATTTACAAGTTTCTTTTTATACTTCTTACTTTATACTCGATTAACTAAATAGATTAATATCCCTTTATAATATTATTAAAATTAAAAATTAAACAATTATTTGTTAAAGCGACCTGCTTTTAAGAAAATAACAATAGCAAGCTCACTCCAATTCAGGTTATTCATTTTGATTATACCTATCATGAGTATTATAAGGAATTTGAATTATAGAGTAAATTTGATTATTATTTAATAATTATTTTTTTTTCTGGGTAAACGCAGGAATTAACTTTATAGTAAGAATGGAATTAAAATTGTTATAATATTTTTGTGTGGATCTAACTAATGAATATTTATTTTCTAATTTAGTCCAAATTTTTTTCAAAATCTAATTTTAGTGCCATTTTGAAAAAAAGGGTAAGAATTTTTTCAATTTTGAATCTAATAAAAGTATTAACTACTTTAATTTAATTTATATTAACTTCTCATAAGACAAATGATGAAATTACTTATTATACCTCAAAATGATCTTAAATCTCTGTTACTCTATAAAATCTTATAAGAAATATATACTATTACAAATTTAATATGTCACTTTGAAATTTTTGCATATATATGCTTAAGGAGTTATGAGGTGATTCAAATATCAAATTGCCATTTTATATGTTATTTAATAAATTATTTTAATTTTAATATTTTGTTAAGTTAGAATTGTAATGAGACTTGAAAAGCTGACTTAATGTCAACTTCTTAAAAAGTTAAAAGTGTAGGCTAAACGAATAATAGAATTTAATAAATGGAAAATATCAATAGTAGACTAAAAGTTGAATTGAAAATTAATAGAATTTGGATGAACAAATTTGATCCCATATCAATTAGATCATGATTAATTTGTCAATTAATGAATTTATAATTAAAATCATTGAATTATTTAAATTGAATGTTAAGATAAACTTGATATTGCTATATCGATAAAAGTGTAAACCTCTTGCTTTATACTGATTAGAATTCTTTACATAAGTTATTGCTATTTTTCAAAATTTTCAGATGTGAGCCAATGCCTTTATTTGTCACAATCCCCTTTTTAATAAAAAATTGATTGATTTTCTAGAATTAAAGCATGCAAAATTATTCTAAATCATATATGTTGGCAATATGTTAGATATTTGAAACTCTTATTATTCTATGCCTCTTTGCAATTTTCGATGATGTCTTTTGCTATAAAAATAGTATTTCCATTCTACATTATTCAATCGATATTGATAAAATTGAAGAATTCTGTAATTAGACATTTTCTAATTATTGTGCTGATTTGTAAATAAATGAATAGATTAGAGAACAACTTATATTTAATCAAAATGCAGAGGAAGAGGATAGAAATTGAACCTTTTAACATAGATACTAAAAGTAAATCTAAGAAAAATAAATATATTTGAAATTTATATTTTAGAAAAAATATTAGTATACTTAATGAGATAATATTTAAATCGTATTCTCATTATATAACTAATATCAACATGCATACCTTTTGATCCATTCTTATACATTTTGTATGAAGAATTGTTTATTGTATTTATAAATTTTTGCAATTTCTGGATCTAATGGATCATCTGGATTTGGATCTTCCAATACCTCACAAATAACTGAAAGGACTATGTTTATCAATAGGTTTCAATTACTTTTACTAATTTTAAGGGCAGGAGACCACTAATCTTTTAATAAATCTAAACTTAATTATCCATTTGAATTAATATTTGGATGATATATACGAGTTAGGAACCAAATTTTTGGTGGTCTGAAAGGATAGTCCATAGGAATTTCTATTTAAAGCTTAAAACTGCCACCGTAGTAGAGAGATCCCTCAGATCCTAAGATTGTTGCCTTCCATTTATAAAAATCTTAATCATCTATCAGACAAACAGAGCAATTTGTTGGTAAATCTTAAGGAAGTTCCCCAAATTCTTTCTTTATTCTTTTAAGAGCCATTTAAATTAAATTTAAAATACTCTTATTTATTGCTTGCTATATAAATATATAAATTTCTAGTTAACTGATAAATTCTGAAATCATAAAATATCTCAGTACTTTAATAATTCTTATTTTACTTTAAATAAATTAATTTTATAAATTTGAAATTACTAATACTAACTAAGTAAATAACTATATAATTTATCTATGGGTTATTTTTCAAAATTAATTAATTATTACAACAACAAATAATTTACTAAATTTGTTAAATATATCTAAATCTTTGAAAATCGTAATCATTCTATATGTAAATAGTATTTAAATAAAATGATTGAATTAATTTTTCAATTTGATTTTACTTAATTTTATAGAACCATAAGATGTATCATTTTAAATTTTATATATCAATTGGCTTAATCTATAAAATCAATTGAAAATTACGAGAATCTTAAAAAAGTAATAATACATTGAAGCATTAAATCAAATGAAATTTTATCACATATAATTTGTAAAAACTCCTATTATTCTATAAATATAAATTTAATAATGAAGATTAATGATGAAATAAACTAATTCTGATCATTCAAATAAATATCCAACTTAAACAATAAAAGTGGATAATGGTAGTATAAATTAATAAATAAGAGGTATATACAAACTTATCTACTCTCTTAATCTAATCTTTATTAATAAAGTAAATCAAATAGTGTCATTATTCTAAAGAAAATCGAATGATTTTATTTATAATATAGGATTTTTACGGATAACTTTATAGCGAACAAATATTTTTAATTATAACTGTTATTCTTATGTTTGAATCTTATTGTTAGGTTAACATTGGCAAAGAAATGTATTGAAACTGTTTTGATACTTGTCTCATCCATCTTGAATATACTAAATATTTTCATAGAGGAATGCATTTTAAAATAAAACCAAAAACAATTAATAAGCAATAATTTGATTTACTAGTAATTAATTTAATTTAGTTGAATAACTTCAAAATTGTAGAATATTAGAATTTAATTGATATTCTAAAACCTTATAATAAGATAATAAAAAGAGTGTATTTATTTCCTTATTATTTAATTAATAATTCCTTATTATAATAGAACCAATATTATAATAATTATCGATTCCCCTTGTTAATTAATTTATAATATGACCAAGTATTTTCTTTCTTTTATGTCTAAATTAATTTATAGAAGATATTTAGAATGTCTAGTATTAAACAATATACAGTTCTTTCCCATATAGGATGTGGATCAGAGCACCTCGTGTATAAAGCTTAGTTTAGTTAAAATTCTGAATTATATGCAATAACAATTGAAAAATCTCCACTAATTGGCCAACTAGAGAATGAGATAAACATGTTGTAAAAATTAAGTGGAGTTGAAGGAGTTCCACAAATAAAGTAGTGGATTAACTAATGATAACAAGTAATATATAAATTAATTATTTAGACGGTTTTTGATTGAGCCATTATTGCCTAGTAGTTTATTAGATTTAGCAAAGTCAAGAACATTATCTTTGCCCTTAATAATGACGATTGGTTTAAGAGTAATAGAAATTTTAGAACAAGTTCATAAAAATAATATATTACATCTTGACATAAAACCAGAAAATATCATGTTGTCTTATCTAATATCAAATGATCAATATTCCTAAAGCCTGGATTGATTCAACTGATTGACTTTGGATTATTACAGTAATTCTTAGAGAATTCAGTGACTTTGAAAGATGTGTTTATTGGATCTATAAATTTTGCCAGTATATCTTCACACTAAGGAAAGCCTCTTGGGTATAAGGACGACCTAGAAAGTGTATTGTATCTATTATTTTACTTAAAAGACTGTAATTAATAATTTTATATTGTTAGTGAAATTGCCATGGTTGGAGAAACAATTTTCCAGATTTAAGTAAGTTGACTTAGACTAGGTTGGTAACAAAAAAAGCTTCTTTCTTTTAAAAATAGTATCCTAAAGAAAATTTAATATAGCCTTTTATCATTATATGTCTTATTTTGACAAATAGAGCATGATGTTATGCCAGATTACAATTATATCAAAGAGTTATTTGCTTAGATGATCTAAAAAGCCAATCTTTTGTAACCTTCGTCAAAAGAAGAGAGTGGGATACGAATTTGTGCTAAAATTTAGATAAGTTCATTGACAAGTTACACTGAAATCATAAAAAATTCACTTGAAAATTTACAACTATAATATATGATATCTTTCTTGATAAAATATTGTCTTGATCTCTGATGTCATTGGAAAATATGCTACTACCACAATTAAAACTATAAAAGACATCAAATAATATAAAGATACCTATACTACATGATATTATGAATTAATACTTAATTATGCAATCATAATATAAATCTATAATCGAAATATTTTTAACAGTTAAGACTGTCAATTAATTTTTGCCAAACTAAACTAACTCAAAAACAAGTATGAATAGAACTAACTAAATTTGATTCTCAAATATCATATAAAGTGATAATATCATAAATCACTTACTTATATTGAAGTAAATTTTTATAATATATAAAGTTGATTAAATAAATAATAACTATCTTATATTTAATATTTGATTCCAAAAAATTAATTAATATGAATTAATAGATTAAGAACAATTAAACAATGTCTTAAAAAGATTAATGTAGCACTGCTATAAATTTTTTATTTAAACTGCATTATTTGCTTTTTACTGAAAATCATTATTTTACAAAATAAAATTTTCAATGAAGATTATTTGAAAGGTTATTACCTAGAGTACTAGATCATTTATTTATTTAACTGAAAATATATTGTAAATAACTTTAGTGATTAAATCAATTATTTATATATTTTTATTATATATTTTTATACAATATATTAGTTTAAAAATTATGGAAGATATTCTTATTAAAAGTAAATGTTATGCGGTCAATCTCCATTGCTATAAATGTACATTTAGTTGGATTCTAATCATTTTTTTAACTTTAAAATGACTTTAGGAAATTTATGATTTAAATTAATTATTAACAAAATATAATTTCTCTATAAATTAATAATTGCTGATGAATAATATTGAGTAATAGAGTTTAAACGAAATAAGTCACTAGTGGTTTACAGATTTCTAAAATAAGAGTATCACTGTTGTGAGATGAATATCAAGTTGAGAAAAACCAATTATTGCCATCAATTACAATTTTACTACCTCTTTCTGACATCAGCCTGTTGATGCAATACTGAAGATGATTATAGTGAGAAGTGAGGAAGAGATGGAATTCATTTTTATTTGTTAACATATAACCATATTCTTTCTATTCTACTAACGTCCTACTTATACATTAGAAAATATTTAGAATCAGTCCATTTGGAAAAACAAGTACTTATTTTATCTTATTATATATTACAATAAAAAAAATGATTCTGTAATGAAAAAGTGAATTACTAATATTTATAATCTTTAGGATTCAATTATTATTTTTTATATATAATATCATTAATCTATAATTATAAGTGTTTCATAATTGAATTACGATTGTATGAATGATTCATCAAGACCTTACTAAATCAATTAAAATTTAGTCTATTTCTGGCAATTTTTTCATTGATGTGACCAATATTAAAGTAGAGATTCTAAAGTTTTAGATTTCTAGATTTTATTAAAATTGATCCCAACGACAATGATCAAAACAGGAAATATCCTAAATCTCAAGTGATTTAGTATAATCTTATATTGACATTGTGCTCAATCTTAATGAATAGATGAGCTGAATATTTAATATATAACATACCTTAATTCTTTATTGAGGAGTTTTTGAAAAGAGAAATTTAAAGCTTTGATGCAATCTCCTAAGAAACTTTTTGGAAGAGAAAAAGTGCAGAGCCCTCTAGAGTTTATAATTGCACCTTCATTCTACATTGAAACCTATAGGATCAATTGCTAAAGCTTTTTGACTTTCAAGAGTTAGACTCTAACTCTCACTTGCTGATTTCTCAAGTTTTTAAGAAATAATATATTAAATAATCAAATCTTTTTAAATTATGTTAAGAATTTTGCATAATGTAGTTATTCTAAGAAACTAAGAAATTACGTATAACTATTTTTAAAACAATACCTAATATTGTTTAATGATTCAATGATTTATGTTCAGTTAATTTTAAATTTCTTTTTTTGAAAGAACTTAATATTCAGAGTAACATTTTATTGGACTTATTTGATATTTTTAAATTCGCAAGTAATTCATTCAGATCTAGGAAAATTAAATGTGATTTTTTCATAGATCTGCGGCAAGTAAAATAACATGATATTTTTAACAATAGATAATCCGATGCTCAAATTTTCTAACGATATAAATGCAACCATTTATGTTCTTTTCAGGAAGGGAATATTACATTTTTGATTATAATTTTAAGGATAAGCATTTCTAGATGAGTGAACTTTAAGACAAAAGTTAAATATTTAATCTATTCCCACTCTTAATACTAGAACTATGATAATGTGGTGGTTATTAAATTAAATGTTAGCTATATTATTCCAAAATCTATTATACTATTCAATCATTATTCACAATTTCTCCATGAGATTCAACATTGTTATATTACACTAAAATTGAATCTAAATCATAATTTTTGGGATTGAAACCTTAATAGAGTAATTAGAATAAGAAATTAAATATTGAATTAAATTAATAAACAGGTTTACAAATTTAGAATAAAACATGAAGAGTTGTTAATCACTCATTGATCCTAATAACCATTATTAAATTTATAGATAAAAGTTTATTGTGACTTAAATTCTAAGTTCTTAGATAGTTTTCTTGGAATCTACTCCAGTATTGCAATTAAATTCGTCCTATCTAGAGGCAATTTTACGTATTTTAACTAAAAAATTTAAATTCTTGAAATATGCAAAAATAGGTAGACTAAATATTTTGAGGACTCAAATATTATTTCAGGAATAATAAAGAAAATAATAGCTAAACGAAATTGAACTAACAAGAAAATTACAATAAGATCCACATTTCTAAATAAATTTACCTTCCAAAAAGTAATTATTGACTTTTTTCAGAATACAAAAGTAAGAACTTATAAATTATTTAATATATTCTTTCTAATATTTAATTTATTTATATTTAATATGTATCAACTATTAGTTCAATTTAAATAATCATCTTCCTCCCTAACAAACAATCTGTATAGATACATTATAACATTCCCAAACATTTATTACCATATACCTACTTTTTTACCATTAATGTATTCACCACAATATATGATCTAACCATACCTATTATATAATTATTAGGAAATACTCATAAAATCCATCAATTAGCTCTCTCCACTTTCCAACCTTTATCGAATCACTCACACTTTCTACTTTTTCATATTATCCTCCACCACTATTAAACAAGAAACAAGATTTTAAATCGAATATAGAAATCAATTTTACAACTACTCCTTCTTATAAAAAGTATCCCACCTTCCCACCTTTTTGCCATTATCATACTCTCCTATAAAAGTAACTTGAATTTCACTGATAAATAATGTTTAATTGTAGATAATACCTCTCAAAATTATCAATCAACTCAATCCATTTACCTATTTTAACGGAACTCACGATATTTTAATCATTCACTTTTTCAATATAGGAACCACCACCTCTGAATAAAAAAAAATATTGTAGAGAAGTACGTCAATTCAATATCTTCAGTATCTTCATTATAATAGTAAATATCCCATTAGCCTACTTTTACTCCATTATGGTATTCTCCTTTGTAAGTTATTTAATTATCCCTCATCAGCTAAATAATATGCAATACCTCCAGAATCCTTCAATCAACTCTATCCATTTTCCATTCTTCAATGAGCTTGAAATAACTTGGCCTTCTAATCTGTCATCATAAGTTCCTCCACCTCTTAAAAGAGTTAAAACATGGCATCATTACATTATTTCAAAAGGTTTATTATTACTAATTCTGTATAATATATCCCATCTACCAATTTTTTTGCCTTCCTTATAAGTACCAGTATGTAGGATCTAAGCCAAACTAGAAAATTTATAATCAAATAACATAAAATACTCCCAAAATCCATAATTCAATTCAACCCATTTTCCAACTTTAACAGAATCTAGAATCAGATCGTCCTCTTATGTGTTCTCATATGATCCAAAGCCACTGAATTTAATGAAATTCTTAATTACATTAATTTTAATTGTTTCTAACCATTCCTCTTATGCAAAACATTCCATACACCATATCTTTTACCATTTTTGTATTCCCCATCATAAACGACATAACCTTATCTATTAATGAATATTTTAAATAATCTTTACTTCCAAAAGTATTCGCTCAACTCTATCCATTTGCCAATCTTCTCGCCTTACTCATCATAGAATCCGCCACCTCTAAGAGACTAATTAATTTATAATACATTTCATTATTATTGTAGATATATTTCCATTTTCCACTTCTTTTATTATCAATATACAATCCTATCTCATATACTTTGGCTTCACTATACGTGACGATTAATAAATATATCTAACCTCCAATAATTCCTGGTTAAATCTCTCCATAAGCCTTGCTTTTATCCATCTTCAGAGTAATATCCACCACTTTCTAAAATGATGTCTTTATTCCAAGTCGCTGACCATCTACCTATTTTCATAGTATTTTGCCCATATTTTCCAGACCACTGAAGGTATTTAATCTATTCTAAATTAGTCAAGATGTCAGGTTTTTAGAGGGAATTTATTGCTTATTCACTAAATATGGAGAAAAGATTTACATCCTAAGAACCTAGCCATTTTAAATGTATTTGATTTGCTTCTCTTTTGTAAATGAGACTTCATATTTGATCTTTTTAAATCTTCTATTCTCAAAATCCCAATATATATATTAGTATTCTGAAATGGAATGTTAACATTAGTAATTTTCGATTTGTAATTCTTTTTACTGAGCTCTATGATATTATAAATCATATGGCTTACACATTTATTATTTAGTCCTTTGACCTAAATATATCATTTAAGGAAATCATATTTCCGATGAATTTAATATTATCATGAATTTAATTAACTTTACAAAACTTTTAAGTGGAATTTCTGAAATTTTCTTCCTTGATTTTACAATCAAGGAAGATTTTATTTGGAGTAATTAATTTTATATTTTTCTGGAAGAGATTTATTAGACTCATTTCAATATTTTGGTCAGAATGATTACCCATCATTAAAATTTCTAGTTTTGTTTGAAATAATTATGTACTTAAGAGAAAAAAACCAAAATACTTCTTGAGTAATGTATAGCAAATTGTTGACAATTAAATGGACCATGATGAAGTTTTGAATGTAAGTTTTATCATAATCTCATATTTGAATTCATCTATTAGTTTTTCGAGTTTTGACTTTTGATTTAATTTCTAAATTTCGAGGCTTCAAGTTTTCCTAGTTAGAATGAATGGAGTGTCCCTAAGTAAATTCTCATCTCTAAGCTGAACTAAGAGAATAATATAAATTTCTTGGGATATTAATATAGTCAAAAATAAAAGTTTAGCATGAATAAAGAGAATATAATAGTAGTAAGATTCATTATAATTACATAGATCTCTATTCTCTACTATTTGACTTGATATTGTAGACCTATTGTAATTGCTAATTGTATTTCCAAAATGATTAAATTTAAGCAAAGCCTTATTTCTTGCATCTATCGACTACTGTTAAAAAATAGTTGTTATGATTTATAATTCTTGCAATTCTTTTTCTAGGTCATATAAAATAGCAAATCTTAAAAGAGAACATTAACTCCTTATTTTTCTGGTCCTTCAAAAATCAACCTATTATTTGCATTGAGTCTTCTCCAACAACAATTGATGCAAAATTTAGTTGGCATTATTATCAAGTGAGACATTTTGCAGAGGGCAACTAAGTCTGGGTTAAATTATATTTGACTAAAGTTTGAAGAGCAGCCTGACTTTTAATGATGAGCTATCAATTAATATCCATTAATATAAAATGACCTATTAATTCTTAATATGTGGTTAAATTTGATAATTTCTGGTCGTTAATTTAATTTAAAATGATATAATATCCATTTAAAATCATAGATGTGGATGATTTAACATTTTCCATCAGATTGATAAAGTAGTCTTTTCTACAATAGTTTCTCTCTTTCTCATCCATCCAACTTTAAACTAATCACTAAAACAGGAGAACATCTCATATTAATGATCCTGAATCTTGGAATTCTTTTGATGAATAATATTCTTAAAATAGGGGCAACATATATTTCCCTTCTCCATTAACATTCTAATGAGATATTTAGAGGTAGAAAGGATATATATTTATTCCTTGAGGAAGGATTGCTGAGTGTGGAGCCCTTCATAGAAGTCTTATCATTTCCTTTTTATTGGTTTTATCGAAATATTATAATAAGATATTCTATATAATGTGTTTGATTTATTGATTACTAAATTAATTTAAGAATTATAATTAAATCTCAATTTTAGAAGGATCAAAATTATTACTTACAAAGTTTTTATCAGCAACTTTGGCTTTAATTGAGAACGATAAAATGTTATATAAATTTTAGTTTAGTTATTTACTAATATTCAAAATAAAAAGTATTTTTATTATATGACATGTATTATTACATTAATAATATTGTTAGCCAAAATATAACCATCTCTAATTTTAAGAACGACTTTCAGTAATAAAATACCAAATCAATTTAACCTTAAATTATAAATGCATTTCAATAATGTAAATTTTTTTTTGAAATTTTTAATATCCATATAATATGGTGAATTTATAGATAAAATTTAAGTGATAAAAATTTTAATTTTTTTATTTTATTTTGATCCTTAATCCTTGTAAGAATACTTTGTATAAAAATATGTAATTTAATGGTTTGCATATGTAGTGTTTTAGGTTTAATTCCTTGTACTCAATACTATATAAATTCAGTAATAAGATAAATAGGGATAATGAAATAATTAAGCTATTTTATATATCGTGTGATTTTTACTTTTGAATATATGTAATAAAACTGTGATTGCTTTGGATAATAGAAATTTGGTCATTTAACTGTTGAAAAGCTCTCAAGATTCTAGTAAGGTCAAAGGTATTCTTGCTTAAGTGAAATCGGTTTTTCTAAGAATTTAATAAAAAAAGCAAATTAATTTAAATATTATAGAATAATATTATCTTTTATAAAATAACTATAATTATGCAATCAAATATTATAAGGAGCATTGATAATTGACCTCATTCTGCAGCCCCTTCTCTTCCTTCATCAACTATCTAAGAACCAACTTCTTCATAATCCTTTTCGAGCGCTGCTAATTCTTCCCTGGCTTCAATAAATTAAAATTCCTCCATTCCTTCTTTCAAATACCAATGAACAAAAGCTCTTCTAGAAAACATTTAATCAAAAGCATGAGTGAATTTTGGAAAAATATCATAAATAGCTGTTGTATTGGAAATCATACAGGCTGATCGAACAACTTTCGCTATTTCTCCATTTGGGATTATAAAATGATCTTTGTATGTAATACCTACCTTAAACTTTGTCGGACACCAATCAACAAATTAAATTGTTTTCTATACACTCAATTTAGAAAGTGATAGACGAACATCTCTCGGAATGACATCTCCTCTATATAATATTGAACAGGCCATGAATTTTCCCTTTTAGGGGTTACATTTAACCATCATATTTTATGGCTCAAAAGCTTCAATAGAAATATCAGTAGTTATTGGTTATTAAAAACATGTTTTATAATTTGATAAAATAGGAGAGTAAGAACATAACATAAAATGAAGACGAGGATGTAGAACAAGATTAGTTTAAAATTCTGAGATATCTGAATACAAAGATCCATTAAATCTTATAGCAGCAGTTAATGATGAGTATACTTATGCAATAAGTCTATTTAAATTGGTGTAACTAGGATTTTATATATCAAGAGCATTATTACAAATTCCATAAACTGCTTGATTATCAAAAAGAATGCAAACGTCAGCAAACTTTTATAAATATTATGTTGCCAAAATTGCATTATAAGATTCAATTATAGCAGTATCATTATTAGGATATGGATAAATATTGATTCCGATTCGAATTTATTTCAAATAATCTTCCTACAATCTCTCTAACAACAAGGTCCCTAAACCTGAACCTGTTCCTCCTCCTACTGAATTAAATAAAAGTATTCCTTACGGACTTTAACAATCTTCAGCTAGCTTTCTTACTCTTTCCAAGCTTACATCAATATATTCTTTGCCAATTTAATAATAACCTCTAGCAAAATTATTTGAAGCATCTTCCTTTCCATAAATGAATGAATTTTAACTAAATAATTCTCTATATTTCCCATCTTTCACTTTTGATATTGCTTCAGATTCTGAGTCTATAAATAAAGATCTTGGAACAAAATTTCCTTTAGAGTTTTCAGAATAGAATTTATAAAATTCACTATCCTCTTAATTAGATATTTCTCTTTACATTAATCCATTAGGTTAAATTCCATGTTCTAAACAAAGCTATTCCCAACAAGAATCTCCTAATTATATACCGCCTTATCCAACATGTATGGAGATTACTTCTTTCATGTTATAATATCTTTAAATTTCTGATAATTATAATGTATTGGTTTGATAAAATATAATTTGTATTTTTATATTTTTTTTAAATAGTTAGATCGTCTTATTGAAATAATAGTTATTACATATTTGATTCTATGTATTAAATAAAAGACTAGGTTAGATTATAACTAAATTGACTTACAAGATTAAAAATGCATTTTTAGTAATTCTAAGAAAAACTATATATTGAAAAAAGAAATTCAATAATAAATGGCTTATCTATCTTATAATCTCAACTTCGTTTATCAATTTAGACTTTTCCTTACTCAACCTCAATAAGCATTGATATCATCCATAAAAAAAAATCTTTAAGAAAAGGTTTCAAAGAATTCAAAAATTTTCTTCATCATAAACACGAACTTTTAATAGCCATTCAAATTATTTTAGATTGAGAAACGAATTTTCCTTGATAATATTTATTTTTTGGTCTTTAAATGAGAAAGGACTATTTGATGTAAATAAAATAAGATAAGGGTATTTGCAACTTGCATTAAATTAAAAATTAACTTTATCTCTTTTCTTCACTCTATAAGATGTAGATCAAAATCAAGAGTTTTTAAATATAAATCTAATGATATAGAAAAGGATTCAACTCTAATGAAACTTTAAGTATTGAGAAAAACGAAATAAAGCAGAACAAAATATGCATTAATGATTTTCATTATATTTAAACATCAGGATTTTTACCTGAAAACAACATCGTTGTAGTCATTAGGTTTAAAATTTTAATATCAAATTATAATCTTTTTCATTTGTTGGACATTTTAAATTTGAAAAATAATAATAAACATTATTTTTAAATAATCAAATTTAATTAAAACGTGAATTGTTTATCAACAAAAAAATTATAATTCAATTTAGTTTATAAATATTCAATATAATCTATAAATTTCATTTCATAACTTTCCATACTATTTTTCTATTTCAGTATGACTTAATCCTTTAGTTTCTTTCACATAAACATAAAAGTATAGAATTGACAAGAGTGTTAGAATAGCAAATACTATAAAGACTCCGCTTATTTAGAGTGCATCTAACATAAATGGAAATATGTAAAGCATAAATAACTGCCAAACATATAAAGTAACAAAGCAAAAGTATGTCCCTTCACTAGTGTTAATTTCTGGTATCATAGACTAAGGATATTATTTATTTTACATAAGTAATAGGTCCTAAAGTAAGTGCAAATGTGAATGAGAAAAAACAAATTATAATAAAACTAGTAATAGATGCTCCTACAGTTTCTGAATAACTTAGACCAATAATAAGTATCTAGCATACAATAAGTACAAGAAGCCCACCCAGTAATAAAGTTCTGTTACCGATTTTCCTATAGACAAATTTGGAAATGAATGCAGGAATAAATTAAACTATTCCAATAATCAGTATAAAGATTGTGTTCAAAGTAAAATCTCCATCTGTAATCACATCAAAAATTTAAGAACAATAGGAGTATAAAGCAAATAAACCACACCAGGTGGATATAAATGCTAACAAGCAACCAATTATTACTGTTTTTAGATGCTTTTTTGAAAATAAACTTAAAAAGCCCTCTGATTACTCTGAATCATTTTCAACTCTTTTTAAGCAGGTTAAAAAAATTTGCTCAACAAATTCTGGTTAATATAATTTTATTATGATCCTTTTCGCTTCTGAAGGTTATTTCAATTAAATTAAACTGTCAGGACTATCAATCTTATATACAATAGTAATAATAAAAGACCTAAGAAAGTGCACTAAGGAAGGAATTGCAAAAACAATTTACCAATAATAAGAATGCTCTCCTCTTAAATCAGGGTTTAAATACCCTAAACCTATGAAATTAATGAAAAATAATCCCCCTGCAATTAAGAAACTAGCCAAAACTGAAAATGTTTCATAATATTTATCAGGGCAAAGTTCCTTAACATATATAGCCATAATAACAGATGATATTCCTAAACACATTCCATATGAAAATCTAAATGCAAGTATGACTTCTCGGTTGGGTATTACTTGTAAAATGCTTAATACACCAAAAAAATCAGCAATTAATAGAGATTAATTTCGTGTTGTATATTTTAATAATGGTTTTGTAACAACAGCCCCTACTAACTAGCCTATTGATAAGACAGCACTAAATAAACCTTGCTCCTCAATCTCAGAACCTTTGAGGGTGCTAAAGTTATTATTTAAAATACATTTATGAAAATAATGTTGTGAAAGACATTGACAAATATGACAATGAATATCCAACTGAGAAGTTCCCACTTTAAATTGCTACTAGGATAATTGCTAAATGGACAAATGATTTGAGACCTTCCTCTACTTGAGAATCAGATTAAACAGTGAATTTTTTATTTATTTGGGACGGTAAACTTGTTAGAGGATCAGAAACAGATGGCAGCTGCGATTAATTTTATACCTTAGAAATTTATAAGTAACCACTATCTGTTTTTGAATTTTCACTCTCTTAATTATATAATGGAATAACTTAGTTTGCCATAAATAGTATATGATTGATTAATTTTTTGAATTTTTATCAAATCAAATTATGTTAATTATTAAAAAAGCAAATTCTCATTTAGAGGCAATTGAAATTATTACATTGTTTTATTGAAGGCTTTAGATGATAGGTCTGATTCATTAGAAATTTCTGATCATTAAATAAATTATTTTCTTAGATATCAGCACGACACTTAAAATGATTCTGAATCTAATGATTCTTATTAATGAGATACTTGCTAAACTTATGAAATGAAAGAATTTAAATTATCTTAAAACACAGTTGATTGAGGTTTTTTCAGAATAAGTAACAGCCAATTTAGTTTAATTTAATCAAAACCCTTCAAAAATAATTCAGAGACAGTCGCTTATATATTAAATATTGAAATTATTAATCATAATTAAAAGTAATCCAGGCATTCAGTTTCATTGTGAAAAGAATTCATTAATAATATAATTAATTTTTTTTTTATCATAACATATATTCTCAGAAAATCCAAGTTTTGAAGAAAAGCATAAATTCTATTTGAAAGCAAAACAACAATTTTTAAAAAAAATACCATAAGATACTATTCTCTAAATCAATTCAAGAATCTAGATTTATTGCTCATAAAATTTCTATATTTCTAAAATTCTGAATTCTGAATTCTTAATAATCAATATATTTAATTATTAATGTTTGTTTATTAAATTATATCTATAATCATAACATTGTTAAAATGATTGATGTAAAATAAATATGTTTTTTATAACTATGAAAACACTATGTTAAACAAATTAAATTTTTTTCAATCTAAATATATATGAATCAAGAATCAACGTTAATTTTAATTGATATATTAATTTAACCATAAATATCTAATTAATGAACTTTTTCTATTTAGTAAAATATTTCAATATTTATAACAGAGAAGTTTTGGCTTCAACTCCTCATTTCTAAAATCAACCTAGCCTTAATTATATTCTGATTAGAATTTAAGATATGTAAGCTATTGTAAGAATAGTTTTCAAAAATTAAATAAGCAGTTGTAAACCCTAAGGGTTTTTAGAGGTAAAATTATTTTATTTTACAAATATAACATACATCTATTTTTTATAAATATCAATGATTTTTATCAAGCATTTTATTACTATAATTCGTATATATGATAATGTTGAATTAAATCTACCTTTATCGTTTATTCATTTTGTTTATCTATCCATGTAACTAAGAATTTTCCATTATTCGAAATTGTTGCATATAAAAAACTAGATTCATATACTAAGGGCATAGTTTATTTTTCAAAATATCCATGAGCTGATCTTCTTAAAAAATACATCGCTTTGTAATGTTTAACAACTAAGAATTATTTATCTGAGTTATAATATATAGGAGTAAAGATGAAATCATGATTTTCTGATGATAATGATATTCGTTACATTTCCTTTAGAGTGTTCCATTCTATTTTATAATAAATGAACCAGCCATTTCTTTAAACAAGGACAAACGATTAATCGTCAATAAATTTAACTCTTGTCCCTACAGAATCACAATTTGTTACAATATTCCTTTTGAAATTAATATCCATATTGAGCATTCTTAATTATGAATCTTATCCACATGATACTAAGAATGTTTTAGAAGGGTTAAGACTAAGTCCATAAATTGCTTATGTTGATTCTAATTCTATTTCTTACTTCTCATTGATTAGAGGTATTTCTGGTTGGAATTCAAAAGTTTTTATTATGCCTTTTTAACAACCTACGATTAATAGATTTTTATTATAATCAAAATCAATTACTTTAATGCCTAATGTATTTGAAATTCTTTATTGCTCTATCCATTTATTATTTCCAAGATACTTCCAAAGGATGATAAGACGATCATAATCACCACCACATGAGATTAATGTTTCTGAATTCTTATCAAAGAAAAGGCAACTTACTTCTTTCTAATGTCCCTTTAACTCCGCAATCGGGTTCATTAAGCAATTTTAAAAATTCCATATAACTATTATATTTGCTTTTGCGGTTGCTATCAACTGATCATTTCTATTAAAGCTTAAGACTTGACATGTTTCTAATTATTTTATACTATTTTTGTAAATGTATGGGAAATTTTGTATATTTTTTTAAGTGTCCTTCTGTTTTAGTTAATGTGAAGCAAAATCAAATTGGTAAATAATACTTTTTATTTCAGATTATACTTTCTCAAAGTCCTCTTATCTTTTCTCTTATATTTTCTTAATAAATTATTGATTCCATTTGAGGAAATCATCTTAAGTTTTTACGTAATCATTAGCCATAATAGTTAATTTGTCTATATTGTTTATTTAAGATCCAGCAATGTCATCAATAATACTTATTCTTTATTAAAATTAGGCATTTAAATCATTATATAAAATATTAAGGTTTTTTTAAGACAGAATTAAATTGGAAAGATCTTATATTTATTTATTTATTATAGATCTTGTTGTTTCTGAATTTATTTTAAACTCAAAAAAATCCATCAAATATTCTTTCAAAAATACTTGTATATTTAATCCATAACTACCACATTATTTACATAATAATCGATTTGAAAAATTAAGGTCACCTGATATGTTCACTTATTCAACTATTTGCTTATGGATAGGGCAAATTTGTTATGGTTAGTATTCTATATAATATTATAATTTTTTTTTAATTTCTTCAACTTTTTGTCTTTCAATTTCTGAATTATTGAATAATATTAAACTTCTCACTAAAGAAGGCTATAATTTACTTCGATAAAGTTCTAAATTTTTTGCTAAATATTGCTAGCATTATGTTTTTTCAAGTGGCACCAAAAGTAGAATCTCTTTAGTTTATTCAAATTGTTCTTTAAATTTGCTTAACTAACTAAGGAAAACACTTGCAACATCAATTGTAGATGATAAATTACCTTGCTGACCATAGTAATCATCATTTTTAAAAAAATAGCCTTCATCACTACTCTCTAGTTTTTAATTATTTTTCTTTTATTAGGATTATTATTATTCATTCTCTAAACTAGTAGTAATCTCTTGGATAAGGTTTTCTAATTTATTAATAAACTCAGATCTCGAATTCAAATCTGACATTTTATTTTTAATAATTTATGAAGAAAAGTTTTATATATAAAAGCTTGATAATTCTATAAGAATTTATATTAAACAAAAACAATTGATTTTTTAAATATATGATAGAAATGTATATGATTTCGATATTTAAAATAAAATAAGTATCTATTTTTCTAAATTAGGATATCAATTTCAAAATTATTTAGAGTATGCTAATTATCCTAAATACTCAAGTTATTATTACTATTTATCTTATCTAATACTTATTAAATTGCAAAAGTCATTCTTAATTATTGATTTTGATTAGAATATTCATTTTATATTATATCTTGCAAGAATGAATAATTTGATATCTCTTCTATGCATTTGTTTTATCTAAAAAATTTGTGTGAGAAACCAAAAATCCACATAATCTCAATAAGTTCAAGTGATATAGGAAAAATAAAATAATATATAAATATGAACGAATTTTACATTATTTTTAGTTTATAAGGATAGATTGATTTATATAAATTTATATAATATATATTAATATGTAAGTAAATTACGAAGCAATTATTGATGGTAACTTGTTTAATTAATCGAGTAGAAGCTAAAAACAAAATGATGAAATGGTAAGAAATAAATGAACAAAACATGTGGGAATTGTTTTCAAATAAGGAAGGATATGTCGTGTACACTAAGAAGAATCCAGAAAATGGAATCAATATGAATAGATCCCAAACTGAAATTGCCAGAACACCTGAGTAGATTTTAGATTTGGTGGCTGATATAAATAAAAGGCCTTTGTACGACGAAAAAGTGGAAACAGTAAATTTTTTATCTTATGTTATTAGGCTCATGTTATTGAATAAATTGATGCTAATACAAGAATTATTTATGTGAGAATCAAACCTCCCATTCCATTTATGAGCAGCAGAGATTTAGTTATGGTTCAAAAGGTTTATAAATAGAATGACGGAGTTTACATTGTTTGCTGTACCTAATATTATAATATCATTAGCTAAATCAATTATTCATTAAAAAACCCCTCCAATCAATAAAGTTGAAAGGGCAGAAATGCATTTAAGTGGCTGGATTATAATACCATAACCAAATCAAATGACCAAGATTGTGACTATCTAATGTTTCGATCCACGAGGAGATGTTCCTACATCAGTAACTAATCAATATGCTAAACTTCAAACAGACATGATGAAGGCTGCAATCAAATATATTGCACTTAATTACAAATGATCCACATATTAAAACATATTTAAATCAATTGATATTGTTTTTATATAAAACTAGACTAAATTTAGACTAAAAGCCTTACAATTTACTATATAAAATCAATTCATAACTAATATATCATCTTATTTTTATGATTCAACTCTAGTTCTCAAAAAAACATCCATCTCCTCTCGATTCTGGACTACTTCCTATTGAAATCCAATATAAAATATGATGATTGGGAAGCAAGTATATTTATTTTAAAAATGTGTCTTTATGATTAGTCTATTAATTTAATTCATGCTTATACTTTAGCTGATCCCTCATTCTTTTATTCTTGACATATATTTTTATCTTCAAAGTTTATGAGAATTAAGATCAAAAATATTATATGAGTTGTGATTTATAACCTGAAATTATTGAAGATTATAATGATTACTTAAATATCTGAAATAGATTTATTCGAATTAACTAATTTTAAGTTAAATGGATCTAATTAACACTTTTAAGTAAATATCCAAATTTGTAGAATTTAAATAAGTTTTCTTGATTTTTTATTTTTTAATAATTCATTCAGAATTTTAACAGCATTAATTAAAGATTTTATTTACAGATTTACTCTATTATATGTAATATAATGTAATTTTATTTTATGCATTATTGCACTTTTTAATCCTTAAAATTTATTCAAGAGTTAATAATCTTATTTTGTAAATCCATAAATTCTCATTCTTCAAAAAGTTATATTAAATTAAGCTCATTCCTTGTAGAATTTTCAATATTAATTAAATTGTTATTCAACAAGATTCTTTAGGCATATTTTTTATTATTTTCTTATATCATAAAAGATACTCGAAATCAAAAAGAGACTGTTTAACAAAAAATATATATATTCTAAATGATATAAAAAGTTCTACTATAATGATTACTTTAATGAATAATCATTTTTTAGTCGATAAATTTGTATTGATTTTGGGGTTTACTGTTTTAAATTTTTCCATTTTAAAAGGTTCTTTTTTCTCAACTCCTTAAATGGCTGCTAGTTTTTTATGATTGGTATCATAAAACAATTAGGAGGCTTTATTACCTTTTACTAAAGAGGAAGAAAGCTTAGAATCCTTTATATAGGTTTTGAATGATACTTATGAACTTGCTCTGCCTTGATATTTGTCTAAAATTTGGGATTCAGCCTCAATTCCATAGGAATTACCCATGACCAATTTCATAGGTGTTGATGGCCTAATATTATTAAATAGAAATGAACCTATTTTTACGTCCATATCTAAATTCTTCTTCTGGTAATTCTATGGCTTGAATGTTTGTACCTTTTTTAAGTTTCAATCTTGCATCATGAGTCTATCTAAATTTATACATATCCTGAATAGAATGTACAGTTACATGTGCTTTGACAGATCCATTGTGAATGGATTATTTGTTTAATTCAGGAAAATCTCTATTGGGCACTCTGTCTTGAGATTCTTAATGGAATTTCCATGTCATGGTTACTGAGTGAGAACATTTAATTACCTTCTTTTGCTCCTTCCTTATCTCTGGCTAATGGCTGCCCATAAACGAAATCTTGGTTGGGAAGATTGAAAGTTGAAGGTTTTGACTTGCCAACGTCATCTTTCATTAATAGAGGATTGGTGTGATTATGTGAGAATGGAGGCGCTGTTTGCATTTTAATATTAAATAATTAATAAATTTTTATTAGATAATAATTGATTAAGGAGATTGAAATGAATGTATTTATATTTGAGTGACATTAAATGTGAGCTTAATAGAACAAGAAGAGGAAACCTAGATAAAAAATATTGTTTATTATATATTTATTATTAAAAATTAAAATGCAAATGAGCTAAGGTGAATTTTGGCCAAAATAAGAAGAGATTATACAGGGAGATTAGGATGGTTTATAGAAGAGAAAGAACAAAAAAAGGGTAATTACAAATCCCAGTTAATAAACAGGACATTGGAGTGAATAAGAACATCAAACTTATATTGATTTTTTGAATATGCATAGATCTGTGATGGAATCACAAGATCAAAAAAAGACAAGTAAAATATTTAAGCTGATGAGTGAAACAATTGGTAGTAGAAGTCCATCACAATGCAGGTTAATAATTAACAAAATATTATTAGATCTCACCATTAGAAATTTAATCCTTTTGTTCACCAAATTAAAAAGAGGTAAAAAGGGGCTGGGAGAAGAAAAAAGGAAAATTAAAATACAGATAAAATGAATAAGAATGATGAAAATGCATTCTTGTAATCTTTATAAATACAGCATTAATTATTTCAGCAATAACCTTTGGTAATAATTCATTTCTATGTATAGGAATATCAAATGTTCTAGTTTCCTTATTTTCCATGTGTTCCTGTATTCGATAATTAATTAAAAGAAGATGAAAAATTAAATGAGCAATAGTTGTATTTTTAATAATGTATGCTCTTCCAATAACAATTACCACAATAATTGGATGACAAGAACCTTTGTTGTTTTAATTTTAATTTTATGCCTCAATAGTAAATGTAGTTAAATTTTAATTACTTTCAATAATAATAAATGTTCAACAATGATTTTCAAGCATTAAATTCAGGGGATATCAACAACAAAGAAAACCAATTCGATGAATAATGATAATTAATAAATCTATATAGTAATGTAATAATATAAATAATTATATATATATATAAATGGAAGAATAAGCAACAGTTGAGAATGTAATAATTGAAGAAAAGATCTCAAAATCTAATGGAGATGTGATAATTAAAAGATATCAAAGAGGAAAGACCCTGGGCAAGGGTGGATTTGCTAGATGCTATGAGATCACTGAAATAGATACAAAAAAAATATTGGCTGCTAAGATTATTTAAAAGAATACTTTGACAAGGAACAGAGCAAGATAGAAAGTACGTTAGTGATATATAAATTATAGTTGATATCAGAAATCAAAATACACAAATCGTTACATTAAATTAACATAGTTTAATTTATCCATGTATTTGAAGATCATGACAATGTGTACATCATTTTAGAGTTATGTACAAATTAAGTATAAATTTGATGATATCTTCTAAGACACTAAATGAGTTAATAAAGAGAAGGAGAAGGATAACTTAATTGGAAGTGTAATGCTATATATTATAATTGGTCAATGCACTTAAATATCTTCACTAAAATAAAATCATCCACAGAGATTTGAAACTGGGTAACTTATTTTTGAATGACAAAATGGAGATAAAATTGGGTGATTTTGGATTGGCAACTAAACTGGATTTTGATGGAGAAAAGAAGAAAACGATATGTGGTACTCCCAATTACATTGCCCCAGAAATTTTGGATGGCAAAATCGGTCACTCTTATGAAGTAGACATCTGGTCCTTGGGTGTTATTATCTACACACTTCTAATTGGAAAACCTCCCTTTGAAACTCAAGATGTCAAAACTACATACAAGAAAATTAAAGCATGCTAATATACATTTCCTGATCATGTAGTTATTTCAGACAATGCTAAAAATCTTATCACTAAGATGCTCGTCCTAGATCCAAGTAAGAGACCAACTTTAGACTAAATCTTATAACATCCATTTATGACATCTAATTCAATTCCAAAAACTGCTCATATTTCAACTTTAGTTGGTCCCCCTACTATGTCCTGGTTATCGTAATATTAATCTACTCAATCGTCCTCATCTCAATAAAAAAGATTAGCTGATACTGCACCCTAATAATTAATGAAAGTCATTAGTCAAGATAGAGTATCACTTTTGAATGATGCATAAACTTAAAATAATTTTATGAAAGACTCTCGAGCCTCCTCTTAAAAATTAGTTGATATGAGAGCCACTCAGCAATCCGCCAAAACATTACCTACAGGAATTACTAACAACATGAATAATGTATAAGCATATTTATTTTGTAGAAAACATTTAAAATTCAGAGAAATGAGATCTTTGTTAAGAAATGGGTAGATTATAGTAGTAAATATGGACTTGGTTATTTATTGAATAATGGTAGTAGTGGTGTATATTTCAATGATTCAAGTAAAATAATTGCAGATCCAAAATAAACCTATTTTGAGTATATTGAAAAACAATCAGATAATTAATAATATGAAGTTAATTCATATTCATTAACTGATTATCCAAAAGATTTATAAAAGAAAGTAACATTGCTAGAACATTTCAGAGGATATCTTGATACTGATAGTATTGATAAAGAAGTTATTGATCAATCTGATGATAACAAAATTCCTATGGTTTATGTTAAAAAATGGATGAAAACTAAACATGCTGTTATGTTTAGATTGTCTAATAAGGTAGTTTAAGTTGATTTCACAGATAAAACAATCATTATTCTGAATTCTGATACGAAATCAGTCACATACATTAACAAAAAAGGAGAAAAACAGAATTTCCCTTTGAGCACTGCTCTAGAGTCTTAAAATCATGAAATGACAAAAAGGTAATGTTTAATTAAGTATTTTAGACTTAAATATACTAAGGAGATTTTGTAGCATATGTTATAAGGAACGCAGGCTTAAGTAATCAATACATAACTTACTTTAACTAACTGGAATTAAAAATGAATTATAACACATCATTCAATTATATTTAAACATATTTACTTAGTATTAAATATATAGAATAATAAACATAAACATCAAAACTATGAATAACAAAATTATGTACATCTTCATTATTGATATCATCAGGTAATATCTTTTCATTTACTTGTCCTTACTCTTATTTCATAAACTCTTATCGTTAACTATTCTATTAAATAGATTTAGATACGCTGCTTATGCTAGTTGGATATCCATCATGTTGATCTTCAGTTTATCCTTGATATTGGATTTCACTTTCTTGATATATGGTTATTCTTAGAATTGCCTAAAATAATCTTAATAAAGATGGAATACTATGCTTATGTGAAGTAACAACTAACTTCTGTTGCTTATTCCTTCCCCATGTAACCAAAACTACTCTCTTCTGAATCATTCACTCCTTAGTTTTTACTATATGATTAGTACTTGAATCATCAGCCAACAGAGAATCACATAAATCTAATTGTTTATAACTTTTCTCATATTATTGAATAATTTTATCTGTTATTTATAACTACTCTTTTTATTTGACATTCTTGTATTAACTTTTCTATTTTTGTTATGGTAACATATCAATATTTAAATTTCCATCTGTATCATCAGGATTGATATTTTCAGCATTAGATATAAATTGTTCGAACATTCTATTGATATATACAAGTTATTCTTACTCTATTATTGAACTATCTCCAACTCTTTTTAAAAACACCTTCATTAATTGTTCCCTTTATAATAACTTTTAGATTGCTTCGAATTATCCTTATATGAGATATTTCAATTCTTAAGTTTCTATTTTAATTTTAATAGAATACCTGATTGTGATTGCATGCTTTCTTTGTTATTTATTAAACTTTCAATTTATTATTTCATTTATCCTATTAATTCATTTTATTAAATTGAATTAACATTTAGTAATTCGTTTTCTTACATTAATGCTTCACACTTCTTTTTTACTTGTAATAATGTATTTTCTAATTTCTTTTTCTCTTATTACACCTGATAGGATTATTCCAATATTTAAATTTATCTTTTAAAAAAATGATCAATCTAAATAGCTTAGAATGTATCTTAACTTGAAGATGGCAAATTTAACTATGGTTATGAGTTTTATAAATTAGATTCTTGAAACAAAGTTACTACTAATTAGTTTAAAATTTAATTGAATTTAGTCATAAAATTCAATTCTTTAGCATCTTAAGGTAAATTTTAATCCCTTTCTTATAATAAAAATTTAATTTTTTCCTTTACTTTTTGAATTTGAGACTAATCACTAGATACACTGTTACTATTTATTTTATTTTTAACTGAATGATGAAATGAGTAATTTTTAGTTAGAGCAGGAGACTATTAATCAATATGTATCATTGATTAATTTTTGCGTAATTAGTTTGATATTTTGACTGTTTCAATCAATTCGTTGTTGATGGAATACTTTTATTATTTGTGTATTTGTTATGAACCACTGATTACATTCAAAATGCTTCCCAATTTCTACTATGAAGGTGGTTAATTAATAAAGGTTTTGTTAACTTTTTAAAGGTTCTCATATGACTTTTATCTTCCAACTGCAGGACTATTGTTATTAGAAATATTTTATGATTAGGTTTCTATTTAATTCTTGGAACTATTTTTGGCCAATTTCTTTTCTAATATTTTACCCTACAACTTTAACATCTAGCTAGCATAGATTTATTAAGCTATTCTATCATTATCACATTTCTTCATAAATATTAAAAATTAATGTCAATATTTTGAAGAATTTAGACTTTGGAGATATTGGCATAATAATCTGGATGTATTCAAAGGAATTACGTTTTTGGTTAGAGATTTTAAATAAGAAGAATAGTGCTGAAAGATAGAGAAATAGAATAGTTTGATTTTTATATTTTAGATCAATTGTAATTAGAATAAGAAAGTCAAAATGAGAATTATTTATTGATTTGACTTTTAGTAATAATTGATAAGGTATTATTTTATGATTTGTAGAATAGTGAAGCTATTTTAATAATCAAATGTTGGAATTTTGCATAAACATATGAAGTTCTTTGATGTTGGAACACCTTGCTTTTAATTTATTTCTTTTATTGATTATAACAATGTTGGTATTATCTATGATATTGATTGAAAAATAGAGGTTATCATATTCAATTTCATTTCGTTTATCCAATTTATTAAATCCTAAGATTTTAATTTATTAGATTAAATCATTATCAATAGACTATTATCTACGATTTTTTTGGAAATTATTCATATCAAATTCTTTGAGTAGAGGAAGGAAGAATTATTCATTCTCCTTTGTATATAGATCTTTGGTGACTAATTCTTTGAGAACTAATTTGTAGTCAATTGTTTGTGTTGATTTTTAGACAATAGATTTTAAGGCTTCTCTTAAATCTTTTTTTTCTTTGTATTTCTAGTACAATTCCCTTGCAACTCTATAGTGATCAACATTCACTCTTGAATCTATTCTTTCAAAAATGAGTTTCTCCTTATCTATATACATTTGATAGAAGCTCTTCAAAATTTGAAAGGAGGTCAATATATTCTATTGTTCTTCAATCATTAGATAAACTATTTATTTAAGATGGTTAAATAGGTTTCCCTACATTTCAGTTTGATCAAATAGCAATTCAAATAAATTGTGAAATAGATTTTGTCTAGTTATCAACTCTACACGAATCCTCTCTTTCTCATCCTATTTCTCAATTTTCTTTAGATAGAGATCTAACATGTATTATTTAATTTGAGGTTAGATCCTTTCATCTTAACTTAATATAAATCCACTAGAAATCAATTTACTTAGAATCATTCTAAATTTTGTCCTATTTATAATATTAGCAACTCCTCTGTTCTAAATTTCATTATTGTATTGTCTTACCCCTTGCAAGTAATATTCATAGATTTGAAGTAACTCATCCACATATGTGATCTCATACTATTTTGGTTAAATCAAGACATTTAATATAAATTCCTTTATTGCATTTTACTCTTATCCATCTAACATGATACAAATGGAGTTCAATGGTTTTTTACTCAAGAAACCAAACCATGAGTCTCTGACTAATTGTCTAAACTGTTATTCATTATGAGCAAATTAACCAATCTTAGAAATTTAACTCAAAAATGAAGTTCTAAAACTTTCACTTAATCCCAAGTTGTCAACCATTTACTCATAAAACCTTTGATTATTAGAAGAGTGTACCATTTCTATACATAATCTAAATGTAATGGCAAGTAATAGTCATAAGACTTAAGATGATCAAGTACTTTTTGGTTAGGCTTCATAATTAAATTAATTATATTAGTACATTTCTACAAAGTGGAATTGATCTAGGATGAGAATATCTCACTCAAGTTATAAGAATGTTCAATATGCATATATGTTTTTGAATATGAATCATTAATCTTATTCTGACAATGCTGTTCCTTCCAATGCTTATCTTTATTGTTCCTCCTTGTTTTCTTACTCCATCTAATCTTCTCTCATAATGTTGTCCAAGTCTGTCTACAATTTGACCATAGCTGGACCTCTCTCAATCTCTTAAGTCATTTGAAGATATGCAGTATTAAATTGCTTAGCCAAATGATCACCAGAGTCTTACTCAAGGATATTTCCATTTGAATCTGTGACTGTGTATGAATAAACACCAGCATTATTAGATAAATCAGTAACCTATCCTACAACACCTGGAATATACTCAGCATGAGTTTCAACTAAGGATTTATGTTTTTTGGTCTCGTGCTTCACATCTTCTGAAGTGATTTGAGCCCAGTGTTCTATTCAATTTACAAATTATATACGAGCTTCCTTTGGATTCAGATGGTAATCGCTGTCCCCCAAATTTACAAATTCCATGAATGCACTATTGAATGTTCTCTTCTAGTGAACTGCACCGTGTGATTTTCTCACGTGTCCAGCATATGCTGTTAATAGCAACGCGCATATCAGAATTGATTTGTACATATTAAAATTATTAATAATCGTTTTTCCACTTTTTACTTTTATATTATATAAAAATAACACAACTAATTTATCTCTTCGTGTTGCAAATATCCAATTATATTCACATTCTATCATATTAACCAATTATTCATTATTATTCTATTAATTATCATCTATTTCACAATTACTATTAAGAATTAGCTAAGCAACCTTATATCATAGTATAAAATTCTTGATATTAATTCTTAATATTTTAGATATTGTTAAAGATTAAATTACTTTTAATTATTTCTTACTTACATACTTACTTAATATCTAAGATTTACACATTCAACTTATCTAAATACATAAACCTCTCCAATTATTCTAACGATTAACATCTTTTAGCAAACCAAATACAATTATCTATTGGATTACTAAGGACTTATAAAAACTAAATATTTAACAATTAAGAAGTTGCAGATATTACAATATAAAAGAAAATGAATAGAAAAAATTTTATTATTAAATTATTAACGGAAGAAACTTTCTGAGGATATATAGCATAGTAAAATTTAATAATGAGAATTGATTAGAGTTTTAAATATCTTAAATGTAATTTAGAAAGGAAACATTCATAATTTCATTGTAATCCATAACTATCAATTCCATCTATATATTAAATCTCGCAGTTTTATTAAAAATATATTAAAAATTGGCCTACAAAAATTCCAACTGATCACCACGCATAAAGTATTTTTTATGAGAAATATCGTTACATAATACCATTAGAACCATATGTACAAATTGTGAATATAATAAATATAATAATAATAATTTTAATGTAGATAGATAGCCAAGCAATAGATTTAAACAGACGAATATTGAAGTCAAGTTTAACGAGATAATTCACAAGATCACCAGCAAGATCAAGAAAAAGAATAATATCTTTACCTCCGTTAGAGGCAGCATAAAATTAGTACTAAAAATTAAAGCAACGTAATATTGCATGCCACAAAGAAAGTCCAAGAGAAGTATTTAATTCAATTATCAGCGTTGTAAGGTTTGATATGTTTGACCATTCGTGAACTAAATGGGTTGTGTTTGAATACTTGCAGATACACAAAAGAAAAATAAGAGAAAAAATATTTTCTTAATAACAAATATTTCGATTCTTGTTTTAATGCAATGAACCAAAGGAAATTCCAATTATTTAATAAATGACTTTAAATTTATCTCATTTTCATTTTAATTCAGTCTACACAATGGATATGGCCTTTTGCAAATTGGAAACATCTGCACTTTGAAATACATAGAATCCATTATTTTCTTCAAATCCCAATCCATCCAGGGCATTTCTTGCTCCTAAAACTTATTCTATTTTAGTCAAATAAGCCTAAGAAGTTAATGAGATTTTTCGAAACTTCTCTTCTTAAGGATTTTTTAAGATGTTCTCTAAAATAAATGATTAATTAATACCAAGAATTTTTTAGATAAGTGTCAATGAATTATAAGCAGTGTCAGGTATAAGATCAGGTGGATAAGCTACTTTAATTTGTTTGATGCCTAATTCAAATAATTCAATGGGAGAGTATTTTTTTTATTACTATTGTTGTTAACTAGGTTAAGCATAGGATTTTCCAAATCTGGCTTCTTTTTCTCTTCTTAATTATTCTTCCATTTCCTATTTATCTTTTAAAAATTGCTCTCTCTCTCTTTTTGCTTTCTATGCCTCTAGTTTCTTTTTCTATTCATCCAACTCTCTTCTAACATCATTCATTGCTTTTCCTGAAGCAATTCTATTTTTTTCTTATTCAAAAGCAGCCTATTCTTCAGCGATTCTCCTTTTTTCTCGAAGCTTCTATTAGAGTTCTCTGGCTTTAAATGCAGCCTCTTCAGGTGATATCTTTTTGCCATTGCCAACTATTTGTAATTCCTCTTCAAAATCCTAATCATTTTTATGCTCCTCAATCCATTATTTTGCAGCTTCCACACCTTAATTTTAAGACAGCAATAAGGATTTTTCTGCTACATTCTTTGAATGACCTTCAGACATCAAAATAGCCACATGCTCTTCACTGACATACTTTGTAATTGAATCAAATTGTTAAGCTGCTGCTTGTTACTATTATGGTTATGGATTATCCGAAGTCTAACTCTCAATGTATGTAATCAAAACCTAGAGATATTTTATAATGACACCTCAATATCAGTGGAATTGGTGGAATTGATAGCATTTGTTATTTACTCATCAGTAAATCCCATATCTTGAAGCTAGGTTTTTGAACTTTCCATTTTATTAAATTTATAATGATGAAAAACTTCGTTGTTTTTGAGAAATTGGGAGAAGGTAATATAAAATTCAATTTTGGTGTAGGATCGTTTTCTACGGTGTTGAAAGTTAAAAGACAATCAGATCAATAAGAGTATGCTATGAAGAAAGTGAGAATGGGATAATTGAAGGAAAAGGAGAAAGAGAACTCGTTGAATGAAATTCGAATATTGGCTAGCATCTAACATCCAAATATTATAGGCTATAAGGAAGCATTTTACGAAGAATAATCCTAATGTTTGTGCATTGTAATGGAATATGCCGATTAAGGAGATTTATAATAACATATCTAATAGCACATTTAACATAAGCAATACTTTTAGGAAATAGAAATCTGGAAAATGATTTATTAGGTTTTATAAGGTACTAACATTCTAATACTTAATCTTTAGCCTTGCGAACGTTACATCATATGAAGATTCTACATCGAGATTTAAAGTCAGCAAATGTATTTCTACACCAAAGCAATTACAAACTTGGAGATATGAATGTTTCTAAAGTTGCCAAAAAGGATTTAGTATATACTCAAACAGGAACTCCCTATTATGCCAGTCCTGAAGTCTGGAGAGATTAGCCTTATGATGCAAAAAGTGATATCTGGAGTTTGGGTTGTGTGGCATATGAGATGGCTGCACTTAAGCCTCCCTTCAGAGCTCAAAATATGGAAGGGTTGTATAAGAAAGTGCAAAGAGGATTGTTTGAACGAATTCCGTCTAAATTTAGTGGGGAATTGATGAACATTATTGGATTATGCTTATAAGTGCAAAGCAAATCAAGGCCTTCTTGTGCTTAGTTGCTAAGCAATCCAATTCTTTTAAGAAATGCTAGACAATATATTACTGAAAGTAGAATTTCTTAATAAACTTAATCATCCTAGGCTGGTTCCAATGTGCTTCTATAGACCATTAAATTGCCTAAGAATTTGAAACATCTCAAAGAGAAACTCCCTAAATCCAAATATCTAATTGAGAGTGCCAATAAATCATATGATGAATATTAAGTGAATAGTTCCTTGCTGCCTAAGATCAATAATCCAAAAGAAATAAGACCGCATTGTTCTGTTCCACCGTTAAAGAGTGATAGATATCAATAATAATAACAGGGACAAATCAATTCATTACATGAGGATAGATCGAAATCAATTGCCAATTCAGTCCAAATGCTTGAGATGGAAAGAATCAGACAAAAGAAATTACTAGAGAAATAGCAGAATTTAAAGATTAGTGTAATTCACTAGAATGCCATACCTTACATCAATAGTTCTTCTTCTCAAATCCAAAATCTGTATGTAAATAAAGCACCTAATCATGAACAAGTTCAATAGAAGCAATACTCAGAAGCACCTAAACCCATTTGGTGGGGATGATTCTATGTTTTTTTGTATTTTATCTAAGATAACTTCATAAGCATAATTTATATATTGATAAATAAGATCTAGAATGGTTAATTGAACATTAGTAATAAAAAAGGGTAAATAGAATATATATCGTTTTGATACAAATAATAATATTATTCACAAATATCAATATTTTCATTCTAACATTATTATGAAATCATCATCTATCGTGTTAATTTTTGGAGATTAAATAAGTTAATCAAAGGCTACTTAATAAATTAAAAGTACCAACAATTGATATATTCTCTTGTATCTTTTTTTATTATTCATTTTTAGGACCCTATTACTTATAATCTTAATAAAACTATTGGTTAATCAAATCTTCCAATTATTGTAATTCATCAACTTCAGAATCATTATCTTAGAAGAATTAATCTTACATTAACTTTTCAAAATAATTAGGAGATTATTAATTAATGATCTCTGAGATTACTGAGACTGGTTATTGAACAGGTTATTGCTTTTATTCAGATATAGAAGATTTAAATAGTGAAGATTGAAATTATTCCATCATCATTTTTTCAATATCATTCAAATTAGATTTAGAATAATCCTCATTTTTAGTATCTTAACCTAAGTAGAATTATTAAAACATGAGTTCCTCTAATTTCTGGATTTCATCAGCATTCTTTCTTAGAACATTGATTCTAATTGAAGGATCAACTTATCTAATAGTCTATACTTTATCATAATCACTATTTAAGGATTTGTTCAAACTCGGAATTCTTAGATGATTCTACTTTGAAAAGGAATAGTCTCCAGTCTAATTATATCTATTTAATGAAGATATTTCCTTAGGTCGAGTCTATCGATTATTTCTATCTTGATTAACTTATTGAATGCTGATCTCTTTTAATTTAGTTTCCATTTAGATCTTCTTTGATAAGACATTCTAAATGTCAATATAAGATAATAGCTGACTATCAAAGTGGTTATTTGTGTTCTTAAAATCAAGGTGAATAGATTTCAGTTGTTATAGAACATGCTGATACTTAGTAGAATAGGGATTGTGACTTCTTCGAATAGAGTGCCGTATACTTGAATTTGAAACATTGCTATTCTAAATTTTATATGATTTTCTGTCATCATTTCTAATTTGTAACTATCTTCTTGTAGAAATGATTTCTGATTTCAAGGGTTCACTTTCCAGATCTACAATAACATGAATATTAAATCACTTCTAAAGAGAGAATGATTAAGTAACTCTGTAGATGTTGCTCTCTCTTTGGGATTGATCTTAAAGATTGAATTGAATATTTACAAAATCTCTTCGTTCTTAGTGATTTATTTATATGGAAATAACTCTATTGTATATTAATCAGAATATATACATCCTTAATCAAAGCATATCCTAATCTATTCGAGATTGATGTTCACAGATAAATGATGCCAAGGCGAGACCCTTGTCAACATTTCAATAAAGATACAACCAGCACTCCACAAATCAGATTATTCACAATATTCTTAGCCCTTGAAACACTCAGGAGCACTATAGAGTGACAATTTATAATCCTTCAAAATGTAGATATCACTCAACTTTGCATTTGCTTCACCATCTACTAAAACGTTGGATGTTTTTAAATTCCTTATTTAATTTAGATGATACTTATGGAGGATTCCAGAATTGTGGAGACATTCCAATCCTAATAATATTTACTTCATAAACATTAGAGCCAATTGACTAGAAAATGAATTGAACTTCTACAACAACCAACTTATTGAACCACCACTTTCATATGGCATTAGAATTCTTATCTCATCTTTAACTTCTTCATTATTTTATATCGAATAATCCCATCCTATTATTTTATGCACATTCTTCAATTCCAACCTTGTTAGCAAGTCTACGAAATTAATTATATTGTTGAAATCATCCTGCATACTTAATTTAAACTATTCTCATATGACTAAATACTATTTTGAATGCCAAAAGCTAACCATTCAATGTATTCAATGCACAATAAACATTGCATCCCTCCTATATCAAATCCCCTTCTATGTAATCATATACTATGTTCTATTCTTATTTATCTAATTTACATCTTCCTCCTTCTCCCCTTAATCATCCGCTATTTGCTCTACAAAATCTTCATGTATTAACTCTCATATTTGAACATCACTTACTCTTATGCTCTTATCACTTATCTATGATCGATGACCTATCTTCGCAATCTCTTTTTTCTTCTTTTTGAAACATGGTGAAGTACCCATTATAAAATAATAAAATTATAATCAATGGATTTTAATTGAAACTAGATATTCATTCTTTATAACTCTTAGAACATTACTCTACCAATTACATTAATTTCATGATTCTGTTTATTAATTATTTAATATCTAAATAAACCACAAGATTTTAAATCACACACACCATTACAAAATTAAATTTAAATCATATCCAAATCTCCTACAAAGCAATCAATCCTAACTCTAATTTTTCCCTACTTCTATTAGCAAAATCTTTAGATTGCAACATAATAGTATGTTTTTATTATAATTGAACTATGTTACAATTATTTTAACTTATTGAAATTGAAACTAAAAAAATTTATTAAAGAATCAACTTTTAAGAAAATAAATATGACTAAGACTTTGAACTGATACAATTTATATCTCATTTCATTATCAATTCTACAAAATTTATAAATTGAAATTAATTACCATTTTTCTTTTATCATTTTTTAGTTTATATCTATTATTACCCTAATATTACTACTGATAATTATAATAATAATTCAAATACTTGTCTGAGAAGAATCAGTTAGAATGAGTACATCTTTTAGTAATTTTATAGCACTCATTTAAAACAATATTAATAATTATAAAATGTAATTTATCAATTAGTGATTTAAGAGTAAAAATATGGATCTTTTTCATAGTTTATTATGTATGCTTTTGGATCTATTTATTTAGTTTTCTGAAGAATATCAAGTAATACACATGAATTCACGAGAATATGAGCAATATTCCGTAAATAATAATACATTACATTTATTACTGTATTATTAATACTGATTAGATATTGAATTTGATTGTGGAATATTCTAATAAATCATAAGTATAATTTTCATATATTATGTATTAAACTTAAAAAAGTGTGTCGTTTTGATGTTCTTTATTTAATATTACATATTAATTACACATTAATACAAAATTCGTTATTTTAGATTAGACTAATAATTTATAAATTAGAGCAATCGTTTGCAATCTAAAAGATCTTTGTCATGAAGAGAACTGAATGTTTGGCAATAGTATCATCACATTACAAATAGTTTTGATTTGTGATCCTAATCCTAATCTGAAAATTATTGATATAAATTAAATGATATAATGATTATAAAAATAAAAGTAATCGTTTAATAATTCATCTTAAGTGATATTCGGGTATTTAATATTATGAAATGCATGGCTTAGGGTGTAAAAAGATAATAGTGGAACTCCAAAAATACTTTAGAATTTTACAATTCATATGCACTCTTTAAGATTTCATAATAATCTCAAGAGAATGGTAAATTTGAAATAAACAGATGATGAGATTAAATGATTATATAATGATTCGGAATAATAATAAAATCTTGGTATATATATTTAATTTAAATAACAAAGTAATGCCTTTAATCGATTCAGAAGTTACGAAATACTAATGTGATGTGTAGGAGAGCTCTAAAAAGATATCAAAGAAGTCTGGACATTGGAATTAAGATGAACACGAATCATATCTTCGTTTTTTACAAGAAAATGCCAATCATAGCAAGGGCCAAAGACTATTTAAAAGAATGAGCCAAGTAATAGGAACAAGAACACCAAGTTAATGCAGGTAATATTAAGTTTAATAAGATTAGATCTCATCATTAAAAGTTCAATCCTTAAAAACCATGTGATAAGATAACGTAAATAAAATTACTGAAAACAAAGTAATTGGCTAGATTATACATGAATAGTCATAAGGAAAAAGATTAGGACGAAGAATGAATGATATTTTTTTATGTAAATATTAAATTCAATTTTTGCTGGTTGACGATGTTTAAATCTTTAAATAATCAAAAGAAATTAGTTTTCGAGAGCCAGAACAGACTTGAAAAGCTAAATGGTTTAATTTATTTGAAATATCTTAATTCACATCATTATAAAAATGCGGGAAGATATTATAAAATCTTTTAAAGATACTATTAAAAATCATATTAAAATGTTAAATTATCTTTAAAATGAGTTTTGAAGAATAACAAAGATATATTTGAGAGTAAATGAATAAAATGAAAGAGTTATCTTAAGTTACAATAATACTATATTATATATAATGAATTTTGAGAGCATTGTAAAATTTATAGAAAAATAAGAGGCTTGCTTAAACTATTAATTAATTTCTGCACCTTTTGCTCCTAATACATTTTCATTGTGGAGAGAAGTAGTCTATGAAAATTTGGAACCTGATTAATGGTTTGAGTTTGTGAAACAGATAGATAAATAATTATTTTAAAGATATTTGTAAAACGTTAGAGAAGCCTATGCAAAGAAACTTACATATTAAGATTTGAAGTTGAATCTTCGATACGAGATAGATGAGAAAAAATTGGAGAGAATATTTGAAAATGATCTAAGTAACAAAGTATTTCATAGACTTAGAGAAGCAGGTGGAGACAGTAACATTGCATCTCTCTTATTACCAAGCGTAAGTTGAATATGCTTACGATTTGTTAAGAAGAATACATACGTATAAGTTTGTGGACTGCAATGTTGAATAATTTTAGACATAGCAGAAGGATTAAACTTTGTATTCAAAATATTTGGATAATATTGTAATGTTATATAAATTCAACATATAGATGAAAGGGTTCGTTTAGAATGTTTAAGAGATAGCAACTGAGAAGATAAAGGAGTTCTGTGCAACTGGATTAATAAAAAGTAATTCAATTTTGGAATCTGGGAAAACGTTTATTAATTAATTCTTATTCAAAGGAGGCATTGCAGCTGCTAAACTAAGCAATTTAAATTTGGGGTTATTTGTAAAAAGTTGAATTAATAATTTAGATTGGGTGGAATAATAGCAGAATAAATTGTTAGTAAAGTAGCATTGAGTGTAATGATATAGAGGATTAGTTCTAAATTAGATCTTTTGTAATTAGAACTAGATCAAATGACAAATGAATTAATTCAGATCAATTCAGATTTGGATAATTTGATTTATAAAACTGCTCAGGAATTTCCGAGTAACTTTGAATAAAATAAAACATGTAAATATATATATAATTTGGATAAGTTGTGCAAGTATTTGTTTAAAAGAACTACAAAGTAAATTTAGGATCTGATATCATTTATTGTCCAGACACCAATACTATAATTTAGAAGAGTGTTGAAGACGATTGTGTAATATTGGAATAACTTCAATTTAACTTAGAACTTCAAGAGGAAATGGATGAGGATGTTTATATAATAACTTCAGCCTCAAATATCAAAGGTAGTATTTTACAAGATAAATCTAAAAAATTGGAATGATTATATAAAATTATTTCTTTTACTAAATAGATTTAAAACTCTATTATAAAATATGATTTAAAGTAATGTGAAAGGTCAAATTTGAGAATAAATTAACCATTAATTCTTCAATTTTTAAACTAAATTTGAGCAGAATTGTATTGTAATTATGATGTAAAATAATACAATTAATTTCTTTAATTAAACATCAAAAATGGGACCCGTGTGTTCAAATTCTTAAATAAAAAGAAAGGAATCAAAACAGATTCAAACTGATTAAGTTGTTGAATAAATAAATAACACAAATATTTTAAATAACATAAACATTGTAATAGAGTTGATTTACGATATTAGTATCATTGATATGGAGATATATTAGTAAATGATCTTGATTTGGAATAAAAGCAAGAGGTGTATGTTGAAGATGTGATCAAGATTCAAGTGCATTAGGATGTTGAATAGTAAGTTGAGAATGCTGTTTCTGAAGAATCTCTTCATTCATTTCTTCCGTCTCAAATTCCGCGTCCTTCAATTACTTTGGAAAATGAACAAGAACCATATTCATAAATACTTCAAAGTATGATTGTGAAGAAGAAGGAGAAATTGTAAGTTATTTAGTAAGATATTCAAATGATTGATTACTCACCAATAAAATAGGAATCCAAATCATAGAGTTCATAAATCATTAAGTCAGTCGAACCATTCAATTTAGATTTTGAATCATCTTCGTCCTCAGAACAATTTGAATGGAACTAGGAGTACTCTATTGATAGCAATGGAGAAATTTTGGTAACTGGGATTGTTAATTGACTTTTAAAGTTTTGAATATTATGAATAATATAAAACAATTAATAGAAGGGATTTAAAAAGTGGAACAGGAATTTAGTAAATAGAACATAAATCCTGAAGATCGAATACCAATCATTAGTAAAATCTTGTTTGATGAAAGTTTGCAAACTCTGGATAATCTAGATTAAGTATTAATCACATAATTTTAGTAAAGTGGTATGCATTCATATAATTAAAGGTTTAAGTGAACTTAATGAATACATTGATTACTTACTTTATAGGTTAGATTCATAATGTGATTTTGAACTAAATTTAAATTATTAAACTAATGATAAAATATTGTAAGAATTATCATCCTGCTAATAATAATCGAAGGAACAAGCGACACAAGATGAAAACGATCTAAAAAAAGTATCAAGACCAAGAATCTCCACTTAAAAATGAATTATATAAATAAAGAAATATTATAATTTTATTGTTATCTTCATCTCAATTATTGTGATATAAAATATAATCTAAATGAAAATATCATAACTCTTGGAGATTTTAAAACAAAAAGTCAATGAATCTATCTCCTTTGACATTCAGAATGTCTAAAAAGTATTTTGTAGCTAGTTAATCATTTTCATCTTTATGAACAAAGAATAAAAGTTCTTTTATATAAATAATTCTATCAAAATAGTTGGTATCTAAAACTCTATTAAAAATAAATACTTTCTTCCTCTGAAACCTTCTCGAATTCATCAAACCAAGCTGGAGTATTCACAAAGTTCTCTTTACTAACCAACGGACCATTTAATTGAGCTTAATAAATTTGCAATTCCTCTTCCTTTGGAACTGGAGATTGCAACAAGATCAAATATGTACAAATTTATCTGACATTCACATAACTAAATAGAGAAAGTAAAATACCCATTTTGATCAAGTACTTTGAGAACTTTCATCCATTATGCTGGGGATAGTTTAAGTACCCCATATGAAGATCTAGATAAAAGTAAAGCAAGTTGTTTAATATCAATCAGTAAATGAGTACTAGTGATAGCTCGTAGGTCTTCAATTAAATAATATAATTGAGATATGGAAAATCTATCCTTACTCAAAGGTTCTCTGGCTGTCAAAGGAGGAGGAATAGGAGTCAAGAAATTCAGAACTTCATGGTTAACAATCACATCAACAAATTGTAATTAGAGTTCCTTTTAAATTCTTTCACCTTTTTCAATATATCCTCTAAACAGATTAGATATGGCATCTAATGCTTTGATTTCAGTTAGATGAGTATAATGAATCCATTCATCTAGTTTAGAATACAAGAGATCAGCAGCCTATTTATATTTTAGAATAGTTTAGGAAGCATATCTTTTGATAACATCAACTCTTTCTTTAAATATTTACTTTTCTAAATTGATAGCATTTACTGCTTCTGCATTTTATAATTCCTTCTTTATAACATCTTCTTCTTTTCCTTTTTTACCCTTTTTCTCTTCTTTCTTTGCAGGTTGTTTAGCTCCCTTTTTTGTTTTGTCTTCAATTATCTCTTCTTCTCCAGCAAATATTCTCAAAGTATCTGCTATCAATTTATCTAATCTAACCTATGGATCATCGCCATCTATCAATTATAGTTCTCCAACAGGTGGCTATATATCTTATAATTCAATGCCCTCTAAAGTTCCATAATAATCATTTAACAATTAAATAGAATTGGATGCTCGATCTAATTCGATTGCTAGCATTTACTTTAATTATAATAGATAGAGATCAATTTCATTTTCTATAAATTAAGATGTTTATATTTGTGATTTTTCTACTGTCAAGTCATCTCTCTTTTGATCAATTATATCTATTAATTAATCATATAAATCATCAACTCTCTAATGCAATTCTTCTTTACACAGATCTTCTTCGCATAAATCAGGATTCTCCAATATAAATTCATTGTATTATTCTTAGAAATTTCTAATAAAGAAGAACTTTTCATCTGGTGTATTAATTAAATCAATAAATTTGCGTTGAACATCCATTTAATAATTAGTAATGAATTCTCGTTATTCTCTGAATCCCTTGAAAATATTTTAGAGTGACATATATTTATTTTCAATTAGATTCCAAAAACTATTTAAATACTTTAACAATGCCTGATTTGGCTATTTTACAGGCAACGTATCTAATGACACTTATTTATATTAACATTTCTTATCTAATTCTTCTTATTCCTATTATTACTTTAGTAACACTTCTTATTCCAATATTTTATTTTCTTAAGCTTACTATTTTTGTTAGATTTAATTAACTTGAATTTAAAGAAAGTTTTAGAATATTTAGTCCACATCATAGAAGACTCTTTCATAATTATTGGATGCATCCACACTTATAAATGCATTTTAGATATTGGAACCACATTTAGATTCAAAACTATTATACCAATTTCTGACTCCCTCTATTTGAGTCATAAAATATGAATTTTTATCTGAGATCTGCTCTTAAAGATTGTCAACTTCATATAATGGTTGGATTCGTTCAATTAAAGGAGCATTGTCAACAGGAGGAGGATTCGTATCTAGATGATATAAAGAATGGTTATGATTATCATATCTTCTTCCAATAGCTCTTCTTAGACACAATTCATTGGACGGCATTTCCAAATACACACAAACTCCAACTCCACTCTCCTGTTTAGTCCTTGGTACTTTTTGATATTCATTTGGTCTAACAATCCTAGCAGCTTCTTAGAGTCTAGCCTATAAAGCTGTAGGTTCATCTTATGGCTGTATATTGGTTAGATATTTTTCCAATAGTTTTGCTTAATCATACGTATGAGGAAACCCAACCAATAGCCAACCTTTGCAATAAGGCTTGTTATTTATCATGTTATTTCGATGAAAATCTTCCCAATTGATGCCATCTTCATTGAAATCATCAATAGTTTTGACTGTCCTAACAATATGATTTTGGCATTTCTCTTTTTGTTCCTCATAAATCTCCTCAAATGTCTACTAGTTAAATGTTCTTTTGATCTTCTAGACAATAGCTTTGATATACAATTCATCAGGAATATTTTGTCCTTCTAAGAGATAATTGGATATCGATTGACCCAATTCTATTTATTGCTGATCCCATACCTAAGAGTGCTCCTCTCCTTACTAATATTTACTTATATATTCCAATAACTCATTGATTATGACATCAACACATAATACAGTAATTCCATATTTCTTGCTCAATAAGTCACTGATAGTTCTCTTACCACTAAATGCGAATCCTATCAATGAACCTCTAAATGGAACATAAGGAATATTTAATTCTTGTTCTTCTTCATTGGTAATTTAAAATTAACTCTCAATTAAATATCTCACCAAATTTCCAAGAGTATAATTATTTTATGCTTTATATATACTCCATGCTCCAGTCCCTTCTAAATAGTCTTGCATCTCCATCTTAGCCAAAAACATTTTTTATTTATAATTTTAATTCTCCTGTTTCTTCATTTCCTTTATTGGATCATAAGTTCTAAATCTTTTGTAAGGAATTAATTCCATTCCTTACTCAAACAAATGATTGTTTTCTCTAGTGAATTACTCATTTATTTGATTTGAATCATGATTTTACAGATGTTCATATACTTATTCTTCAATTTCAAATAGAATTTCAACTAATTTTCTGCATTTCTCATAATTCTATTGTCTAATCAACAATTTATACTCAACATTGATCTCTAATTACCTCTTCGATTGTAGTTCAATATCTTCATTAAATTCTTATTATAATGATCTCAACATTTCTTCCTCCTTAAATTTCTGATTGATAACATTCAATTCCTACTTATTTTTATAATTCTCATCTCTTAAATTTCTATTTTCACAAATCACTTCTTTACATTAAAATGCTCTCCATATCTCATACATTATTTCTTTCTCTTATCTACTCTATTATTTTAGTTTCTCCAAAACACAACACTCTCTTCTTTATAATTCATCTGTCTACTTCTCCTAATCTACAATCATCTTTCTTCTCCTTTTATCTCTCTCCTTCCTCATGAATTCATTCATCATCTTATTTCTCAATCCCAAACTAACAGGTTCATCTTTTTATCTATTTTCAAATTATTCAATCTACTACTCCATTTCCCCTTTCAAAAACTATTAAGTCTACACCAATCTATCCTCTGCCATTTTCTGCATGGTAGATTTAAATTTATCATCATTTACTTTATTTTTATGTCTAATCTACTAATTTTTCTTCCAATTTTCAATTCCCTTTTAATTCCAATCCTCCATGAATGCCATATTTCTTTGTAATTTATTCAATTGTATCTTTCGCCATTTCTTCTTTAAGATTCCTCTCTTCAGTTTCCTCCTTTATCTTTAATCTTCTCTCTTTTTCTGCCTATTATATTGCGAATGTTGTAAATTTGCCCAGATGTACCTCCAAATTAACATCTTTTTAAGCCTTATTTCTCTCATTCAATTTCTGCAGAAAGAAATCTTATTCCATCTTATCAAATTATTCTTTAGGTTATCGAATGACCATTAAGGGTTGAATCACATTATATTTCCCTGTTTTAGCATGCATCATTACATCATGTGGATCATTCACTTTTTACAATTACTTTAAAATATCAGATTTCTCATACCATCTATAATTGATATAACAATTGCATAGCTACACCCCTTTTACCCTTAATAACTTAATCTGCTATCTAAAAATGAAATGAAATGTGGAGTGTCTTAAATGTCGGTTCAAGTAATTAGAAATTCTTCATTTTCGCTTCTCGAACATCTCTATCTCATTACCTTATTTCTTACTTATTCGAGAATTCTTCAAAATTAAGCTATTGATTGAATTTGCTCAACAATTCACCAAATAGATATCCATTACTGAAATCATGTTCGAATGATGTTACCTTCTTACTTAATTGTACTTCATCATTAAGCCACACCATTAGAAGTTACGACATTATAATTATAATATAAATTATCAAATCAAATAACAATTGCACTCAAATTCGTTTCGAGGATGTTGTGATACAATTCAAAATCGTAGTCATTCAATTTGCTCTAAGCTAACTCTTCATAATCAATTGGTGAATCCTTTCCATCTCTTAAAACTCTTGCAAAATTGATCAAATATTCTGTTAAAACCAATAAATATGTCTCACTGATATTTTACAAATTCTTCTATGCTATTGTCAGATATTCTATGCAATAATCTTAACAAATTTAAGGAACTCTCTCAATACTAAATTCACATGATAACCTCAATTCTTCAATGTCATGCATAAACTGTACATAAAATTCGTGTTCTCTTTTCAATTCTGGTAACTCCTTCAGTAATTATTGACTCAAAATTAACACCCATTTTGATAAACAAAAGGCTAATTTCAATAACACATTGTTGCCATCACAAAATTACAAAATCTCTGACTTATTAACTAATATCTCTTAGCATAAGTAATGTTTAAATATGATCTCTTACCTTTTCTTCTATTATTCTGGTTAGATTGAATTGATATTTGATTTGGTGTCGCATGAGGCACTTACTTCTAAAATATTTGTTTTACTCTGGGATTACGGTTGTGGAATTGAATTTTTATCAGCCTTCATCAAAGGGGAGGTGGTGATCATCTAAACTACTTCTTGCCAATTTGGTCTTCTAAATTCATCAATTGTCAATGTCTTTTCTAAAAAGTACATGCTGAATTAACTAATTTTAGCTTATTTCAATTTCTCTATGATTGGCTGACTCAGGATCTTTTTTAATAAGGATTAAGGATCACTTGCTAACCAAGGGAGATTCCCAAATACCATTTCGAAATAGATGACTGCCAATGACCAAATATCACATTTGAAACAGTATTATTAATAGCCAAGTAGTTGAGGTGCCATGTAATAGGGGGATCCAACCAAAGACTTGAGCATGTTTGTGCTGGAGTAATTATTCACTATTTTGGCAAAACCGAAATCTGCAATTTTGAAAATTCCATTGTTAATCAAAATATTGGCTGGTTTCAAATCTCTATGAATAATGCTGTGTTTTTGTAATTCTTTGAATCCTTCAACTATTTGTCTGAGTACATCGAATGATTCTACTTCGCTTAATCTTTTTTAATTCAATAGTTCTTTTAGATCCCCATCCTTGCAATATTCAATAATAATGTAGATGTATTTGGGAGTATCAATTAAATCTATAAATCTAACGATGTTGGGATGATTGCATTTCTTAAGTATTTCGATTTCATTGATGATCTGTTATTTAATATACTTGTCTTGTTACTCGATGAATTTGGTGTCTATTTATTTGATAGCCACTTGTTCATTGTTTTCTGTGTCTTATCCTAGGAACACTTTACCATAGGCTCCCTCTCCCAAACAAAAGCGAGAATTGAATTAAAACTTGCCAACTTGAACATTCATATTTAATCGTTTTTATAATAATAATGAAGCAATTCATATGTGTGTTGCTATTCATAGGTGTAATGGGATCTGATTTGGAAAGTACAATCAAAGAAGTAATAACTCAGAAATATGTAGATGAGATAAACTGACTTCGGTCGTTCCTTTTTGGAGAAAATATAAATGAATGATCCAGTTGAGAAGATAATTAGAGACATCGCCAACTTTTATAATAGTGTGGATAGAAGATTGGAGGAAGGAGTGCAACAGTTCAAACAATCACAGGAGAAATGCAATTAGGAGATAAAGGAATTGAAGACTAATGATGAGGAGTTGAATCGTAAATTAGTAATCGAATAAAATATAATATATATAGAGAGATATTTAAATAACAAGGGCACGTAAGTAACCTCGTTATGATCTAATAATTCATCGATTTCATCAGAAAAATAAGATGAGACAAGAACTTGATCACCAAGAAACCAGGTATATCGAATTGAGAGAGGCAGAATAATCGTTTTTCAATTACAATCAAGATTAACTAGATAAAGCAATGGTAGTTATAGTGGAAATCAGGAATAAATTTATTGGTTACTTGTCGTTGAGACAGAATAGACAGAGAAAGGCTGCAGTTAGAGACAACTAGTACTGGGATGACGATGAAACTCCATTTAATGAGGATGATGATGACTATGATGAGGAAGAGGAGGAAAGACAACACAATGAGAAGTATGCATTCATTCAAATTATTGTGGCTATTTAGAGAGTCAAGACTGGATTAGAAATGGTATGAGTATACATATAAAATTTAGAATGGAGTTACTCAATTGGTTTAAGGCATTGAAGATTTATGTTAGTAGATGCATGATATCAAGGAAGGAAACATTATCTATGATGATTCAGAAGAAACTCTCAACAAATTGGCTAGCTAAGTCATCGATATCACATCAAGTGTTTTGGATTGGATTGCCTAAGTGAAGAGGCGGGAGGAGAAGGCTGACGATAGCAAAGGAGATGTGATTATCTAGACCTTGAAATTGATAAACAAACAAAAACAGTAGGCTGATCTCGAAATAGGATAGTTGGGCAATGAATCTGCTGCCTTAAGTTAGTAGTTGAGTTCATTGGAATAGAGCGAGGATTTGACCAGATTCTCACTTAACAATAACAAAGACTTACTATAAACAAAGATAGAAATGTGTAATGATTAGGAGGCAGCCTATAAGATAGAAAAAAGATAACTGTAAATTCGTGATTGACCTTAGGGAAGAGCAATTGAATACTGTGGGGTAACTTGTGGAGGCCATGGAATAGAAAGGAGGACAGTTCAAGAGAGTAATGAAGACTTTGGAAGGAGTTGCAGATTACAAATGATTCTGCGTCTAGAAATAATAATAAATTATTTAATTATAAATTAATTATGGAGCAAAACATTCCTCATCAATTGGTAATTCGGAATAAAAATGGAGTTTATCTTTCCAATATGTTGGCTAAGTCAGATGAGGAAATGCAATTGATTAATTAGGATGGAAATGCCTAATTGATCGTTTTAGAAAATCATATAGTCATGTTCAATAAGTAATCCCTCAGGCTCCATGATTATAAATAATAAGTGAAGGAACTGGAATTTACGAACTTGTAGAATATCCATCTTGCAGATTCTAAATAACATCTCACAGTTATAGATAAATTGGATCAGCAATCATTTTAATTACAAATCTTGAAGTTTCCTTCATTAGAATCCAAGGGCATCAATTTTAATATTAAAAATTTCAAGAGAGAGTCGTGGCCTATCTTGAAGTATTCATCTGATGATCAATACTACTTTATAATACAAAATTAAAAATTGCATTGTTATGCTGATAATTAATGTGTCTATCAAACTGATATTGGAAATTGCGATTATTTTAGTGTCTAACCCAATACACCAAAACCTTTGGTGGTTTGCTATAGTTTGATGGATTTCAATATTAAGGACTCCTTTTTAAAGATAGTTGATATGAATGGCAAAATCAAATATGAAAAGAAATTACATTAAACCAGTGATTTGGAAGTGATTTGGTCACCAAATGGATAATCCTTATTGATAAATAAAGGATTTCACGAAGACAATACAAATAAAAGTTATTTTGGACAAAATTAAGTTCTGTTTTATGATTTCCCAAAAAATGCCCTTAGAGAATTGCCAACTTACGAAGGCCCCATTCATCATGTTTAATGGTCACCTTCCTCTAAAGAATTCATCTTGCTGTCTGGTTTCATGCCTTCAGGGGCTGTCATGTATGATAACACTTGTAAACCACTGTTTGAATTTGGAAAAGATCATAAGAATAAAATTATATGGGGAAATGGTAGATTCGTTATGATCTGTGGATTTGGAAATCTGGATGGTTCCATTCACATTTGGGATGCTAAAACCCTCAAATAAGTTAGTACTAACAAATACAAATCAGCCAGCTTATGTCATTGGTCACCTTGTAGTAGATATTATGTCTGTGCAAAAGTGACTCCTAGAATGAACGTAGACAATTAATATTCACTCTTTGATTATCATGGTAAAGAGATAATCAATAGGAAGTTCTAAGAATTATATGATGTTTAATTTAGGCCTTCAAATATTAAATTCGAAGAGAGAGCTCCCACTCCTCCCAAATAAGTTCAGCAAGAAGCACCAAAGAAATAGTTCATTGCTTTTGCTGACAATCCCCTTGCTTAGTAAATGAGGGCTATGAAGGCTGGAGAAGGGGCAAGAGTATTGCAAGTTGATGAAACCTTTGGAAAACAATCTAACAATAATTACCCTCCTGGTTATGAACCTCCAAAAGAGAAGAAGAAGAGAGTCAGAAAACCAAAATAATAATAATAATGATAATGATAGATCATATAAATCTAGAATAATCTATTTCTTTTACTTCCTCATCCCATCTATATTAAAACAAACTAAACAAATTCTAAAAATCCTATGACTCCACTATTGCGTGTGTATGGGGAGGTTACTTATGAATGGTTGTAGAGTATGGCACTTATTTGGGTATGAATGTATTGACTAGGATCTTCTCCTCTATTTTCTACCATTGCACGCCTTCCATCCAGATATGCTTTTTTATATCCTGAAATCCATAGTAACCTAGACGATTCTTGGGATCCTTCTGGATCAGTTTATTTATGAAGTCGGCAGCATCCAAAGACCAGCCTTCAGATAATTCTGACTTCTTTACAGATACTTGTTTATTGATAATATTGTCAATCATATCGTCAATCGAATTGTATTCATACATTTTCTAATTATTATCTCAATTAAATTCCTTACTCTCTATGCCATTATTTCATACAACAACACTCCGATTGAATAGTAATCTGCTTCAAATCCAAATTCTTCTCTTAGTAATACTTCCGGGGCCATATACTCTGATATATCGTCTTCAATCCTGAATTAACCACCGCAACTAGAAGAATGTAAACCATATAATTTAATATAGCCACTGTTATCCAAAAGAATGTTATACGGATTCAGATTAGTGTGAATTACCCTTTTCTGATGTAGAAAGTTTAATGCTATTAATAATTGAGCTATCAACATTTCTATTCTCTCTTAATATTTAATTTATACTTGCTTCTCCTTCATTCATTGATTGTAATTTCAGTTGGGTTCTTAAATCTCCACCAGGAACATATTCTAAGACCAAATACAAGTCTTAGGTGTCTTGGAATGCACAAAAAGGTTAGATTAAAAAGGGGAATTGCAATGAAACCATCATGAATAATTCTCTAATATATGCTTTGATCTTCTTCTCATTGTATAATTGCAATTTTGGTATCATCTTCATTACTAGTAAGTCAGGGTTGCCATCCTATTCAACAATCCAATTATAAATGTAACCTCTGCTATGATGTTCTAATAGTCCCTTAAAAGTGAATCCAGATAATGAAATTTTCTTTTCTATTAATGGAATATGAATTCAAATCATTACAATTGAGTTGTATAAAGTCTTGTTTGATCGCAGCTGACTGTCTTACTCCCATTTTAATTTAAATCAAAATAATATTTAAATAAGTAAAATAGACGATTTGATATAAAATAAACACACCAACTCTCAATCATTTTTCTTTGCTTATCTATACTTCCACATTGTTTCGCATTGATTCCAAAATTATGCCTAAGAGAAAGCATTTGTATCCAACACTTAACGATAAAATGCGATAGTTACTGATTAAGGGCCTCACTCAATTCTTGCATGTAGAGAGGATAGGCTTTGTATAAAATGATACTCATATCCGAAAGGGCTAACAACAGGAAAATGAATAGGAGGGGCCTCTTATCTAGGAGTACACAGACTCCCAATGAGATGATTACCAAAGATTATATTGATGGCTAATTACAAATGTATTTTACATAGGGAATCAAATAGAAGAGATGCTGAAATGGGTAATAGGGTAACTTAGAATCAGTTAATAAGAACCATCCAGTAATAACAAAATAGAGTGCAGCAGGAATAAGCAATATTTTCATTATAAAAATATTATTTTATTAAAAAACGAATTAATGATAGTTGCCTTATTTATTTCAACTGCATTAGCTCTATAAATGAATGAGTAGGCCACACTCACAACAGAAGCCCAAACTGCTGTTAGAGAATTTGTTCAATCTAGTCCAATGGGGAAGATGATGTTTGAGTTTGCTTAATTGGAGATGCACGTAATAAGCATTATCAAAAATTAGAGGCTTCTGGTGCTGTAGACATCTTGATTGAAGTTCTCAAGGCCTTCGGTCGTCAATAAGAAGACAGATTGAACGAAGAAAACACAATTGTAATAATAACTACTCAATATAGTGGTAAAACAGACTGGGAGATCATAATGCTCGCAGAATTCAGTATGAGTCACTGGTAACTGAAGGTGGATTAGCTATTAACAGGGATAGGAAAAAATTGACTTAAGAATATGAACCTCGAAAAGAAGAACTAAATGAAATACTAACAACCTTGAAAACGAATATGGGCAAAAATGAAGTTGCTAAAAAGAATGCAGAAGCTTTGAGTAGCTGAATAGAATGCATAATTCTAACAATAAGCAAATGAAATCACTGAAGCCATCAAAGCAACTGACGACACTCTAGAATACATCAAGAGGTGCAGTCAAGGTTCATTTATTGAAGTTGACAAAATTAATGATCATCTCCTATTCTTGTAAAAGAAATCATCTAAATCTACTGACTATGTTGGATCAATAATCTAGGCACTTATGTAAATAAGTGAAAAGTAGAACTTCGCAGATAGAGAGGTTCAAAAGTAATTGGTTGATCTATTGCAATCATTGAGAGGCTATTTTGTTGAGACTCTACAAGCAGCCTACAATGATGAGGATTAATAGAAATTATTGCATGAAAATAGAATGAATCAATTAGAAAACGAAAAATAAGTATTTGAAAAACAATACAGTGATGCTTATGCTGAAAGAGAATAAAGATCATGTAATTTACTCATTCTATTTCTTTTTAGTATAAATTGAAGACACAAATAGATTATTAGATACAAGAGGCAAAGAATTATCAGGCTATTAAGATCGATTGACTACTGAAAACAATAATTTCTCTTAAAATCAAAAGATTCATGATGATCTAGTAGCAGCCATCAGTGGAGAAATTGGTTTTATAGAAAAGTCATTAGATGTTTTGATGACTTAAGCATTTTCCGATGAACTCTAATCAGCCATTAATAAAGCTAAATGAATTATGATCAAATCCAAATATATTTATTAGTATTCATTAAAAGCAGATACACTTTGTTAAATTATAAGACATATTTATAATCAATCAAATTCTGTATTGATAATTTCTTATATCAAACGATTATTCATCTAAAAGTTAACTTAGATTATACTTATAGAGAACTTAAGAATTTAGTTACTTTAAGAATTCTTTTTAAAATTAAATAATTATCTCAACACTTCCAAATTAGATTCAAAAAGAAAGGAGTAAAAAGTTAATAAAAATTCATTAATTTTGTTTATCATTTACTTATTACTGAATTTATTATTATGATAATAGTTATTGTTATGGAAATTTGATTGTTTTTGCTCTTATTCTCTCTTCAAACTACAAAAGGTCTTTTGGATCACCATCCTTTTCAGTTCTTTTTAGATACATAGCATCCTCAATGTCATCAAATTCTTTTTTAACAAACAATAGCTCTGTAGCCAAATTATCATCAGGTACTTTATATTGTCTTATTTATCCATTTATCTTAATCCATTACTTCTCCTCTTATTTCAGATAGGCCTTACATATTTCACATAACATATCAAAATTAGTTCTATTGTTGCACTTAGTACAGCGCTCTATTTTGATCTATTAATCTAATATAAACAAGAAAAATACAATCACTTAAAAGTTTTTATCAAATCTTTCGTCCTCAGTTAGTTGACTTGGATCCAAATCCTGTAATGAGAATTACAATTGACTTAAAATCTAAGCACTTAATACTTTTATTATGAATCCTCTATAAATGCTGTATTGAAGGCAAGTCTAAACATTTTTTCTATCTATAACATTCCTTCATTAAAAACTTTAATCAAAATATCCCCGTAAATAGGCATTGGTTTATCCAGTTGTAGCTAATTACTAATACATAAATACGTCATGCTAATTTCCTGTATATTTTTTGGCCTCTCTTGAAGTGGAATATAATTGTTTATCATTTTTAACTTGGATCACTTCCATGTATGGTTTACAACCACCACTCATTCTAAAGGCAGGAGCTCTGTAATTATAATCGTCAAATGAATCTTACTTTCCCTAAAATGTGATGCTTTTAATTGTAACCACAGTAGGGTATATCACTTAATCTGTAGTCAAAAGTTTATGGAAGTATTCTACATATTTAACTTAACAAGGTTGATTAACTCCTAAACCCTCTTTCTCAAATCTCTTCTTCCCATAATAATAAAGCACATCCTTCACACACTTGAATTTCCCTGTGTAGAGTAGATAACAACATATAATAGTGCCTGTTCTGCCTTTGCCTGCAAGACAATGTATGACCACTACGTTACTTATGTTACCTATTCTCAATATCAATATCACCTTTCAGATAACCATGGATGAGATCACAGATTTCAAATAGAAGATCCAAAGGAGGAGAATGATGATCTTTCCAAATCCAACAATCTTGTACAATTCCTTTAAATTTCATGAAGTCGTATTTCCTACCACTTAAATTGAAAACCATATAATCTGAATAATGTTGTGTATTTAAATAGGCAGCAACCTAATTATAATAAAGGTTTCACCCACCTAATCTATTGGATTTCGATATAAACCTTCTAATCCTTCTCCTGGATAGCTCATAGCAATTATTCTTTTTGTAACATAGCTCAGATCAAGATTATATCCCTCTTATATCAAACGCTTCTTTTTCCCAGAAACCTTTTCCCTTATGTAATTCATTTTAAAATAAAAATAAAAAATCTAATACTAAGGATTTCTAATAGATTATAAAATTAGCTATATTCAGAATGATTATTAACTCAAGAACTTACTAGATACCAATTTGCTATAAAATCATATTATGAGTTAAATTTATACAATTTAGGATTAAATAACCCCATTTTTAGATTCAAATTAATTATTTGATTTTAAATTGGTGCAATTTAATAAATTGATAACTTATCCTATTAAGGATTATTCAAGCAATTTTCAGTTTTCAATAATTATTCTTCTTTTACTGCACTCTTCATTGATAAAGTTATATTGATGTTTACTATATATTAATCTTTAGCATTTTAAATATATATTATAAAAATAATATTAATTCATCTACGTGAATAATAAAACTTGTCGATCTTATCATCTAACACTTTCCTATAGGGTTTATTATTAAAATTTGGTATTGAGGAGTTTTGTATTATGTTGGTACTCTCAGCTAGTTCTTGATCCAACTTAGAACCTATTGTATTATAATTGTAATCTGTAGTGTATCTATTTTAATACCAACTTTGAGGTGGGGACTTTGGCTTATTCTAATTCTCTTCTTAATTTTTAGGTTAAGCATACGTTACTGTTGGTTACTCCACCTTTCTTTTATCTTATCTAGGTGAGGGGTGTGGTGAAGGTATTTTATTTTGAGATCCAATCTTTTCTGTAGGATATTTAGGTGTTTCTAAGATTGATGATTATTTATCTTATTTTGTTAACATAGGAGGTCTTGGTGGTTGCTCCACTGGTTTCTTTGGTTTTTCTTCCTTAGGGGAATATGAATGTTATTGTCTCTTTTTAGCTTCCCTGTCCTCTCTTTCCATTTTCTTTTTATCCTTTTTCGCTTATTTCAGACTCAGTATATCCAACTATGAGGCATCACTCTATTTCTTTTAAGGTTTATTATAGTTGTTGCCTATTTAATGAAAGGGATAGTTATTTGGTTGGGCTTAAGGCGAATAATATTAATCATTCATTATTGGATAATGGTTTTAAGCTGGCTGTTAATTGCCTCCTTTTATTTGAGGATTTTATGGTTAATTTGGATTTTGATATGGATTTTAATACATATTTTAAGGTTGATTGTTGGGTTAAGGTGGGAATTATTAAAAATTATTATTATTGTATTAAATAGGTTAATACATTGGTGCTTATTATATATTTTGTTTTTTATCATTTGCCATACTTGCAACTAATCTGAATTCAACAAATGATATATATTCATCACTATTCAAATTGAACACTTTGAATAAATCTGCCATTTCTTCAACTGTTAATTAACCATTTAAACTCCATATTAATTGACTAAATTCTTAGAAATTTAAGAAGTTGTCCTTATCATAATCAAATTATTAGAATAGACTCAAAACATCCATTGATTTTGATTTTATAATATTCCTAATCATTAGAATTGTTCTTTCAAGCTTATCACTTCTTCCAAAACCTGCTCCTGCTGGAATAGATGTTGAACTTTTCATTTAATTTTAAGGAAACAATTAAGGCTAAGGTTAAGGTTGGGGAAAGAATTATTGTTATGGAGGCTAATTGGTGTTAATGGGAAACTAATTCTATTGTTATTAATATCCTATTGGCTATTATTAATATTACGGTTATTAATAACCAATTGGCTGCTACTATTACTACTATACTTATTATTATTAATAATTAACTGGCTATTAAAATGGATTCATTTATTACTATTAGGGGGTCTATTAGTTAAATTGATTCTATTTTTATTATCCAAAATCTAATGGTTAATTATTAGTTTTAGGTTATTGTGCTATTTTGCTTTATAAATTATCTGGTTTGTTAATTTTAAAAAATGCCATTCTGGTATTATTACTACTAATCCATAATTTAAACTCATCAAAGGAGATGCTATTACTTCCATCCTTGTCTATCTATTAGAATATGTAATAGCAATCTTCTTTTGTTACTTTCTTGTCAATCATACTGATAAATGTGGTAAATTCATCAAAATCTAGTAATCCATTATGATTGGCATCTATTTTCTAATAAACATCCTACAAATCTAGGTTCTTTTTGATTATCTTCTATCTTATTTGAGTCATTAAATATTTCTTATTATCCTTAACAATATCTTCATTCTTATTTTGCAATTTGGCATTGATTATTGGATGAGACAGCACTTTAGTCCAATCAAATCTTTTCTCTATGATTATTTAAATACAAAATTACCTTCTTGGTAAACTAAACACCCTTCTATAAATGATTTCATCCCTCCAGATATTTAGCCCTATTGAATTTCAAACTTTTTCGATCGACAAAATTTTAAATACTCGTCTATGCTAGAAGCCTGAAAAGGTAGAACACCAGTAAGACATTCATAAACAATAACTCCCAAAGACCAAATATCACATTTATTTGAATATTTAGCTTTATTTTCAAGTACCTGTGGTGCAGAATAATAAAATTGTTGGGGTTTAGTCTTATTGTCCTTTTTGAAACTTTCGATGGTCTTAACAAAGCCAGGGTCTAGATTGTTTATTAATTAATTAGTACCTGAAATAATATATGATCCATTGTCGTAAAGGATGTTGCTAGGTCTTAAATCTCTATGGATTATACCTTGCTTAATTAATTCTGAAAAGCCATCAATGAGATCGTTGATCAGTTTGATCGTTTCCGTTTCAGGCAATTTTCTTTGCTTTTACAGAATTCTAATACTTAGTAGTAATATTACGTTTGTAAATTAGATTATCGATAAGGACAAACCACATAGAAAAATGTTTAGGACTCAATGACTTCTATTATTGGGTTTATTTTGGGATGCTTGAGCTTTTGCATGAGTGCCATCTCTTCGGTCAAAGCTGCTGACATTATGTTGTCATCTTTCAATAATGATTTCTGCAACAATCGAAGGACCACTTCCTAGTTATTCTTTTTATTGATCCCTTTATGTAACTAATTGTTAATAAATTAACCATACTTTTCCTAGAGTTCCTTATCCAATGCATTCGTTAGAATTAAAAGTAAAATCCCCTATATTTCTAGACATATATTTTTGATAATATAAATAAATCAAAGAAATAATGAGTAAACATAGGTTCTTAAACTATACAAATCAAGACTCATAAACTAAATTTATAGTATATAATATTACAACTTAAATTCTTGCTTCAACCGATTTATTATTAATCTTTAAATTACCAATTTATATAGATGGAGCTATTTAAATACCAATATCTGATGGCAGATGAGTACTTCTTAGAACACAACGAATCCTATTCGGCATTTTCTTTTGGGGATATTTAATTTTTTGTGAATTTAAATGACTTCGAAGCTCCCATTTTTTAACCCTCCAAAATTCATAATCCTTATGCAAGTCTGATTGGGAACTATTGTATCCCTGGTATCATGATTATTTATCCAAAATATTAGAATCCTCCATTTTTTTCATCAATAAAGTTGATCCAATATTTGTTGTAATCAGACTATTAAGAAATAAACTAGCAAATGAGTAGTAAGCCAAGTCTATTGAGTTTGAGAACATCTTCGACAATGAAGACGCTTTTCAAATTTATTTAAGTAAATGCAAATCCATAAGGGAGAATTTTGATAGCATAAGTATCACAAAAGAAGTTGGTGATGAACTATATGTGAAATTGGACAAAGGAAGACTATTTCAATTCTTAGATGCTAAATACAATAACATTCGCCAATATTCCTAATAAGGTATTTATTATGTAAATGATTGCAATTAAAAAAAATAAGATGGTACTTTATAATTTATAACTAGAATTTGAGTTATAAGCTTGCATTCTATTTAAATAATATATGGGCGATCAGTTATTCAATGAGTTTGAGGCGGCAAGGAAGCTTATTGTACTTAATTAGATAGCAAATTCTAAAGTAGTACTTGAGTAAGTTGATAGAGATGAAAAAGCAGATCGCGTGGATAAAGAGAACCAATAGAAAAAGAACACTAACTAAGAGAAATTAAAGGCTTCCGAAACAAAAACTTTAGAAGCGGGCAAAAAATGTCACAAATTGGACTCATTTTGCAATAAAAATAAAGAGTTATAGTAAAAGTCATGATTAGTTTCTAATATATTTATTTATTTTTAAATTCTTGATACCTTTCTTATAATGAAATTTTTAAATTGCTTTAGTTTAATTTAATTATAAAATACAAATTATTAAAAAATAATTGAACCCCTTTTTTAAATAAATATAATAAAAATAATACTGAATTATAATTTATAACCCCTTATTTAATTAAAATATATAAAATATATTTTAAAGTTCTTGAAGAAAAGGTCAGAAACTAATGAGGCTTTCATAAATTAGGTGATGGACTCTCTGTACTTAATTAAGAACTAGGATGATGGGAGAGATTTAGATGTTGGTGGAGGATGATGAATGTAAACACATAAATTAGAAAGTTAATTGATATAATCATATTTCATGTTCCTCTTTAATTTCAGGGGTTGGATTGAAGTAGGAACTATAATAGGTATGCATGCTTGACTATTATTAGATGAAGGCGCTTATATTCATAGTCTATTAAATTGTGTACAAAAATACATAATATGGTGAAGGATGTGGTTGAAAAAATAATAATTACTCAGGTTTAACCAAGATTGCACCATAACTGTTATTTTAGTCTATGTTTTAGGATGTGAAAGATGAAATTGATTAATACATTAATTGTGTAGGATGATATGTATTATGATGAAATACAAATTTCGAATATAGTTTTGGCAGAGGACATGATTTCATTGTGAAAATTGGATGTTTCAGTTATATCTTCTAGAGTATGAGCTAGGGAATATGGATGCATTTGAAATACATGGTCAATATCAATGTTACTTAATTTGGTTTTTAATTTTTGGCTCTTGGATCTGCTTTTGGAGATATTTTTCTTTTCCAAGTCATCATTGTATGATTCACTAGATTAAATAACACACATACTTTAATTGTTGTAATGTTTGAAAAATGGATTTAATTTTATCAATGTCCTCAATATCAATTTATTAGGATAAGTTAAAATTTTTGTATTTTAATATAATATTTCGAAAGAGCTGTGCAAATTCCACTTCGATTCCAGCATAATTGACTTAATTCTAATTGACACAAAATATTTAGGAAATAACAGACGGTTTTAGAGTTTTAGTCATTTAAGATCCTTTTTTAGTAATTTGATATTCTTACCATTTTTGGTTCCATTAACAGTCTTGGAAAGACGTCTAAGAACTTTTCGAACTAATGAGTAAAAATAGTTTTTAATTAAACCATCCGTTCTTTAGGGTAATTCTTTTGCAATGATCCTCTTTTTAAGTATAAATTTAGACAATTACCCATCTGTTACCATATTTGCTTTGCAACTCGAAGAGTTTATCAACTTCATTTTGAGTCCATTGATCTTTGTTGACAAAAGGATTTAACTAATTATGGAATCTCTCTTTGCATGATTTTCCTGATCTTTTATACCCGATGGATATCATTTATTTCGAAATTCGTCTCCAATTGTAATTTTGACTCTTGCATATTTCAAGCAATGCCTTATCTTCCTTGTTTAATAAGTTTAAATTATATACTTCTGGTCTCCAATTCTTCCTTCTCATAATTAATATATATAAATTATATATATAATAGACCATTCAACTCATCTTAATTGCAGCTAACTATTCCTTCAAAGCAGCCAATTACAATTGCAATTGCAATAATTCTGGACTCGTTCTCATCGATACTTTAGGAGTATAAACTGGAGCAGGCATATTATTACCATACATCATTTTTTGTGCTTATGAAACCTAAATACCAAGTGATAATGAAGGTAATATACATTTTGGATACCAGTTTCATTCCAATCATTAATCATTTTCTGTCTTTCAATAGAATTCCTGCGACTTGATTCCCTACTACTACTACTCTTCTTCTTATTGCTTTTCTTCTCCTTCTTTTTGTGTTTCTTCGGACTCTTTCTAAACAGAATAACAATTAAATTGTCTTACTCAACGACTTCCTTCTCTTTTTTCTCTCTATATTCTGGGTGTTCCTCATACATTTGATTAAATAAACTCTTCTTGAATTTTGTCGATATCTTCTTAAGATGTAAGTAATTGCATGCTCCTCCTCTTAAATCCTGTATTTCTAATTTCATACCTCTAACATGTCCCATCAATGTATTATTTGCATTTAGCACTACTAAAGTCCAAAACAGGTGAATACTCCATTTGCAAAGGTCTATTTTCATATGATAAATTCTAAAGAGTATTGAAACATGACTCTGCAAACAATTCCGATGTGTATTTCACATATACATTTCCCACTAAATGATCTCCAATGTTTTCGCATACAATCAAATCTTCAATCTCACCAAACTCTGCCAGCTTATCATGATACCCACTTTTACTTTCAAAAATACGTCTTCATAAAAGTTTTCGAATTTCTCCAATGCCTCTTCAATACCCGCTTAAGACACTGCATTTCCAGAAGCTATTGCTACTTCCATTGGAGAGTTTTAATACATATGCTGATCATTAAATTGGAAATCTTACTTTGAATAAAATAGTCTAAGAGATTGGAGGTATGCTATGAATTCTTTAACATTTGTTTTCATAACGACAAGCTCCAATTTTTATATAAAATGAACAATTCACCTAATCATAGAACACTTAATAATACTTTGTCTTCCTCTGTTCCATACACTCTTTCTAACCCGCCTGCCATTTAATAATTATTTATATGAATAATGTAAATTATTAATTAGAATTAGCAAATTTAGTATAGTTTTATCAAAAATTATTAAATTAATAGGATTGTGTATATTAGAAACAGTTAAAATTATATATTTTTATTTCTGATTAGATTTTCAATAAAATTAGAAATTTTATTTCTCAAATAGAATTTTATGGATATGCTAAAATAAGGGATGGGGTATTTCTTCAAATATCCACCATAATTAAGGAAGACTTAAATTGATAATAATCTATTTTTAGATAATAATCTAATCTTAAAATTTTTAGTTTAAATAATAGATGTATATATAAATAACTCTAAAAGAATATTTATATGTAAAAATAATAAAAGTATATCTCAAATTCTGACAGTTTTTCCAACTTAAGAGTTTGCTCTTTGATGGTGTAGTAGTTTGAGATGCAGATTTTTAAATGATTAATCCTGCAACATTGGATTTTCTACAGAGATTCCAGTTCTTTAAGAGGATTCTCCTCTATCTCCTCTATCTTTTTTATAAGCCTTCATTTATTATTTAAAAGTGCAAGTGTTAAACGATTTGTCATTTACTAATTCATCAAGGCCTGAACTTGGCGCTCTCTTTGCACTTGTATTACCAATATTATTCACATAGTGTTTCAATCTATCAAAGGCATCTAGAAATAATTAAATTGATTACTTTATCCATTCTATTAATCCAAGTTAATAGTAACTTTAGGTGCTTCATATTTACCCAATCCCAATTTACCCATAAAGGTTGACAATTCATCTTTTCTTTTCTAAGGTTTCACATTATCCTTAACTTCAACTGTGAAATTCATGTTTTGTTGGACCTTCACATTGAGATAAGTATTCTCTTTTTTGGTTTTCTGACCTGATGATCCAGCAAATTATGAAGAGGGACTTGCCTATATAAATCCAAACCTTGCATTTGGAGATTTGCCATTAGACAATTTAATGTTAACTTGTGGAACTTGAGAGTTGAGATATGTTCCTCCATTCTTCCCACTGCCATTTTCTAGTAATACTTCTTGATTTAATTTGTTGGGAGTCTTGAATTATTATAACAAATTGTCTATATTTTTAACCTTTTGTTTAAAATATGAATTTTCATCCCCATTAACAGTACTATTATTGATATTATTATTATTTAATGGAAGATCTTATTGATTGTTTCTTTCTTTGAAAGGAGTTCTTCTGTTGAATAAATCAGTTAGATCTTCTAAAGTAGTTGCACTCTTAAATTAGTCCAACAATTCAATATAAGTATTGGTGACAACAGGTGGATCTGGATTGGCCATTGGTTTCTATTCTATAGGGTCTTACTGTTTTGAGCCAAATTCTATATTCAAAAAGTCTTCTAGTTTCTTTTGGGATAATTAAATTTCCTATTTTTAAGGAAATAGATCATTATAAGTTTAATCAGTTGGTTTCAGATCATATTTAACAGAATCAACGGATTAATTAATTGGTTCTTATTTGTTAGGAATATCAATTTCTTAAATTGATTGTTTTGGCTATTCCAAGACAATCTATTCGACAGTCTATTGAGTAGTAGTCTATTAATCCAAAATTTCTTGAGATTCTGGTTATTATAGATTAACAGATGGAGTTTCAAAAGGAATAACATCTATTGGATTTGGTGCCACTACATTATCTTATGCGGTGGTTTTTTGATCTTGACTAACTTATATGATGTTGGTTTCATTTTTGATTGTTTATTGGGTTGGGTCGTTGTAACCTGCTTGAAATGCCATGGCTTTGAAGGCATCAAACTTATTTTTATATTTATCAATGAGATCTTTAGATGATCTAGCCCAAGTATTGAGAACCTTTGATTCTTGAGGTTGGTCCTATTGAAGAATGGAATCTTCAACTTGTTATTCTGGAATTTCAGACGATTGCTAATTATCGGACATTTTATTATTAAATTTATTTCTTTAATTTCAAAACATAGTATTTATATATATGTGATCTATTTTGATAAGTAAATAAATATTAAAATTCGAATTATATTTATATATATATATTTAAAAAATGGAAATTTATCGAATTCCCGAAGATTTACGATTCGTGAATCAGATTGGTCAAACTCTGAGTGCAGAAGAGAAGTAATTGATTAATGTAATGAAGGATCAAGTTAGAAATAGCTTTGATAAAGCTTGGCTAAACCCAGACATTTGATTAATTACTATTTTGGGGAAGAATTGAAGGAACAGTTGCCAATTATTATATTGCCATTGGGTTGAATTTCAAGAATAATTTTGAATTCCCTCACAAAACATTCTTCTACACTGCAAATTTAAAGGAATTCTAAAATTTACCACCCCTCAATCCAGAATACAAAGAATAAGTTGAAACTTTCAGACAGTTATTTTCTGGATAACCTGAAAAAATACTTATTAACATCACAGGCGAAGATGGAGATCAACCACCTGCTGATTAACCTAATCCAGATGAACCTCAACAAGTTGTAAAAAATGATGATGACTCCGATGTTGAAATAAAACCACCTCCCAAGAATTTCTTGGAAGTGGATAGATTAGCCTATGTGGTTAATGCGATTGAATTCGAATGTGCTCTTCTTCCTGTTGGTGCTGTTAGATTGACTCCTACACATGAATTAAGGTACTTAATTAACTATCTTTTTCAGATATAATGATTCATTCGAAGGACTCAATCTCTAAGAAGCATCAAAAATATCCAATTATCAGCATTTCAGAGCTCCTCAGAGTGCTAACAAAAAGGCCTTGATTGCTTAAGATGATGCTCTTTTCCACTATGACTTCTTTGATTAATTGGATGATCATCCAGTTGGATAATGGAGTTTGCAAACAGATTCCTCCAAATATCAAGTAATAAATTTCAATTAAGTTTAGGTCACTATACGCAATCTCTAATGGCCAGGCTTCTTGGGATATCATAGAGCAGGAACTAGAATTTTTGGATATGCCTATTTTGGAGATGGTATCAAGAATGTAGATTTGGCATTTCAACTATGATTAATAATAATGAATATCCATGCATTCAAAATAATTCATAGTTTATATTTTGTAAATTGCCATCATCATTATAATTCAATTTTATAATTTTTCTATTTGCAAAATCACTTTAGAATTATCTTGTCTAGTCAATTCTAATTTATCCAGATTCACATCACTTTCTATAACCAAAATCAATCTGCCTTAACATTGTTCCCCTCCCAATTCTATCTCGTACCACAATTAAGTAAATATAGCACACAACTCAATCAATTCATTCATTTTTTCATTTTCTTTATTTACATTTCGTAACACAAACAACACCTCATTATCAATATTTTCTTTCAATTTCTATACTCCCAATTATTTCAATTAAGCTCCATTTAGTTTCTCTAGATCCTTTGGCTACTCTTTTGAAATATTCTTTATTATTTGTCTCCACATAATGTCTTCCGTAACCCAACTCTAATAATCGAACTCCCTCACTATATCAGACTCAATCTACAATGTTGATTTTATAGTATGTAATGGTCTTTCTATCACTTAAGATGCATCAACTTACTTTTATCACAATAGAAAAGCCATGATTCTTAAATTTCTTCAGTTTTATTTTTTAATCCTGCTATTTCCTATTCTAATTATTAGTTCTATTTGGTATGTTAATGAATACCTTTGTTTTTAATTTTTTTATTTGATCTTACAAATCTCCTTATTAATCTTCAAGTTCGCAGATTCTTCCTAATAATTGCTCGGTTAATTTCTCAATTTTAGATACTCTTTACTCTAATTACATTATAAAATTATTATTAATATACACAAATATTTTATTCTAATGTTAATAAAACAACTATTAAAACATTGATTAATTAAAATGAATCATAAATTCAATTAGTTTCCATTAACCTATCCAATAAGACACTCCTTCAAAGTAAGCAAAATATTAGACTATTCTAGCATATATAAGTGATATAAATACTTTGATTTATGGTTAAGTAATTAAAATTGAAAAGCACATTTAAAATAATGATTAACTTTAGATATTTGAATATATTTTCTTATTAAAACTCAAAGTCAAATATTAATGATTCAATTTATTATTTTCAAATATTTATAATTGAAGATTATTCGACTTTATTTTTAATTTGTAGTCATATGGTTACTTGTTTTCCATATGTATGTATTTTTTAATTTAATATAATAATATACTTGGTAAAATAGTATTATTTGTTTTTGTAATGAAGTTGATTCTCTTATTTATTTGTATTGGTTTAAGTTGTTGCTCAGTTCCATTGGTTTGTTCAGAAGCTAAGAAGGAAAAGGATTGTTTAGAAATTATCAATGGAATGTAAGAGTCTAATTGATAATGTAGAAATGAATGCGTATGGACTGGAGGATAATGCGAAATAAAAACTTGTGAGATGCTAAAACCTCCATGTGATGGAGAGGCTTATTCTGGATATTCATGTTCCAATAGCAAATTAGGATGCAAAACTGTTAAACAATGTTCAGATATTGAGATATCATCTTCTTGTTCTGTAGTAACTCCTTTTGGAAAATAATGTATTTGGGAGTAAGGATGTAGAATTAGATAATGCAAGGATAATACTCAAGAAACTTGCACAGTTACTAATGGATAGTTATGCATGTATTAAAATAATTAATGTACTTTGATTACTGGATGTGCTGATATTGTTGAAGTTGATAAATGTGAAACAGATGATTATCATCAAAACCTATCATGTGCATGGAAGGATGGAAGATGTTAAAAAAGGCAATGTGATATGATAGCGAATGAAGTATATTATTTATTTGACATGATAGGAAGAATGTTTTAAGACAGTTGTATAATCTGAGAGATGTTTTTATGGTTAAATTACAGAATAACAATCTGGTTGTTTGAGTTGTTCAATAATAACTGATTCTTGTTTATGTGATCATTACAATCTGTTTGGTTGTGCGTGGAAATAAGATCATTGTTATAAATAATCTTGTGAAACCTTTACAAATATTGACCAATGCAATTCAGCTTATGATAGCCTAACTTGTACTTGGTATGTTCCTCTAAATAAGTGTATGACTATTGATGATGCTAATACCTTGGATCGTTAATGCGATATCTATAGTTTTAGTTCAGGAATACAATTGTTACTCATGGTCATCCTTTTAATGTTTTGACACTGCTTGCCTATTGATTTCATTATAATGTGTTTAAAATAAAAAATACTTAGAATTTAGGTTTATCTTATGAAATATTATATTTTAATTATAGAAATATGAGTAACCCATTTTAGATTGTTCCATCAGATTCTTTCTTGAATATTTTAAACCAAAATAATGTCTCTGTTGTAGATGTTGATGAAGATTATAGAGCTGAACAAGATTGGATGTTTGAAAATGATTGTAATTTTATGGAAGAATAGATATTGTAATAATAGCCTTTAATGCCTGAGCGATCAAAGGCATTGGTTGGTGGACAATTGCTGCAGAAATATAAAAAGAATCAAGAGGAAGATCTCTTGAAAAAAAATAAGGAAGTTTTTCAAGCCAATTAATCTAAAAGCATTTACCTTAACAAGATTCAATAATTAATTGATAAACCCACAGCTGTAGGCAAGCCTAAGCAAACGTAAATACTCATCCCTAAGATAGTCGTCAAAAAGTTATTGTTGATAGTGACTCCTCTGATGGAAAGAATAGATTAGCTAAAAACAGGGAATCTGCTAGAAATTCCAGGAAGAGGAAAAAGATATACATAGAGTTATTGGAAAATAAGGTGAAGGAACTAACAGAACAATTGCAATAATTGGAATGTGTAGTTTAATAAAATAAAATTAAAAATATTCAAGTAATAAATACTTACTATTACATGCAGCTTGAGAACTTTATTGAAGATTATCATCGATCAATCACTTAGCTTAATGGTTTGCCCACTATTCAATAGTTGCATGAATAATATGGTGCCACATCTCAGAGAAGATGGAGTGTTTGCACTGAACTCATTAATCTATTAATTGAGACTACCATCCCCATTGAAGTTAAGAAATTGATGGAGTCAGCCAAAAAGGGCACTGACATGTTTATTCAACCTCTACTTCAACATAATCCATGTCTAAATTATAGAGATTACTTTAAATAGGGCACAATTGATTTAGAAATGTATTCATTTGTTTAAATTGAGAGCGACAAAAAATTTTGGTTTGGCTTATGATAAAATCAGGGAACAAGTGTTTGCTTTGGAGAGATTGAAATTAGACGTCATCTAAATCCTAGGACCAGATTCCTACATAGAGTACTTAAATTCATTAACATATTGAATTTTATATATTTGTAACATCATATTAATAGTACTAATCAAAATTGAATTATTATTAATTTATTTTGAATGATTTGATTAATTATTAAATAATCATTATAATGTTAATTCATTTAAATTTAGATCATCCTAAGCCTATATCATTATTGGTATTTAAACTATGTATATATTAATGTTTAATCTCTTACATTTTTTAATAATTTAATCGCAAAAAAATAAACTGTTTGAGTAACTGGTCTCAAATATCTTTTATATTTGATTTATTATTGAATATTGTGTATTCTCTTATTTCAATGCCAATTAAGAAACAAATTCATCCAATTTTACTACGAAACTATTGTTCAAGGAAAGCTATTCCATATCAAAAATTAAATGCTTTTTAGTAATCATGGATTGATAAAAATTAATCAAGTAATTTATATAAAACTTATTTTAATAAGTTATATATTAGATTGCTTTATTAGTCATGGTGTATAAAACATCTATTGTTAAATGGAAACTTACCTTGTTGACCTAGCATTATCTCTTTGATCTCATATTAATTTATATCTAGAATAGACAATCCACACAAAAGTTCATTGCTTGTTTCTCCATCATCTTATTCACTTAATGAATATAATATATTACATATTCTCATATAACTGTTTATAAAGTTATTAAATTTCAAATTAGAACGATCCTTATTTTAATCTAAACAGAAACAAACAAAATAAGGACAAGAAATTTTGAGTCTTTAATTGTGTAGCATATTTTGTGATAAATTGAAGAGTAACCGTCAAATCTGCTACATCATGCAATAGAATTAGATAATATGTTTATACTATGAGCTCAAAAAGATCGGAATCTTCATCCAAACAATCTAGCATTAATAATTAAATCATCCTTATGGAATTTTCACTCTCAGTTGATTTAATCTCTTACTGAATTAACAACTTTTTCAAATATACATTTAATAAACCTATACTAGCTGATTAATGCTTAAATTGTTAGAGAGAACTATGAACCAACTAGAAAATAATATTTTAAAAGAGCATCAACTAAAATGTATACTGCTTATCTACAATAACACCCATTATATCTATTAGCAATTCTAAATCATAATAATTAAAAATACTTAATTGATATTTTTATAAATGCTATTCCGATTGAGCATTTAATAATTCTTTTGTGATAATTGAAATGATAGAATTATCTCCTAGATTTAATTAATCCAGTTCAGCCATGCATTTAAGAATGCACTACTTATAAATGGCTTTGGTCTGAGAGAAGTAATATTATTTTAAATCTAAATATGTTTATTTAGTTAGGCAATTTCGTTAAGGATAATACAATTACAAGCAAACCAATAAATCTATCATAGCACATAGCAAATTTGGATTATTAATTTATGATATAATTTACAATTATTCTTAAAGAATCGATATCAAATAATCAATTTAAGATTAATTTGTTATCAGTCGTTTTAGGATGAACTTTTTTAAAAGTATCAACACCTAAATCTTAATTGGAATGTAGGTACCATTGATTTATTTGAGACAATAAAGTAATTCCTGTAAAAAGAGTTGATCTAAATGATGAATGGGTATCCTATAAAATAAATTTGATATAATAAAGTAATGAGCTTCTTTTTTAATACAAATACTTTATTCGCTCTAATTTAGAGGTATAAGTTGATCAGAGATGAGTAAAATTTCTTGAAATATATAATTTTCTGAATCAAGTTTCAACACAGAGAGAATAAAATCTATCCCAAAATTTCTAATTTTAAGTAAATAGTAATCATCCTCATTCTCTTCATCCAAATTTAGATACAAGTTTTAATAGGCATGAAAATCTAATTATATAATATTAATGACGATAAATATTAGTAATTGTCTTTGTTATTGATAATTAAATTTTTAAAATGCTACTAATTTATTTATAATTTTTAAAAGTCTGTAAGCAGTAATTCTACCTAAATGTTATTTGTTGTCTAAATAATTATGTGTAATAATATACAATAATTACTATTGAATAATTTGTGAGGGAAGCTTTTTTTTGATGAGTCGAACTATGATTTTGGAAAAGTTTTCAAGTATTTTTGATTATTATGGATTATTTTAGATTAATTAGCAATATTGATTTATGATAGCATTATAATGATCATCTTCTAAAGAGTAAAATAAAGAATTGGTAAGAGACAAGTAAAAATTTAGTATCTGATCAACTAGTTGATAATCATTGACGTTGAAGAGTTAAAAAATCTTACTAAAATTATATTTATAACCTGATAATTTTAATTTTATTTTAACAATTTGGCTGCTCATCATCTCAGTAATCAATTAGATGTAAGCAGAGTCTAATTGTTGTTTATCCATTATGCATATTATAATTTATGTAGAATCAGGTGTATATAAAATCATATAATTGATCAACTTGCATAATAATGGAATTATCTACGGATCGACTTTATTTAAGTAGAATAGTAAAATGTTTAGAATTTCTATTTTATGATTCATTATTATGGTAATGTAATTTTGCTAAAGGTAATGTTTCAAATATATGAAAAATTATACTCTGAGTGATTTTTCAATCTTTTGATCACACAAGCATTCGAACCCAATTTTAATTTTCTCAAAATCATTAAAAATATTATTCAGTTCTTACTCAGCCATCCTTCGTATTTCTTCATTTTCATTGTAAAGTTATTTTATTAGAATTAGAATTTATTCCATTTAATAAATTTAATGGAGTAGAATACTAAAGTTAATTCAGAATATGTAAGGGAATATGTTCATCATTTAGTTTAAGAAGTTGAAATTAATTCAGAAGAAAATGGAGAATATAAAGGCTGATTAGAGTCCAAGTGTAATCAAGTATATGTTGAGAAGAAAAAGTGCAGAAGAAGTGCAAGCACCTTTGCATGATGTTGAGTTTAATCAGCAGCCAAAGAAGAAGAAATTGTTGTTTTTTAAGACCTTCTAAAAAGTTGTTATCGACCCAATAACAAAATTAGATGAAATTAATGAAGAAAAATGGGCTATAATGTCCAACAACTATAAATCTTTGATCGAAAAATCAAGACAAAGTCTCTCAAAACATAGTCAAATGATGTAGGCTCCTCTCTAAACGAAAGAACATCAGAAGATTCAGTTTCTCACTCGAAGATAATCAATAGAGTTTCGACTTCGTGAAATCACTACTGCTCCCAGCAATCATTCATCTATATCTCCAATAAAAATAAATACTAATGTTTAACTCGCAGATCCGAATTATGATAGATTCAAAAAGTATTATCAGAAAATAGGGATTGTAGCTGATAATCCTGCACAAATGAAGTTCAAAAAATTAATGTCTACTCCAATGGCACCTCAGAAAAGGAAGGAAAAAAGCCAGCATTCTAGTAATAATTCATAATAATACTCGTCATCTCCTCCAAAAAGTAGAACTATCCATCTGAAACCAAATCGTAATTCGTAATATTTATAGGAGATCAAGGAATTATGTTCAGTGGCATCAAACTATCAAGCACATGTGAAGTAAGATGAGAGGATACAAATTCATCAAACTAGCAAATAGATGGGTTACATCTAAGCGGAATTCAATAAGTTTCATAATATGTTGACAACGGATTTAGAACGGTTAGATTTCTATGATGAGAAGAAGTGAACTTGATATTAATTACTATCCATTAGGAATTAGTAGTAATCTTAATTTGTCATTATAATTTCTGATATACCAAATCAATATATTTTATCATTTCCTACTTCACTTATCCTTTGGCCATGTAAAGAGGAATGGACAATTTGAAATCACATAGAGAGTACATTTTGACAAAGGAATAATCATCGAAGTTTTTATTTTTGAATCTTGAGCAGTTATCAAAATATATATACCTATTATTAATGTAATCGTTATTTATTAAATTTGAGAGTGGCTAAATCGTATAGCCACTAAGCAAAACTTCACCTCTCACTTTGTTCCTTATCGGATATTGGGAATCGGTAACAGATTTACTAACGTCACACCATACCTATTTTATAAACATTAAATAAAACATTTGAGTCAATTTGCTTTGTTTTTTTGTAATAGATGAATTCTCTTGCAGAAGTCATCAATATTGGTTTGTAACTTAAATAGATAACTGTTTCCTTGTTCTCCTCATTCTTTTTGATGGGATAAAAGGCATCAATTCGAGAATCTAATTCCTTTTATTTTTGAAAATTGCTCATAAATTCAATAAATTTTTGAGGCTTTCCAGGAACAATGAATTCACATCTCGTGGCATTCACTTTTGTTTGACTATCTACCTCAATTTATTTAATAAATAATTTCAATCCGCTCTTTGAATCCACATTATCACACAAGATAATCCAATCATCGACAGGAGTGATCCCATAATCACACTTCTCCTGTATTTGCTTAACAATATCATCTTACAGTTGCTAATATTCATCAAATTCACCTGCAGTTCCTCGTTCATTCAATGAATAAGCAGTCGTAATGGTATCATTCAATAATTCAATCTTGCTTAGAAAATAACAAATAGGTTTGTCTTCATATACCAAGACACGTCTTCTTTAATGACAGAAGCTTAATTCTTTCATGTATTCTAGCTCGTCTTCGATTGCCTTGGATGCTATGGATGCTCTATTGATGCTTCGCTCTTACACACAACACTATGATCCCATAAATAATAAGACAATATTTATCTTGCTCAAATATTAATTATCACAAAATAAAACGAATAACATATCTTATTAATACTACTAGATATTAAAACGATAAGAGTTATTCGAATATAAAATATGTTGTTAAAAGATCATGAAAATTTAGGGACCTTTGTAATCATTCATCCCTGTAAGGACATTTTATCTATTGATTCCCCTAAGTAGCTTCATATTATGTGAAGCAATCAAAACAAGCTGCATGTCTGTTACATGGAAAGAATGTTGCATCAAGGACATCTCCCAAACAAATAGGACAAGTTTATGGGTTAGACAATGGCAAAGGAAGCATTCTGTGGCGCAATTTCCTTTTAAGGCGTCTAAACTTAAGCATAATGATTTTAGGCACTCTACCAAAAAGTGAACAAATAAAGAGGCAAAACAATTATATAAAGATTGTTAAGACTTTACAAATCTGAAGAATGAATGAAACAAATATAAAAATTATGCAAATGCTTATAAGTAGGAAGGGCAAACTAGCTCTGATTCTATAATTCTCATTGCATTAATAAGATTTAATATTATGACATTCATTCAAACAGTTTTCATTCAAACATAAAGAACATGAATTTTCAATCGGAATAGTTGAAAATAAAAGACATTGATTATAGTAATCTATTGCCAATTCATCTGTTTAATTGTGTTTTAGTAGAATTTAGAGTCTATATTTGAAATTAACGTCTTGGATCTAATAAAATTCATCCTCCATTTTCATACACAGAATGTTTTGATATTTGATTTAAAGACTCTTGCTGTAATATTAATAGCAAATTCCTTTATTTGTGAATATAGCAAATACATAAGCATCTTAAATGGAAAATAAATATTTAATCTTAATTTTCGTATCATCACGATACCAAGACAAAACCTTAGTAGGTAGAGTATAATTGATCGAATCAGAATTCATAAAAACAGCAGTTCCATTATTCCAATATTGAGTTGAAAATACCCCATTTTGAGTGCTAAATAAGACCTTCTGATCTAATTAGTTGATGTGTTCACTTAAATAAATGATATGATATTTATTGTCTGCATCGAAATAGGTGAATGTTAGGTTTGAATCATAATGATATACAACTATGGATTAATGAGATTTATTTTTTGGTTCCACAAAAGTCGAATTTAGTATTTTCACTTTTTGAGTCAATATATTAAAGACATATAAGGATTCATTCTGATACTGAGCAACAAAGTAAGAGGAAGTTATAGTTATATTAGTGAAATCTTCATTTTTAATATTCATCGATTCTGCCTTTCTAATAGTAGTTTCATTCTAATTTTCATAAAGAGTGTATACAATAATAAGATCTCGATTCCTAAATAAGTTTCTCTGAATAATACCATACAGCAAGAAAATGATTTTGGAGACAGAAATCTGTCTTGTTTTAAGAAATAATGGAGTATTGAGTTTGGTTCTAGAGATGGGAATATGCAATATCATCATATTGATTGAAGATGATGTAATTTTTATAAAGGGTACTATGAGGATGGTTAATATTGAGCTTCTTAAATGCAAATAGTATTTGGATGAGTATTAATATTAGAAATATCATTTTTATTATTATTACATAGTAGCAAATTCAAATGCAAAATTTGGATAAGGAATTCAAAACAGTTTTAAAATAAATAAATAAAATAATTTAACACCAATCATGGCTACTCTCAATGTACAGATCAATGTGAATCAATATTAACTGATATTGTAAACGGAAAAAGCCAAAAATACTTATTAACTATAAAAAAGGGATTTCCCTTCTGGGCCAATTAACATCTATGAATAAAGATTCAACTCTGTCAATTTCTCGAATCAGAAAATTAATGAGGTTATTGGATGGATTCTCATTATAGCAGTCATGCTAATGATGCTCCTCATGGCCACATCTCTAATTCAAGATTCAGTCGTTGGATTTGCCATACCATTACTTTCAGTAGTAGCATTCTTCATTGTCTATTTAAATTGGATATCGATAAAGTTCTTTATCAACTCATGACTTTGATCACTTATATTCAAACGACTAACTGTCTATTTAAAATATTTTTTAGTGTAAATAATTTTCATTTCTTTTTTTTCCTCTCTTTTTTTTCTTCACTATCCTTATGCTTTTTGTGCTTTTTTTCCTCCTTACTTTTCTTCTCTTTCTTCTCCTTCTTCTTTTTCTCCTTCTTAATCTTCTTCTCAACACATCCATCCTCTTCCTTCTTCACTTAAACTTAGTATTAGTCTTATTCACCATAAGCTTCTAATAAATATTATGCCTCTGTATTCTTGGTCTACCTTTGCATTGGACCATTTCCTAATCCTTTCTTCTCATTATTCAATTCATCATCAAAATCTATTTTGGATTTCTTTGTTAACTAAGCCATTTCCTCTTTGGTCAACTTCACTTGCATCGACTTTTAATCTTCTGGTTATTCCAATCCCAACGCTATCCTTATTCTTCTCTCGTCCTCCTCTTTCGCCCTTTTAAATTCATCATCCAATCCTACAATTTAAATTCGAATATCATACTATTAAAATCCAAATCACCACGATCTTCAGGTTTAATGTACCAATCTTTCTTTCTCCACTTCCCTCCCTTATCCAAATAACCAATTATTGTTGTTTATCCCAAATATTATTCACGATCATGATACTTCATTGTTCTCAGAGACTCCCAATTGAATTAATCATGTCCTCCTCTGCATCCAGGTCTAATTAGATCAGCATTATTTTAGTGCATTTATTCTTATATATTATATTAATTATTTATTATTTTTATAATATTTCAATATTATCAAGATATCACATTCATTTTATATACATCCACTTAATGCCTTTTATTACTACCTTTATTCTTAATTTATAGTTGAATTTAATTTTACTTATCAACCTCTTGTTTTTCCACTCCTTCCCTATTATATTATTATTATTGAGGGTACGATTAATATTTTGATACCAATTTGGGTTTTTTATATTAAACTTGATCTATAGCAAATATGTTAAAGGTTTTAATTTGAATTTGAAAAAGATGTTTGATAGTGACTCTATTTGAACTTCCTTCCAATATAAGTCGATATTTTCTATAGTAAGATATGAGTAAATATTATAATATTTAGGAACTTATAATTGAACTGAATATTCTATATTAATAATATTCTTTATTTAGAATGTTAAAATTAATATTCATGTTTTAGTTTTCTGTTGATTAGAAGGAACTGATTAAATTTATATAAAAATATGGGTTATTGGAGATCTATGAATTAATTAAATAATTATAGTTTAAAATAAATTAAGAATAAAGTTTAATGACGAAAGCAAACATTCCATAAAGTGTTAAAATTTCACTAATTTCATAACTGATAATGTTGGTTGTGGCTATTTTATTTGAGTTTACGCTCTTTTTCACAAATTTATATGAGATATATTCACCACAAATATGTACGATCTCATTCACTGGAAAAGAGAGATGTTTAAATTATGATGGCCAATATGAAACTTTTACTGTAGAATGCTAAGACTGCTAATTCTTACACCTCATTTGGCCATTGTCTTTGGCTGAAATTACATTATTAATGTGTATTTTTATATGCAAAATATACTATTTCTTTACTCTGAAATGTGGCACTATCATAAAGGTAATATCAATTGTTTTAATTGCAGTTATACTAAGCTTGGAAATCTATTTGCTTTTACAATTTGATAGCAATATCCCCTAAGTTTTAACCTTTAATTATACAATCAAATTATATCCCATCGTCACCAAACTCCTTATTGGAGTTTTGATCTTGTCTATAATTATAGCCATTTGGGTTGAAGATATTCAAACTCTGAAATATAAGAAGCAGCAATCAATAGCAAGTTCTTCTAGCTGTTATTCACAATAATTGTTATAAATTTAGTGATTCTAAATATTTTATATTTGTTTAATGAATCAAATTACTACACATTTTTTATACTTCTTTCTCAATTTGGCTCTAGTTGAATGTTCGAATAAATTGTTAGTCAACACCACAGATTAGGTATCTAGTAATCTGCTTAAGAATTTATCAATTTAATCTCGATCTTGTTCCACCATTTGGTTGTCTGACAGATTGAGTAACTTGAATTGAGGATTTTGCAGAGTGTAATTAAAATTATCGATTTTCACATAAGGTGGTACTTAGATTAGCATTTCTTCAGTATATTTTTTTTTTTGTTTCTAAAACTTTTATACTTATAATTCTCTTTGTTATTCTAATTCTTAAATCCTATTATTTTATAATGATTAATTTATACTTAGAAAATTCCTCTGCTGTTATTCTATTCTTACCAAATGAATTTGCCAATAACTTGATATCTTAAAAGGATTTGATGGAATTCTATGCTAATCCAAGATATTCTAAGACATTGTGTTTCCCCATATATTCTGCAATGGCATCTACACCTTCTTGACTGATTTTATTTACTCCTAATTCTAAGACTCTCACTCTATTATGTAAGCCTGCCATAAATTAAACTATTGCATTATTTTCAATTTCATTTCCTCTTAAATATATAAATTCTAAGTTGTAGAGGGGACTTAATTTTAGTATGTTGACATTAGGATTATATTCAATAAATGCTTTTGTGATTCTTTAAAATGCAAAAATTTAATACACAACATCTAATTCTTAGATGGTAAATCTATTGTGTCTAAAATCTATTGCCATTAAATTACTATTATTGATAAATAGGTGAATAAGTTTCAATGTTAGCCAATCAACATTAACACTATTAAATCTTAAAAATTGATCCTATGTGTTATTTTATAAACATGGATGAAGGTGATTATTGATTGAGTTGGATACTTGTTAGATGTTTTCCATGTACCCAACTTATTATTATTATTATAAGTTATAGATCTCTTTTTAGTTCAAAGTTAAATACTATTCGAAGGCACTTTATTATACACTTTAGGGTTGATACACCCAGAACACCTCCTTTTGAATAATTCTTGATTAAATTTGCTGAGGTTATTAAGTTGAAGGTGGTGGTTACTTTTTCATATTAATATTAATTTATATAATACTCTCTTATTTATAATGAATTATATTTAATAACAAGTATGAAATTAATGATTAGTCGAACATATTTTTGAATAAGCGTATAGCATTTAGAATAATCACATTAATTGAATTACTTAAGATGTTTCTGATGTCATTTCTAATTATTATCTTGATTATTCTCTACATAAAAAGTCATGTTTAGCAGCCAGTTTTTCATATCTAATTTTCAACAAGCAGTATTCTTAAGTTTCTGATATTTGATAATACAAACTCTAAAGGTTATATTTATAATTCTTAATCTTTAGTAAGTTCATTAATATCTAGATTCCAAATCAGAGTACTTTAGTAATTTAATCACCATTCATAACTATTCATCAATCTGGATTCGGTAGCATCATTATTCAAAAACATATTTCTTAATGAATTGCTTGCTTTAAAAATCCAAACCGATTTAGTCAGACTAATTACTTAAAGTTAAATAAATGGGTTATTAATCCTAATTTCCTTTTATATCTACTTTCAGCTATAGTAAATTATTCATTTGATAAATTATCATCATATATTTTCAATTTCTTAGATTACAAATATATTCTTAAATAAAGCAAATATAATAAGGCTATGATCACTAAGAATTATAACTTATAATATGCTTGGCCACTATAAAGTTAATGCATTCAAATTATTAAAGTAGACTTCTTACAGGATTCATTATAAATCATAAATCATTGAAATAACTTAAATTAGAACTAAGATACCATTTGTGGGAAATCAAAAAAGTGATGGAGCAGTTAGCTTACACAAATATATGATATAGATGCACAAAAGTAATTGTTGTCAAACTAATATAAAAATATAAATAGTTTAAATTATTAATATTAAAATTGTTTCAATAAATTTAATTAATACGTATTATTGAAAATATCAAATTGATAATATTCTTTTTTAGTCGTGCTTGTTTATGAAGATTCAATTAAAGCTGAATTGATCAAATGGCTTGTATACATCTTTTGATAAAATTAGTAGTTTGATAGTTTTTAATTTAGAAAAATATAAAATTAAAAGATTTGATTACGATTTGATAATCCTTAATACGCAACATATTTTGATTGTTAAGTGTGAGATTATTTGAAGCGTATATAAAATTTAATAATGGATAAATAATCATGTTGCTTATATGAGCGTTTTGGTGGCGATTAACAAGTTTCCGAGTTGATTGATTAATTTTACTATAAGGTGTTGTTTGATAAGCTCTTAAGAGACAAATTTCTAAAGGCAGATATGAGTAGAGTCAGATATCAATAAAAGCGATTCTTCTCACAAATGATGGGAGACTAGAAAACTCAATATACTGGAAGGTAGAGTATTGAATATGAATGTTTTAGAGACTTAATTGAGGTCCATCGAAATCTTGGTATCTCAGATTAGCAATTTGATAAGTTTAAGCTTCATTTAAAAAGCATTGCTTAAGATATGGAAGTAGGTGTGGAGGATATCGAAGAATTGTTGGAACATGTGGAAAGACATAGAAATGTTATTGTTTTTAATAAATGATGTTTTAATACATATATTAATTTATATGAACGAATTTTCTGAATAAATAGATATTTCAAAACTTAGAATAGATTTAGGTCAATAATGGAATGAAATCGAATTGGAAGTGTTTTTAAAGAGTATGATTGAATGAATAAGTTGATTGTAGTCTTTAGACAATAATAATTGGCAGGAGTTGGCAGAATGCAAGAGACCTTGAGACAGCTGGGATATCAACGAACAACAACGAATTTATTGTCTGTGTATAAGAAGGTAAAATTAATTATGGATGAAGAATAAAAACTTCTTGGAATCCAATCAAAATTGTACCGCCCATGACTTGTACCTAATATTAAGAGATCATTATGAATAAAATGAATCCTCTGATATGCGAACTATTAAGAAGATTAAGAAAAATTAAAATTGTACACATTATTGCATAAACACAAGATCGTAAGTCGATTCCTTAAAAATTTGATATCAATGATAATACATAGGATATGACCTTTTATTTCAGTTAAACCTAATGCATCGATAACCAAAGTGTTTATGATAACAAGAACATAAGTCAAAATGTATGTATTTTTAATTTAAATTCAAGTTTTGTAAATGGATTTAACATGAATATTTTTATTCACATTTAGATTACACTTATTTTAGTCTAAACGAATTTCAATAGATGTTAACTAAAGCCAGCATTCCTTTAGGATCTAAATCAATTGCTGAATGGAGGATTATTAAGATGGTAGGACTTCATTTCATTTCATTAGGCAGTAGGATAACCTAGAAGATTTTCATTTTATTTCCTTCAATAAGAAATGAGTAAATTAACTAAATATCGATCCGTTATTCGAAACTACCTATTTGATTAGAACTATCCTATTCATAGAGACATTAGAAATCTAGATCTAATACATGACATAGTAAGGTTGGCACCATTCAATGTTGATTAAACAGTTTATGCTGTGCATCCAATCTGCAAACATGTTCATGTCGGTTAAATCTTATCTACCAATCTACCTACTATCACTATCAAATTCTCATAACCTGAATTGGGAGTACACAAAATATCAGATCAAAATATTTAATTGTATCTATGAATCATCTATTATCATAAGGGAAGAGAAGTTCATTAGCAAGTAAATAAGTGATAATCGATTTGATATGCAACAATAATTAAAGTTTTAATACACAGAATGAAAACAAAAATACTCTGATTTCCAGTATAGTTTAGGAATTGGATCATTATGCCGCAGCATTTATGATTAGAATTTTATAGAGGTATCATCACAAATATTTCAGAAAATACGCTTTGGTTGGACACTTGAAATAGCTAAGTTAGAGATTGCAAGATGAACCAACTCTTATAGAAGACTAAGAATTTAAGGCACTTTATCAATGGTCATTGTAACAAATCAAGAACTTTGACTCTGCATCCAAACATGTTATAACTAAGTTTAGAATGAGAGGGTTGGCTGGTTATTGTAAATACATTTTATCGATCTATCGCTAGCTTTGCAATAGGTGAACAATAATCTAGATAAAGTTCTGAGCATGCCTCTTGCCTACATGGAAAGAGAATTAGACCAGAACAATGTGGAACCAGAAGAGGAGAAGAAGAATCTGGAAATCAAATAGATCATCCATAAATAATAGGATGTATATATATAAATTCTATTTGAAAGGAAAAAATTAATTCTCAATTAAATTCATTACTGTAGCAAAAGTTTGCTTTTATAGAGAAGGATAGTTGTAATTATATTTCTTATGATTTTATACTCAACAGAATTAAAACCATTAGTTTCATCACTTTTTGGCCTATTGTATACTTTAAATAATAGTTAAGACTTGAATATGAGTTCAAATACTCATTGGCAAACATTAAAATAGTATATCTAAGAGTCACACCCTTAATAACTACAAGAGATATAGGAATCAATACTAAGAATAGTAGGTAATAATAACAAATGACATAAATTTATATTTAGAATTCAGATTTCAAAGTGAGAAGTTTAGAATTTTTAATTTATTAGTTTCAATTTTAAATGACTAAAATATCGTCTAATTTCTAGTTTCTATCTCCAATGAGTTTTGAGTGTGTAATTATTTCTCTTAGTCTCTTTTATTTAAGAACTTAATAAAAACCTTTTTTCTTCTTCTTTTAAATGTTGGACTAAATTGTGATATAATTTTCATTAATCTACTCATCATTGTATTCTTGAATTTTCATTTTATTTATTAAAGCATTTTTTATTTAGATGCATATATTGAAACTAAATAACTTAATACATTCACTGTTTCCCTTTTATTTAATTTGATAAACTCAATCTTTCTTTGCAATTCTTATTATTTACACTATCCTCTTCATTCTATTCATAAGAATATAATTCAGTATTTTCCAAGAAACGTCTAGTCCGAAGCGTGATAAATGCTCTATTTGAGATGATCATTTAATTAATTTTTATTTTGATATCATCACAAAATTACACATACTGATTTGAATTTTTGTAAATGATATATTAACTATTATTAAAAAGAAATTAATAGTTTCAGAGTGGACAAACAGTTGACAATGTTTTGTGGTGATATTTTGTTCGATGCAAAGTCAATAGTTATGATCTCTATTGGATTAATTGGGTAGATTTTAATGGTTTAAGCAATTTGGAATCTATTTTTCTAAGAGTCACGTAAGGAGATAGGTAAGGTAAATTTCTTGGAGTTTTTGAATGTTTTGGGGAACAATTAGGGGTGTATTGGGTTAATTAATACATCTTTAATTGTGATTGTCTCGAGTATTATGACCGTAATTTTGTCATCTATTCCTGTATAACTTATAAAGTCTAAGGATTTTATTACCATCTTGCATTGCTTTTATTTTACTATCATCATAAGTCTTCATTTTTTTTAATGATTACTTCATTCTTTAAGCAGATTTAGGGTAAGCAGATTATCTGATCACTCAAATTTAATAAAATACATATGTTAATTAGATGCCCTTCTTGTAAGAATTGCTTTTCGATATGGTATTGGTCCCATAATATTCATACATTTATATTAAAATGTTCCCAATTACCCACATTCATCGCAGTAACAGCTTTTCCTTCTTAAAGGTCCTGTTATTGTTTTCTATTGTAAAACAAAATGATTTTATTAACTTCTTGACTTTTATCTTTTTTTTGCTTATCGGTCTTGATAGCTTAACGTATTAGACAATCTGAAAGTCAAGCTCAAAGGAGAATTAAGACCAGAGTTACTTTCTATTTATTTTACTCCATCGAGAAGTAATTAATTCATGATTTATTAAATATATCAATTATCATAACCATTTTCAACCAAAATTTAGAAACTGCAGAAATAATTTTGAGAGTTCTCAACCCACTTTTTGAAACTCCTTATCTAAATTTTCAAAATTTAAAAAAATTAAAGATCAATATTTCTTTGATTCTTATTAATATTTATCATTCTAATCTGAATAAAAATAATCCTATTGTTTACGATTATTTTAATTTATAATACTGTTCTAAATTTCAACCAACTTTAAGAGGTATTGTAAATCCTAATACTTAAATTTAAATTGATTTAGATGTTGAAAATGAATAAATCAATAATTTTAGTTATTCATTTCAATTATAAGCTTAAAGTATCTTCCTCTTGAATCTTTTGGGAAGATATTATAATGGATTTCTAAAACATTAATATATAAAGATTTTTCTAAAGTTGAAACTAATTACCTTAAACTTAATTACTTATGTGATTTTAAGTTGAGAAACCTTTTTTTGATAATTAGAAATATGTACATTATTATTTATGAATTGGGACTTTCTATTGTTAATACTCTGATTTTGATTATAAACAGGAAACTTAAGGAGTTCTTTAAATATCAAAGACCACAATCAATTGATAAATTACCCACTCCAAACACTGTTAATGGTAATAACTTCCTTAAAGTAATTCTTAGAGTTGGAGACTTAAAAATTAAGATAAGATTCAATAGCGAAATAACACAAAAAACTATTTTTAAACCACATAGATACGCAAAAAAGATAACAACAATTAAAGAAAGCAAGATATCAGAATTAATATCATCCTACTCGTAAACTGTTTTCGAAGATGATAAAAAAGGGGTGATGAAGATTTGATTTAATTTTACCACATATTTTATGAGAGGAATGTAAAAAAAATAAAATTATTTGAAAAATGAAAAATTCTAGCCAAAAAAGCTATAAATTTGAAGGACTTTGTTTAGATGTATTTATCTATTATATAGTAGCGACTTTATCAATCAGCATTGTCATTAAAAAAATTACTATTATAATATATATTAAGCAAATAATTCATCAAAAATACCATATTAAACTTCTGGTTCAATTGCATTTTTGAGATTTTTATTGCATAATAATAATTAAGCAGTAAAGTAAATGTTAGAGTAGGAAAAATCATATATTGGTTGGTTCAATGAATAAGGGCAATGTGTCATACAAATAGTAGTGATGATAGTTTGCTTTGGTGACTGATTATCTGTAGATAATTTGATTGTTACTCATTTGTAAAGCATCTCCATGGGATAAAATTTTAAGAGATTTTTTCATTTATTTTATTATTAAATAATAATAATAATTAAATTTATAAGTTTACATAGATGGACTATAGAAGTGAAGTAACAAAAAAATCTTATAAGCTAACCTAATATCTTAAGATATATAATTAAGATTTTGAGTGTTTATTGAATATGGAAGATGTCAAATAAAAATTGAATTAGTATTGAGTTATCTAAATTATGTATGGGATTTGAATTCATTTTCTTTCATATATTTAACTTTCTTTTGATTTTTCGTCCTCAAAATTTCCATATTTGAATTTAGTAGAATATATTTCCGATTATTTATAAAACATTACATTAGCATTTTTAATAGAAAATAAATTTATTAAAAAAAAATTTGGCTACTTTTCTTTTATTAATCTTTTCTAAAAATGCAAAACGAATTATATTTCAATATCAATGATCCCTCAACATAACTAGATCAACCCCTAGATCTTTAATATCATAATTATTAAGAGGAACAGTTGAGCAATCATAATACTTCCACATAAATTTATTATTTCCCATTAACTGAAGAGCCAGGAACCAGGTATCTAAAGAAACAGCATCTTATACACTCTAACTTGATCAATTCTGAAGTTCCTCCTAAATAATTGCCTCAAGCTTCTAAAGAATAAGGTAAACATAAAGAAGATGATTGCAGTGAGCGATGTGATTCATCACTATATTTTTAAGAATATTAACTAATTCAAATTTAACACCCCGATTCTGAAATTACTCCAATAGGATTTAAGAATCTACCTAAAACTTTTTTGTCTAAGCAAAAGAGGAGAGTAAATCAAAAATCTGAAGCCATATACAAGCAAATAATCTTTACTTAAATCATTATTTATTGGATAGTTGAAATCTATGTTGCATAATTGGGTTCTAAATATTTAAAACAATTTGGCAAGATGACTTAAAATTGCTGTGCTTTCATCCATTAGAACATTCAATTACTTATTGGAGTAATATTTGGTGATAATAAATTAATCGAACAAGAGAAAAAAAATAACTTAGCAATTTTCCATCCTCTCAGTAATAAAATACTTTAATATTTATATTCTAAAAAAGCAGATGAATTCATTATGGAAGTAAAGTTGTAAGAATTTAGACGATTTATTTAACACCTCAAAGAATAACAGTACATAAAAGACCATGGCTATTTAATAAAGATAGAAATAATAATAAAATAAAAAAAAGATGAATGATAAAATGAAATAAAATCAAATGTGGAAGAGAGAGAATGAATCTATTAATTAGAATCAAATCATATAATAATCAGTTCAACAAAATGGATCTCTGTGTAACTCTTATCCTATGATCCCAACTTCCACTAATAATCAACTCTCTTTCAGGCATATATTCAAGTGCACTAATTTATTCGGAATGTCTTTTTGCAGTTAAGATAGTCTTTCCTGTTGCAATGTCCCAGCATCTAATAGTTCTATCAGCTCCGCCAGACCATAATTATCTATTTTCGATATCAAAGGCTAGACAAGTGACTGCTTCTTAATGTCCAGCAAAAACATGTAGTCTAATGCCCCTATCCAGATTCCATATAATAATTTTTCTATCTGCTCCTCCCGAAGCAATGACTGACATAAATTCCCCCATGAGTGATTCTTGTAGATACTTCAAACATAATATTTCTCCAGTATGTCCTTCTAATTAATCTCTGCAATATCCATTCAATATATTGAACACACTTAGAATGTTCTCACCTCCACTAACGATAAGTCCCTTGGCTTAAACATAACATAATGCTCTAACTTTTGAACTATTTTACATGGTGAGTTTTAACTTAGGCCTATTAGTTGTCCATATTTTAATTGTGCTGTCTAAACTACCTGATGCTAATTGTTCTAAATCCTTTAAATACACCAAAGCCTTCACAGGTTGCAGATGTCCAACTAACACACTTTCACATATCATTCTTTAATAATTCCAAATCCTCACTGTTTGATCTGCACTTGCACTACCGAAACTACTTTCATTTATCTTAGTTAATGCCCATACATCTCCTGAATGTTCATTCATCTACCCCAATGCCAATCCTCCGTCAATATCCCATATTTTAATGATACCTCCTCCTCCAGCAGAGATTAGAGAAGATTAGGAGAAGATACAAATGCAAGTCACGATATCTGTATGTCCACTTAATACTGTGTTGATAGCTTTTGCATAAATGTATCTAGATCCGCTTTGTTCTACTGAACTTCGATTTTTGGGCAGATTGAATCCTTCCTCTGCTTTGTAGACTCTTGCAGACTTTCTTTCTGGTTGTTAATGATCTCTCAATAACTCCATTGCATTTCTTTTGAATTCGCTCATTGGGTAAAATGCCGATTTGACTAACTCTGGCTCCTAGTCTATTTGTACATTCATGGCTCGCTTTTATTCTATTTGGAATTCATTGTTCTTGAATAAATTATAAGACTACAGTGCTTTTCCTAGAGCTGTTTTTACGATAGCATAAAAATGATCAGTGCGCATATATAACTGATTCTCCAGAACTTGTTTCGAAATTACTTCAGCCTTTTTGGTTAGAGTGGGTAAAATGTTGCCAAGCATCTTATCTTGAAAATCCATCATTATTCCAAATTGACTTTCATTTATTGGTCGCACTCTCGTTGTGTAAGGGGCTACCATATTTAAGTGCTCAGATATTACTCCGAGCAAACTGCCGATATCAGTTTCATACTATTTATAATAGGAATTTGTATAATCCAAAGCAGAGGAGCAGAAGTCATCCACTTCAGCATTTATTCGAGATTTCAGAACATCAGATAGTTTGATCAATTGCTTCTTGAGTTAGTCCTTCTCGATCGTCATATGATTTTGAATGGAGTACAATTTGGCTTTGAGAGTATCAAGGTCTTTCTCAAGCAACTGTGGAACTTATTTAATTTGATAATCCATGTCTGATAGATTTTGAATCAAAGGGTAATGCTGAGCATTATGCTTGATCATACATTAATTACACAATAATTTCTAGTTGCAATCTTTGACTTGACAGATCAGAGTGTAAGGAGCATTGTGTTCGAAGCATTTCATTAATTAATTTTTATAATTACAGTTTTACATTTAGGTTCTAAATGCATAGAAGTATACAAACAATGTAATAATTATTTTAAAAAGAGATTTATTATTTTCAATACAAAGCAGTAAACTGTATTTCTGGAAGTGGTCTCTCTTCCTGCTTAATTTGCATTTGCTTTAACATTCTTGAGTACAGAATATCGTAATGGCCCTCATTGTATTTCAAACTAATGAAGTTGGCTTGATCGTTCCTCACCTTATTAAGTTTCGGCTCAAGGGTTTACATCGATTGAATTGGATGTTTATCTGAAAAATTAATCAACTTCACCTTCAATTAAGTAATTTCACAAAAGAATTATATTGATAAAAAATCTCCTTCCTCCTCGAAACTACTGTTCCTCTCTAAGAATTCCTCTGAAGTGCTCTCATCCAAGAAGTTCTGATATTCTCCTTGTTTAGAGTACAACTTATAACTCTATATTATTGTCGATCGCATGAAGATGATGAGCATGTCATAAAAGCCATTCACTCTGTTGATGTAATGAAGGATCACTTCTGAAAACATGAGCAAATCATTATTGTACTTTTTACTAAGCTTTTTCAACTCTTGAAAGATCTTCTTTATCAAAGTAAAGACCATTGGTCTATCTATCATCGTAGCCCTTCATTTTGTAAAATATTTACTTGTTCCAATAGATTTCATGAGCCACAAACTGATTTAATACCGTATCAAATAGGTTATTAATATATATCAACTCCAAGTAGGGAAAGAGTAAACTTGAAAATAAGCAGTTCCCGTCCCCTCTCACTCTTCTTAAATACTAAAATTCATCTAGATAATCCTTACAGGAAATTATGTAACGATCAATTAAATAATTGATTTCTCAGCCGCCAAATCAGATAAACAATCTGACTTTTCCAACCTTTCCACTGCCCCAAAGTAATCCACCTTCATTCCCTCTAATCGATTTTAACGAACTTGGTTCATCCTCTCCAACACTTCAAACTCTAAAGCCGAACAGCGTTGACTTGGTTGACTTATTTATTTAAATGATTGTAGTTCTAATTAATTATAATTTATACATTTCTCTCCTCTCTATTATATTTTGGTAGTCACAAAATTGCTAATTTTCTCTGGGTTTTCCATATTGGTCTCTTCGTCTTCATTAAATTTAACTAAATTTATTGTTTCACAAAGATTGTTTTAACAATTTTCTTCTTTTTATCCCTTCAATTGATCTGCTGCTACTTTTGATTAATTCAAAGTGTTTGATTGCTATATCATTATGGGATCAGACTGAATTTATTCAATCTATATATGTTATTTTATTGGGGATTCCTTCTAATTTTCAGATTTTCTAATCCCAATAGTTCTCTCAAAATTTTTCATTGAGGAAATATCCCTATTCTTCAACTCCATTAAACTTAATTGTGATATTATTATTGATTGTGCAGCATATTCAGGTATTACTTATTCCTAATTTTATTTCTCTTGATCCTAGAATGTGGGTTCTATTAGAACTTCCTAGATTTATCCCTATTGTTCAACAAGCTGATCATAAAAGTTAATTTAATTCCCCATCTATTGTTAATCAGATTTTTTATTCTATTCCAAAGAAGAGCAGGTTTAGAACTTGGATTCCATTTATAATGCTGCATCATCCGAAAACAATTTATGATTAATTGGGACTGTTTCATTCATATCTGGAAGCTGCTCTGTTTTCACTATGTTTCCTTGTTTGTAATAATGGCTGTTATTCTGCTAGTTATTATAGGGCATTTGAGGCTTGCCATTCACGTTGGTTGTGTATGATTTATTCGTATATTCATTGGGTTTTGGATTTTATCGATCGCATTAAGGACTATTTGGAATTTAAGAAGGAAATCTTGATACAATATTAAAGTTCTTTATTGGTTAGCTTGAATTTTAGGTGTCGAAAATCTTAGACTTTTGATGATCCTTAATAATGCTATTAGTGCCACCTTACATAAAAATTTCTCTGTTTGTGATTCTAATCTAAGATTCTTAGTAAGGATTTTATGCTCTGTAGTCATTAATACCAGTTTTCAATTCTGGCTATCTCTATTAGCTCGTCTGGTTGTTGTACATATGTTCTATTTTTCCTGATTTCTGATACATTTTCAAAATTTTTATAAACTAATTAATTTCAATACTCACACTCGTTTGAATTATGAGTAGTTATTAAAATATATCAATATATTTCGAGATGTATTTGGATGAAATATTATACGAGCAAGTTACTAATTATAGATGCTTATTTTATTATTTAATTATTTATTATTCTGGAATTAAAAATGGATAGTGTGAAGAAGGAACACTCATACACCTATTGGGTTAAAAATGACCCCAATCATCCCAAAATAGATTGCTAACCAAAGAAGGTGGAAGACCCTTCTCAAGTATAACAAGTGCAAACTATAGGATCTCAATGGAATGTATCAGGAACATGGGAGGAAAAGAAAGTGCCAATGGGTGAACTCAAGAAATCCCTTGAAAATATCATAGGAGTAAGAGTTACATTTAATGTCTATTTTTAGATGAAGATCGGTTAAACCAAGATTTCAGCAGTCGAATCAGTTGATGGCGAAGCTCATCTATATTTGAGTAGAGGGAAGAAGAGAATGGGTTATCACTTGAAAATCACATATGCATTAGAAGACGACGGATAAATTAAATACACAGACTTTACTGATGATGGAGATAGAGATGTAAGAATTTAAAATATATTATAAGTATGTGCTCGAAGATGTCACTGATTAAACAGTCAAGCATTAAATCGAGGACTTACATTTGATAACCAAAGAATTTATAGAAATATTTAAGAATTGACTGTATTGAATTGTGTATTTAATTTATTATTACAATACTTTTCTGAAAATAGGGTATTGGGTTAATCTATTCTTTCGTTTCTAGAATCAATCCTCAATCATTTATGATCAAAGCATAAATCCTACTTTAAAAATAGAAAGGCTTCTTTATTTAAATGTGAAACAGAGCCTCATCTAAATGCAATTTCATTTCTTAAATAAAACATAGCTTCCTAAGGTTTCTCATATTAGAATCACATCTATTAGGCACAACTATTTAAATAAATAATTTATATATTATTTTTTCAATCACAGAACTAATGGTATCAAATTACTATTTATGTATATGGCAAAAGTAAAATGATTCTTTTTATATGAAGAATTTTGATTTTTAAGTAGAAATTCAGTTGAAGTGAGCATTTATAAATCTTTAATTTGATAACTAATATTATATTATCAAACGACACAAAATTCATTGAAAATAATAGATATTAAGATAAAGCAATCTCTGAAGTATCTTATAAATAGTAAATAATGATGCATAATTAAAATATGTTAAAATGTTATACTACTTTAAATATCAGAATAAACTATGTATTTGTAGGCCATCTTGATCGTAATCATCTAAGGTGTAGAGGTTTGGCAAAGCTTTATAAATTAATTTATAGTATTGTTATGTTTGGCATATTGGGTTGAAAAGCAATCTCAATTCTAATAGGTTTGCATCGGCAAGCAATTTGAGATTGGCATCATCGACAATCTGATTGCTAGTTCAAATAGGAATGGTATTTACTCTTGGAGAGAAAGTATTTTCAATTTTTTGAGATGGGCTATTTCTTTGAAACATTGGTTGGTCAATTCGTTTGATTCTGCAATCAATATTTCGATATCTTGTTGATCGGAGAGAAAGGAGAGATCTTTGAGTTTCAGTCCGCTGACATCCAATACTTTAAGGTTGGGTTTGAGGGGCAACTTGAGTGTTCTGACTTATTTCTGATAGTGTAATTCTTTATTATACTCTTAATTTTCCATAGGTATTTTAATTAATGTGAATAATTGAATATTAATAATGTAAAAAATAAAATAAGACGACGATGAAGAGTTCAACTTTAGAAGGCAGTTTGAGATTTAATAGAATGTAGTGGAGCCGAAGCAACTCTCCAAAGTATTATGATGTTGTTAAATAGTTCAAAGACATATTGAATCAGGCTATTGATTTGAATAAGAGAAAGAAAAACGAATTGGCTACTTACAATAGAAGATAAGTAACTGAAGAAAGCACAAATTATACTCAACAACAACTCGATCTTATACAAGAGTAGACTGACGAAGTTCTAACTTATTAATAATACTTGAAGACGAAGTTAGATGAAATCTTAAAGGCCAAGTTATTAACAGATAGGAAAATCAATTACTACTAAGATAATCTACGTCATATCAAGACTCAGCCTGATCATGTTCAAAGAGAACTAGATGATTAAGTGAAGATGATGCTCAAGAAAACCTAAACTTTGACTCACCAATTTCAGAAAGAGATGGAATAATTTAAGAGTCAGTCTGAAATGAATCAAGAGAAGTATTCCAGAGAAGTGGAAATTTGTGAATAGGAAGTCAAGGAAATCCAGTTGAAAATAAAAAGATGTAAATAAAAGAATTCTGAATTATTAAAATAAATTCGTATGTTAACTGAACAGGAAGAATAAAAGAAACACTAATTATAGGAGTGTTTCAAAATTAGTGAGTATATTGAATTTTTTATGGATGCCAAATTAAATGTTGTTGATTAAATATAAGGAAATTAGGATTAATAATAAGAGTTGGGTTAGACATTTCAACAATAGCAAATTGATAAGACATTGACAAGACACGAAATCTTGAATCAAGTGGATGAATTCTATAAGACCTAAGATATTGATCAATTGACCAAATAAATTATAAGCACTTATCATTATCTGTTGGAACACCAGAATATGCAAACTAATGAATACAACTTTTTTACCGAGGAGAAAGCCTTAAGGTAACAACAAATCTTGCAATTGAACTATGAATTATCTCAACTCAAGAGCATTTGCAATATTCCGCTTGATGACCAAAATAATTTCGGTTCCTATAATAATACAATTATCGAAGGACCATAAATCATTCATGAAAATTATTAGTTGAATTTTCATTTACATGGTTATCAATTATGTATAATAACCATATACTAGAAATTGATTGATATGATCCAAAGATTATGTATCAATGTGATTTGGTTATCAGAAACCACCAAATCTATTCCCAAAACATTGGATAATAAATGCATGCAATATCTCAAAAATTTTACAAAGACTGATTTCAATTTATATGTTCCACTTGCTACTTAGAGTATTCATGTTAATAAATCCACGACCTCTAAACATTTTGGCCAATACGTTTGTATTGGAAAGAGGAATGGCAGTATTACTAGTGAAGAGATTCCTAGTGAATAAAAAATTGAATCCATGACAAGATTACCTAATGAACAATTAGCCAAGTTTAAAATGCATAAAGATTATGAATTTATTATCAATTAATGGAATGATATCATAAGGAATGATTTCATTACCTAAACTCTACAATTAGACATTAATTTTGATAATATTGATATCACATTAAGCAACCATGAAATTATATGTTAAATGTATGATCAATACTCTAAACTAATTAAAGAAGCTGATATATAAAAACACTTTTAAATACAATTTTCATATTATAGAGATATTATGAGACACATTTACAAAAATAATCAAAATTTTAATTTTAAAGCTTTGACATTGAAATAAAAATTCAGCAACGAAGTTACTTCACCTTATTTGTTGTAAATTAAACAAATTTAATTGAAGAGATTGTAGGAATAGGTCAATAATTCGAATCTAGATGATGAATGCAACTTTAAAATGCATTCAAATAGGGCTATTAATGCATCTGATGATAGAAAATATCATGAATACTTCATTCATCAAAGTTCAAAAATCAAGAAACAATTTCCAGCCCTGCATGAAAATTTAGTTACCAAAACTCTATAAGATATTGATGTTATGAGACAAAAGGAATTGAATGAAAATTATCAATAATCTGACTAGATTTCATCAGACATGGATTACTTGAATTAAGAGAGGAGAAATCTAAAAGGAATACTTAGTAAATAGAAATAAAAACCTTCAACTGCTCATTCCTAAAAATCTAAGACGGAATCACATGAAACTTCCAGCACTAAAACCAAAATTATTAAACAAGTTGATTTATTACACAAAATAAACAAACGTAAGAATCTTTTTATTAATCATCATTAGTTTCATCCTAAACTCGTAAATTAGAAACCAGTAATAGTTTCAATGCTGATTTAAGTAAATTTACTTAAAATGTGAAAAGAAAAATATCTGATTACTTTACTTAAAAATTGGATATGGATTTTTGTCAAAAGGAAGAAAGTAGAATTCTGTAGAAGCCAAGTTAATTTGAAAAAACTCTCTCTGCATCCAGATCAGTCGATCCTTATTCCATGACTCCTTATTCAGAATAAGTATTCTCACTAGATCGAATCGATTCTTTCCGACAGATCCAGGATTCAACATAGTTAGGAAGTGCCAAAAAAGACAAGGCCTTTTTAATAAAAAGAAAATGAATGATTCTTAATTATATTAATATTATTAATCAACACTAACTATAAACTCAAATATTATACTGAATAATCAAATATAAGTTTTTATTTATTTTTTTTATTCAAAAAATATCTTTAGAAATATAAATAGTAGATTTTTTAATTTTTTGATTTTTGTGAATATTTATTAAAAACAGAGTAAAAATTCACGCAGATTAGTGATTCTTAATTCAGGAGGTATAAGAATTATGCAAAACCTTTAATAAAGTTGTGATTATAAATGATATTATTGAGACAAGAGAGTTTTATGCAAATTTTTTTATATTCATAAGTTATTAATTTATAAGTTATTAGAAAAGTGGTTATTTTTATATGTTCGTCCCTGAAACACTAACTATTTAATAATCTCCTCAACATTAGTTCCAAACTATTGACTAATCGCAATAACAAATAAATCCATTAGAGACCATATAATTTGGCTAAATGAAAAAATCAGCCAAAATAGTTCCAGAGCTCAAGATTAGGAAAATATATCTAATGAAGGTTAGCGATAATGAAATAATTAGGATAAATTACGAAACAAGCATGTTTGGATAGAGTTATAAATAAACCAATACCGATAATAAGATTCAATTATTCCCGATGAGACGAGTAAGAAATTCAATATCTTAAATATTAGAATTCTGTAGAATTTGTCTGTGTGATGATGGCAACTCTACTTTGATAAGACCTTGTAATTGCAAAGGTTCCCTCAGGTTCATTCATGAGAATTGCCTGAAAGTTTGGATATTGGAAAAGCAAGGCATAGAGTAGGTATACAAGAATGATGTAAGTTCATTTGTTAAATAATTAGATAGATTGTGAAGTTTGTCATACAAAATTTTAAATGGAAACTAAGTTTTTAAATCAAAAACAATTTAGAATGTTAAAAAAAGCACCAAGAGCCAGAATTTGTTGTTGGGCAGTTGAGATAATAGTGACTCTAGGGATAATCGGAACAATAATTGCATTGATCTTTTAGATAATTGTAAGATTAGAGTATTATCAATCTAGAATGGTAGTCTTGAACCCATATTATTAGCTGGCACAACTGTGCTCTGTATAATAATGATCCTAATAATATCTTTGGTGTACGTAAGTTGTATCGATCAAGTGACAGTTGAAGTGCTTGATCCTTGGAGAATCCTCGACGTGCAAGGGGAAAGTGAATCGAAGTCGATTTCAATCATTGAGTTGGATAACCAAAACAAGCAGACCATCTAGACTATAAACCATAATGAGGAAAGACATGACATGCGATATTCGACTATTAATGTGGTTAAGATATAGAGTTGATAAGAATTACTATTTGTTTATGATTTTATTGCACTTGTATAAGATATTTTGTATATCCAAAGTTGTACATTAAAATAAATAATTAATCCAGATGTCAAAGCCTGAGAAAGTAGATTTGAAAATTCTAGGTAGAGTGCGCCATCTAATTCCTAACAATTTCATCATTGAAAGGATTAAAAAGCATGAGGTACAAAAGAACACTGGGTAAAAGTCTATTGCTTATATTATTAGTTTAGTTAAGACTATTGAATTGCGATCGTCCAAGAGATTTACGTTGGAGTAGAACGATAAATATGATGAGTTCTGCGATGTTTTAGATTCATTCACTTTTGGTAATGACTTAGAAGTGATTAAATAATTTGATAATTTCAAAGAAACCATCAAACCTAAAATAGCGAAGGGATCTACATTTGGTGTTGTTGATGGTGTCGAGAGTATTGATTTAAATACTTTACAAACAAAGAAGGGTAGTTTTAGGACGATACAGGATAAAACGAATCTAATTGTATTTTGGGTATTTATGCAAATTGTTATTCTTTAGTCTTCTTTAGTTCCCAAATCAAGAAGGGCACTTGAACAATTGAATTAAATGTTGAAGTAAAATCAAGATCTAAAATTGTAAATAAAACCCGTAGCCATTTCTTTAGATGGTGATTTCAATAATCTTAGATCTTACTTTAGAGACAATAAAATAACAGAATTCGAACATTATCGATTCTCCTTAGGATGGGATTCATCAAATGAATTTTAGAAGGCATTGGAATTAAACTATTCACCTAAAATTGTTGTTGTTGGCAAAGACAATTATGTTGTAGATGTAACAACCAAATCTAAAAAAATAGAAAACATCATTAACACATATTTTAAACTGGCTGAATCAGTTGAAGAATCTGAAGATATTCAAAAACCAAAAGATATTATTGAAAAAGAAACATATAAATAAATAAAAACAACATTAATTTAAACTATTGCAAATCAATTATCTCAAAATAATAAATTGGAGAAAAGCGATTTCTTTAAACTAAATTTAATTAAAAGTCATAAAATATCTCATGATGGTACTCAAGAACTAGTCGAAAGAAGTCAATTACATGTAGCATATGATGTCTCTGTGTAATCAGAATAAGCTATTGTAAAACTTTTGAATGAACTTAAAACCTAATTGGGCAATAATCACATTCAAATATAGAAATAATTAGTCAAAGATACGAATGGAATTGTAAAGAAGATATCCGATGCATTTTAGGATGCTTTGAAATAGAATAACAAAGTAGTTTCAGATTATACAATCAAAACAGAGAGTTTCAATTATGTTAATGAAAAAGGAGTATTCTAATAAGATGTTTCATAAATTAATAAGAAAGGGATATAGAATTTAACATTTTAGGAATATCAAATTATTTAATCATAAGTTGAACCCATTTTTAAGAAATATTAAGAAGAAATTGATGAAAGTGATGAAGAACATGATCATGATTCAGAATAATAATTAGATAGGGATATAGTAAATAACCATATTAACCAATTAACAGATACTCTGAGATCTGGATTACAATTAACTGTTGGTTAAAGGTTTTAAGCAATATAGCATTACCATAAATTTGGAAAAGATCAATAAGAAGTAATTGAACATAAAGAAAATGAAATTTTAATCATTTTCTACTGGAATAATAATAAAGAAAGTGATAGGCTAATCCCAACAATAATCAAATTCTTGCTTGCTAATGAAGACTCCTTTAAAGATAAAGTGAGGTTTGTAGCTTTGAGTCAACATAGATTTGATCATTATTAGCATTATTTCAGTAAAAATGAAGGTATTGAAGAAGTTATTGATTTCTATTTCCCAACAGAAGAGAATCAGGCAGATTTAGTTTAATATAATGTGACTTAATTTCCTCATTTCGTTGTTGTTAATAAGATTGGAAATATTAGTGTATTATCAGGTTAAGTAGAAGATTTAGAGTCTTTAATAGAACATAAATTAGAGGAGGGAGTTGATAATCTAAAACAAATTGTTAATTTAAGTGAGGAGAAGTACAATTAAATTGTTTAGTTTTTGAATTCTGATGCATTAACCAATCTTGCTTAATTGAATAATAAAAGACAATTTTCTTTAAATATTACTTTCATAGAGTTTTAATGTGGTGAAAATAGGACTAGATTAGCTCCAATCTTAAATTATACAATAAGAGAAGGCAAGGAAAAGTATTTTGAGACTTATCTGAAACTTCTCAATAAAGTTAACCAGTTTTAAGTGAATAAGACAACTTAAAAAACATTCAATCTTCTATTTCCTGGAAAGGCTTGTAAATTATGTTAGAATGAATTAAATGAACAAACTCCTCAATATTACAGTCCATTTTCTGATGCATTTTATTGTGTGAAGTGTGCTGAAGTATTTGATGCAAAAGCAATTGGAAACAATAAATTAAGAGTAAAGGACAATTTGATCTTCTTCAATGCTCCTTTAGTCGATAAATCTGTGTTGAATGATATAGATGTAAATAGATTAGGAAACAATTTGAAAGTCAAGAAAGGGGATCCTTACTCTTAGAGACATGCTATAGATTGCAATGGTTGTGATAATGAAATCAGAGGATTTAGATACATTGTGTTAAATTGCTTACCAGGGAAATTAACAGATATGGTAAATATTCATGTAGTAACAGTTCTTAGGCTCTGGTTGATTTCTGTTAGGATTGCTTTAATTAGATTAGATAAGGGGGACCACATCTGGAGAAGATAGTGAAGAGAACCTCTATGTATGGGTACAATCCGTCTATGTTATTGTTAAGAATTCCATTTTATATGGGATATTATGAGTATTGAGTTTTTAGACAGAATTTGGATATATAAATTAATGTATTAATATATATATATATAAATGTCATCAATTCTTTCTATTAGATAGATTATCTTTAATGAGCTCTGCCATCTTTAAAAATAATAGAATGATGTCCCAATAAATGGTTACACTTCCACTCACGTCATCTGCCTTATTGATATCGTAGGAGTCTCCGCAACTAGATAATGGATCTATAATACTTCAGGTTAGTGTAAGTGTCGTAAAGCAATAGAAAGGCGAATAAAAAGGAGGACAGAGATATGAACATGATCCAAAAGAGGGATATCTTGGTGAATATTGTGAACAGTTCAAACACTATCAAGATGCTCGCTGAGACAAACAAGACAGCTCCTGAATATGTTATCTTTCTTCTTACGGTTGATGAGTATAAAAATAAAAAGAATATTAAGCCTATTTAAAAACTTTAACTTACTTGCAAAATTAACAAAGAGCAACAACCCTATTTAGGAATTACCAAAGGCAACCAAGCAACCACAAACAGAGGCAAATGACAAGGTGAATACAATGAAGACTAGCCAATTCGTAGGAGACACGGTAATTCGATTGCGATAAATCAAAGCCAAGGTGGCTGTTCCTATACAGATTCCCAAACTCAGCCAAAATATCCATTTGGTTTCTTCCAGGAAATGATCTAAGGCAGGTATGGAATGCACAATCCATACGTAGACACCTATGTGAATTAGAAGGACTTACATATGATGATCATTTGCAAGAACAATTTGGAAAAGAGGTTTCTGGCATAGATGACTCTGCCATTGAAGGACTGATCGTAAGCATTGACGACTTCAGTGGTTTGAGCTTGCTTATTCCTTGTGGAAAGACGAGGATCTCCAGTTCGAATAGAGCTTTCAAATAACATAATAATTTTAACAATAATTATAAATACTTGAGTGTGTGAATGAAATACTCTTCTGTATCCTGTATGAATACATTTTGTGTGATAATTAATGAATAAAATTGAAATAGAGAGTCTGGACTCGAGATTAGGAATTATATGTTGATATAATCAATAATTATATTAATTTTCATAAAAATGGATTAGGAAATCAGGCCAAAGCGTTAGAGCATTTTAAAGCGACAATCAACTTTCGATAAGCCGAATTACATGGAGGAGAAAGAGAAGCAACACCAATAAAATTAGAATAATATATAAGAGGACTTGCATGTCCAAATAGATAGTAGTGTGAAGATCATCACAATTCCTGAGGTTCATGAGGCCTAGGTGATTCAAGAACAAGATGAAAGTATGTGATTGTTGTAATAGTTAAGTTCATTTTCCAAAGAAAGTCAATAATTTAAGCGAGGCCGAACTCATTAAGTTAGCATTAAAGTATGATGATTTACCTTATATCTAGAAAACCTTAAATATGGGAGGAAGATGAATAATGACTGTTATGATTTATATATTGAATGCATATATCATATAATAGTTTGCACTGAATTCTTATAACACCAATAAAATTAATTTTTGAATGAAAGTGAAAACCCCTTAACTTCTTGAGACTCCAGCCTCCCTCTTATCTCTGTCTGGATCGATCCTGAAAGCGAATGAAGAATTAAGGAAACTGTGAATTTTAATTTCTTTTTTAATAATTATGTAAATGTTTTACTAAAATAACTTATACTGAATCAATAAACATTGAATAAACATAAAGTGCACATTCAATAAGTTAAGAATAATACTATGAAAGTAATATCATCAATTAAACTATTGCATTTTTGCATCCAACTGTTGCAAGCACTCAACAATAACTGATTGCAAGCCCCCTCAATGTTTGATGTATCATAATATGGGGAGATGCAATTTATTATTTGGTCATCGCTCAGGAACTCAAATAACCCATCACTCCCCAATACTATCACCTTGTCACTCCTCTCCAAATCAAATTACAAGATCTCAGGCTTATCACTGACTCCTACTGAATGCGCTATTTCATCACCTAATGATCTTGTCATTGCTAAACCAGGCACGTTCTGATTTGTCCACACTCTCAGAGGACCCACAAAAAGACCCAAACTGTTCATTAGAGGATCTATCCTGCCTCCATTAGCCAGTATTCGATCAGCTTCATCTTTACAACTTGGTTTGTGATCTCTTGACAATGGTTTCATTTTCCATTTATCTTCTCTACTCAATAGAATGGCCCTGGAATCTCCCAAATTTGCACAATAAATCTAACCATATCAACAATACAATAACCTTATTATTTTAAACATACACTATCACCAGAGTAGACCCTGAAAACGAAATATCAATATGACTCTACTGTAACATGTCAGACAGTCCTTAAATTATGATCATCAAGCCTTGGGAAGAACTAAATTTATATTTCATCTTTTGTACTTCCTCTCCAACATCATTTTATTCTTGGAAACCAATATGGGCAATTGAGTTTTTATCAACCCACTTACCAAATGTCCAAGTTCTCCATGTCCATCGCAAATTGCAAAAAGATGAATGCACTCATTGTTTTCAATCTTCGCACAACACACATAGGCATCCTGATTCACTTTAGATGCATTGCCCAATTAGACTCCCTTTCTAGTTCTAACTGCGTATTTGGCTTTGAATCTAAAACTATCATCAGGAATCAATCTCGATTGAACCTTTACTAATTCTAAATAAAAGCGATACTCAAATTGTTTTGAAACTACACTTTTTCTTAGTGAAAATTTCTTGGTCTTACTTTAAATGATGTGATCAATGAGGATTGTGGTGAATTCTTCGATTCTTGAAAACTTATCTATGCCTTCTTCTTTTAGGGGGTAAATTATGGGAGAATAGTTCTAGGGGATGAACGTTGATAATAGGATGAATTCTCGAAATACTAGTTTTTAACATATAAGGATGTTTCAAGTTTGAGAGGAGTGAGAATCAAATTAACCTTCTTTTATTATTTGCCCTTTGAGAGATTATATTAATTCATTTATTTCATATTATATTCTAAAATAATATTGGCTTCATCTTTGATAAATTGGAACTACTATTAATTTTAGCAATTATCAATATAATCTTAATTAATTGATAGTTATATATATCTATATATAATTATTCCTAATTGTAAAACATTTAATAAAATCTTGGGTGTAATTTAACATAGATATATCAAGCTTCAACCTTATTTATGATTTCTACAGTATCTCCAGGACTACATAGATTAGCACATGGATATAAATCTTAACTAGTATCCAAATTCATGGTCTATTGTTATTTAATATTGGTGATTACAAATTTAATCTCTGTTTTCTTCTTCTGCCAAGTGATTTTCTTTTTTGGGATGTCCACTTCTATCACGATGATGTCTCCAACTCCAAAATCGAATGATTTATGGGCCGAATTCAAGTCTTTCTAGAGGTGTGACCATGAGTATGCATTGTTTGATATGAGATAGGATCTACAATATGGACATGACATTACCCATGACCAATATTAGTATAATTGAACTTATAATTAGCACTCACAATCACTTCTCTATGACAAACACCAACTCCAATCCAGCCAGCATATTTAATTACTTTGAAACCAAATTTGAAGACTCCATTCTTCGGAATGCATGGTTCGCAAATAGTAAATCTCTGTCCATTGGATTCAGAAGTCTTCTATTCAGCAATCAAGTTTTGTCCTGATATTGGTAATGTTGGCACCCTTAAATTGCGGGAGAAAATGAAAATGAAATTGATTGCACTAAATCAACAGCCGTTATGGGTTGAGCTCTAAACAAATTACCCAGGTTCTCAACTTTCACGTCCAACTCATTTTGTAAATCGATCAATTGATCATTCAGCTGTCCAACCTGAATTTTGCATGCATTCATAATTGCAGAATCAATGCTCTGTCTACTCGCTATTCCATTACTGAAGACGAATTATTATAGAATTTATCTAAATAATGAGTTTGAATACTGAATATTCTTTTTGTATTGTTGAAAATCAGTGTAGCTGGAGACTGAGTCTAAAAGATAGTGGATTGGGATCTTAGAACTAGCAAAGGCTTTCAGCTGATTTTTGAGATCCAAATAATAGGTATCCAACTTCTTAATTAACTATTTCGATGTATTCTCCAATGCCTCAATGAATTTTTGCACCTAATTTGATTAGAATTTAGTATTCATACAGTTCGCAAACACTCGTTATGCTATCGATCTAGAAAGAGCGAGACATCGAAGATGCTGTTATAATTCTACTCGCCAGTATTATTATGAGCAGTCTCGACTAATTGCAACATGATTTTGATTGGCAAAGTTTGATGATTCTGATGATCTGCATGTTCGCAAAGAGCTTTAATTTAAAAAAGTTGAATTTACGACAAATTAATACAGTCTCATTACAAGATTTATCAGTGCAGATGATGGAAAGCACATGTCCATTATGAATGGGGCAAGGGAAATAATTCATAATTCAATATTTTATATTTTATATATACAACCCATTGAAATTTTTAAAAGTATTACACTTAGTATTAAATAAAATCAATAAAATTTAATGATACTCATTTCTCAGGGTGGCTAACGCTTTTGAGGTTAATTGGAACGATGAGGTTGCACAGATTGCTATGGCTTCCCTTATGGTTTATTCTAAGGTTTATGCTATGGCTTTTGTTAAGGTCTAGAATTGGCTTTCCTTCTATTTTTATCTACATAATAGGAAGATAGATAATACCAGAATCTGAATCCTCGTCTTCATCATCCTCATCCTGATCACTAATTTTATTGAGATCCAGAACATCAGATAGATCCTCATCGTCATCATCATCATCACCATCATCATCTCCATCCTCGTCATCTTCTGTGAAATCAGAATCATCATCCCCATCATCACCCTAAATGATTAACAAATACATATTACAGATTCCCCAGGTGAGAATTCACTATCACCAGCCTCTGGATCATCCTCTTCATCGCCTTCTTCCTCACTCTCTGCCAGAATATTGGTCCATCCTCCATCTTAAACAAATCCTGGAATGTCCTTCTAGATTTATCCAAGGACATTCTTCCAAACCAAGTTTTAACCCACTTCGAAAAAGAGAAGGTTCATCTACTTTAGAATTAATAAAATACTCTATCTAACCAATTCTTGACTCCTTCCAGATCTTTGATATCTATACTCTCGATTCTGAGTACTTGTTTATCGTAGTTCTTGAATACAAACACAAGATCAAAGGATTTGATGCCTGGAATGATACGTTCGAAACAACAGATTTCTACTTCATTTAGTGTTAAAATAAAGAATGGACTCTCAACAACATTCATCAAAGTATCACGAGTTGGTTATAAGAATAATCTGGCTCTGTTCCAATTACCTTCAAATCCCAAATCTCTAAATGGTTTTTCAAATGATATCTTATAATCTGCTCCCAACTCCTCAATAGTCTTAATGAAAACTTCAAATTCCTTTGCCATCTTTCTTCTGTGCATCCTCAATCTTTCCTCCTCCTCAATTTCATCCTCATCATTTCTATTAGTCTTCTTTCTACCTTCCAAATGTTCTACTGCACCACCAACTTCACAATAGAATTGAACATCATGTGTCTTACGTTTGCCCAATACGATTGGAGAATGCAAATGAAAATGCAAAGCAGCTATAATATCCTATTCTGGACTTTAATATATGTAATGCTTAATGTTTTTGAATACAATATCCAATTGTTCCTTATTAGAATGGATATAACGGAATCCATTGGTATGAACTTCAAGAATACCTGCTGCCTTTCCAGATCCAAAAGTAGGTCTCACCTTCAAATCCTTAAAAATTGGTTTTCTACCTCCTTTATTAAGTATCAATGGTTCCATCTCTCCTACATTTTGCTTCTCTCTCTCCACCTACTACTCGGTCTTGACTTTCTTTTGTAATGATTTAATTTAAAGAATCAAATTCTATGGACGATCAGACTTCTTAGATCTATATTGTAATTCCTTAATGAATATGGTTTCACCATCAACCTTTGGAAACTGAATCTATCCAGCTGTAGTCTCTGAAGTGAAGAAGTTAATTCTGATTGATGATCCCATCTTGCCCTCATCAATTTTACTCACATTCTTTATACAAGATACATGGAATGGTATATGAGTTCCCATCAATGGTACCAAAAGAGCACACTTTTAATTGTCAATATAAATCTATCCCTTTTAGAGTTCTTTTGGATATTGCTCTGGTCTTTAGTAACATAGCAATTTGTCCAATTCCAAGGCTTTTACTTCTTATTGATTTTAAACAAATTGATCTTATTCTAATCTTTATTCTAATTCTGTTTATTTATCCTTGGCTAACTTCTCCTAATGAATCTGTCTCTATTTTTCATTCTCTCTTTGAATCTAGATTTATTAATTACGAGGTCTTGCTCGTATGGGTTTATCCTTATCTGTTTAGACTGGGGCTGGTTTTCTTTCAGGTTCGTCTTCCTCTTACAATTAATAAGATATTTATTTGTAAGCCTTAGGAATTTGTTAGGTGGTGATGGTTGTAGCACCATTGGTGATTACAATCACATCGCCTACTTAAACTGTGTAGGTGATATTTTTTTATCCGTTCTGGACATTCTCTAAAGATACATTGACAAAATAGACTTCTCCTTTGGTCACAACATGAGTGGATTTTTCGTTTATGGTCAAACAGGATTCCTTCAATTCAAGTCCTATTCCATATCCAAAGGAGGTAGGCAATTATAAATTTTATAAGTTGAGTTCCTGCAATTTGTATTACAACAGTTGGAGGGACTCTTTGAAGACCACATTTAGAGATACGCCAATTGTCATCAATGTTATGATTTTGCTTTGGACTTCCAAAATTGCATTATAGAGTTTCTTCTAAATTTCAGTGGGATTTATAAAGAGTGTACGGATACAATTGGTGTTATACTCGTTGACTTAGGTACCAAGTTGGATTATGATTACATCTGAGGAGAGATAGTCCTTATTGGGGCCATCCACTTACTAGTAATTGCCTCCACTCTATATTATTGGTGTGTATGCAAAATCATAGAGACCATCTTACAATCCGATCTCTTTCATGACTTTTTGCTTATCATTTTCCAAAGATTACTCAACTTTCTTGGCCAAGTCTTGGTGAGTGATTCTTGTGCCAACATCTATTGAATCTTCTATCTGTTTGATCAATTTCTTAAATAGGCGGGTAGTCAATTGTGAAGATTGCTATATAAATCCCTACTCTTAATCATCTTTAACCGCTAAGACATCACTAATCAATTAATTGGCATCCACTATTTATTACCATCCCTTATACTCATACCATTCCGCTGCCAAACTCCCTGCCTATTTTTCAGTAGTGGGCATTCCCAACTTCACATTTCCTAATTTCTGTCGAATCTTATCAAATGATTCTCGATTGTCATTCCCCTTCTTGTAAAAATGAACCTCGAATTTGCCACTCAATTTCTACTTGGTCTCCTCCATCATCTGAACTAGAAACTCACTCAATAATCTTACGTTTCTTATCACTTGCCAAGTAAAAAATCTATTTCTTCGTGGCCAAAAACACTGTCTCAATCATGTCGTATCCAAACAGCCAAACAAACAAGGCCTTCGTCTTCGGTTTGATCGATCCGTCCTCCTTACCAGATAATATACAAATTGCTGGAACGTCCTAATTCACTATACAAATTGATATACCTCATTGAGTCTACTCACCAATTACTCCAAATGTCTTTAGAACACATCTGCTATGATCTTTTTATCCATTATTTAATTAATTTAATTCATGCAAATAAATTTTTAACATGTTTTTACCCAACCAAATCAAATACTTATTTCAATGAGAATATTTAATTACCCTACTTTTCAGCACTCACTATATGAATAATTAAAAAATCTTATATTTTTATATTTTTTCAACAAAATCCGCTAAAATTCTGGCCAATACCACAGAACACAAATTCTATTAAATTCCAATTAATTAAAGAAATCCATATATTCCTAACGAGTTCCCCTACTTCCCAATCCGTATCAGTATCAATCAGATACTGAGGTGCTATTTATTTTATAAATTAATCGAAATATAATTAACTTTTCATTATAAAATTAATAAATGAAATTCAAGCTAGTACACAACAAAGAAATCCATCTTGTCAAACTAGACAACCCAACACTTTCAGCACTCAAAGCACACGTTAAGAAGGTTTATCCATAAATTGATACAAACTTCAAATTAACATACTTTGATAATGAAAATGATGAAATCTCTCTTAGTTGCTAAGAAGATTTACAAGTTCTAGTCGATGAAGCTCATCAAGCTGTTAAACTATATGTGGTGGTACCTCAAAAACCAGAAAAGATGGTTCATCCCAATCATACATGTGATGGCTGTTAAAAGCACCCTATCGTTGGTGCTAGATTTAAATGTCTTGAATGTCCAGATTACGACTTATGTGAATCATGTCAATCTAAGAACATCCACAATAACCATAAGTCATTCAAAATTAGTAACTTTGAAGAACTTGAAGATTTCTAAAGATCCTAACCAAAAAAGACTAGACCATTTCCTCAATAACAATTTCATCATGTCGGACCATTCCCTCATATCTTTAACCACTTTATGTAGATAATTGAAAACCCCAAATTCAAGGAATTCAAAGAAACAGCCGGCACAGTTGCCTCAGACTTACTCAATGTGATTAAGACTTAAATCGACAACCATAAAGTTCAAGAATAAGAAACACCATAAGAATAGACCTAATACGATTTTTATGCATCCTAAGTTGATTCGACTTAACAATCCAAGGAGGAACCCTGCATCTCATAAACTGAGATCTAAGAGCCAGTCTAAGTACCAGTTGAAGTCTAAGAGCCAGTCCAAGTCTAAGAGCCAATTGATTGTGAGATGGAATAGAAGATCAAAAAATTAGCAGAGATCATCGATTGCAGCGAAGCATTAGCCAGAGAATACGTGGAACTGTTTAAAGAATTGCCTTTGGACGAGATTGTTGACATAATATATAACTAAAAATGATGATTTATTATTTATGAATTATCAAAGCTATAATAATTGTGCTGGATATATTTCATCTCCTGAACTCCCTTGGTCATAGAGGAAATAAGGCTCAGAGGGTGAATTTGAACCACAAGACGAATAAATATTAGAAGAAACCAATTCTAAATTTTAAAGTAAATTCTCTTTTGAGGAACAACCTATCATACTGATCTCCCAGGGCTTAAATCCTAGTGCCTCTCAAAACTCTATAAACGATGAAGTGCAACCGTAAATGATGTAAATCGAAATCCTCAGTCCCTCTAAATTATTAAGAACTAGCAAAGAAATTAAGAGCACTTGCTCAATTGATAGCAAGCCTTAAACAACTTCAATACAAGAAGAGTTGATTGTGAATTCAAGGACTAGAAGGAAAACAAGCAAAGCTAACTATAATGTAAATAATTCAGTTTAATTAATCCAAGGTTGATGAGTCTCCTACTCTGGACTCAGAAATTAAACCTTGTCATTGTTCTAAAACTAACTGTTTACAATTATACTGTTCCTGCTTTCACAATAGAAGATAATGTACTTAAGAATGCAAATGCTGTGATTGTTATAATGATGGACAACATACAGATGAAGTTCTTAAGGCAGTTGAACAAATCAAAATCAAGGAATAAAGGGCCTCGCATCACGATCTTGATTCTTTTGACACTAGATAAGTGTGGGGATGCAAATGCAAAAAGACTAAATGTGTTAAAGGATATTGCGAATGCTTTATTAGAAATAAAAAATGCAGTTCCCACTGCCATTGTTCAGATTGCCAAAATAAAAAATAAAAAACATATCAACACAAGAAAATTAAAAAAATATGATTTATTATATGAATAATTATCTTTCTCAAGATTTATTAAATAATGGTAGAACATTTTATAAAATGGTATTTATTGCTGAATATTAATAAAATTATATAAAATGCATTATAAGAGAAGATCTTAATTAATAATGCTGAAAATTAGATAACGGGCATCAATTAATTTAACTATATATCAATCCTATTATTATTAAAATATGTAATTAGTAAAGATTTGAGAGAAGGTATTAAAAGAAGTATATACAAATGAATCCATTTATCAAAAGTAATTGGTTTATTGGATTCTAAATTAATATAGTTATAGTATCAATAATCCCAGTCATGTATAAAATTGTGCCTCTCTGAATTTTAAGCTTGTTCTGAGAATGTCAATTTCAAATCCAAATCACAGTTTTCAGTCCTCAAACTAGCTTTAGGGACTGGTTACTTTCTCTGTATTACTTACTACCAATTCACATTCTTAAACCAAGGGTGGTTTTTGAGTTCTTCTGCATCCTCTTTAGATCCTAATCTTTTTGATTAGTTCTTCTCCAAAAGTCTCATTAAGAGATCCCATAAGTCATCACTAATATTCTATGGCCTTGGTGGATCAGTGTTCTTAATATTTTTGTACATAGTATTTCTATCTCTCTCATAGAATGGAGGTTTGCCATGAACCAATTCATAAATAAATACTCCAAATAAGTACCAGTCTAATGGATACCCATGACCACTTTTATCTAACATTTCTGGTGCTAAGTAAGCATAACTTCCACAAAAACTAGTGGCTCTTTGAGCATTCAATTCTTTTGATAATCCAAAGTCCGTCAACAAAGCATGACCATCTTTATCAATAACAACATTTGAAGGCTTTAGATCTCTATAAACAATGCAATTTTAGTGTAATGTTTCCAAGGCCAATAGTATTTCACATGCATAAGCCTTCGCAGCTTTTTCAGGTAGTTTGCCTCTCTCATTCATTAATTATTCCAAATCTCCTCCTGGACAGTAATCCAAAATCATATAAAGTTTATTTTCAGTCTAAAATGCATGATGTAATTTAACTATAAATGGAGAGGTAACATAGGTTAATATTTTTCTCTCAGTTTAAATATATCTAACTATCCCTGCAGCTTATATTTTTTTTTTGAATAAAATCTTCATAGCATAATAATTAGTATTCCCTTTTCTTTAGACCAAATACACTTATCCGAAAGATCCTTTACCCAATTAGCTTAGGACTGAGAAATCTTAGGGACCAACTTATTGAATTTCAACTCGACTAACCTTAACTTAACTTGCTTATGTGCTTTGTCGATCTGAGAGTTTTAGTAAATTTTTGATGTGATCATTCCTATTGTGTATTCCTCTGAAAGACTTTTTCTGATAATCTTGATAAAGTCCTCTTTTTTCAAATATCTCTAAAGTCTGTTAATCTAATCCCAAATCGTAAGCATTGAAATTAAAATGATTTCTAACATTGTAATCGGCTCCATTGTCCAATAAGAGCTCTATAATTTCTTTGTTGCCATATTGAGACGCAAGGTGCAAGGGAGAATTGTATTAATAATCGAATAAATTCACAGTGGCGCCATGTTAGAGGAATAATTTGCAGATTTATAAATACCCTTTCAGAGCTGCGATGTGCAATGGGGTTCTTTATTATACATTAGTTATGTCTGGTTTAGCTTGATGTTCTAGCAATATTCTACATGAATCAAAATGACCTTCCATAGCTGCATAGTGGAGACATGACCATTACTCTTCCAATTTCATATTGATATCAATCGGTAAATGGTATTTTGGTGATAGTAGAATTTGTAACTATTCGACATCATTTTCTTATGCAGCAGTACATAATAATTTATGAGTTTCGAAAAGTTGCTGCCAATAGAGTTCCCAATGTTAAGTTTTATTGAGTTTGATACTAGAAGATTTGACTTCATAAAGAATAGATCCTTCATCTAAGTCTTTTATAGTAATCTGATCCATTATTAGATCCAAAATTTTTATTAAAAAAATTAATGGAACCACGGCCAATGATTAGTTTTATGAAGTAGAAATACCTCATAAACGAAAGGGATATACCACAAGATTCCTTTGCAACAAGTATTGACTAGTATTTCAAGCGAACTAAAAAACGAATTTATGGCTTCACCTTGACGAGTATATCAATGGAATTCTAATTAAATAGGTCTCTTTTTTTTGATTTTACTCATTCCATCCATAGTCTTGCAGCAGGAGTCTTAAGAAGTAGTCGTTTTTCCTGAGAAGGGGGGATCATTCACTGTGAAAGATTAACTTAATCCTCCAATAAGTTTGGAGATTATTTCGAGTGAATCCTATTTATTGTTGGATGTCCAACTTTTTATAGATGGCCATGAAATAGAATAATTTACAATCGATAAGAAAATGAACACTAATTCAACACACAAAATTGCTAGCAATAAATCCTTTAAAATTAGTAAAAATTTAATGATGGTAGCAGTTAGATTAATTTCATAGTTTAGCTATGTGCCCAGATCGTATTTAATTATTTAAACAATAATGGTCGTTCTCTCCTTATTGTATCTAATTTAAGAAATTTTGAGAAAACCAAAAATTTGATTATATTTCTGTTTAATATGTACTTACTATAAAACAAATTTCATTCCAACTTCTTTGACTTCCCATCCTTGGATCTTCCATCCTTCTGACCATATTAGGTGATGTTGAAGAAGAAGAAAATCACCAAAATTACAATATGAGGAATCCAATAAAAACTACTGTGCAACTCTACTGCCTTCTCCCATTGTAATACACGAACAGCCGTTGCGAAATGATCAAATGTCAATATACCAAACACCCAAGCCAAGAGATGTCTTACTGGTTGTGGGATACTAAAGGATAGTAATATAAATTTACAAATAAAATCTTCTCTGAGCCTTGTAAAAATACTTGTATACTTACCCTGTGATGGCCCAAAAGATAAAGAATAAATAGTAACTTAGATAAAATCCATGCCTATTAATATCAATTGCACATGTTACCAAAGACTACTAATCATGAAGACAAGGTAGAATGTCAAACTGCCAAATCTCTTTTAAAGACGATCGTAGAAACAATATTTCAACCAATTTTGAATATTGCAATTCCACTTCTATGTTTTGATGACCACATTCTTCTCTAATTCAAAAGAGTAATCAAATACAACCCATAGATCATTTTTCTCTATAAATTCATTTACTTGTTTTTACTTGTCTTATCATTGTAAGTCAATCCCATAGCATCCATTCCTGCTTGTGTGAAGTAGAAAGCAGCAATATAAGTGAATCTAGCACAGGGAGTGATAAGGAAGGTCATCGCAAATTTAAACCATAAACTGTATTGAGTTCTCCACTCTTCCGAATAGTACCAATCAGTATCTAAATGAGGCCTTATTAGCAATTCTGCCATACTCACTGCTAAGGCCTTAAGGAATGAAATCAAAGCAAACTTAGGAGAATAATGAGTATAATCTGTCCTTCTCTCTATGAGACTCACAAATGCATAGTAGGGAATTGGTGCCACAACTAGATTGGGAAACATGAAAATGTATGACAAATACATCATAAAAGATGTTTTACCTTATACCTTTCCATCCTACTTGTCACAAGCATAAAATATGTATCTTGCTGTCAACAACATTTGAATTGCATTATAGTCCATTCTCCAACTCAAGTACTGATAGATGAGTCGATAGATGTGCACAAAGGAGAGAATTGCAAATGCAACGATGGACACCGGCAATGCACATTTTTTAAAGATTTATGCAATAAAATAAACTGCTATTGTCCATCCTAACATAAGAGGAAACCACTCTTTGCACACTATTACTGAAAAGAACATTCCCAAGAAAAGGTTGAAATAAAGTCTTCCCGTTGGACTCTTGATGTAATGGAACACAAATCCAAGGGGAGTACAAATTATCTATAATTATAGCTATTTATTACCATATAGAGAAGAATCACGAAAAGATCAATCTCGAAGTTGATGAAATTGATCTTTTGCAATTGCTCTTCCAATATATTGACAAATTGGATGATCATAAATAAATCAAAAAATTAATTAATATGTCATTTTTAATATCCTGATAAGTGTGTAACAGATACTACTGCCCAAGTTAATACTACACGCCAAACTGAATTCATTTTTGATGAAAATAGTGCTACTTGTAAATAAGTTATATGAATTGAATTAATGAATTTTGTCCATATTCTATATAATAAGTAGCATTATTGATAAAATGCTAATTATTGGCTAAAATAAATGGTTTAAGTATGATAAAGAGGAAAAGAAAATTTGGAAACATTATCAATTCTGAATGAGAAGCAAGAGAATTTTCGGTAAAGTTTGTTTATGATAATTTAAGCAAATTAAAAATTAGTCAATTTTATATTTCCAATTTGCATTTTTAATAATATATTATTAATATAATAATTTATATCTACAATCACTCTAATCAACTTGTAAGTAGTTATTTGAAATTTAAATCTATAATTGATTAACCTCAATTTTCGTAGATCATTCATATTGAAAATCTATTTTTAAAGAAAATTAAAACTGTATATATCTTTTAATCATACCATTTTCTTGATTTATTCAGATTAATATTCTTATTGTGAATCTATATTACCTCTAATTTTTTGCTTTTTCTAAATAGAATTGTATTTAAGTTTAAGGCTTGAATGATGGGAACTAAGATGCTTTATTAATCTACTATTTTTTTTGCATTTTAATTAAAGTAATTCTATCCACTTTATTAAGATATTTTAATTTTCTTTGAATATTAGGTTTAATTCATTTCTCACTTTGATTACAGAAGTGAGTCGGAATCATATGCAATATTTTAAATATCAATTCTTTTAAAATTAGTAAGATCATAATTAACTTTTAAATCTTGACCAAGGTCTTTGAAAGTTTTTAGAAATCTAATCTATGAATAGATATATAAATGGCACTAAGTATTCAGATGTTAAAATTAAACTTCAGATCTATATTCTATGATTAGTGAAAAATTCTTCTATGTACATCTTTAGCTCAATATACAATTTATTTGAATACTTCTTACTTGAAAAGGTGTTTAAATTGTAACTACCCCAAGAATTCAATTAAAAGATTCTTGTTTTACTTTTGAAAAAGTATTAGTCATTTTATTGGTTCAATCATTGTTTTGAAATCACCACAATATCTTTCTCTTCAGAGTTTCAAAAATTACAAAAAATTTGTCAAAAAACAATTATAAGTAAGTTCTGAGCTAAAGAAATAATCAAACAGAGGAAAAGTTACGGGTTTTTAAATTAGAATTCTGTCTCAATTTAAAGAATAGAGTTAATAATAAAGAACTATCTCAGAATTTGTATAAGAGAATAAATCAGGATATCAAATTTAGTAATAAATATAATAGGATCCTTAAAGTTCGAAATCACTCTATATAAGATTTGCCTTATGAAAATACAAAGGAAGTTTAATGATATACTTTAATGTTTATATTCTTAGGCGTATTTAAAGTCTTATAAAGTTGATTGTGGAATATTTATAATTTTATAATTAATCATTAAGTTTGTAGAGTGCCTTTGACGTGAGTAATTCTTTTGAACTGTTTTTGATTTTGGACTTTGATTTTGTTATAGTTTTCTTCTCTGAGTGATTTGGTTGACCAGCGAACGGGTGCTTCACAATAGATTTAGGTATTTATTTACATGAATTTTGCTTATTTTCTGTGTTCAATTTCATACAATTTTTTAGAGAGAATGAGATTAGATTCAATGATGCGAGAGAGTATTTACTTTTATTTGAAATATTAACTATTTTTGACCTTTCTGTTGGCATCCCTTTCTAGATAAATGATGTCAGAAATTACGTCTCTGGAGTTGGAGTTCGACTTCATTTGGGAATTTGTAATTGCGATGCTCTATATTATCTACTGTCTGTTTATGTTTTGCATATAGTATTTGCCATTACTGAGACTGGAATTTATTATTATTCATTTAATATTTAGGTTTTAGTATATATGAATTGTTGTTGAAAGGGCGAAGGAATGGTTATAGATCCTGGCCCTTAGAATATAACAATTAAATATTATAATTAATGAATTCCAACAATAATAATAACAATGACAGTTCAAGCGAGGACGATATGTAGGTGTATGAAACGCTTACGAAATTGCCTCCTGCAAACGAATTATTGCCTAGGAAATTGACAATTGATATTGATGTAAAATCATTGTACCCTCTCAAGTGAATAATAATATTAATACATATAGATCATTGCCATAATTTTGTAAAACTTATGTCCCTTTTTTAGAAGAATCCACACATCGCAATTGTGCAATTTCTGAAACTCCTGTTGGCGATGACAATAGAACTCTCCTTGATTATTATGATGAAAATAAACAAAATCTTGTATTTAAGCGATTTGATCAGTTGGATTTAGGAAAAAGGACTAGCAATGACAGAACTTATTTTGCCACTCTAATTGCTAATTTTAAAAAGTATTTACTATGCTTAACAAAGGACACAGCCAAGAGTCTTCTTTAGAGGAGAAGCACTTTTTGATTAAAAATTAACATCCTGCGCTTCTGATTAAATACAATTCGATTCAAATTTTGAATCGGGCAACCTCTTTTGCGCCTTTAAGAAATCAGAAAACGTGTATGATTTGATCATTTAAAATGATATTAATACAAGGGGAAACACTTAATGGTTCTTTTTTAGTGTAACTGGAGCTAAGGCAGGATAGACCATATAATTTAATTTGCTCAATCATGTATAAGATCGTTTTTCATAACAATCTAGTTGAAAAATGGCAGTCTTTTTAATGAGGGATTGCAACCAGCTGTCTATTCTATTAAGGATAACCAACTAAGTGGAACTGAATGGTGTAGAGATGGATTCAACATTAGCTATTTTAAAAGTCAATTTATGAAGGAATACCCACTTTCACTGAAGAAAAAGTACTATCAATTGAGATTTCATTACACCTTCAAGCACAATGATGACAAGGTCTTCTTTGCTCACTCCTATCCATACACATACACAAATTTATTGGAATACTTAAATACACAGTTAGACGATCAAGAAAGAAATCAGTACACTATATTTCTATAAATAGACATCTATCACGTAAAGTTCTATGTACAACACTCGGAGGGAATACTTGTGAAGTGCTGACCATTACTTCAAATTCACTTTAGCGTAGAGCCTATAGAAAAGGTGTAGTATTTCTAGCTAGATAACATCCTGGGGAACCTTAAGGCTCTTATGTAATGCAAGGAATCATCGACTTTCTAACATCTAATAACCCTTAGGCTGAGTATTTGAGATAGAACTGCATTTTTAAATTATTCCCAATGATGAACCCAGATGGAGTTATTAATGGAAACTATAGATGTGGTTTGGAGGGCAGCGATTTAAATCGAAGATGGAAGAAGCCAAATAAGTATTTACATCCCAGTGTCTATTATGCTAAAAAATATGTCAAAGGGTTTAGTAAGGAGAGATAAATCATTCTTGTCATTGATTTACATGGTCATTCAAGAAAGTAAGTTTAATATATATACCATATTAAGATAGTCCTCGTTTGTTTATGGATGTGCTTATTCTTCTTAAGTTAAAACTATCGAACGAGTGTTCGCTTTGTTGATGGCTAAATTAAATCCATTTATGGATTATCCCTCTTGTACTTTTAGGATTGAGAATTCCAAAGACAAAACAGCCAGAATACAACTTTGGAGAGAATTAAAAATCAATTGGGTTTATACTTATGAATGCAGTTTTTATGGTCAACAGAAAAAACATTACTAGATCAAAGATTATCTTAACTGTGGTGTTAGTATTTGCAATGCCCTATCATAAATTGTAAAAGATACATCAAAAGAATTCACCAATCAAGCCAATGTCCCTGATATCTAATAATAAATACTAGAGGAATTAGGCAAGATGCCACAGACTGATGATTTAGATAATGGATCCGATTCCAGTTAATCTGAAGCTGAATTATCAGATGATGAATTAGTTCAATTATTTTAACCCAAGACTTATTCAACTAAACAAAAAAACTACTTAAAGTAATAGGAATTCAATAGCAAAAAAAAACCTTTACCTGTTAATCCAAAATCTACATTAAACTCTTAAAAAGCATCCATTTTATAAGAATCCCCTTCTAAAAACTCAGAACAAAAGCCTCCCATGAGCAGTTAAAAACCCAAGAATACACTCTATAGAATCTAAGCTCCTTAACGGCTAAAATAGATTGAGTAGGCCAAACAACCAGATCCTCCTCTCATGGTTGATAAATCTGTATAGACAGATGATTGGATGTACAGATAATGGCTCATTCAAATGGGAAAGATGAAGAAACAGTAAGAATTTCTGAGTGTTACTCCAACAAGAAATATATATAAATCTTCATCGCAATCAGTAACTAGATTTATCGTTAAGAATTCATCAACAAAAAACGATAGAGGCAGGATAGATTCAATTTCATTAGTATCTTCAGGGCTATAAAACAAATTAAGTAAATATTAACTATCAAATAAGTTTCCTCTAGTCAATAGCGGTAAATGATGAGATACTCTGGCAGTAACTTTATGTCTTGATATTATATAATATTATTTATTGATCTCACATCTTTATTGAATTCAAATTATAATAAAAACTAATTCGATTTTATCGAGTGTATTATTTCATATAATAATCTCTTTTAAAATTGATATTGTTATTTCTGACAAATATTTATATATTTGTTGATGCGTTATATTTTATCTCATAACTACTTCTAATTATATAAACAAATGTAGATATCTTATTTAATCTAAGCATTATCTTAAAGTATTTTGATATTTATTAATTCGTTCTTTATTGATATCATAAGGACTGATATTATCATGAATATTTAATTAAATTTAAAATTAGAAAAGGATAATTATTTTTATGGTTAATCACAAAAATAAAATATTATAGGTTCAACTTAATGATTTATCATTGCTACTTATATTATTTTCATTATATGTAAGACTTTTACAACAATCTAAGAGTAATGAAACAATAAATATGCTTAATTATTTATCTTTAAAGTTTGAATGGTAAATATTTCATTAATTTTTATCAAAATTACATTGACACCCATTTTATATTCCCTAAAGATTTTTAATTTCAATATAAGGATTGGTTTAATAATTATTATAAATGTTGCATAAAGTAATTCTCAAAACCAAAATTTACAGTTGTATCTTAATAACATTTTCAGGAATAATAGCCATGCTGGCTTGTGTATTAGCTGGTTAAGTGAGTGATTATGAAGTGAAAATTTATGGAACTCTTTATGCAATAACAGCATTTATTTTTATGGCGATCAACATCTATGTATTCTATAGATTATAAACGATCAATCTGATCAATGCAGAGATCAATAATTCTAATTGCTTTTCGTCATGGAATGTACTTTACAACTCAATTTTAAATAATTCAGATTTATGGTTTTCTAAATATGTGTTAAAATGCTTAGTCGTCATATTATTCCATAGTACTCTTAGTTTCATAACAAGATTGAAATATCATAATGATACGTTTGAGTTCACATAAAGTATTTCATAATTAAACTAGATATATCAATTTCAATTGTACTTTTTATAGTCATGTTTATTTTGGGATTCTTATTGCAATTTTACTTGGTGATGCAGCTGATATAAATGTTGGCTGATTTTAAGGATTATTCAAAGGAAATAGTCTTCACTTTTCACATCAAGGAAACTTTGTAAGAGGAGAAACAGTATAAAAGTGGAATTACAATGATTGCAATGATCTTTATGCTTGGTTCTATTGCATATTATGCAATTAAATTGGCTTTGTATATATTGATAGCTAAGAACAATGAAGAAATTAATACTAAAGTGTTTTCGATTATAGTATCGATTCTAAATGTAAGTTGCATAATATTATGTGCAAGTATATACCTACAACTTAAATCTATCTATCATCAAATCCCAGATATTTAAGATGTGACTATCTATAGTTATAACATCCCATGTTTCACAGGATGGTTTATTTTGGTAAGATCTCTAGTTTTTTCTAACAAATTTAGATTTTGGAGGAACATAACATTCATTTTGTTGTACATCCAAACTATTTATGGTCTGATCAAATTTCCTTTTTATAAGATATATGATGTTACAATAGAATAAATGTTCAGTCTTGAATCTTATCTATATTGTGATACAGCTATAATAGTAGCATTAATGTTTTGGTAGTTTATCGAATAGTTTGCCAGAGTCATTCACCAAGTTAAGAGGAAATATCTTGCATATTAATTTGAGGATCAGAGTGTATGTTAAAATATTTATTATAGCAAAATAACATTCTGCCAGTTTCAATAGATGTATAAACAGAGGAGTTAGGAAGAATTCAAAATTAGTCAATAATAGATAATTTAGTGGAGAATGCATAGCAAGATTATGGAGAATGTTGTTTTTGTTTGGATCAAATTTCAAAAGGCTAAAGAGTGCATAAATTAAAATGCCATGCTACTCACATTTTCCACTATTACTGTATGTCCAAATGGCTGGCTAATCATAATAATTGTCCTTTGTGCTAATACATTATAAACTGAAATTGTTTATTTTGAATTTTATAAATTATATGCATAATTACTATTTAGAACATTAAATAAATAATATTATTAAGATGAGATAATTTAAATTGTGAATCTAATATTTCAGCATATTATCAGTTCAATAATATGTATATAAATATATCAATAGGCTGTTGCCAAATAGGATCTAACTGAAAAGTACAAATCTCGGAAATGGGATGTATTTCTGGTATGGAATTAATATGAATTAGAAGCAACTGAAGAATAAAAAGTACAATCTCAAGGTTTTGAGTGTGACATTAATGCAATATTCATGTAGCAAGGCTGTAACCAAATAAGTCATTAAGAGTGCCTTTGTATTGTTTCCCTTTTTGCTCAACCTTTAATAAATATTGATTTTAAGAAAATTGTGGACTTGTTTATTCCACTTTCTATTTAATTACCCAAAGCCATCTGCATTCCACCAATCCTCATAGAAGATGACATTTTCAACTTTGGTGATTTCTTTGAAAAAACCAAAAAAATAGTCAAATATTAGATAGTGATTGACAACAATAAGAATGCCTAATCGAAATGAATAATTTATGATAAACTTAGATAAGCCATAATTCATATAATTCGGCTTTATTTCGTACGTAATATAATAAAAGTCCCATGATATTATTAATGTGGAATTTACGATACATTTGATTATTTAAATATAATTTCTTTGTTTTTTGAAAACCATTTGATTAGGTTAGCAAACCAAACATGGTACCCAAAGATATTTATTGTATTCAATAATGTCCAGTTATTCCTCACTAATTATGTACGAGTACATTTTCATGCTATATCAATATTATCAAATTCTCACCTAAAAATGCAGGCAATGCAAGTTGAAAAAAGGGCCTCCATTATGGTTGTTTCAATCAAAGCGCTGATTAACAATGGGGTTAGCATAATAAGATATGAGGTTTTTTTTTTGTTGATAAAGAAATAAGGTAAAAATGATATTAAATAGTAAAGGGGCCATAAAAGCAATATAGTTAAATCAGTGTTAGGGAATGGATAATTATATACTAAATAAAGTAGGTGATATATCCAAATAATTAAAATAAAATCAAACATTATATTAAATATTGTTTCCGCGAAGTAATTTTTCTGTTTCCACCCTCAACTTCTCTGTTTTCTTCTCAAAATTATCTAAATATTATAAAAATTGCATCGTGTCCTTCTGTTGATCTTCACTCTCCTCTGTTTTCTCATCTATTTATTCAAGGATATATGGTTGGTTAAGCTCTTGAAGATATTAAAAAAATTAATCTTGTTATTCCTTTAATAAAATTGCCTAATTTAAATCAAATTTGAATTATACTTCATGATCAGTCCTTTTCTCCAAATATTGCCTGCAATCAATGAGTAATTTCAGCATTTTCTCTTGTAGGTTTGGAACCTCAGTTGATTGCTACTGTGGTTGTTGTTGTTCGAAGCAGAGACTATCTTTTTTAGAAGTTGGAGGACGAGCATTCTCCTTCTAATCACTCAAAACCAGATATCTATTTAATTTAGGTAAGGGACCTTCAGGAGGTCTTTTATCAAAAGGTTCTGAGAGTGCTCCCTTTGACACTTGATTTAATAGGATGCGAGCATATAGATTTCGATTCTTTTTCCAAACTTCGTTGGTAGTCACCTAGCATAATTTCTTGGTCCAAGCTTCAACTCTGATTTTCTAATGCTTATTAAGATTTTGATAGGCTTCTTCAATGGAAAGCATCACTTTAATAAATTCCTCATCCATAATGACTGTTAATATATTTTATATTTATCAATATCATTCATATTCCAAATTTAATTAAGCTCTTTAATAGAATGATAAGATAGTTCTCACTTATTAACATCAATTTATTATATTATGTATTTAATAATTCAACTATGATCAGTGACTAAGAAGCTTGTATTACCAAAGTCCTCTTTCAAAGGATTATACCCAGATTTAGTTGTCGTCCAAGAACTCTAAGAAAACTATTCAGCAAATTAGTACGCCTTGAAGATTTGAGAATCCATCCCTAAAATTTGTTTAACCATATGTTAGACAAAATTAAAATCGGTGGGAAAGAAGATATCTGCAACTCCTCTTTCTACTAAATATGACTCATAATCTAATCTCTCATGAGGTTTCGCCAATTTCTTAGACACAATCGGAGCATTAATAGATTCTTGGGTGAAGTTATTTTTGAGCAAATCAAAGTCTGCAATCACTAAAGAAGGGTTTTGAAAATTAGATTTGATGTGTTTCAATACTTATAATGCTCCAGTTGGTAAAAATATGCTGTTAGACTCTTAATTATTTGTTATATTACTTTCTAATTTCCATAATATTTACTAATCACTTTTCTTAACGTATTAAATAAGAATCGATCCTCAAGATTCTCATCTTAATCTTTGTTTTGTTATTTAAATTACTGATACATAGCATAAACCTCTTTGATTAATGGATCACTGATTGTCTCAGCAAATTCTTGCATGTTTTCAACATAAACTTATTTCCCATCAATTACTTTGTCATGGGCAAGATTATCAAAAACCTCAAGAAATACAAAAAACCACATCTCATTATTTTAAGTATGCTATTTGTAATTCAAAAAGTCCTAATTAAATATTCTTAAATTTCCTTTTTTGATTTATTGTTTGAAATCTTGAGACAGCCTTATTTATGCTTAAGCACATGCTTCAGGTGAGATATCAACTAAGTGATATTCCATATTTGAAAATGTTTGAGGTTAGTGATTCCTCATATAATATAAAACCCCTTCACATGCTGCACCATATCCCGCACCAATTTCTACTATTCTCAATTTCTCTTTTCGAGTGAATCGAAATTATTAATTTATATAATTCCCCAGTGTTATCCCATAATACGGTCTGAATACCTCTGATGGAGTCAACCATTAATTTTCAGGATAATTTTCTGCTAATTTTTTTGTATAATCCTCATAGCCTAGCAATTATTTAAATTCAATTGGTTTTTTGAGTGCTCCAAGCTGAATATTCTTAACAAAATATCCCTCCACTGGATGATAGAGACGATCATATATGAAATCTCTTACTAACATTCTCTTCATTTGATTATATATTTATTGATAATTAAAAATAATTAAAAAATTGATAATATTATTCATTTACTCTTCTAAACTACTTCACAATAATAATTCTAATTATGTTAACCATAAATAATTGATATTTAAAAGTTGAAAACTACAATTACTTTGTGATCTTATATTTTTGTTAAATTTATCAAATTGTAAATGTTTGTTACTATCTAATTTTCTCATAAATAAATGTATAAAACAAGTTAAATAAAAATCAAGCAACATTATATTAAATTAATTAGAAGAAAAGCTTATAAAGCTTAAGTTTGTTTTAGAGAATATTTTTAAAAATCTCAAATATATTAATGTTTGATATTATTAAGAAATAATATATGATTTAATTAAAGTTTCTTGTATAGGTTTATAATACAATATTTTTTTTTAAAAGTTACTTGATATATGTGAGAATCTCGAGCATTATAAAATTAATAAATGAAGGCAACAAATAACGAGATTGATTATAAAATGTAAAATATTGTCCATATTTATAATTGTAAATTTAATGAATAAATTAATGAATTAATCATTATAAATCTTATTTCCTGTATTGGATACCAATTCAGGAAAAGTGATGGTAGCTGAAAAGATAAACCAAAATTAGAAAACCAAATATTATGCATTTTAATTTCAAAATTAAGTGATTCCTAAAACCTATTTGATTGAATATGACAATGCTCTTAAAAAATCAAAACATAATGAATTATTTAGATAATATTATGAAATGCATATAGAAACTCCAGGAAATCCGGAAATCCCATACCTCCATCTATTTCATTATTACGAAGATGGTAAATTTTTAGATCAAAAGGTGATTGATTATGGCAAACAAAGATAATCTTTTAATTATGCAGAAATATAATTATATCTGAAAAATTTTCTAATTGCCTTGTATGAATTACATTCTAACTAAATACCTGGAAGAATCTTCTCTATTTACAACACTCTAGTTGTTTAAGAAAGGCTTGTTATAATGGATTTTGGATTTGGACCAAATATTAATCAAGATAATTTAGATATACTGGCCCCTCCAGAATATTTAGAATAAATAATTAATAATAAAAGTAATATTTTATATATGCTTAAGATTATATCTAAAAGGAGTTCGATTTAAAATTTGATTCTTGGTTGCTGGGAGCAATATTGTATCACTTAATTAAATTTAAATCGATAAATTAGGTTGAAGTTTAAGGAAATAGTTATCAACGATTTAAATATGATAGAGTAGAAGAATATTATAATTATCTAAAAAACCTTGATCATATTCCATGTTAGACTACTAGATACAAAAATGATTTACTCTCATTTGTTGAATCCTTGCTTACTTGCAATAAAGATAACCGATTATCATTTGAACAAATTCATAAGCATGAATACATTTAAAATCTTGAACTTGAAAATAAAGCTGAATATATAAAGTTCTATTCTGAAAATCAATTCATTAAAGACTGTGAAATTGGTATCACTTCTACTTAAGGTTTTCAACCTGCTACTTCATAAATATCTTTTGATCTGCGAAATAGTTTTACATAAGGACATTCAGAATCAGTAATTATAAAATAAGAAGATCATCCTTCTCCTTAGGTGACAAGAAAACCAATAAAAATCACGGAACAAATTTCTAATTATTAGGAGGATGCACAAGGTTATCCTAATTTCTTGAATATAATATTAAATACACCTTAATTCAATAATACAAACTTTAATATTTATTGGCTGAAAATTTAATTAGATTGTTTGAAATGCTAGATGTTAAAATAAACAGCTGAGAAAATTACGACTATTTTACCAAAATATAAGCATCCATACCATTAGGTTTTGGTTTATATTATTAAAAAAATGAATTCCATAGTTTTAAGGGAAATGGACTCTGAATTAAAATCAGCTTATTTTTAAAAAAATCTTGATGAATAATGGGAAGACTTTTTAAGTTAAAATAAGTAAAATTTACCTAGATCTGATTCAATAATCTCATATTCAAGATCATTATAAAGTGAGATAGCAATCCTTTATAACAATTTTGAAACTTTCTTAAATGAAGAGTCAACTACACTTTCTAACTCCGTCAAAAAGTCAATAGAGAGTGACAAGTCGTAAAATTTTAATATGTTAAATAATCCACAAGAATTCTATTAAGATATTTATAGAGAGGAATTTGAACTACTTCTCTAATTTATAAATGACAAAATAACTTCAAATAATAACTTAGAAGAATTGAATTAATTAAAGTTATTAGTTTTTCATTGTTCACAAATCACTACGTTATTCCAATTAGAAACATTTGAAGAAACATTTAAAGGGCTTGCATAATAGAATCAAAAACCATAGCCAAAAGATTTAGCTTAATATTTTGGCATTAACAATTGAAATATTGATGATCTAATATCAAATATTTAAATAAAATTATTAATAATCAGGATATAGTTGATTGATTGAATTATTGTTACTGTCAGATTGTTTAGTTAATTAATATCCTATTCTTTAATCTCTATCTTAACATGCTTCTTTTTATTCTAATACTCGGGCAAAACCTAAATGAAGGAATTTAAAATGAAATCAATGATAATAAATGGGCAATTGTATATTATTAATTGTTTATTTATTTTTGTTCATTAGATTGTACTTTATTCTATATAATATTAATTTATAAGTGATTATCATAATCTTTAAATTTATTTAATTAAATAATATTCCATAATGAATCGTCTTTTTGGTACTTCTAAATAAGAACCTCCCAAATAATAGCCACCTCCCCCATAAAATCCATAACAACCTAAGGTTTTGGACTTGACGGAACAATAAAAAAGAGTATATTTCATTACTAAAGTAGTCCGAAGCAAAAGTTAAGGAGTTGACTGAATAAATCTAAGAATTAGATAAACAGATAAGTGAACAATATTACAAAGCCAAAAACTCTAAGGGAGTTCAATAAACAACAGCTAAGTCAAGAGCCGTCATGCTTCTCAAGAGAAAGAAGATGTATCTACATAACTTAAGATTAGGTTGGAATAATAATTAGGATAAATGCTCAATAATTAAATGACCTTAGATTAAGTGGCTTTCACTAAAGAAAACATTTAAAATACACTTGAAATGGTACTTTATTTCCTTTTTATATCAGGCTTAAGCGATGTAATAGGTAGTTGCAGTTCAAAAAGAAGCATTCAAAGAAATCGATATGGACAAACTGGATGGTATCAAATATGATTAATATCAATAGACATCATGGATGACATGGAAGATATGAAGTTTGAAACAGACTACATGAATGACATGATGAATAGAAATTATGGATGTGACATTGATGAAAGTGAATTAGATAGGGAAATGGCAGAAATCGAAAACGACATGAACTACAATGCTTTTTAACCTCAACAATAATAGCAACAAGCCTCCTATTAGGTATCACTTTTAAATTTAAACTTAGAGTCTGATGGGCTAAAAACAAGTTTATAATCCTTAAACCAATTGATTGACATTATAATTTATATTATTACATTGTTATAATTAATCAATTCTATTTAATATCTTACAATAAATTAATCCAATTGTTTCATAGATCTTATATAAGTCAATGACTAAAGTTAGAATGACTTTATTTAACTTCATTTTATATGACATCCCTGGTTGGGGTGAATTTAAAAATAATAGTAATTCTATCTTAATTATTATTGACAAAAAGAAGTATTCTTAAATAATTTGATTAGCATTAACAATAAAAATGTTTAAACCACATGAAAATATTAAGAAGCTATTGGAACTTAGATATACTCTTTATTATTATGATAACATTATTAAATTGTAATACTTAATTCTTATTAAGGCAGATTAGATGAATATTATATATTTTCTTATATTATTTATATAATAATAATTTTATAATAACATTCAAACTCATTGATTCGTAATTTTAATAAGAAAATCCTTGATTTTATCCACTTTCTATTATAAGGATTGTCCATCTTTAAATACAAATTTATCATTTTAAACAACCTCTCTTTTTCCTTCTAATAATGCTTAGATTGAAAGATTATATAATTTGAGTGCATCTAAAATTTGCTATTTATTTAAATGAGGCAATTTAATCAATTTTGCTTAGGCTTTAATATTAGATACTTATTCTTCTATTTCTTGCTTTACTTTAATTTGAGTCCATATTTTTGAAGCCTTCTACTCATTAGGGATTTATTGTAATTAAAAGAAATGATTATGCAAGACATTGGATTCTGAGTGAGCATGTTTTAGAGATCCAAGAAATGTTTGTTATTGTAATTTATTTTACTTATACCTCCAAAGAAATATTCTGAGTTTCAACATAATATTTTAGGACTGATAATATTAGAATATTTATGTAAATTAATGTATTTAACATGATATTGTATACTCATTTGTAACTCACCAAGTAGGTATCAAATATGAACAGAGTTATTAGAAAGCAGGAATGATGTAGCTTAAAATTGGATTAGTCTTGTATGGTTCCAAATATTTTTAATTGACGTATTTGCATTCAACCTTGAATTTATCAACTAATATATATTTGATTCTAGCAAAATTTGCAAAGTAAACAAAGGTCAATATGGATGACTTTCCTAAGAATAGGAATACAAAACTTGCTGGAACCAAAGCTATCTCGATTCTGTATTTTAATACATAGATTTAATCCTTCATTTAATAAATCTTATCAACTTTAGTCTTGAATACTAAAAATATATGTTTATTTATACATTCGTAAATTGGCCCTTGCAACAACAATATGTAGGATGATAAACCAAGAGCAAAGTGTAAAATAAGTGGAACGTTGAATACTGTCTTGAAAGAGTAAACAAAGAAGTGTCCAAATAGAAATAATAGATTTTGTGCAAATTCATTTTGTAGCACTAACCTTCCATATTCTTTAGTCATTTATGGAAATTTGCAAAGTCTATACAAACCCAAAACACAAGCCACAGCAGCAAATAATGTATTGGGACCAATAGGGATGAAAGAAGTTATAATAAATGCCAATTTTAAAAAATTCTCTACACCAAGAAGAATTTTAACAACAAGGGCTAAAATGAAAATACACGTATACTTTATTCTCCTAAGTCGAAACCACGTCTTTATTGAGAATGAGTATGATTCTCATGTGTAGTATAGGAATTTGTATTGCCGATGAATTCAGGATCAAACTCTGGATCAATATTATCTCTATACCAAATTTTCTTAAGTTTCTCAAATCTTTCCTTTGGTCTTATTATTAGCAATTTTTATATACATTGTTGGATCTAACTCTTTAATGAAATCCTTCCAAACGACATTGTTTTCAAATTAAAAATTCTAGAATTGCCTTAGTTTTGCTTGATTCATAAATTGTCTGAATTTAATTTATTAAAAAAAATTGATTTTCAATATTAATCACTTTGTTACATTTCAATAAAAAAATAAATTATCGTTGACTACGGATAACTAAAATAAAATAAATCAAGGTAAAAAGTTTTTATAATTTTTGGTAATAATTGTAACAAATTGACTTTGATTAAAATAATGTGGTATTTTGTATTAATATTATCCTTGTATAATACCAAGAAACCTAAGGATTCAATAATTGGAGATTACTTGTTTTTTATATAATTTACTAATTATTTGATATAATTTAAATGTTTTTTTGATGACTTTATATGTACCCTATTGATAGTAATCAAATTGAATAAACATTTTTATCTATATTTATATAATTTATATTGAATTAATTAAGAATGCAAAGCCATGTGAATTAATAGAAATATGAATCTTATCAAATTCGAAAACCAAATATTACAGTATTTAAGTAATCAACTGAGATGAATATTTAATCAGATGGTGATATTGGTGAATCTGGTTCAGAACCAGAATAAATAATTTAAGAAACGCAAAATAACAATCTCTTACCTTCTGATTAGTACATTTACCTTCACAAATAGAAAAAGTCAGCATAATAATTCAGTTATAGAAGATGATAATAACGAAGGTGTCCTCGAAGAAAAGGATTTAATTCTTTCAAAGCAGATATTTTTGTCCATGAATTTTTTTAACTTGAGTTAGATTAGATTGTCACATTTAGATAAGGTATCTGAGTAGTTTTACTGAGTGTAGAAACTAAGGGCTGAGATCACCAATATAGAAATAAATAACGATATCGTTTATTATCAAATAGAGACCAAATCATCTTAATTATAGTACATTGTAAAAGTGAAGAGAAGATACAACGACTTCAAGTTTTTGTTAAGGGAACTATCAATTCGATTTCCTCAACTCATATTGCCTCAATTACCAATAGGAATAGGAGTGGGAAAACTTAGCAATCGTGATGTAGAGGAGAGAAGGAGATTGTTGCAGAATGTTATCAATATTATAACTATGCATGAAGAATTGATACTTTCAAGCTCTGTTAAAAATGTATTATTAAATTAACCTATTACTAGTTTTTTGAAGAAGCAGATCAACAGGAATTTGAGAATAAAAGAGTTTAAGGCTAATTCAATATGAAGAAGGGTCTGGCACAAAATCTATAAATAGTCATAGACAAAAGCATCAAATCACTTGGATTGTTAAGAAATTGGTGGAATGGGTCTCCATCAAACAAGAAATGCTAGGATTTGGAATAAATAGAGTTAGAGTTGCTAAAATTATATAAATATTAAACTAAATGTCAGAAATTGCTTTTTAGCATATAAGCATTGTAAAGAAAATAACAAAAAATTAAGGATATAATTGTGCAATAAGATAGTTAAAAAACTTAATTGTTAATTGAAACAAAACTTCACGATTGCATATTTGATTATGCAAACCATTTGGATTTTTAAACTAATACTCTAGAAGATAAATTTGTAATTAACATAAGTATGATTAGGATTAATTTTATCAATAATAAATTTGGCAATTAATGAATGTAATTGAATTTATAGATTATGTTGACATATATTATAAGCATTTGGTTGAATTTATTGATGATCTTAATGAGTAATTAAAATAGGTTTCACCAAATTAATAAACGTATTAAATCATGTTATTGCTAGTCATTAAACAATTAAGGATGAGATCAATAAATACTTGAGTAAGGCTAAAGAGTAATTTTGTAATAAAAAGGATGGCCTTATTTCAAAATATATGGAGATCTAATAACAAGGATTAACCTATTTTTACATGAGTTAGTAATAAGAGATTTGGAATTATGCTTAAGAAATTAACAACAAATTTAATTGATATGACTTATAATTTTTATTAAATAATGAAATCGCCAAAATCGAATGGATCATCAAATAATAAATTTACAATCAGTGAATTTGGGTATTACAAATAATGTTCTCGGTTTCTTCCTTTGGAAAGAGCTAACGAATTCTCAACTCAGGATGCCGTCATTTATGATAGATTGAGATAGGCAGGAATGAAAAGAAATAAAGCTTTAAAATTTTGTAAAGGTTAACATTGTAAAATTGATTCTACTTAAACAAAACATGGACCACCTGGTTTCAAGATCTTCAACACCAAAATAGACAAATTAAAATAATTGAATGGGTAACAATAGTATTTATGAATAGATGGCAGATGGTAGGAAGATTGAATTATGAATAATCTATGCGAGAAGAATATAGCGATGATTCTGAATGGTAAATATAAGATTAAAATAAAGAAGAGCAAGAGAAAATGGAATAATTAAAATAATTTTATACTGATTTAGATCTAAAGTATTCATTTAATGAAATGGACTAATAAGAAACATTAACCAAATTACGCTCGCTTTCAACAGAACAACAATATAGAAGCCGCGTTCCATAATATTAATTGAAAGATGGCAAAAATAAAATGATGTATTATGAAATGGCAGAATATATTTTACAATTGAAAAAGCCACCCAACACACTTATTTAAGAATTGAATGTTTTTGATGACACTATCCCCTTGGTTCGATAGGAATATTTTGATATTAAGCCAAAATACATTGAGAAGGCCACTCCCTTTTATCCTAAATAAAATTGTGAAAAGAGATCTAAATTATTGAAAGAATTAACAAGAGCATATACTGGTAATATTACAATCACAGAACCTGCTGAGGAGATTAAAAAAGTATTTTGATATTTATAATTTTGGCTATTAGATATTCTTACAAATTAGATTTTAATAATAGCCATTATGTAAAGGGATTTAAATAACAAACACCCAATGAGTCAGTTCTCTCTAGCTTGAATGATATTGATCAACAGAGCACCAAGAAGATTAAACAAAGATGCAGCATAATGACACATCGCATCACCAAATTTTCACCTTAGGATAAGGAAGTTATCAAATATAATGAATTTCGTAACAAACTTGAAGAAATAGTGAACAAAAGTATTAAAAGGATGAATTGTGAAACTAATAATCCCATATTTTGATCATATTTTAATATAAGCTTTTGGTTTAAATTCTCAATTACATTCAATAGTAATATTGTAACCTAATTTCAATACCGTAGTTATTCAGTTGAGATAACAAGTCTTACTTAATTTCAGGAATGAGAGTTTGCAAAGTTTATACATGATTGTTTAACGAAAATTATAATAATTATCATAGTTCTAGTTTTAAGTAGTTTTTAAGCTATTCAATTTAAACTGGTTTAACTAAATATCCATCCATTCCATTTTAAATTGCCAAATTTTCTTCTTCTTATTTTGCATAGGCCGAACACCCAATAATTTGAATTTTCGGATATTATTTCTTAATTATCGAAGTGGCTTAAATGCCATTCATGGTAGGCATATCGATATCCATAAATATTAAACCATACCCATTACATTTATTACACCTATTAGATTTTACCATTTAGATAGCAGTATGGCCATCTAATGAAAATTCTAATTTAAGAGATGAATTAATCTTTAAAATTAAGAATTTCAGAACTTCTATATTGAAAGCGTTATCGTCAACAATTAAAATGTTGGCACATTGACATTAATTTATATGTTGTGTCTTGATATTATTGTATCTCCATAAAGATTATCTTCTTTCTGGACTCTCTTCATCAATATCTTGCGATTCTTCTTAAATTTCTGATTCTTAAATATTCTTAGCGATATAGAACCAGAATGAAGAGCCATTTTAATACTCTGATTGAAATTGTAATCCTTTTTCATTAAAACTCAAATTCCTAGCAATCATATTACTAATAATTAATCCCAACCCAACTCCTTGTGGATTCAACTTTTTACTTTCTGAATCTTCCACTCTAACAAAAGCCTATATGAGTCTTTCCTTATGTTCTTCCTTAATTCCTAGTCCTGTGTCATGGACCTCTATTTTTAAAGAAGTGTTGTGATAATTGGACACTCTAATATCTATGTATCCTTACAAAGTATATTTGAAAGCATTGCCAAGAAGATTGATAATAATTTGTCGTATTCTATTCGGATCATTATTTAATAATCGAGGAGCACTTTTTCGATAGTTTAGTGTTAGATTAATCTTTTTTAAGTTTGCTTCTAATTTAAATAAGTCCATGCATTCTTCAATCAATTTCTTAAGATCCATTTAAATGGGACAGATTGAAAATTTACCTACTTTCAATTATGCAAAATCCAATAAATCATTTGATAAGTTGAGTAAATACTTACAATTTAACAAAGCGATTTTGATGTACTTACTTTAAACACAAGGGTCTCTTTCATCCTGTAAAGCAGAGATAAACTAAATAATGGAATTAAGTGGAGTTCTATATTCATGACTAACAAATGAAATTATACTTGATTTGACTTGGTATTATTTTTTCATCAACTTTATATAATCTCTATGAGTGACATCCCTTATTTATAGCAAAATCATTAATTTCTCATCAACCAAAGTGGCATGAGCATTGATTTCTAATAGACGCTTTCTTGGTTACTCGAGATCTGCACAACCCTCGTTTTCATACCAATTTCCCAAATAACTGCCAATAAAAATTGTGTTATGAGGACTATTCTTTAGGATTAAAAAAAATCTTTTGTTTGGTTTAATGCTCCTCAAATCATAAAGAATTTACTAATTAAATGAAAATAAATTACGTTGAATTCAATTTCTTCTTTGGAATATCGATTATTGGAAATTTTGCATTACTGGAAAGTTTATTAAAAACTCTAAAAAGAGGGAAATGAATCTCTGGGATCTCTGATATCTGGTTTAGCCTGAGTAGACACAACATCAGTTAATTATTCCAAACATGTCTTAAAATTAGCTTTGTCACTTATCTTAAATAACTCCAAAGTTGCTGAATTACAAAAATGAATTGCTAAATTTTAGGCTGTCAACAAAACCAAAGAGTCCGGTATCAAATTAAAGAAATGGAAACATTCCTGCAATTCCTATTAAAAACTTGTTGCCGATGAATGGAATTATTGTTTTTTATATTCGGGAGTTTGTACCATGTTCAAAATTGATTTCTCATAAGACTTAATGTATGATGTCTATGGGTCTATGTCTTACTTTTATTGGTTCGCCCATAATAAATACAGATGTATAAAAATCAAGGAAATTCCTCCAAAAAATGCATATAAATCATACGAATTCCAACTGCACACTCTAATTAAAGCATATAAATTGATAATAATTGTGAGTTTTTGCAACAATCCCTTGTTTACTCTCTCCTATCCTATCTCAATACAGATGAAATAGAGAACAAAAACACTGATATTTTATAGTTTCACAGCACATTCCACAAAAAATATAGCCAAACACATGGTGTAACTTAGATTCATCTGTAAATACCTCCTTTCATTCAGTTTATAAGAGAAGAGCACAGCCACCTAAATAGCACTCATTATGCTTAATAAAATTGCCATCTCTTTTATTTCAAAACCCAACAAAGGAGTAAGTATTATCCCTATTATTCCTTCAAGAGGTATTTTGATTATTTTCATCATATATTTATTTATAATTTAGGTTTTAATTAATAATTTAAATATGAAACTTCTCCACAGCATCAAAAAACGCAATAAGAATGTATCACAGACCCTAAACAATCCTAAATTTGAATTAAAGCTAAGTAGTTTATCAGAAGGTCGATAGCAATATTTATTGAAATATAAAATGAATATCGAATCATTAAATTATAAAAATAAACTCTAATTCAAATAAGGTTATAATAAAGCATGATTAAAACTTTATCCTTTCGGTTGAAAATTAAATGCACTCCATTAGATATGAGAACAAGTTAAATGTGCACACCTTCTCCTTGATTATGCTGTGTAACATAAATTCATGGATTCAATAAATTCTCTAAATTTTTTACTTAATTTTCTCAATTAGATTTTTTCATTCAATTAAATTTTCAAACAGTCATTTAATAATTAATACATTTTAAGGAAATAAGCTTTTGAAAACTGGTTGTGAAATAAATTGTAAATAAATTCAATAAATAATTAAATTATTCCGAACTTTGTGAATTAAATGGAGAAACAAAAAGAAATTCTTAAATTATATCATGACAATCTTGATTAATAAATAGAGGAAGTGTTTAAGGCCGATCTAAACATTCCCATCGATAAATTCCAAACCCAAAAGTAATTTACAGGTAATTGGTAATTTAGTGATAAGAAATCTAAAAGTTCTACATTTGGCATGTCTCCACAACAATACAAAACTTGTTGAACTCACTTTGACATATTGTAGAAATTCCAATTTAATAAATCAAACCCAGATGTTTGAATTCATTAATTTATAGAATAAGGATGGATTCACTCCTTTGCATATGGCCTCCTTTAAAGGAAATCTAGTATATATATTAAGAGAATATGTTTAGGAAATTATAAAGTTATTACTATAATTAGGAGCTAATTCAAATATTAAGAATACTACTGGATTGTCTGTTCTGCATATGTCAGTTTAAGGAGATCATGTTAAGACTAGTGTAATAAATATTGATTTTTAGTTATTCTGGATTAATCAAAACATCCCAATTGACATTTTAGATCATAATCACTAAACCCCTTTAATTTGTGCTTCCTTTCTAGGTTCTTAACAAATGGTCAACTTTCTAATTCCTTGGGGTGCTAAATTGAATGCCTAGACACAAGACAAAGGACATACGGCATTACATGTGGCCACTTAATAAGGTCATTCTCGCATCGTGAGAAAATTACTTATCAAAGGAATAGATAGAAAAATCAAAGATAAGACTGGAAGAACTGCACTTGATTTAGCCGTTGAATCTAGATTTGAATCTATTTAAACCATGATTGTATAAGATGATATCATCATTCTAGGAAAATAACATGGGATTACCTGAGAGATGTGGCTTAAGACAACCTGATTCAAAAGTTGAAAAAAACTACATATCAATGATCATTTACCTATCTCTATATTGTAGTTCCTTTTTGATGACCATTTCATTCACTTTGCCAAGTATAATATATCTAATTATAATAATAAGAATTAGAATCCTTATAAGCTTGGTACATCACTTCATTTAGTATAACTCTTCTTTTGACTTGGGTTCTTGTTAAAAGAAATCCAGGATTTGTACCACGCTCAAATAAAACCTTAATGGTAGGGTGATTTAACATTTATAAGGATCTATTAGATGCTTACTCAGTTGATTAAATCTGCCCAGATTGCTCAGACGTGAAACCACCTAGATCAAGACATTGTGAAATTTGTTAAAAGTGCGTTTATAAATATGATCATCATTGTCCTTGGCTTTCGAATTGTGTTGGTGAAAAAAACCAGTATATATTCATATCATTCCTATTTACTTTGACTCTCAGTATTTCTTTGTAGATAGCAGTTTAATGTTCAAGTAAAAGAAGGTTATTTAATTTAGCATTAAATTTGGAAGATGATCAAACTGATGTTGATTCAGACCATTTATTGTAATGGATAACATTTTACTATACAATGATTTTTAGTTGCATATTCATTTTACCTGTGATGTATAAATCATTTGATTTAGGTTATTATTTACAGTCCAAATATACAATTTAATTAAAGGGCAAACTACTTATGAAAGATATATAGAAAAACAGGGAATAAATAGAATTTAGTCTAGAAAAGCTAGTGCAGAATAATAACTAAAACTAATAAAGAGTGCTGCTAGCACAGAAACGAATGAGAGCGAATTCAAATTTACATTAAAAACTCAAAAGAAACCCTTGCTCAAGGAAACTGAATTAATTGTATGATAAACAATAATATTAAATTTTACATCCATTTTTATTCTCTAAAGTCTATTGATAACAATTCCTCTTCCAACTCTAAAACTATTTTAATACAAATTAGTCTTTTAAATTTATTATTTCTTCAATCTATTTACATAAAAAATTGAATTTCTATATCAAAAGCAGTTTTATCAAATGTATATGTAAAAATTAGATTCACAAGAAGAATAATTAACGAATTAGTAGAATATAAATTACATGCTCTACTCAAACTTAAGTGTCAAAACTTATTCGATTCCCAATAAACGATTACATTAACTGTTTGAGAGTCTATGAATTCCAAAATAATACTGAGAATCAATAATGTCAAGTGATTTGATATAGACTTTTTTTTTTTTAATCCACTTTGGTGTAAATGATTTTATTTTTCTTCAAAATAGCAATTAATTAATAAAGAAATCTTATAGTATTTATATTTTTTTCTACCCTTAGAAAGACAATTGAACCAAATTCTATAGTAATCTCCATTTAACTCCTATTTTTGAAACTAAATAATTTTATAACACCATAAGAAGACATCCTCATCCAAAATTAATAAAAAGTCTGTAATTGCACATCTTACCTTTTTAGAACTTCCGATCAAAAGTTCTGTTACTTAGTATTGATATTTGATTTTATTATTTTAATGTTATTAAGTCCTTAAGTTTTGTGTTCTAAATTGATAATCTACGAGAGAGTTCGAGTTGGCATTATCTATTTAATTAAAAATAAAATTTAACGTATATGAGTTAGACAGAACAACAGGAGAATAATTATGATGCATAATACTTGGAGATATTTGGTTGCAATCATTCTACAAGATAGATGCATTCTGAAAAATTGATTTGTCAATAATGCGGCATATTTATCAACAGTGTAATAGAGTTGTTTTAAATTAAAGTCGACCACAAGAGTCTTCAAAACAATCAAGATGAAGTACAACACCTTTTCTCAATCCCTTAAATTAATATTGGGCAATATCTTGGCTCCTTTTGACAATAGCTTAACATTAAATTGCCAGATTGCCAATAATAGATTTTATGGAATAAGCATCTGAAAGGCTAAATTTGAGTACAAACACTGCCTTTTTAGCAATCACATACATTGATCACTTTTTCAATAAAGTCAATGTGAATGAAAAATAGGTTTTCTTATATGCTGCAGCTGCTCTAATGTTGGCAGCAAAGGCATAGGAACTTGATGAGAGGATACCTTTCATTAGCAAACTTAAACGCTACACTTCAATGACATCTCATCCTGAACTGAATACCTTCACCACCTAGGAATTTTGTAATGCTGAAAAAGCATTAATCGAATCTTTAAACTGGAAATTATAGAGGATCACTCTTCTTGATAGAATAGAGTCTCTACTTTCCTTTGGAGTCATTGATGAGGATGACAGTCTCTCACAGCCACCATAATAGAAGGAAAACAAAGAGCAATAATTAAATCATATTAAATTGAGAGATCTAAGTGAACAATAAATCAATAACTATGTAAATGAGGTTGAGAACAAATATATAGAAACTGCTTATTCTGTGATTAGAGGTAAAATCAGTTAAATAAGTAGATGATCAAATTTATTTCTCAAACGATCAAACTATATTAGCCTTGTCTTGTGTAGCTTTTCTAAGAAAAAAGGCTGGATTGCTAAATATCTGGTCTTAACAACTCTAAGCTTTGACTGGAGAATCAGCTTAGAAAATCTCAGCCACTGTATCTTAGATTATGACACTTACTCCTAAGAGTGTAAGCAAGCCGCAAATTAATACTTCCTCTAGTTCATATTTGAGTAGTTATTAGAATTCTGCATCTTAAAACAAAAATTCTTATATGAAAAACAGACAATACTTATTTGAATCAAATAAATCATCAGCAGGAGATATCTTATTACAATATAATACAACAGCCAAAGCTCATCTAAGAGTTCCCTTATTTCAATCTTAATCAACGATGCAATTATCATCAAAAGGGGATATCATGAAACCTCATCATTCCAATTAAACCAAATATTCTAGTCGAAATAGTAATTTTCATAGTACAAACAATTATTCCTATTTATCTGATAATATAGTTCATCCAAATTCATATATAAAAAATACTGAATTGGATAAAAAATATGAGCAAATTCATAAAGTAGAGAGTAAATTTAGAACTAAAATATTCAGTTGATGAATATTTGTCAAACACAATATTTATAATGTTATAATACTATTTTATTAATGATCATAATCAATTGTTAAACAAATATCTTATAGCTTCATCAATAAATTTATATATATATGAATATTATTCTGAAGTATGAACCATTCCCCATCTTTGTTCTCTCAATCTACGAACCATTCCGAAAATGGAAATTCTATAAAGTTCTGGATTTTCTTCCAATTCTTAGAATAAAGGTGATTAATTACTCGAATGATCATCGCCAATGTGTTGTTTGTATGCTCTAAGTAGGATCATTAAGTTCGATAATGCAATCAAGGTACCAGTTCTTCCAACTCCAGCACTACATTTATATAAACCTACTACCTGCAATGAAAAACTACTTTTTGATCTGCCAACAATTTTTCATTAATGATATTTAATAACTCCTTCATCACATCAAAATCACTTGGAGAAGGAACTCCTTAGTCAGGCCATCCACACCATTGGATTTGAATGACATTCCTCTCCTCCCCTTCCTGATTAATTTTCAGTATTCGTTTAGTTATATTATTGCCAAGATCATCTTGACTTTGTAAGTTCACTTGAATATTTCCACAAATCAGTGTTTCACCAACATTTTTTGGCCAATATTATTCACATTATGCCTAAATACCCTAAATTTACTAACTCTTTGGTTCTCTTTTAAATTGCACAACATGACTATCATACTCATATTTTCCTAGACTATCATCTTCCAAAAGTGACCAAATGTTGAGAGCAAAGGACCCTAAGTTGCCACTATCATTCTCTCCTTTCCATTTATCAACTATGTTACTTAAACTATTCAATTACATTGATAAAATTTGCATTAATATAGGATTCCTTTAAATTTTCTTCTTCATCTCCCTCACTCTTTAATTTGACAATTGAATGCTTGACTAATTTAGTACTAATTTAATATACATGGGATGATGTTATTATATCGATTTAGTCTCTGTACATCAGGATGAAAGTCAAATAAATTATCATTATGATATTAAGTTTCTGTTAATCTACGTAATAACTAAATAGAAACTAAACAATTACTCTGAATTCCATTTCTAAATCTCTTTTTAATAATTCTTAACTGAAGTGTAAAACAGAAATTCCTTTTTCAATAGCTACCAATTCAGCTTTGCCTTAAACCCAATCATAAGAATAATCTTTACTGATTTCCTTACCTTCTACTAAGAACCCTTACATTTATTTTATTTTAATAAATTGGATTAAATTATTCTAGACAAGATTTTAATCATGGCAATATCACATCAAATCTCTTGTTTTCAATTGCACTCAAACACTGAATCAGAATTAAATGACACTGACTTTCCTTACTCATAATATTCTATGTAAATTCTTTAAACAACATTTTATAGGATTATAATAATATAATTTTGAGAAGATATACAAATCTTTTATTTTAGTTAAATTAATATCTGATTAAAATTGATACACTTTAACTAATGAATACTATTTTAGAACCATCTCTTGAGTGAATTATAAATACAAAATTAATAAAGTTGACATCAGTTTTTTAGTGGATTAAGTGATTTCGATTACTACTGTTGAATTGCATCATTTAGAACCTAATTTAATGCATCATTTAGCGAACACTGACGATTCATGATTAGTTTTTTGCCTTTTTAACAAGTTTAATTAGAATCGAATTATTATATGTCTATTCTATCATCAAAATTCTATTCAATTATTACTTTGTAACCCTCTTAGTCAGGCTCTGATTGTAGATTATTGTTGTTAGTTATTTTAATAATATTGGTGATGGGTTGTTCTCTTTATGAGCCTTAGCCTTACTGTTCTTAATATTGAGGAATCTCTTGTTCTTCATTTTGATTGTTATTCTGCATTTGTGAATCCTCATCCAATTGAAATGAAAACTATAACTTTTAATTCTATTTTGGTATTAGTTCTGAATGTAATTGAAATAGTTGATCGTCAGTGATAAAAGTGTTCTTTTTTTCTTGGGCAGAATTAATGCCACTATATCTTTGTTCTTTGGAAACCAAAAAGGGATGTTGAAGCAGATCTTCAGCTTCCCATCGATCTTCTGGGTTCAATTAGAGACATTTCTTCAAGAAGTCCCTGGCTTGTTCAGACTTCAATTCTTCTGGAATGGGAATCATATCTGTTAACTTGCTTATTTTAACCATGATAGTATAGATGTTCTTAACTTCAGAGAATGGAGGGTGTCCAGTAGCCATTTCAATCATGGTGCAGCCAAGACTCCAAATGTCAGCCTTCCTATTGATATATAATAATTTGATCTACTTTCCATATTGTTGTTAATTGATAACTTCTGGAGCCATAAAATTTGGAGTGCCGCACAGAGAACCGACAACATCTTATTGAATTTCAGATAATTGTTTGCCACTCCCAAAATCTAGAGGAATATAATTTTTCAATTAATACCTGCTAATTTCACTTATCCATTCTAATTAATTAAGATGTTTGCTCCTTTGATGTCTCTGTGAATGACACCTTAGGAGTGTAGATACTGTAATCCCAATAGAATCTGCTTCAAATAAACTTTAATCAAGGACTCTTTAAACTTCCCAAATCTTTTGATCATCATGAGAACAGAGCCACCACTTACATACTCTAAGAAAATATTTAATTAATCTTTTTTTCTCTCTGAACCATAATAACGCACAATGTGAAGATGTTGCAACTTGCTCAAAATTTCAATTTCTCTTTGGATTGATTATACTTTCTAAAAAGATAATACTTAGAATTTACATTCTCATCTCCACTCTTTATAAACACTTACTTCACAGCCATTATCTATCCGCTAACTCTGTTCATTCCTAAAATAACCCTACCAAATGCTCCTTGTCCAATCATCTCGCCCTCAGTCCAAGTAATCTGTTTTTCTTATTCTTATTTTTCTGTTTTCTACTCTTTCGGAGGAATGGCATCAGCACAGACCTCTTGATAATGTGATTCTTCAGCCTATTGAATGGGAACAGGGTGCTCATCGCAACCTGCATTCGCATACTTTGTATGTTTAGTCTCTTTGGTCAGACAACAGCCCATATATTATTTATAAATTAGAAATGCAATAAAAGCAAAATTAAGCCAAAATAAGGAATGCCTTGCAATAACAACTATTCCCTAAGATGCAAAAGAAAATCGAGTAGCCCAAGGCATAACCGAAAAGGTATAATAGATAATTATCAATCGCAGAGCCATAAGGATAGAAGATGAGAATAAACTATCAATCACATCAATAACATTGCCGCATATTGAGACTATTGCTATTAATTTTAATTCCAAGTATCAACTGGGCAACATGATCGGAGAAGGCGCTCATGGATTAGTGAAGAAAGCCATCAAAGTGGAAACTGGCGAATAAGTAGCAGTCAAAATTTCAAGAAGTGGAGACCCTGAGCTAGTCAAAACATTTACTGAAGCATATAAAAATACGAGAATACTAGATCATTAATACATAATAAAAGTTTATGAATGCTACATAGATGAACAATCGGAAACTTTATATTTGGTAATGGAATACTCAAATCTTCGCAGCTTGGAAGATGTAATTAAAAAACACAAGAAATTAACGTAAGTCTATCTCCTTATATTAGGGAAGAATAAGCCAAGCTCTTAATCAGACACATCCTATTGGCTCTCCAACATATTCATGAAAGAGGAGTAGCCCATAGAGACTTGAAGCCAGATAATGTATTGATCAACAAAAAGTCTCTCGATATCAAAATCATAGACTTTGGAGTCAGTCGGAGATTCAAAAAGTACAATGGCAGAGAATTCGTGGATGTAAACATGTGGACTAGAACTGGAAATGTTTATTATGCTGCCCCAGAGATCTTGACCGGAGGAGGCTATGACGAAAGAGTAGACCTCTGGTCCCTGGGGGTCTGCTTGTTTCGTGTCTTGAGTGGCCAGTTCCCCTTCTTTGAAGACAGTGTCTTAGGAACCATTGAGAAAATATTAAAAGGCACTTTCGAACTCAACGAAAACATTTCCTTGCTCGCCAGAGATTTGATCAGAAGACTTCTGGATCCTAATCCAGCCCAAAGATTATCTGCGTAATGTATATTATCGAGATTCACATTATAGTGGCTCTGCAGCATCCTTGGCTCTATCATTCTGAGATCGATCCCATCTCACCCAATAGCACTGAACTTGTCAACAAAGTCCCTTACAGAGCTAGTGACGATATTTGTGATATCTCATAAAGTGGAGACAAGAATACCTATTACAGCAGGAACCTTCATATGAGAAGCAACACGATGACCAAGAGTCCAGTCATGCAATCAGAAACCAACACCAATTCCAAATCTCCTCTTAATTTATTAAAACAAGATCTCGATGAAGAAATTCAATAGTCTCCCCTTATCAAATTGAAAAAAATTCAAAATCAAATGAACAAAGAAATCAACATCATAAAGAAGAATGAATCTAGTGGCTAAGGATTACTGAGAATTAGATAAAGACTGCAAATGGAAAAATTAGACATCATACATGAAATTTAATGACTATTAATAATAACTCTTAATATCAATCTTCAGTTTGTTTATATATAAATCATATCAAAGCAGATCTGTATATGTTGGTGTTTTTGCTTAGTATGTTTGATAGGGCATAGTGCCCATCTGCTAAAATGGACTCACTTGATTATTGTATTGAGGTATCTAATAGCCACTGCTAAAAAATTTGCTCTCTTGTTTTTGGCTCTTCTCCTGATATAAGTTCAAAATTTGTCTGAATTCTATAAACGAGATGAAATTATCATCATTCAAATCAAATATCCTAAAAACGGCTTGCAACTCTTAAGGTTATACATTTCTTTGGATTTTTCTAAAATTATCGTTTATTTACTTACATCAGCACTTATGCAAACTCCTAAAAACTGAGAAGACCATCAAAGTCACAATCAAATTTTTAGAATAAATCATGAACATTTATATTGTATCTTTGAATTGTCAATTGTAATTTTTCAATTAACCTCTCAGGATCAAATACTTATGTTTGAATTGGCATTTAATTTATGAAGGGTGTTGATTGAGATTAACCCAACGTAGGTTAATATGGAGCTTAAATGCCTCTAAAATCCATATCTTTCTGTTTTCCAGGGTTATTCTGAATGTTTGTTAATGATGGCATCTTTTTGGAAACTGAATTTCGCTGATTCTGACGACCTTTAACTTTTGAAACTACTGCCATCTTTGTATTATTATCTGTTATCCATTTTTCAAATTCCTCCAAGGATACAGATTGATCTCCATCCAAATCCAATTTCTTAAATATCACTTGACAATCTTAACGACTTAGAGTTTTATCAATGGTATGCAACAATTGCACCAATTCAGAAAACTATAATGTTTTATCTCCATTTTCATCGAATTCTTAGAATAAAGAACTAATATTCAAATTTTGTTTTATAATTTTCTATCTTAATTCATTCATCAAAAATTTAATTTATTCTTCCTTTATATGGGCTTTATAATTCTTAAAATAATCTTTCACCAATCTATGTTTGAATACTTCATCCCAATTCATTCTTTCTGCTTCCTCCATTGTAAGACAACCCTCTATAAACTATTTCATATCGTCACTAACTGATGTTTAATCATCAGGAAAATCTAACAATTTATGCTCAATATTATGCAACAATTGTTCTATCCTTGAACCGCTCCATGCAGTATAACCATATAGAGCATTGTATAAGATCATTCCAATAGACCATATATCACATTTATTTGTGTATTTACTGTTTAACAACACTTAAGGAGAATGGAACTTAAAATCTTCATCCTTATGTGATTATTCCTTTTTGAAATTCTCCAAACACTTTGTTAACCCACAATCTAATTATACTCATAATTTATACCAGCTAATTTATAACCTTTATCTGTTAACATAATATTTGTCAACTTTAATCCTCTATGAACTATTCCATGGTTTATTAATTCAGTGAACCCTTCCAGTAGATCTATCAATAACTTAATGCATTCAGATTCAGGCATTTTATGAACTTATTACAAATGGGACTATAAATCTTATTTACAAAGTTCCATGACAACATAATAATTATTGTCAGTTTATATTACTTCTACTAGTTAAACTATTTTTGGGTGTTTTAATTATTGCATTAATCTGATTTCATCTAACAATGCACACAAGAGGCCTTCATCGTCTGTTATACTATTTTTTTTAATTATCCTTAAGGCATATTGGTTCTTTTTATTATCAATCGCCTTTACAACCTATGATTTCAATAAATATCATTACTGTTCCTGTAGAACCCATCCCAAGCAAGTCTTTTGGATTATATTGGTATTTGTCAATTTATTTCATTAAGAAAATTATAATTTCAGCATTTCTATATAAGAACTTAATAATAATGGTTTGAAGTAATAAGTATTTCTATAATTTTTAATAATGGAATATACTATTATAAGATATTTCTGCATTCTACTCTCTATGAATTTTAATTCAACATTTTTCTTTAAACATTACGTCTTAATAGTAATTTTCCGAATTCAATTGAAACTAAAACAAACACATATACAAAGTTTAAAATTCGATGAAAAATATAAAATTTGTTGTGGAATTATAATTAAAAAGTTAAAAATTATTTTGTAATTAAATTCTTTTATATTTTTATAATAATCTAATTAAAGAATTTGCTAAGATTCGATTTTGTATTGATTATGGCTTGAAATGTGTTTAGGTTGAAATTATAAGACCTCTGGAAGATGATTAAGGAGATACATCATAAAGAAGGGGGTGAATGAGAATGAAATCTAAAACAAGCTAAAATGTAAAATGAATTTTATGAAGATTTGGATATTGATATATTGAACTTCATTATCAAAAGACCTCTTCTCTAACTTGGAGGAATTCTGATGCAGCGCTCAATTTTTAGGTGAGAACCTCTTATAATCTCTCAACAACTTCCAATTGTTATTCTCTTTCAAAGGTTTGAGCTTCATATTGGGATTCTTATTCAGCAGCCCATCTTTCTTAAATGGCCAATGAATCTTCAGCATCTTCAAGGAATAACTATTGAAATTAGGGATTGTATTAGTACAGTTTAATCTTCCAAGTCTTCAACAGCTTCTTGGATGGTGACTTTGAATTAGACAATTGAATTTTCTAAGAATGCCTTTCTTTCAACTAATCTCTTGTGTTCCTCTGTCAAATGACCACTTTATGACTGTCCCAGTTGGCAGCTTGTTTTTCTTCTGTAGCAAGGAGAGAGGCTCTGCTGGCAACTAATTATTGTCTGATTTGAGCTAAGAGTTCTAAGATCTTGATGATGCTCTTGTTATCAACCTTGGAGGCTAATTATGTCAAGGCATTGATGAGTGGCTATAACAGTAGAAATATTATTAATACCTTGAAGAGAGCATGCTTGGATTCCATCAATTTAGCTTAGACTTTTTCAAATCTGCTTTTGAGTTGAGCAAAAGCGACACCAGCTTACAAGTGTTAAACGATCTTTGAGGCTTCGTCAATGGCATCAATTTAATCAACATGTTCTGCATCCTTTCTAACCCATGTGTCATGTTATGATTGTCTTGTAGCAGATTCATCAGCAAAGCTTTTTTCGTTATTGGCAATATCTGAGGTAACAACTCTGACTTCAACTTCAGCTTCACCCAATGCTTCGGTTGTGGAATCTCTCAAATTTGAAAGAGCAACAATTTGGGTTTAGTGATAAGCAATTTCTTGTTCTAAGTCAGCAATGATCTAAACTATATTATTATGCTTACCTTTTCGAAAGCAACTGTATCACTCTCATGAACTTTGTCAGCTTTCTTTTAATCTCCGTTGAGTTGGGAAGCAATATTGTTTAAGAGAATTTGAATTTCACCAACAGGTCCTCCTGTGGCCAATTAGAGTTGAAGGACTGACAACACTGAATTTCCGAATGAATCTTTGTTAACTTAAGCCAAGATTTCCTTTGGACTTTCTGTCTTTGCTACTCTAGCAGTTGCAACTGCAAGGATAAGAGTCAATACAGGGACGATTCTCATGTTATTAATATTAATGAAATGAAATCACAATCACTCACCAAGACATTAAAAATTACCCGTTTTTTAATTTATTATCCCACCTTCATTAATACGTTTTTGTTTAATTAAAAAGTCAATCATTTTATTATTCCTCGTATAATACTCTTCAACTATACCTTAATTTCAATCAAAAATTCAAAGTTTGTGAACATTTAAATAATAATTTTTATGACAATTCAAAACCTCTTAGCAAATGTATTTATTTTGGAATCAAACCTATGATTCACTACTTGTTTCAATTAATCATTTATCAAGATAAAATAGGAAGAAATAAATTAAAATTAAAATATAATCGAATGCATTAATGCAAATACTTGAATCATTCGATAAATTGTTAAAAGAATTGAATTGCATCTGTACCATATACGTTATAATAAATCATAAGATATGATAAGATATAAATTTAGGTTATTATTAATTAATCTAATATTTAAATTTCATAAAAGAAAAGGCTATGGTTTAAATAGTTAATTGGTTTATTAGATAAATTTTATTTGATCTTTTGTTGCACTCTAATTTTATGGTATAGATTTTTTATAAAATTAAAAAATTCAACCAATATATATATAACACTTAAGATAGACAAAACATGTGCAAAAACATTTCTAGGAAATGTATAAATTTAATCAACTATCAAAATAATTAATTAGAATATTAAACAAAGATTAATAATATCATTTGCATATTATTTATTTAAAATTATACTTTTATGAATTTAATGGTAATATCAATTATTAAAGTATTGTAATAACTAAATAATCTTATCTCATCTAGCAATGATGAAACCAGAAACAATTGATTATTCATAGAATTGTAATTTTTAATGTAATTCTAATATACATTAGATATTTTGATTTCTTAATTATTATAAACTTTACAAATAATAAGGTTTGATATATAGATAAGATTACTATTTAATTACTTCTTAAATCAAATGCATATTGAAGAATAAAATCATTTTGACTCTTCAATTAAGCAATGTCAATCCTTAATAAATTATACAACAAGATTTTCTTAAATTATCATTTACTACAAAATTTCTTCCTCCTAAATCATAGTTTTAATGAGAGATTTTACATCCATCTTATATAGTTTCAAAATTTTCAGGTTTAATACAAGAATATTTAACTTAGAGATGTTAAAAAATCAAATTAGGCTATACTATCTTACTATCTTTGTTGTTATTATAAATTGGTGAAATTAATGGTTCATTAGTCATTTTTCTATTCAACTTTGAGAAAATTATTGATTTAAGCTTAATGCTCGGGATAACAATTAATTTTATCATACATCCATAATTCATATCTAATGCTATTCAAATATGAGCTTATGAACTTGTAGAAAGTAGTTTTCTTCTCTAAAGGTCTTAAGAAGTCAGTGATCTTCTTGCTCATTGAATGGTTTAACAATAAAATTAATAAAAAAATGAAATCAAAATAACAATAGACTCCTAATACACATTCTGAGGTCTTTCAAGAATTACATAGGGAAGATGAATTCAGTGAGTCCATAGGCAAGATGCCAAAACTTGTGTTTAGACTGTGAAAAAGAAGGCAGCAAAATCTTATGTTTGTATAGTGAAATAGTAAAAATTTGAGAATATGGAGCATCAAACACGTGGGAAGGAATCTGTGGAGGAGGAGATGGAGTTTTTGTCAAATTAAATTAAGAATATGCAAATAAAATAAGAATAATTGGAGAGTCAACATTATTAACTAAGTACAAATGTTAAGAAGATCAATCTCGAAAAGAAACATTAGGTGCAAGTAAGGAATAGGAATGTAATTAATTAAGGGAAGCAGTTAGATGATAAAAAAATTGGATTACATAATTGATATCCAGAAAATGTAGGAAGATAATTTAAACTAGTTAAAGTATCTATTTGCCTCTTGAAAAATAATTTGACTTTCTTTTCTAAATTAAGCTAAATATGGAGGAATGGAATTTTAGTAATCAATATGATGATAGTCTATTGGTCTGCTAGCATAAAAATTGTTGTATATTTTTTTCAAAATTATATATAAAAAGATGTACAAATTCGTATTTTATAAAAAATATTCTCAAAAAACTATAAAATAATGAAAAAGTCAAATGAGAATGAAAGGATAGCTTAACAAATATATGCCTCTTAGATGCAGAAATTGTAGGGCAAGATATTGGAGAAGAAACTCACTAAAGTATGTTCAAAATAGCAATTTGAGAGCCAATCATAAAATATCTCGAATAACAACAGTCCGGTAATGGGTCGTTAAAAGTCGTATGAAAATTTATAGAAGGTGAATAGAACATTTATAAACCCAACTCTTCAGGTGTCTCAACAAAAATTGAGCAGCATTTTAAATGTTATGGCAGGCTAACAGACGAAACCTAAAATTTAGAGTTCATTTAACAATGAATTAATGGATACGGTGAAGATTACTCATAAATTGCGTAAGAATTAATCTATGATTCATATCGACCAATAATCACCATAATTAACCAAGAATTCTTCGTTTCATCGTCCTAACTCGAGTGTCAAAATAAAGAATAGCAATAGTATATCTTATGAGTAAACCCAATTTTAAAAGATAAAAGATAAAATAAAATAGCTCTTATAAGAGAGAGATAATAATTGGTAATAAGATCAAAAGGAAATGGCTTTCATGATAAAACTAAATTAATCATTAAACCAATTACTTTCAATAGTTTTTTAAGAGTAACAAAATACTCAACCTACTTCTACTTAAGATACAAATTCTAGTCTTCAAATAGATAATTTTTTTAAGAGATAAATTATCATTCTATAATAATCTTACACTCAATAAATGGAAAAGAAAAAACTAGAAAATATTCTCACTTCCATCAAAAGAAAACATGAACATGTTCTCGTCGAATACAATCAGCTATTAGAGCAAAAAAGATCATAAGATGATTAAATAAAGAATTTGGAATAGCAAATCTAAGGACTAAAGACTCAAATAAGTTCATCTTAGAAGGAAATAGAGAATGAGTAAGGTATATATGAAAGTATTACAGGTAGAATTTTTGGAATTGAAGTATCTTGTTTAAGGACAATTCGAGGCAATCTAAAAGTTATTACAAAGAGAACAGTTGACAAAAATATTCTTAAAGAGAGTTGGAGATAGTTCTATAATAGAGTATTAATAATGATATATATTTAAGCATGTTCGATTAATTTATATCAAATGCTGAACGGACAAATTTGGATGATACAGAGGGGAATCTAAATGTTGATGTTTTGCCTTCTAATAAGTTGATTTCTAAACAGAAGCTAGCAGTAACTTAGGATTAAATGAGTCTACCTGAGAAAATTCTATCTTAATATGAAGAAAATTATAAGGAACAATTGAATTTATGCGACTCTTTGTTAGCAGATGATTCTAGTAATAATCGAATTCACATGTTTTTAGGAGTTAATGATTCAGAGGAAAGCAGTTTTGGATATATGGGAAAGGAATAGGCGACTGAGATTAGTTGTTATTTTAATGATGCTGTATAATTTGCTTAGGGTACCATTAAGATTAAGAGAATACAGACTGTTTCAAAGGATAAGTTGAAGATCAATATGATGGATGTAAAATTGGCATAGGCTGCGTAAGATATATTTTAAATGTGTAGTTTGAAACGTCAAGAATTAGTTGAATAATAATAGCTACAATAATAGAAGATCCTTCCAGATTATCTGATTGATAATGAGAATGAAGAATCAGAGGTGAATTTGTGCGATGATGATGATGAATAATAGTTTTGATTTGAATCGTCATTTTGGCTCGTTCTTTATTATTTAATATAAATTCCAATTCTATCAATCAAAATAAAATATTAATAGAAGAGATTGAAAATCAAAATTTTTAGAAGTTCAAAACCATTTCTTTAGTTTTCCTTTCATCCAAACTCCTTTCCTTTCATTCCCTTCCTTAGAAACAAATATCCCAATTCCATCTTACAATCCTTACTTCCATTGTCCCTTGTAACAACGACCATCACTATATAGCATTTCTCCATATCCATGTTTAAGTCCTTCCGAATATTGACCAGTATAGATTCGTCCTTAAAAATAAGTTAAATCAAAATTTATCGCATACCATCACCCCATTTCATCGTACCATTTCCGTGTTTGGTTCCATTTTTCCAATAGCCTTCAAAAACCATCTTCCTATCTGGCCATATCTACATTTAGGAATAAGATTTACAAATGATCCATAACCATGAAATTGATCATTTTCAAATTCTCCTTCATAAACACAACCATCGGCTAATCTAATGATTCCAAGTCCATTTTTCATTCCCTCCTTGAATTTCCCTTCATAAATGGATCTGTCATTGTATATCTCTTTGCCCATGCCGTGTTGTAATCCCTTTTTCCATTCTCCTAGTAAATAGTGACACATGATACCTTAGTAAATGCGACCATCTGAATAGACATACTCGCCAATTCCATGGAACATACTGTCAAGCCATGATCCCTTGTAAGTCTCTGTGCCATTGACATAGATGGCTTGTCCTTGGAGCTCATTGGAAGCCCACTAAGAAATATTATTAAAATATTACAGTTCCTTCGACATAGCTAAGAATAATAAATATATAAGATACTACCTATCTTGGAATGAATATTTACCTTTTCCATTAGCTTTGCCATCCTTCCATTCTCCTTTGTAGATGGCTCCGTTCTTCATTAATATTGAAGTCGAATCGGAATCAGGGAGTTAATGGGTGTCGAAACAGAATTTGGATTGTTCCACTTGGGTTGGTGCTGAAGTCTCTGGGGAGTGCAAAGTGGTCATGAGGGATTTACGAACTTTATGACCTCTGTAGAGTGCTTATATGACAATGATTTTATTCTCATCGTAAGTGGGGGAGGGGTCTTCTTTGACGAGCATTTCAGTTTGTTTGTGCCCACTTGAATCCATGGTGGGTAGATCTTCAGTAGATTCTGGTAAGCTCTTGCAGATGCCCATTTGGAATAGTGTTTTATCAAATTATTTTATATTACGAAAATCCTTATATATTCTAGACTAATGGGGGTGATCTGGGGAGGAGTACTGGGAATAATCTTGGAGGAAATGAGGAAATGGTGAAGATAAGTTGAAATTACTTAATGGGATCCTAATTTGTCAATTATAATGTATAATCTAAATATTATATTTAAACATGTTTGCAGACCTCATTCAGCATATAAAAAATACAAGTCCATAATTTGTTATCGGACAATATGCAGACGCTTATGATAATTATAGCAGTTGGCGTATGTGCAAAGTGATCAATCTCTCAACTGATTCGGTCACAGTTCAATACGATGGGTGGAGCTAGAAATATGATGAGACTCATAAACTTAAAGTAGGAAGGGTCGTGTATTTTAGATCACATACTGAACTCTACACAGGTGCTTAGAAGAGTGCGTCTCGAGAATTCTAAATAACCAAAGAAGTGGATCACATTCAATAGGTCATCGAGAAAATGCAGAAGTTGATAGTAAGCAATTTTGCCAATGTCGAAGCACACGACGTCTGTCAATTTGTGAGAGGAGAACTCTATCTACTAATTGATAGTGTCATGCAAGAATAGTAATGCTACACTCAGGGAGAATTTAAAATGACTACAGATCTAATCGAGGCCTTTATACGATTCTTCGTCGAATGGGCAAATAAGATTTTGGAGAAAATCAACATCTATATCCAAGGCGTCCAAGCACACCCCCTAATTTATTATTTTCATTTGGACACCTGTCTAGTATCCTGTCATCCCGAGATGTTCGATACCCTCACCAAGATATTCAACGGAAGCGGACCCAGATGCAAGCGTTATTTCCAGAGCAATGAATCCCAACTCTTGAAGATGTACTCTATCTCCGATCGACACTCCCAGAATGTCCAACAGGGCTTCTTCAAATATTTCCAAGATTAAAATGGCTTATAAGTAATCGAGAATTTGATAGCTTGGCAACACAGCGAAGGAGAGACCAAATAAAAAGTGCCTTTTGGAATAATCAAGAATATCCTACCCTTGGTGGAAAGTATCTATAAGAGTTTCCCCACGAGCTAAAATAGACAAGAATGGCTACTCAAAATGAAAGACATGATCATCAATCGATTACACAAGTTGACAACTAATGATCTTAAGGAATCCAATCTAAATCCTGTCTTCCAGATTTTTAAGTTGATTCCGTAACAGTTCTCCTCCATCATCAACATCTCCTAAGAATGTGAAGCCACAGAGATCAAATTAGCCATCACCTTAATAAAGTCATCCATTCTTGAGAAGAAAATCAAGGGTGTCAAGGAACTCACTGAAATAATTGACAAGGTGACAACTTCCAAGAACTCAATGATGTATCAGAGTATAACGAGCACCTATTTCAATCCGGATAGATTGGGCAAATTCCTTCAAGAAGAGAAAGTTTTCGACATTCTTCTCCAAGAAGCAGGACATGCCGAAGTCTTTAAGAGAGCAGCCCCTATTCTGAGATTTATGGTTGATCAAGTGAATTCAAGCACCAAGGATATCGAATAACTATGGGAGGCAAGTTAGATGAGACATGAAACAGAAGCTCAGAGTGTCTACGAAGTGATCAGTGATATTGCCAGAGTGATGAATCACGAATAAACAGAGATAATCTTTACTAAGTTGACAAATTTTAGTTAAAAAGACATAGATCTGAATTTGATCAATTTCATGAAGGATTTCACTTAGAGTGCCTAGAAGAATCCGATTTGGAAAAATAGAGCCATCTATACACTCAACATGATGTGGAATTTACTTTAAGACAAAAGCGATCTCAACCCTAATCTCCTTGAACCTCTAATGACTGGATTCATCTCATGTCTGAAATAGGAACGTGAGTAGTATTAATAACTGTGTTTGGAGAACTTGAGGAAGAGTTATTCATTCCCCTAATGTTTGCACATCCTATAAAAAATCATTGAGAGTTATGGGTAAGGATAGGTCTACTTTTCAGTTTCCTCAGAGGATAACCTTAATAAAATCATGAAAGAACATTAAATGATTGATCTGATTGTTAAGAACCTTGAAAATTATAAAGCCAATGTAAATACTTGTTAAGATTGTTTTGCTATTCTGACTGGTAAAGTTGCACATGCTTAACGAATACAATACAAAATGGATTTCCTTGAGTATATAGCTGCAAGTCCCAAGAAGTATGAGTTTTCACTTGAAAATTTTAAGAAATTATGGAATATCCTCATAATCAATCCTATTCATGAAACTGATCGCAATCCCATGCTAGATTTCTTAGTTAAAGGAGGATTCAGAGTGAAAGAGGATTTATTCAAAAACATATTCTGCAACATCAATTATCCAATCAAATTATGCTATAGGAGTATCGAAAAGTACTTTATGCAATTAAATCAAAAAAATGGCTCAATCAATTGCTAAAAGTCTTAAATCCGAATCATAAAGTACGATCAGATCATTGGTATAAATTTCTTCTTCGATGTGGTCTTCAATTATCCAGATGCAGATTAAGCCATCTAGACTCTGTTATAATTGCACATGAGAACAGAGAAAGCAAATTAAGTGGATTAGAAATTGCAAATGTGGAACTCTCTGCTTATGAAATGCAAAGAAGCTCTGAAATAATCCAATAACAGTTAAGTGTAAGTCTAAAATGTGATTAAGTGTCTCAAAGATCTTGTGACTGGAATCGAAGGGAAACAATACTTTAATACGAGTAGTCCAGCTATCACTTTCACCAAGTTCTAAGTCTAATTGGGCAAGGATGAAAAAACCTTAAAAGAAGTATCTCTCCCTTCTAATTCCACTTTGTTAGCAGTGAGAAAAAATTTGAATCAACTTTACAATTTCAATCAATAAGACTACGATATGTTTTTGGCTAATCATGATATGAAGATCAATCAAGACAATGAAGAAGATTTGACAATCAGTTTGTTTGAGGAATCCAAATCGAGAGATAAGCCAGACATCATTCTGTAGAATATCAGTCAGAATATGAATTCTTTGTGTTTGAGCATTCGTAAATTTAAGGCTACTTTGAGTAGCAATACAGAATTATCAGAGATATTGTTTGATTTGTTGTAATCTGAGAATTATGAAGACATATGGGAAGTATTGACATTGATGCCACAAAATAAGCAAATAAAAGATAGATTGGATAGAGGAGGTTCTGATGAGGAGTCATGGAGCAAGATCTTGTACTTCAATTGCAATAAGAAATTGTTATATTGCTTGCAAATATATGAAACTATGATATTATAGGATAAGAATGTATTACAATATTTTTTGAAGACTAAAGGATGTCAGAGTATTATCAATTATTATCTGAAGAGACAGGAGAATGAATTTACTAATCTATTCAATTTGAAATGTTTTGCACAGATTGCTAAAATTATAGGGATCTGCAGTATTAAGGATTAAGAAATCAATAGGAAATGTGTCAAATACATCATATATTCCTTGTAAAAAATAGAAAATAAAGTATACTAAGACCCTTCTGCAATTCAGAGTTTTCTGTAATACAACTTTAGAATAGCCTCAACTGAGAATGTGGGCGACATAGAGTAGATGAAAAAAAGCTTAATAGAATTGGTAGACCCTTAGATCAGAAAGACTTTGTGCCAATAATTGATTGATTTGAAGCCACTCCATAAGCATTTCTAAAATTTGGGTGACAATTTGTAAGATGTCATGAAACTGAAAAATTAGGCTGAATAATATTTGGAATTGTACGCTGGAGTTTTAGAATAGACAAACAATAATGATTTAACAAGGATTACTCAAAGATTGCCTTAAATATTGATTAGTTTCTTGTAAGAGGAGGAGACTGAGAAGATACTCCTATAGGCATTCAAATTGATATGCATTTTGGTGACAAAATGTTAAGAATCGTTACTAATGATAACAACAGATGATTAATTGGCTGATGCAATAATTAGCAGTCTATTTCAATTAAATGGGAAAACACTACAAAGTCAGGACACAAGAAAAGCAGGGTATGAAATAATTTAAAAGTTATTCGCCAATTAGAAATTGATGTTGATTTTCGAACAGTATTTTTCTTGTGCCTTTTGGAGAACAAGTTCAAACACAAATTGGAATATCGTGTAAACATAATAGAGTAAGAGTCAAACTGGTTTCGTTGGTTTACGTAATCTGGGATGTATTTGTTATATGAATTCATTAATGCAATAATTATTCACCTTACCTAATTTCAGGGAAAGCATTCTATCCCTGAACCTTGAGTAAGGATAACAGACCGTTGCATATCAATTTTAACTTTTACTCTCCGCATTAAAGAATTCATAAAAGCAATTCTATGATCCTACTAATTTTTGCAATGTGCTTGGACCAAATTATAAACCAATCAACTTTTATGAATAGATGGATGTTGATGAATTCTTCTTGTAACTCATGGACAAATTGGAACTCGAACTCAAACCATTAAAGAGAGATATAATTGTACCAAAGAGTTTTGGTGGATTTATGAGTACAGAATTTATAAGTAAAGGATGTTAACATCAATCTTCAAGAGAAGAATTATTCTTGGCCCTTTCATTGCAAGTCAAAAATAAAAAGAACATTTATGAATCCATGAAGATGATGACTGATGGTGAAATGCTTGAAGGTGATAATGCATACATGTGTGAGAAATGCGAAAAGAAGGTGCCAGCTCTAATGAGAGTCTGCATTAAGCAATTGCCTAATGTATTGATCATGGTGTTAAAGCGTTTTGAGTTTAATTATGAAACCCAGTAGAAGTTTAAGTTAAACGACTATTACGAATTCCCAACTCAATTGAATATGAAGCAATTCACCAAGGAGTACTTATAGAAGCAAGATTTTCAAGACGTCGAAGATGCCGATAGACTCATTGTGACTGAGTATTCGGATGAATATTATGATTACCACTTGAGAGGAGTGATTATTCACGTCGGTACTGCTGATCATGGACATTACTATTCATTAATCAAAGATGCTCAAACTAATAAGTGGTATGAATTCAATGATATTCTTGTTAAACCTTTTGAGTTTGGAGATTTGGCAACTGAAGCATTTGGTAATGATGACAAGGGTAGAAGCAATTAATTATTAAGTCGATCTAAAAATGCATATATGTTATTTTATGAACGCAAGACTTATTTTGATGAAAATGGCAAGCCATTGAAGAATGATTAGGAATTACGATGGTTTTTCAATAACAATAAAAATGAAAAGTAAAATGATGAAATTCTGATTGATAATATTAAGTTTTAAATCAGTTAGGTTATGTTCGATGAATCCTTTTTTGAGTTCAGTTGTGCTCTATTGGATGAGGGATCATAAATTCATATCGGAAGATTCTGCTTATAATATTTCCTCACTGTTGTCATCCGTTTCTAAGAGAGAGGACAATTTGTGCCAAGATATTTGGAAAAGTTAAAATTAATAACCAGGAATTCAGTTCAATTGGCAAATGAATTTCTGGTTTCTATTCAAAATGTTGATGTTCTAAATGAGTTGATCCTCTAAAATCCCATCCAAGACATGAGAGTAATTATAGGTGGTCTGATCAACGATGCCATCAAGTGTCTTATGGACAATGAAAAGTTCGCCTCATATAAAGAATTCAAGCAAAAGAGCAACTTAATTCAACTGACCCAATCTATGATTCACTATATCTAGAATAGGAAGAACTCTGATTAAATCCAAAGGATTATCTACCAATTGTCATTGAATGATTTCAGCAAGACATACTTACGAGAACTGAAATTCGTAGGGAGAATCTTCCTATACTTTTTAGATGAACCACCTGTTGGCGCTGGTTACATTGAAATTGCAGATCCCAATGTCGAATAAAAATTACTCAAGATCAACAAATAATATATTAGGAATGAATAGTAAAATCCACAAATTTTGCAATAGTAAGAGAATCTTAAATTTGACAATCTATACATTGATTACTCCTACTTGGTTATGGCTCTTAATTAATTGATCTACTAGGATGATGACGAATTGTGCATGCTCGATGATCCTCTGCTCTTTAAAAGACTCCTCAGCATTACATTCACGAGACAAGCAAGGTTGGCTTTGAAGGAGGCAATACAGAAATATATACGACTAAACAACAACCCTTGGGATCAAAGTCTAGCAGTTGTGTAGACACTCTATGAACACATGAAGGATTGCGATGAGAAAGACTTAAAAACAGCCTTGATCGTACTTAAAGGAATAGGTGAAATCGATGATGCATACAACGAATAAAGAGTACATTATAAATTTCAATTTAGTTAACTTTGGTGGCTGAAGCTTATATTTCTGCTTTGAAAGACAACCTGGGTTACTGGTATTACACATCGATTATGTTTGATTATGTAATAAAGGTAATTGCTTATTATCATACTCCACTAGATCTGCACAAGATTGAATTTTCAGAAAGCTTTCGCTGAAGTCTTGAATCGAAATAAAGGGGTCTTGAAATTGATGTACCAGTGGCTAAAAGAATCATAGAATCCATTTTAAAACTTCTCATAATAAAGGGTATATATGATCGATAATTATTTTACAGTGGAAAGTCTTTAAAAAGAGACAGATGAATGTGTTGGCTTAGGATATAACTGAAAAACTGAATAAATTCTAGGCCTTGTCCTAAAAACGAATAGAGTCACTTGAGAAAATCATGAGTCAATAAGTTGTGAATAGTAGTGGTTATGATTCTGATACAGTTCCTAATCTTGAATAATAGGTTGATGTCATCATCCCAGCAAGAACATACCTCAATAACTTCGAGACTTGTGGCTATTCAACATGGACAATCGGAATCAATTTAGGAGATATGATGGAATTAAGATAAAACAATATGATTAAATGGGTTTTCAGTACGGATTCATCACTTGCACCTCCCAACACATAGACACTAAAATATGAAAATCATGTTTCCTTTATGAAATGATCAATAAATATCATCATTTAATTAAATCATCTAAAGCTTGGTTAAATTCGCTGGGCACAACCGATTTGTATGGATACAAATCAACCGCTTGTTAATTCTACTCTTCAAATTGTTATTATAACAAACTCTTGATCTCAGGCTTAATCGTATTTAAATATTCTTTAGTTTTTGTAGACATCTCCAGAGACAACTTTGGTTGGTTAAAGAAAATCAAATAATTTTAAAACTTTTTAATCGAATCTAAATGTGTTAATGTTATATTGTACTAATTAGGTCAGCACTTTTAACTTGTATGTCCTTAAGGAATTCAATCAAATACTCTTCCTCGACAGGGGAACCTTCCTTGATGTTTCTATTCAAAAATGACTTCTCCTTAGGCTTTCTCTTTCTAACACCAGTAGTCACAGACATTGTGTAGGATGACTTTGACATTCCTGATTTCCCACTTACATCACTCATCTAATCGAAATCAGCATTAACTTAGGATGGTGCCAAAATACCATGTTCTTTCTTCTACTCTTAGACTATTCTTAATCTCTCTAATTTTTAAATGAACAAATGTTGTTAATTCAACAAATGGTTCACTTTCAAAGAGAATGCCAATTATAAATGATCATCAATATTTATTTATTTGTGTCTTAAACATTAGGCTACACTTTCCCACTCTTCTGCTTTACAATAATAATGAATAGCTTATTCATGATTCTTCAAATATTCTTAAATTTATCCACAATCCTTCCATCTTCCAGCTGCCAATAAAATCTAATTGTAGTTTAACAAATAATCCTCCTTAGGATCAAAAGACAGAATTCTTTTAGTATCTAATATTTCAGAAGATGCTTAAACTGCCTTTTCATACAATCCAGCACTTTCATAAGCCAATGATGCTTGATGATATTGCTTTTAATTATTTAGATAGTCTCCCAAAGCTTCCTTCACTTTCCTCATCATTACCTAATCATTTCTATACACTTCCAATGCTATTCTAAATCTGCTTTGTTTTCTGATCAATTCAATAGATTTTTGTTTCTATTCCTCATTCCCTTCTGACAACACTTTGATAGCCTTATCGTAATTCTTCAATTCAATATGAATGGTGGACTTCATATCGATAGGATCCTTTATTTGTGAGTATCGTTCCAACATAGGCAAATATTCTTTAGGATCCTTCTAAGTGAATTAAGCAACCTATTTGACCAAATCGAAATCATATGTTCCTAAAGCTACCTCAAACATCTTATTAGCATCTGCTAACCAACATATGTATTCCAAGACTTGCTCTGACTTAATTTTATTGTGCTTTCTATTATATAATTGATATTGTACTTGTAAGGCTTTTGTGTGGCAGGATTCAAATGGGGTGGCACTTCCTCATGATGCTGCTCTAATTGTCTCAGTTTCAAGGTCTTCAATAGAGCATCTTCTACTTCACTGGGCTCCTTCTTTAACATTGCTGTCACTATGGTGAGAATGTGAGTTTCCCTAAATTCAAAGATATAAAATACTCCTTCATATTGTCAATCAACTTTTAACAGACATAATTAATTTTGGATGTTCCCAAGGTTTTATCCACTATTAACACCTTCTGATGTTTGTACTGTTCAGCTGTCAAAACATAAGGAAGTTCGAAACTTATTTCATTATTTAGAGATTGGATAAAGAGTTATAGATACTGTTCTGATAGTTATTCTACGATCTAGACATCCAATTCTCCAGAGAAATCAAACATCAAATTCATGTCTAGTTTATGTTTTCTGATCATTTCAAAGCAAGTCTTATATTGCTTATTATCATATAGTTGTTTGCAGAGATGCAGAGCCATGACTCTTGGTGCTGTTGTTTCTAAATTTCCTCTTGGAATTTAAACAATAAGTCTATCCAAGGAAACAACGGCTAAGATCTTAGCTCCTCTCTCTATGTTACTAATATTCAAACTTTTTTTATCAATTGAAATAGGCTTATTAAGATCTAGTATATATAAATTATGAAATTGATCAGTTGTGTTAATAGTAAATGCTAGAAAATGATCAAAAAATGCAAATGATGTACACTCATTAGTGACTAGATGATTGTTTAATGTTAATCTACTATTAGACTTCAAACAACCAAGCCATTCATTATGCTGCTGGATCTTGACGTCATATACATTTTATTCTTTATTGGCCAGATCGAATTCACTTAAGCTTTCCTCTAGTGATTGATCATATATAAACTTTTCTCCAAATCTTGAATGTAATATAATCTAGTGACCCTTTTTAGTCAATGCTGAAATCTATGTTGGTTAAGAGAATTCTTTTCTCCATATATTTATAATCTCAAAAGTTGGTGAGATTACAACATCAACTAACTTATCACTTTCTGCCTCGTGCACTACAAAAACAGCATGACCAAAAATAACATCTTATTATTTATCAGAATAGCAAATCAATTTATGAGCACAATCGATATCCAACTTCACTTTACCCAACAGGTTAACATTATCAAATATACTCAGAGTTCCATCGTATGAATAGATATAAATAAATTAGTCATAATACACTAAATCTATTTGACTGTCCACCTTTAATTAATAATGACATAAGGGTGGTGGAATGACTCCCTTCTTATAATCACTGACTAATAAGGTATCATAATCAGTAGATAAACCTATTGAAGTATTGTTAAAATGATAATTGAGCCAAAAGATATTCATACTGTTCTCATTAAATACCACTAAAGTATTGTTCTCAATAAATGTATAATCAATTAGTTTCTCAAATTTAAATGCTTTTTTTGCATACCATTTATAATTTTATCTTAAATGAACTGTTATTCTGTCACCTTGTTAAATAGCCAAAATGATTCCGTCTGGACTCCATTTGATATTTGTAGAATCCTCAAAAATGTTGAATTCCAAATGTCTCAAACCATTCTTCTCCCAAAATATCACTTATTTATCTTGAATACCAGCAATGAATTAACTATTAGGTTACCATGAAACTGTATTTACAAGATTCCTAGGCTTTTCAAAGATCGCCTAAACTAATCCTCCTTCAGGGTCTGACTTACTTGGACTTCTGAATTTTTCCAATTATACATCATAAGTCTCACATACTCTACCTTCTTGAATCGCGTAGTTTAATGAAAAAAACTAATTCATATTTACAAAAGCTTATACTTTTCCATCGTTTTTAAAAGAGATCGATACCAATTGATCAAGAATTCCCTCGATATTGATTTCCTTTGTTGGTTCTAATTGCACATCAAAGCTCACCAACTTTCCATCTCCGCAAACAACAACTAGTTATTCCTGATTGGGATTCCAAGCTGCTCCCAATACTCCACACTCAAACTATCCAACCACTTCTGCTTCCTCTTTATACACTTTGACTATAGCTCCATCTCTATAAACTATTATTAATTGATCATTTTCCATCAAATATTGGAATGACAAGATTTTAGAATTATTCTAAATTTGAGCACCCACTTTGTAAGTTGTTTATATCTAAATATTAATCATATCAAATACGCTTAGTTATTTATTATTGTATTCGTATTTGATAATATTGGATTCCTTATCAATAACATACAGGACTTTCGATAATTCATCAAAGGTAAACGCTAATGGTTGTGAGATTTCATAACTAATCAAATAATTGTCAATCTTTGTACCTTTGTTAACATTGTATTTATATTTCTTTCATTAATTAAAAAAATAATTAATTAATTAAATACAAATAGTATATTATTTTTAATCATTAATTTAGAGAAGAGTTATGTTATTTTGAGATATTCAAAGATGCCAAAAATGTTCTAAGTTATGAATTTCAAATATTACCATTTTTCAATAATTTTAATAATAATATCACATGCCATTGGTTGCAATTTTTGTGGTATTTAAATTTGTGATTAAAAACATAAAATCCTAGAGTTTGTCTTATATGAACATTAATTTATTTTATGATAGTTCTTCATTTGTTGATTTCTTTGAATGTTATATGATTTTTACTAAAAAATGCTTAAATGCTCACATTCTTGCAATATGTACTTGTCTCTATCCGTTTAACCTTACGAAGAAACTAATCAATCGAAGGCATCACGATAGAAACAAAAACATTTATGCGGTATAAATTAATTCTATAAAATATAGTCTATATAGATAAAATCAAATAGACCATAACGAAATATCTAAATTTGTATAGACTATGAATTAGTTGAATCTCTTTACATTATAATTTGACATGATAAAAGGAATGGAATATTTATAACATATTATAGATGCCTAAAACACTAGAATCTTTATGTTTGATTAGCTGATTAACTGGCAGAGTGAATATGACAAATGTTCAAAGGTTAATACTAAAAAAATTGTGTAGGTATTATAATATTAAAATAATTCATTCAACTCATAATATATATTCAATTCAAAGTTGATTTAAATCTTATTGATGGCATCAATTTATCAGAAGTCTTCGAATACTTTGATAATTTATGATAAGGTTTGATTAGAAATCCTGCTGGAGGGGATTTTTCTGTTTTTTACCTTCTCAGGTCAATAGATTGCAATAAACCTTTGGATTCATAAAATTTTTAAATCGCTCTCCCTTTTCTTGACATCTCATGTTTAATTAGAAAAGGAGATATACAAGAACATTTGAGTTTTGTATCTCTTTTAGAACGAGAAGTTATTGCTGATTATTCAATTAGGTTATGGTCCGATATTTCTTTAAAGACTCTGCCAAGTTATTTTTTAACGATAAAATTCCTGAAAGAGTCCTAATGTAGTGCTTATCTTTGAGGTATCTTATAATTTGTTGTTTATTGAAAGTTTGTTTGATTCCCACAGAGATTGCAATTACAACTCTTTCTTCTTTTGATTTTTTTTCCCGTGTCCATCTTGTAAGCATTGGGTAGGTGAAAACTAGTTGATATTTGTTTTTTGATTTAGGTTAATTATTGAGATGTTAATTGAGCAGACTTAAGATGCTACTGAACTGTTAAAGGGGTGTTGAGGAAGAGTGATTGGAGACGTGTGAGTTTGCCACATTAATCACAATAGCAACTTGCTCTTCTTTATGTATATGGGGATGAAGGAATGAATGATTATTTTAGAGTTGTTTTACGCAGAAGATTTCGTTATTATTTTATGATCAGCATTAAAAAATAGTTTTATAATAATCGTTTCACAATTATTTCTTAATCTATCTGCACGAGAAGTCTTTGATTGCAGGAAGAACAATCTGACTCAAACTCATGCATTCAGTTCTAAGTCTACGATGTTAAACATCAATGTTTCTTAAACTCATCATTTAATTTTTTTATTAAATCAATTATCTTGGATCAATCCTACTTCTGCTTTGCATTTGTTCGAGTTGGATTGTTCGACTGTGTGTTAAATTTTTCCTTTTAATTACAAAAAGCTTTCTGGATTTTTTCTATTTTTTAAAAGGGACATCTTTATGTTTGATTTGAAATTATGACATTGGCCCACATTCTGAACAGGTACAACTGTTTCGCCTGGGCCTTTGGTCTTAATTTTTATAAAAGGAAGGTGTTTGGCTAATAGATGTGGACATGGTTCTTGAATTTTTACTGATTTATTATTTTTCATCAGTCTGGGTTTTCTATAATTCTAATTCTTTTTTGGATTCATCAATTTAAATTTGGAGTGGCACCCATCCGTTATTTTAATGAATTTGTTAAAACTGACTAAGTTTACCACAATTATCACAATAGCAAGAACGTCTTCTTGTTACAGTTTGGTTTTTGTAGAGTTGAGAAAGATCTGGATATTTTTGTTAACTAGTCCTACGCCATTTAGCATACATTAATTTGGTATTTAGTTTAAATAAGAAATATTTATGTAAGTAAAGGAAATTATTATTAAGAATTTATAAATCACAATTGCTTATTATAATTTCATGATTTGGAAGTATGTTTGTGAATTTGTTTAAAATGGACTGGCATGCCCTGCAATTATTGGTACTTCGTTGACAATTTCTAAGAGTCTTCATCTCCACTAAATTCATCCATGTATTATTGAAACCCCCAGGTAGAATCGATGGTTTTATGGCGCTAAGAATATGGTTCATTAATGTTACTCTGAATTAATCCTTGGGTTCGATTATTTGTATTCCACTGTGGAACACTACAGACTACCGTTTAGAGGATTTGGCACTCTTTTTGCTCTTCCTGCTCTTCTTGCTCCTGGACCTCTTGTCATCTTTGATGCTGCCATTTTCGACCTAAGAAGGCACATACTTAATCATCATGGAGGACAGGGATCCCTGAATTGAAGTGCTTGTCAGGTGTTTGGATTCAGCTCTGACTGGACTGCCTCCATTTTATCTGTTTGCTTCGGGAGGCTTCAACAGATGATTTGAACCTAAGATAGCTTGAGAGGAGGGCTTGTGTTTGTCTTCAGAGACAGCCCAGATAATTTAGTCCTTTATCTTAGTAGAACGATCAGACCATTCAAAAACCTTATCCATAATAATTTGGTTATTGGATGCAGCTTTAAGAATGAGAGATTTCATATACTTATAGTCGGGCTCTGATTTAAATTCTAATTTTTTCAGATAACTATGTTTTAGTAGGCTGTTACTTCAGAATTTCAGCAAATTCAGAAGGAATGTCTTTACAGAGTTCTGCTACTTCAGTTTTCATTTTGACCTCTCCAACCAATGAAGTTCTGTCTCTATGTCCAATATTTTGTAAATTTTACCAAGGCAATTTGCTATAATATGAAAAGTGCACTCTACCCTTTTAAGAGATAAATCATCACATAGAACATCGACTCAACATCATCCTTTCTACCTAGCTCATGACCTCGATGGGCAGCAATTGAGGCATATCTAGTAGTACCAATAAAGGACTTCTTGTCTTTAGGAGGACTTAATAAGATTAGAATTTGAATTTATACATATGTTTTCCTTGAGTATCCAAATAGACTTTCGAGACTCCATAATCAACCAAGTAAATGATACCGTTGTCCAATTGATATCCAGTGAGTATGTTTTCAGGTTTGAAATCCCTATGAATCACTCCTCTTTCATGAACTTGTTGTAGAGTACTCAAAAGTTATTGAGTTATTTGCAACACAGATTTGAGACTCAATTTTTTGTATTGTTTAATGAAATGGCTCAGATCCTTTCCAAGTAGTTGGATGACAATCACATTATAATCTTATTCAAAACCACTCCAATATAATTTAGGAACTCCAGGCACTCCAACGAGACGATTGAGAATAGTAATTTCCCTGTCAAGAGAACTCGCATCCTCATTCTCTTCCTTCTCCACTTTAACAGCAACTTCCTCTCTCGTATGTTTATCGAATGCTAAATAGACTATGCCAAAGGATCCAGAGGAAATCTATTGTTTAATGATATATTTGTTATTGAAGATCTTCGGATCTCTGTAACTTTGAGGAAGCTTCATCATATGTTAATTATAATTTGTATTCAACGATAATCAAATATTCACTACATACCCCAACTTCTTCAATTCTTCAATCCTCTTTTTGGCTTTCGTAGCATTGATCAGAGTCTGTGACAAATAGATATTCTTTGGCAGTTGTCCACTTTTAGTAATATTAAGAATGACATCAAGTATTCTCTCTGAAATCATATTTGAAGAAAGATGCAAAGACGTAATATTCGGATTCTAAGTCAAAGCCTGCAATACAACACTAGCACCCTCGTCACTAATCTTATTCCTGGCCAATTTCAACTACTTCACCTTTTTGCACATTTTCAATTGTTCCGCAATAATATTGCACCCCTCATCTCCCAACTCTTAAAGAATACAATTAACATATCTTACCTGCATTCGACAGATCCACAATTTCTAAATTGTCATTCCGAAATGCCTGCATGATTGGCTCAAACTTCTCATTAATTTTAAACGTCTTCTTTCTCTTCTCTTACAACTTGGGAGTGGGAGATATCCCTTGTCTCAACAAGGAAACAGGAGGAGGAGGTTACAAAGACACATTATTGGGTGCATCCTTACTTGGACTCTTCTACTTTAACTATTTCAAGGGAGTAGTTGCAGACTAAAAACTATGCAGAGACGGTTCTGTCCTCACAGGACTTTTAGCTTATTGCACTTGTGATTATGTTGTCTATTTCAACTCATGTTGTGAATTAGATACTACATGGGTGACCTATGAAATCAAATTGGTCTTCGTTGTCTGTCCAATCAGCTACAGAATTATCTCTTAAAAGAAGAGGCTCCTCTTGATCAAACTTACTGAAACTATTCTCTACTTGATTTGTTTCATTATGACTCATCTACAATGTTAAACTACACATCGATTCAAAACACTTTTCTATTTCCTGTTTTTTGAAATCCACTCTGATTTTCTTTATTTTCACATTATTAATTCGCTATTCCAACATCTTAATAGTTCTATCCATTTCGTCTAAGATGGCATTTCCTTTAAATTCCTAATTGTACAGCAGATCTAATGGCAATTCCCCACTCTCAGTCTTGGTTGAAAAATAAAGCAGTCTGTCCTTAGCCCCTATCTTCCATAACTCTGCTTATTACAAACTCTATTACACTTAGTCCCTGATCTACCTTTTGGTTTGCTATTCCAGAGTCTGAGTCAGTCCATTCAATTACTCCAAGAGTTTGTTCTCCTTCAAGTCCAACTGATGATGCAATTCCTTGAATTTCTCTTTGACTGCCATCTGACTCTCCTGCAACATTATCTAATACTTCTCATTCATAGACTCATAAAACTTAGACTCCGTTAACTCTGATTGCTTATCCAAGATCTTCTAATAAGTCTGCATGATATTCTCAGCTTTCGAGGCTATCTCTCTAACTACATCATCTACCGAACGAACCTCGTGATGTCTGTGATTACCAAATAAAGCACATTTAGTACATATTCGAATCTTATCAGTCAAGCATACGATCTCCAACTTCTCCAAATGTTCCCCGCACAATTCAATCTTCTCCTGAGCCAAGTTATTCAGATGTAACTAATATTCTGGATGATCTATTGATGGCCTTTACTTCACCACCATTTTTAAAAGTTGACAATTCTTCGGAAACTCTGTAATATGTGTCTTCCCCTTCGCAAGAATACTTTATATATCTCATTGTCAGAATTACTTATCCTCAGGACAACATATCTGCTAACCATCAGCACTCATCAACATCTACTTTATGCACTTTTAGCAGATCGTATGTCCACAATCAGGCAACATCAAAGGAATATTCTCGAATTCATTGAATATATTACAGCATTACGGACATATGAGCTCTTCCATTTTAATTAAAATAACGATATTTCATTAAAGGAATACTATTAATTTATAACTCATCATTCATTATAAATTATTGTCTATTGATTATTATCACCCCCAACTTCACTCATTCCTTCAGAAAGTCAATTGTCTAAATTTATGTCAACCACCCTCTCTCTTTCCGAATCACATAATAGAACTTCAATGACTAGATCTAAATATTATTATTAAGTGTTAGTTATTTAATGATTCCATTCGCAGAAACACTGATTAAAAAAAACCATTAGATGAAGAAGAATTTTATGAAAAATGCATTCATTTTTTAGATCATATTATATATTGTTCCCAATCATTTGTATTATAAGTTGTACTTCTTAATTATTTTGATGTTTTTTTAATTCAATCATTATCTTCAATCTAATTGAGTGTAAGCATTATAGAAATTATCTTGATTGTTAATTAACATATTTATTATTAATAAAATGAAAAAATAAATTTAAAAGGAATAAATTGATCAATATACCTAAATGGGTTTCTCGGTGTAATTAATTCATATGGCTTGGGAAGTGATAAACGATGAATCAGAAATGATGGACACACTCATTGCTTTAACAAGTTAAAATTAGTAGATGCAATAAACATCAAATGTATGATTATATTTAATATATTGAATAGAAACAAGATGAAGAAATTCAATTAACGCAGGCCTTGCTGGATTCATATAAAACTAATCAATAGACAGGATCTCAAAAATTTGAAATAATTTCACCTGAATAAAGGAAGAGAGTTGATGGAATCCCATGTGGTTTGAAGAATTTAGGGAATACTTGTTATTTTAATGGTTTGCTCCAGACATATTTCTTTGATTGTCAATTTGTGAAGACCATCATAACTTTCTAAATTCCATAACAAATTGAATAAAGCAAATATGGTAAATCAATCTAGCTAGTATAAAATCTATAAAATCTCTTCATCAGCATGATTGGGAGTGACAAAAAGTATGTTGATCCATCTGAAGTCGTTAAAAGCATCTGCGATGAATTTGGAAATGTTCTTCCAATTGGAGATTAGAAGGATGTGGGCGAATTTAATCTTTACTTTCTTAGTCGCGTTGGAGAAGCGCTGACTCAAACAGAATCGCAAAGTAGCAAAATTGAAGACATATACATCGAATCTTCTCCATCAATTTTAAAGCAGAAGTCATCTGTGATTCACGATGAAGATATTGTTTCGAAGTTATTTTTATGTAAGGTTTTTCATCAATTTGAATTTGACCAAGGGGGTATTCAACAAATCAGAGAAAGCACAGAACTTTTTAATTACATACCACTTGATTTAAAGGATGGAAACTTATATGATAGTTTTGATAACTTTATTGTTAATAACATTGATGATTTCAAGAATGATTTTGATGAAACAGTTCAAGCAGTTAAATACAATTGGATACATTCACCACCTTAAAAACTATCCTTTCAAATTCAGAGAGTTATTTATTGCAAAGAAAAAAGTATATTGTCACAGAATATTATGTTTAGATGATTTAATTAAATAAAATGATGAGTTTACGTTTGATGAAGAAATCTATTTGGATCGTTTTCTAATTGAAAATAGAGAGAAATATCTGGAAACTAGAATCTAAAATAAAGAATTTAAATCCAAATAAAAGAAGATTAAATAAGGTCTATAATAATTAACTAAATTTAATGATCAACATGATTTGTAAGATGTATTGACTAATACAATTAAATTTTTGGAAATGCAAAACGTAGAGAACAATGAGCATGCTGCTAATTTTGGGTAATCGGATCAACAAGCAGCCATTGATTAATTGCAACAATACAATTAAAAAGTATTGAGGAAAAAGAAGTAACTGCAAACTCAATATGATGAACTTGAGAATAAGATTTAGGTTAGCTACAATGATTTAAAAAAGCATAAGTATCTTCTCCAATCCATTCTTATACATGATGGCTAAGCCAGTAACTCAATATTCTATTATTAGATTCCGGACACTACTACACTTATATTAAAGACTTTCGAAGAGAAACATGGTTTAAATTCAACGACATTCACGTAGGAGTGGAGACGAAGGAGAAAGTATTTTAGGATGCCTTTGGTATGAAGACTGGAGTCAACGCATACTTGTTAATTTATGCTAGAATTGATATTGTGAAGTAGGAACTAGAGTCTCAAATCAGATCGTATAGAATTAGTTCGGAACAGGGATATTTGAATGATAAATACGGTAGTTTCCTCAATTACATGTAAAGAGAACAGTTAGCGAAGGAGAACTAATTGTTCTATAATGAGATTGAGGAATACAAGTCTTCGAGGATCATAGAGAAATTAATTGAGTCTTATTAAATTAGATTTCAATTTATTAATGAGCACTATCGAATCATATCGAGCAAGGTGCAATCAACTGTGTATAAGCCGTTGATTATGTTGAATTTCCCGATGTTTATTAAGAGTAAGATGACTGTGTTAGGTAAGGATTCTTATGACAACATTTTAAAGTGGGTAATCTTGGATTCAGCATTGAGGGATGTGAATTAGGATAAATCAGGTATTTTTGGGGGATAGATTAGCGAGAATGTAAAAATTAAAAATTATGTAATAGTTTCAAAATCAAATAATGGTAAAGTTTAAGGCACAATTCAATGAATTCAAGAGGCCGACTGAATATTTGAGTACAGAGGAATAGAATGAATTTCACAAGTTGTCTTAGGAATACATTCAATATGTAGCAATGGCTTCTTTGGCATCGATATTGTTGGATTTAATTTTAAAAAGAGAGTTCCCCATGGTGCTATCAGTGTTGCATCATTTTTCTATGATTGCAAAGTAATTGGATACACATAATTATTTTTATAAAATGGCAAGTAATTTTTAAAAATTAATTCCAATCATAATAATTTGCAAAATGATTCCGGTATAGGCTGATGTGAATTTGAAGGAATTAGAATTGCTTCAAGCCTATTTGTCATTTTAACATTTTAGAGTTGAAGATTAAAACTTTTGGGAAACTCAGATTTCAATAATGATGAATGCGGTATGTGAAAATCACGATGAACCATATGTTTAGAGTATTATTACTAAATTTGAAGCCAATATTAAAGATCCAAATTTTATAATTTAAATAGAACAGGTCAATGATGTAATTATGGGTTTAATTGTTAATTGTAGGAGATTAGTGTGCAGTAGGCAGCTTTGAGTGCGAATTACGATGTGTTTTATTGGTCTCCTAATGTGAAGCAAGATGTTTTGTTTGATAAGTTAGTTAGCGGTTGGAATGAGATGAAGGCTTAATTCGAAGTAAGTGTAGAGTTTTAATCTAGCCGTTCATCAAGATTTAAAAAGCTCATAATCAATCCCATAATCCACTGATGAAATAGGAATTAGAAAATCTAATTTGTTGATATATATATTTTATAGATAAATATTATGATTCTGATAGCAGCATCAATGCACATTAGGGAGCATCGTTCTTTTTCTCTTAGGACTCCTTCAATTCATATAAGAGACGAAGATCCGAAAGATGTGGTGAAGAGTAGCATTTGTGGTATAATGATGGGAGTACTTTTCATGATAATATTCGCAATAATTGGGATGGTAGGGATATTTACGAATATCGACGAGGAAATAGAATATATATGGATGTTAGTCGTTTTGACTTTCACTTATGTACTCTTTATTCCTTACTTTATTTTAATATTACAAGATCTGAGGAGAATATCGAGTGAGTTGGAGAAGCATTAGGATGAATCTATTGTGATGAATCCCTATGCATTTGCTTCTAGTATGAATACGATTAGTGCCATTACAAACACAGAAAAATATAACCTTTTTAGATTATTAAATGTTTAATTTTTCATCATTTCTTTGATTATTAGTGCTTTCTTAATAAATTCAGAAATTGTGATCGGATCATTATTAGCAATTGTTAACTACATCGTGGCAGCAACTATTATCATCTATGTTTGCAGAAGATGTTGGCTGGGATGTTGCAATATTAAAATTGCAACCAAAAACCCAAAACGATATCACTTCTACAGATATCCATGTAAATTTAATCGATTACTATACAAGCTCCCAATCAAGTCAAGGATTCAGCATTTGCATTTGCAGTTGCATTGGTTACTTATTATGTTTGCAAACTCATCCTCTATGTGATCTTTCTTTGCTTAGATCAAGAAGATTTTCAATACACTTACCTCACTAGCTTATTCTATGCTTTTATAATGATTGTATAATTCGCATATGTTTCGTATTTGATCAAAAGAACCCTCATTACTTAACAATCCAAGAAATACTTCAAATGTTACATGACCTTATTTTAGTCCCTTTACCTCTCTCAGACCACCTAGAACTGTGTTCTCAAGGGACTTTACTTCTTTTCCTTATTGTGCACCTACATCGCCTTCTTTCTTGAGAAACCCTACTTAACAATCAAAAACTCCGATCTATTTGGAGTTCAATAATTTTGTTCCTATGAACACTTCATCTACCTATTCACATTACTGTAACTCATCTATTTCCTCTTGTTTCGAAGCTATTGTGTTAATAAGGAGGAAGAACAAATATAGATTTTTGATTTCAATTAAGTCCAAACCCAGGACAACCGTTTACAATGGATACAAAATTAACAGGACTACCCAATTTACGACAATTAGGAAGCAGATTTTCTGTATTTCATCCACGATCTAGAAGCTCTATAGGAGATCTACGACAATCTGATTTTCTAATCTTCTTAATTAGAATTGAAGATGAGACCAAGAAATGGCCAATTAATCAATTTAACCTAATGGATTGAAGACAAGAAGTTTTAATTACAAGTCCAAGGGAGAGGCTTTGATGATGAATACTTTGCAAATCTCAAATCATTCATCAAACAAAACATTCGATCCAAAAGAGATGCCAAAGACAAACAAAAATAATCTATCGATAGAATTGAATGTGCAATATGTTTATAATAGTTGGACACCAAATAGAATATTACTAGATTAGGATGCCATTCCACTCATAAATTTCACACTGAATGTATAGAAAGATGGATCAATGCTGTCCACAAATGTCCTTTATGCAATCAACCTGCTTGATTATTAAATATATTTGACTACAAAATTTGTGATATCTCTCATCCTACCGATTTCAGGACATCATCATAAGATAATTCAGTCCCCTCAAGAAAATCAATACAATTCTAAACTCATTTAAATTATGTTAACACTATTATCTTGTTAAATTTTATGCAATTTGATTATTTATTAACGGATTTATGGGCTGTACATCTTCAATAGAATAAACTTCTATGATCTCCAGTAAACCTGGAAGACCTAAAATCACCAAATCAATGTCAACTAGCTCCATTGTTTGCTATAGGAACTCAAAAATCAGGGAAAATGTCACTATCCTTAATTAAGGGAAATCATAGCTTGATTCTTAATTCATCACTCAAATGTTGAAGAAACACTATATATTTTATTAATTGAATGAAGAGTCTATTCAGAACATTATAAAACATATGTTCTATTGTGTGATCAAGCAAAACCATACCTTATACTAGAACATTAATACTCCATCTTGTATGTTCCTAGTGGATAAAGGCCAGCTGAAAACTTAGAACTTCACACTTTTCCAGCCAGGTTCCATTGTAGGCGAAGACAATCTATTGTTGGGATCAATCAAATTTATTGAAGCCAATGAAGATACTTATATGTGGGGTTTGGACAAAGTACAATTCAACAAGGCAATTCAATGGATCATCTCGCAATCCTTTATAACCAATAGAGCATTTTTATAACAATAATATTTGTTCCAGTATTTCAGCTAAAATTAATTAGATGGAATTGCTGCGAACATATTGCCAGTTCAATATCAAAAAAATCAAGTGATGTTCTCAGATGATGCCTTTGTAATCATCAAAGCTGGAGAGGCTTCCTTATTTAAAGGCAATCAATTTTCAAAGAACCTTTCTCGTAGAGACACCTATGGTACCTTATACAAACTCAATAAACCTAAAAACATCAAAGTCAGAGCTGTAGTAGAAACTCAATGTCTTATACTCACCTAACCCAAATTAATTGAGGTGATTGGATTCAACATACAGAAGCAAATTTACCAGGCAATAATAAGACATGTGTTGATTGAGATAGAATTGCCTGGGTTAGAAATCGAGAAGATCTTGGAGAAAGAATAATATAAACTGAAGATTTACAATAATGAATCCATTAGATAAAGGCAGATTCATGAAGACTTAAACATTATCGTTGATGGATCTGTTGATTGTGAAGGAGAAACCTTGAAATTGGGAGAGTTCATCTCAGATTAATTTGATAATTCCGTTTATGTGGCCAATGGCACCATTGCCATTATCCAAAGAGACTCTCTTTACATAGAGGATTACATTATAGAAGAGAGTTCGGATGAGGAATCCATAAAGTACAAACCCAGATTCACAGAATTACAGCAATTGTAAATCATTAGAAGGAATTCTAACAATATAATTAATTTGGTTCAATTCAAACAATCAAATTTCATTCTCAGATAGATCAATAAATTATCTCAACAGAAAACCTAATAGGAAAGAAGAATGAAATCACAAAAAAAAATATTCGAAACTCTAAAATGTCCGCATATATCAAAATATTATCAATTCTATGAAGATAATGTCTCCTACTACTTTTTATTTCAATTTATTGATGGAACTCTCCTATCAGAAAGAAGATTAAAATTGCCTCAAATTCAATCATCAATACTTCAAATGATATCCATCTTAGAGGCCTGCTATAAGAATTCTATAATTTGTAGATCCATTAAACTAGATAACTTTTTGATTGACTACTAAGGAAACGTCTACTTGATTAATCTTTTGAATGCTAAACAAACCTCCAGAACCTATACAATTATTGGCTCTCCTCATTACATGGCTCCAGAAGTACTCGAAGGAAGAGGATACGATTGCAATAGTGATGTTTGGAGTTTAGGAGTCTGCTTATACGAGTTACTCTTCGAATCAGTTCCATATGGCTAGGCATTAGATGATCCATATTAGATTTATGAAGAGATTCTAGGTTCCTCTGATTTAGAGTTCCCAGATAGTTATTAAGATGAATAGGGCAAGAGTTTAATGAAATAATTGATCAACAAGAATGTGTATTAAAGAATAGGTTCTAATTTCGATTAACTAAAAAATCACAGTTGGTTCAGCTAGTTGGATATTTCTAACATCTCTCCAATTGAATCACAAATAGAAATAAGATGTTGAATAAAAATTATATAACTTAATATATATTTATATTTATGAGTTAAATAAATAGAATTTAACACAAATTATATTTTTAATTTATTTTTATTCAAAAAAATTCTAGAACAAAAAGTAATTTGATAAATTCTAATTGAGTGAATTATCTTGTTTTGTGATGTCATAAGTTTATGAAATGACCTTAAAAGTGCATTTAGATTTATTCATATAAAGTTAAATTAAATGCAAAAAAAGGAAGAGAAACAAGAAAAGAGATATTTATCTGTTATCAACAAGATATTATTGATTCTGGCAGGAGTTCTATTGGCCTACAATATTAAAGTGTACTACGATCGTGTATCATCGTCTCACTATGAAATTAAAGGAAATGGTATATCTTGTATTTATAATCAGAAATCATTATGAAAAATGATAACAAGTATTTGTAAGACTTTCAACTTGCCTCACTTTCAAAAGTGCTTTCCTAAAATTCACAGACAACCAAATTAAATGCACAATTGACCTACAATCGTATTAATGATTTCAGAGATTTCTTTGCCAGTTTGGAGAATCTAAGTAACTTAAAGGAATGTAATAATATGAAATATTTACTTAGTATCCCTTTCTATTGGTAAGAATCCAATTGTAAATGAATAAGTGTAGGCTGCGTCATTAGGCAAAGCATTAGCTAAACTCACCCAATTAAATCACTTAAACTTAGAATTAGACTCATTATTCAATAAACAAAGTATATAAGTAATTCTAAAGGAATTGAGTAAAATTTCCGGATTGACGGAATTACGTCTCTCTCTCATTAGTTGTGATTTATCTGGAGATGGATTGTAATCACTTTATCCATTGACAGATATAAAGAATTTGATCTCTTTAGAACTGTTATTAATTGGCAGCTAATTGAAGGAAGAAGAGATGAAACATTTAAAAACAATTTTACATAGACTTCCAAAATTAAAAAAATTGAATCTTAATCTCTATGCAAACAAAATATAAGTTGATGGAATCATCACTTTGAGTGGAGGATTGTTTTAGCAGAGACAATTGTAAGAATTTGGGATAGATCTATATTTCAATAATATTACTACAAATGGAACAGAAAGTTTAATGGGAGTGGTTGGTTCTATGGAGAACTTGACTTCATTAAAATTAGGTTTGGAATTCAATTATATAAAGAATGAGGGAGGAATATTCGTTGGAAAGGGATTATCATAACTAAAGAAACTTAAGGATTTATCTGTAAATGCAGCCAGTAAAAATTTTGGATTCGATGGATATGAAGCCATTGTCACTGCAATTGAGAATTTGCCACCTCTAGAGAATCTAGAATTGATTATTGGAGTTAATAAGTGTGGAGTTTCAGGAGCAGAATTGTTAAAATAGGCTTTGTTTAAACAAAATAAATTGAAATCCTTGAAAATTAACTTCCTGGAGAACTATGTTGGAGATGCAGGAGCCACGTACGTTGCTGAAGGGATTCAATACTAAAAAAACTTAGAAGAATTAAGTGTCAACATGAACTAAAATTCCTTATCTGATCGAGGTGCACTTGAATTAGCCAGGGCTGTCAAAAATTCAAAATCACCAAAGGTATAGATGAATCTTTATATTTAGATTGTTGACTTTAAAGTAAGTTCAAATGAAATTACAGACAAGGGAATCAAAGATATTTTAGTACTTTTGGAATAGGCTCTCCCTAAGGTTGATTTATTGTAAGTAGAATTTTTAGACACTGCACTTACAAATTCAACAAGAGATGATATCGAACTGAAATATGGAAGTGTTGACAAATTGTAACTTAAATTAAATACAATTCCTGCAAGTAATTGGGAATGATCATTTTTATATGTTTAAATTAAAGATAACCTACTAATATGTGAAAGAATTTAATTCAAGAATCTGAAATTTGTAATCAAATTTTATCTCGCTTCTTTTTATCCTGTTTATATACTACAACCTAATAGTTACAGTTATTTATTTGAATTCTAATTAATTACTTTTAAATTAAAAGTATCTGATCTTCTTTGATAAAAGTTTGATTCTTTCAAGAATTCATAATTTACTTCTTTAGATAGACTTTTAAACACTCTTTATTGATTAAAACATCAATTGATGTTCTAATTATTATATTGAGAGTCAATTTAATGATTAATGTAAACAAATAAGATTTATATCAATTTTTTTCAGATTCATCTAACATTTTAGAGAATTTATCAAAGTCAGATCTAATGCATAATACTTTTTCATTTGTCTGTTTGATCTCATCAAATTATTCTTATTTTAATCTTCGTTATAGATTATACGCATTAGATGATACTTGATTGAGCTTTGCAAAAAAGAACTTGGTTGATGATTACGAAGTTTGAGACGTAGTTACGGACTGATGGGTAGGTGAGACATGTAAACTTGAGTGTTTTTTGAGAAAGGGTTTATCAGCTATAGCAACATTTATGTGATTGTTATTATTGAAGGATTTATTTGACGATCTTCTTTTGGAGTGCTAAATTAATGCAAATTTAGCTTGGATGCAATTTTTTTAATTATTAATGCTCTGTTTTGAATTACAATTGACATTAGGTTTTAGTGGTTGGTCATGTTCAATAAGTCTTGGGTTGGAGGTAGATCTATAAAGTAATTCACTATTAAATAAGTGATATTTAGATACTAGTTAGGTTTGTCAAGAATCTGTCGACTAAGCTCTAAGAGGTATTGACAATTTTATGAAAGAATTTGCCATTAATGCTCTTTTAATTCATCGACTTTAAGTTCAGGTTCCACTTAAATTTTTTGGATTCTTATGTATTTTTTATCATTAGTTGAAATTTGAGATTTTTGGCTAATTTAACACGAACTCTAATCTTTCAATAATGATTTGAGTAGATCAAGTTTTGGTTGATGTTTTTATTTTTCCTTTTACACTTTTGGCAACTATGTGGTGGACACATACTAAAATTGTTAGAGTTAGTATTGATGATTGATAGATTGTTTCATTATTATTAAAAAGTATATAAAATTTCAATCTAAAATGTGAAACAAAAAATTTCAATAATAAAATAGATAAATGATCATAACTACATTAATGATGCTGGCCCTAACATCTTAGTCATTGATAGAGGAACTGAGATCCGGATTTTATTGAACCCCACTCTCGCATATATATTTGAACGAATGCCAATTGCACTCATAATCAATGGAATCACATTAGTCTTTTTCAACAATCTTTAAGCAATTCTTTCTACAAACCGAGTCTATAGAACTCCAATAGCATCTTGATTAAGCTACGCACATTTATTCGTTTGTAAAATACTTGCACAAAATAGATTTACATTTATTGTTTGTAAAGGTGCAAAGTTTCGAATCCAAACAAGTAGCCTGATCTGTCTACTCTTCGCACGATTCACATTGGGCATACTGAGTTACAAAGCAAGTTTAATCACTCATCTCATTCCCTTAGCAAAACTACCACGAGGACCCAAATAAACTATATTTATGATTATTAAATTTACTAGCAAGGTTTATTTGTGCAATGATAGGGTCCGACTCTCAAAGCAGAAGGTTACCATGAACATTATTGATTATTCACAGTACTTACATTGCATATCTCTAAATCATTGATATCCGAGCATGTGGTAATTGTTGTACAAGCTTCATTGATGTAAGCACAATTGTTCTTGGGACAGTTGCTTTAATCAAAGTCAGAACATATTGGACCCCTACACGTGTAATTGTCCTTAACACAAAAAGACTTTGAACAATCTGTTTACGGACAAATCCTATCAAGAGCTGTTGATGAAACACAATAATTATTAATTTGATAGCATGAAGTTGAATTAAAGTAGAAGGTTTCACACTTTTACTTTTCATTAAGCAATACAATGTCTTCACATTGCTTAGCAATCTGGCATTGATTAGATATATCCAAATAGCAAATCTCATTATTTAAGGAAGATGTACTCAGGCATTCAACTTAATTTAGATCGAAACATCTCTTTAATCGGCATCCAGAATTATCTAAATAACAACTGCGATTCTAAATGCAACTATCTTTGGTTTATGTAAAACACATGTTGATATTGGGAGTAGTTTTATAGAGACAAGATGTAGTATCATTATCCCAGACACAGTTTACTTGTAAACCACATGCCATTTGATTGATCCCTGGAGAATTGCAGGGTATCTTTAATGGAACTCCATAACAACTGAATATTTCCTTGAGATAATTACATTTCTAAGCAGTTTAAATAGCACAAGCCAATGAGTTTACATTTTCTATTCCATAACATACTGAACTTGTGCTCTTAAAAGGAGTACATTAATAATTCACAAATTAGCAAGGTTCTTATTATAGTCCAAGACAAGCATACTTATTTAATCCTGGTTACACACATTTCTGATATCTGCTGTAAATTTTGGAGCAAACATGATGTATCGGATCATAGGTACAAGCCTATTATTAATAATCTATGTATTAGCAAGCCAAACTATTTGTTTGTGTGAAATTATCACATTAATTAGTATATTCATCAGGAACAAATAGAGAACATTCATCATCTTTCCAATAGCAAGGTTCCGTTGTTATTGATAAACAAGCTGTCTTTGAAATCCCTTTGGTAGCACAAGAATCTTTGTTGCTTGCAGAAACACATTGAAACAACAAATCATTGTATTTACAAGAAATCTATAGAGATGAACACACCTTTGAATTAACATTCTTATATTATGCGCAATTTGAATATTGGACATTCGATGAATAAAATGAGCAACGATTGTTTATAAATTGACATTTAGATTTCTTGATGTTATAGCAAGCATTATCACTAAGACCAATTGTGTCGCAATCATCAGTTTCTGAATCACTAAGAACACAGGAAAAAACAGTTGAAGAATATTTGACTTTCTGGCCACTAATGAAAATGCCACAAACTGTAGGACTAATAAGTGTTGGAATATCCTCTATGTTTTCGTTATTGTCAAATTGGTAGCATCTTTAATTTCTCCATTTACAATTTGCTTAATTGTTCAAACAGCTCAAGTAACTTTGATTTAGACATTAAGTCAGATCGCTTTGAACACATGCATTATTTGACCATTAGCATTACTACTTAAAGTTGACAATGCAATCATTATAATTCAATTGGTCCTCACACAAATAAAGATTAGTGTCCAACATATTCCCTACCTGATCATCATTTAATTTTTCCATTCTTGTTATCTTCTAAGTACACTACAGTAAAACATCATTGAATTCACAATCATTTATGCTCTGTGTCTAACAACTCATTTTATTATATGACTTTGGTAAGTCTTTACATAAAACCTTATTTGTAATTACGATATGTTGGCATTGATTATTCAACCATTAACAAGGCATTGGAGCATACATGCAACCATATTGATTTTGGATGTACAAACAATCAAATAATCTAGGAGTCCATTCTTGACACACCTGATCGTAAATAGTACAAATCTAATTTTTAACGAGTCTGCATAATTGAAAACTTAAGTATTCATTGCAATTTTATAAGATAATTGAACTTAACGGTATCTCTTAACACTTATTTGATGCTTAATTATACATGCAATTTTTATTGCTAATCTCTATACAACTCTTAAAAGTGTAATCGGAACACTATAAATTATTGGTAGAATTATCCTGGCATTCATTAGCACTTGTTTTCCATTTGCAATTAAAATCGGTATCACAATTATAGTTTGAAATGTTGTTACATTCAAGATTGACTTTATTCATTATTTTTGTGCATTTAGACAGATTCCAATAGCATTCTATATAATTTTAATTTAGACACGATGATTTATCGAATCCAAAATTTTCACATTAAACTATCACCAAATCAGTATTCTTTGTGTAACAAGACTTAGTCTAACTATTCCAGAATTAGGAATTTATTTAACAATATCCCTATGAATATAGTATGCTGGGACCACTCTGAGTGCTAAACTCTACACATTCATTATTAAACCATATGCATTTTTTTAAGGTGTATATTAAACAAACTTATTAGTTTAATTGGGGACATTATAAATCATCTTGTAATTAATAAGATTAACAAGCATTATTATACCAAATACATTAAAATTGTGTTGTTAATTTTTGACAAGCATTTTGATTAATATTTGAACAACCTTCAATTGGTTTTTCATCTGTCAAAATATCACATTTATATGTTTTTAAATTATACATATAGGTATTATCAGTTAATTGGATACAAGAATTTAGGTTACTATTTAATTAATAGGAGTTGGGGCTTATGCTTTGACAGCTTGCAAATGCACCCCCTCCATCATATCCCACTAAACAATTCTTTTAATAAGCGTATACACAATCATATAAATTAGTTGCAGTGTTGCATTCGATTATCTTTCTTTCAATCTTTTTGCATAAATGATTTTCAAAATCATAATAGCAATTCGGTTGTAATTATTAACAGACTTTATAATTCACTTAGACATTTTCAATTTGATCGCAATCAGTAAAGGAAGCACTTTGGCATTTATTACTCTCAAATTTGCAATTGAGTCCAAGATCACTGAGACAAAGTGATTTTATTAAGATATTATCACAACTCAATTGATTTTAATAGCAAAATCCTTAACCTACCTTATTTGAATACCAAAAACAGTTGGGTATTGATAAACAAGTTAAAGGAGAATGATATATATCCTCCAATTATTGGCAGGACGTCAATTTACTGGTTATACATTTGGATTGAGTAAAGGTGCATTTCGAGGATCGTTAATGGATGCAAGTGATCATACTAGATGTTAGACTACAATGCATATTAAAAGTATTATTGATGTCGTTTTATTGATGCTACATATCTCCTAGCAATTAGATGCATTACTTTGAATTGTAATACACATTCATTTGCATGTTATAACAATATTAATAGGATTCAACATCATAGAAATCGGATCGTTATTTTAAGGTGCTGTCTTCTAAGCATTAAGAATTATCGAAGACACAACTGAGATGCTGAATTGAGAGACACTCTTATTAAGTTTACAATTAGTAACAATATTTTATGTGAGCAGGATAAGAAGTGCATTTATTGTTCACCCATAGACATATGTGATTTTAGTTGACACATAATTGTTGACTTAAGGCGATGTTGCATGGTAAATATTTATTTAATGATTACAAGACACATCCGTTGGCTCCATTGAAACAATATCCCCTTCCGTTTTAACATACCTTGTAGCTTTGTATATAAGTAGAAGGGCAATAATTTTTTGAATCCTAACATATTTTATTGGTTGAGTCCCAAACACAATTCTTTCCGCTGGCTTCACAACTATAAATATTTCTAAATTGACAATCGACGTTATTAAATTAGTTATTATACTATTTGCATTTATTCTAAATGAAAATGCACTAAAATTTAGTCTAGTTCAAACACAGGAACTTACTAATTATGTCATCACATGTATAAAGAATATTTGTATCAGTTTAAGTTAAGCATTTTTTATCTGTGGAATCATAATAACAATTATCTGTTGCTAAACTGCATATACTAGGACCTCCGCTTAATTTAGTTTCGATTTCTGAACATAAGAAAGATGAGGAATATGTTTAATTTAAAGAAACGTCTATACAAGTGCTAAAAGTGCCTCGATTTAGAACAATGCATATTTAATCTGGAGTGTTGATTTTATTACAAATGTTAATATTAGCCTATGAACATTTTAATGTACTCAATTATAAGCTTTTATAGGTAGAGTCAGCAGAGAGTGGCATACACTAATTATTATAGAAATAGCATTCCTATTGAGTGAAGGAGACACATCTATGCAGATTGATTTTTAGATTTGATCCACAGTCAGCTATGGGAGTAACATTTTGTAAACACTTCTTTAGAGTTGAATCATATTAGCAGAAATGTTGAGTGTTTAATTTACCATTGTGTATTTTCTGTTGGCAAGCCTTTTCATTGACTAAGTCATCACAAACATCAAAATAATTTGATTTATAAAATTGGCATTCATTGTCTTTCCAGATACAAGGTTGTTTTTGATTCTTAACACACACAGATTATGTAAGTCCACTGCAATTCAATGTTGAATATAAATTTGGATTGTCAATTTGTTTGCAGTCCAACAAATCATAATAACATTCACTCGACTATCTTTAACATTAGACTTTATTCATGAATTATTAACATTAATTGCTGTTGATATTGGCAATGCAATATCCATTATTATAGGAACATGGCTCTATGTCTATCATTGAACATGAATATGGTGACACATTAGCCAGTTGAACACATTCATCAAATATTTTAATATTTTGACAAGAGTTGTTGATCCATACACAAAATTCATTTAGATTTGAGATACAGAGTGCTTTGGTTATACCTACAGTATTGCAGGATATTTGGCCAGTTAATTGAGTGCAACTCTATTTGATTTCATCATAGATACAATTCGAAACATATGAACACAATTTAGGATTGATATTCAATCTGTTATCACATTGCTCAAGTGGTTGAACTATTTAACACTTCTATTACTCGTAATCCCACTATGAGTTTAATTGTAAAGACAAACAAAAATATCTGTTAATGTTGGATAGGTCTTGAGTGTCTAAGATGTAATCTCTCTAGCATTATTTTTTATTTTCGATAAATCTATATAATGCTTTGTCTTGCATGAGACATTGGTTTCTATTTCTGATAAGATCATCAGGCAATTAAGCATAGTTTCTGAAAATTAAATGGGTGATAGTATTAATGCACATTTTGTTCTACCAGATACATTGTTGATCTTACCTTTGCACATTAGTACAACTATATTTGGTGTTGGCTTCCGAACAAGTCAATATTCTCAAATCGCCATATTTGCATTGATTATCTTTCCAAATACAAGGGAGAGCCAGATTCTCACAATAGACTTTGCTCAATCCCAGTTAAGAACATCCTTGTAATGGACTGCATTTTACAAGGAAATCCAATTTCTCATCAATCCAATAACAGTTTGACTTCTTAAAGCAATCATTCTTCGTAATTAAATTGTAACACCCTTCATCGCAATAACCCTCTTTGCCATTAAAGTAGAGGAAACAATAACTTGAACTTTAACTGCATTGTAAATGAGTAGCAATCCCATTCAAGGGCTTGCAATCCAGATTAGCTGATTAAGTCTCCACTTGCATACAGGATTTCTCAAAATAATTTATAGGTTCCACCACTTGACAATTCATATCCTTAGGACTCATCTAACAAGCATATCTCCCCAAATTCTCACATTGCAGGTCTGTTCTTAATTAGACTTCTTCAGGAACAATGATTTCACACTAATTATTAACAAAAACACTCATTATATCACTGTATGGATTGATGTTAATGTATTAACAAAATATTTAGTTGACACCCTAGATCACTTTTTAATCATTAATACTGAAGATTGTTCTAAACATGGAATCATCAGAAATGTCTAAACCTATGCATCCTACTCTGCTCTAATCATTGATTTTTAAATTCAATAGATTGAACTGAGATTATTTCTGGGGAACATACCAAATGAATTGTCCTTATGAATTTAAGTAATTATTTTGCAAATCCCCTTCGTCGTAACTTTTTGAAACATCCAACATATCATCCTATTATATCAATAAACCGTAATCTGTTATATCACTAGATGTAAGACTATCCAGAACATTATTATGAGCTACCAAGTATCCTGTAATCAGAGGACACACAGACATGCTCAAAATTAAATTTGGGAAGTTTGTATTCAAATTCACAATTTCTTCAGCAGACAAATACTTGCACTACCTATCCTCCCATTTACAAAGTTATTGTGGATCTGTTATACCCATGCAACCATATTTGTTTAAATTCTGATTGCATTTCGCTTTCGAAATGTCATTGATTTCGTGACATATAGAATCGAAAATGCATAAAGCCTATGTAGCCACATGTGTGCTTATCTACCTAGTACACAATTTAACACTGAGATTTTAATCGCAACCCTACATTAGATCATCTGATATCCTGCAATATCGCTAATGCGGAAACCATCTACCTAAATGAACTAAATCTAATTATTATACAATATTCAGTTTTAGACGCTATGCATGTTTCGTAAGTGTTAAGTTGCCTACAAATATCCAAGGAGTAAACTTAAGTTACGATCAATAATGTAAATAACATAATTTTTTAATTATTTTTTGTTTATTGCACAGATCACTCCATTACAATTTGCATAACCATCTCTCCATCAAACCAAGAATCAATAATTCTTTAAATGAGTATTCTGTACTATCGAACAGAGATTATAATTATATATGTTCATACACAAATTTATTATTCGATTATTCAAAATACTAATAACACTATGCCCTTGATGATACCCCAAATTACATCAGATGTCAAATTATCCACTGCTATTTTATAATCATTTTAAATTTCATTTTAATTCAGTCTCTCTTATATTTACTTCAACTAATCCGTGTTCTGAACAATCTTCATCCGCTTCTCTTGAGATTTGTGATTTGCATCTCTCAATTTCACGATGTAATCATTCTCCTCATTTATTTGGAAAGTCTCTATCGTAACTTGAGATTCAGAAATATGTGTGATATCTATCATCCTGTCTGTGCCCACTTCCATTATCTCCTTCACGTAACATTCCGACTGAATGAGAATGACTTCCTTAGGTGATTCGAACTTTTGGATTTTCAAATCACATCCTAAGCCCAAGCAAAATAGTATTGAAATTAGCAATATGTTTTTCATTAATTTATATTATTCATGAATCAATTAAGTTATTCATGAAGGCATATGAATTTAAGAAATAATAAATAATTTAAAAATATGGAGAAAACAGAAGCAGAAACATTCAAATAACCTTTGATTAATGAAACCAGCCAATAGTTTAGTGTCAAATCAAAACAAACAAGAAAAAACTCTTAACTATCAATTTTGACTGAGCATTCAAAAATGGACACTCATTTATATGAGATACCAGATTTAACTTAGATAACTTAGAAGGTACTTTGTCGTTTGATCGTTGTTTCAGTGGTTTGTATAATATTCCTGGTGGCTGAAGTAAGATAATTTAATCCTATAAAAGGTCATTGGAGGTATGTGGGCTTAGTCATTGGCAATCCTATCAGATGCAGCTCATATGTTTTCAGATATGAGTGGCTTTTTCATATCCATATTCTCCATCTGGCTAGGACAGAGACCAGCTTCATAAAAGATGTCATTCGGATACCACAGAGCTGAAGTAATCGGAGCGTTGGGTAGTATCATATTGATATGGGGGTTGACAATCCTATTATTCTACGAGGCCACGGTTCGAGTGATTGAGGAGGCCATAGTTACTGACCCATTAATAATGTTGATTACAGCAGGATTTGGATTATTTTGTAATTTGGTTATGGCAAAAGTGTTGCACTCTTCTCCCACAGGAGGACATGATCACGGAAACATTATGCATCAATGTAGTGGACATAATCATGGTCATGGTCATGATCATGGCCATAATCACAATCATGATCATAGTCACGGGTCTGATGATGGTCACTCTCATGACAAATAGAAATAGCAGCAACAGAAGAAGAAGAAAAAGCTTAATATCAAATAAAAGAGACAACAAGTTAGTGAGAATGGAATCAGCATGTTGGTTGTGGAGCAAAGCATTGAATCAGAATCTAGTGAATAGAATTTAACTATCAAAGAAGAAAGCGAAAGTTCTTCTAGTTGTACAAGCAATTAATAATAAGATCTTGCATAAAAGTAAAAATAATAATCTCGTGAACACAATCATTCAGAAAATTGTGGTCATGATCATCAATAAATTACTATTACACCAGATGTCGATAATAAAAAGGTTCAGAAATCATAAAAGAAGAAGGTTACAAAGGAAGATGATCATAGTGGTTGTCATGGAAAAGAACATAATCATGAACAAGATCATAAGCATGAACATGAACATAATCATGAACATAATCATGAACATAAACATGATCATAACAATAAATCAAAAAAAAATAAATTAAAAAGTAAAAACCTAACTGAAATTAATGAACATGATAACTATAACCTTAAAGCTGCTATGATACATGTTATAGGTGATATTTTATAATCAATTGGAGTATTAATTGCTGCCGTTTTGATATACTTATTTGGATAAAAGAAAGATGAAAATAATCAAATTGTTTTTACTTATTGGCAATATGCTGATCCTTTATGCACATATCTTTTTAGCATTCTTGTTCTCTTCACAACCTTTGGAGTTGCAAAAGAATGCTTAAGAGTTCTAATGGAAGGTACCCCATAAAGTAAATTATTTAATAAATATTTAGATCTAATAATTGAAGAATTTAATGATTAATTAAAAGCTATTCACAGAGTTAAAGAAGTACATGATTTACATATATGGTCCCTTTCAGTAGGAAAGCCAGCAATGTCTGCACATATAGTATGTATTGAAAATCCAGAATATGTCCTCAGAAAAGCCACTAAATTATGCAGATAATTCGGAATCTATCATTCTACCATATAGATTGAGCTATATGACCGATAGGGAGCAAACGATTACATTAGGTGTAATCACAATATCCATAAATGAAAAGATTGTTATAATCTGTATATTAGTTATTGTTATAAATTATTTATTAAATTTATTTTTTGATTATTAGATATATTCAAATGATCAATTTTTATACTATTTCACATAAATTTTCCATCCTATAAATTATTAAAATAGTATCATTAAGAGCTAAGTTTTATTAAAACTAATAGTAATTAAAGAATTACCTTGATAGCCTTATGATTAACAATTATTATATATGTTAGGAATTTTAGAGCACACTAAATTAAATTTTTACTAATTTCCTTATATTTATAAAAATTTAATATTTCGAAATTTCACCATCGCAGTTACTTTAAGTTTACTTGAGAAAATAATAGAATTATTTCGGATTTTCCTAAATAAAATATTAATTAATTAAATTATTAATATCATAAAATTTTGAAACCAATGTTTTGTAGGTTTTTCTAAAAAAAGAATATGTCTTTAAAAATAACTGCATTTCAACAACTACTACAATTACTTATAGAATAGAAACATTTAGAATAAAAGTTTATAAATAAGATTTTTCAGCAATTTTGGCTTTGCTTATGTTGAGACACTTTGAGAGTTGTTTGTAATTTCTTGTTTCTAAAGAATTTATTGAACGTCTAAAAGTGTTCATCTTTCTGGATATCATAAGGCTATGAGTAATCGATTTAATCCTCAAATTGAACAAATCTAGAGGGGAAATATTTTTTCAATAATTTTTTACTTGACGATGCATAAGAAATGGCAGTTTTTATCACCTCTTCATTTTGAATAGGTTGTTTTTAACCTGGAAATCCCCTTGAATAGACATATATGATACCCATATCGAGCTTTATACAATTATAGGAACTGGCTGGTAGAAGATTATTTATCATCTAATACTATTTTTTTGACTCTTAGATCCTAATTATCATCCCATATCTCAAATTCTTCATCTGAATTTATCTGACTGTCTGTTACTGATGCTATGGACTGTCTGCAATGGATGTTAGTATATTTTTGTACAACATTTGTTGGCTAGATATAGCTAAACCTCTTTTAGATTTTTTCTTATTATTTTTAGTTCTACTTATTAAAGAGTAACACTTGAGACTCATCTATAGCGATTTATATTGATTTTTATGATTAATCGTAGTTTTATGGATTTAATACTGAATGTCTATGAGGGTTTCATTTATTTATAAATTAAAATTAAATATATCTCTATTACTTGAATTGGGTCTTCTGGCAAATCAAATTGTATGTTTAATATTCTCAGTATTTGAGCATTTAAATAAGTAGCAAGGTTTATAACCAATTAATTTTGAAAGATCTATCCAAATTTTATTGATAAAACCCTTTCAATTATTTGTTTATTTTACAAGTAAGTTTAAGTTTTTATATAATTTATAAGTATTATTAATATATGGGCAAATTCACAAAAGACAAAAGAGTATAAAGAAATTCATCATATTCTAAATAAGTATTTTATAATATACCTACGACCTATATATTTATCACTATAACAGCACTTTTCACCATATTTAGGATATTTATTATAGGAAAGCAAAAGAAGATTAATTTAGAGCCAGATCTGCCTATAAGTTATTACAGATAGATGATTCCTTCTAAATATTTAGATAAGTAGAGAGAGCAATTGATTTATGTGCTGCACCTGGTAGTTGGTCATAAGTTTTGGTTAAAAAGTTGAGCGAAAAGAATTACCTTCCATCAGAAAGTTGTAGAATAGTATCAGTGGATTTGCAAGAGATGGCTCCATTGGATCATGTCACATAAATTCAAGGAGATATAACCAAAAAAACGACTGTGGATGAGATCTTGAAAAAGTTCAATTATTAAAGAGCAGATATAATTGTTTGTGATGGAGCACCTGATGTCACAGGGTTTCATGATATTGATTATTACATTTAATCATAATTGATAGTTGCTGCATTAAACATCTGCTTGATGACATTAAGAGAAAATGGAATTTTTGTTGCTAAAATATTTAAAGGCTCAGATATCAAATTGTTGTATTCACAGTTTAAATTGTTCTTCAATTAAGTGTATTTTATGAAACCAAAATCAAGCAGAGCTTCAAGTGTTGAATATTTTATTATGTAAGATGTTGTTAATAAATTTAGATGTCTTCAATACACTCCCAAAATATAAACTCAGAATTTCCACCTCTATACATTTTTAAAAGAAATTGAAGAAGCAGAAAAATAGAAATAGGAAGAAATAATAGATAAAGAAACAGAGAACGAATAGTCCAAATATTACAAATTTATTACATGTGGAGATTTATCTGGATTTGATGAAAATTGAGTATAAAATATAATTTCAGATTCATTACTCCGCTTTAAAATATTTATTCATAATGTCTTTTAGAAGTTTGGGTTCTAATTTGGTGGGGATTTAAGCTTAAGGAGTTGAAGGAGTGAAAGATTCAATATTCGATTCAGAATTAGTTTTCTAAATTGATTCTTTTTAGGTGGTTAGCCATCGTTAGTAATACTCATTTTTTTTCTTGACTTATTTAGTTTCTGAGGTTTATATTTAATCAACAGATGAAAATCTCTTTCTTTTCTGTATAGCTTTCATATGAAACCTATTATTCAATATTCCTAAGTCATTATTCATTAGATATTAATATTATTATTTTTAAAGTTTTTCTTATCATCAAATCAAATGTTTATAAAAACAATTGATAAGTTTATATAGATCTTGAAAATCTCTAATTATTTATTGTTATAATAATGTTTAAAAGGTATGAATTGAATTATAGATAGAAATAAGAGATATTATTCATGAAATTATTTCTTCCTTTTAATGGATATAACAATATTAAGATCATAAAATCCATTAATTCATATAAATATTTAATATACTTAATTGATTTCTCCCAAATTTAATTAATAGTAAAATTATACGAGAACGTGGTTGGGTACTAAAATAATAATGATAATTATGTTAAATTTCTATCATCATGTATCATACCATTATTATCACATGAAATCATAGTATGATCAGGCTTGTATTTAATTGATGAATCATATTAAATATAAAATTATTTATAAATATAATACTTTATACTGTTAATTCAAATATGAGGAATAATAATAAAATTTAATTATTAATATTAATTGCAAAATAGCGATTTAATGTTATATATACGATTTAAAAAAAAGGGAAATTGGGTAAAAAAAAAAACGAAAAATGCATAAGCCTCATTATTTTGATTCAAATTTGGTGAAGGCATATTTGAATTTTATCTCTTTATTTTTTACTTTGGCCTAATCATCCTCAGTCTAATTTGTGGTATACAAATTATCGAAAGGGAGAGGATTATGGACGGAAGAATTATATATATTTGATAGTTGAGCGAGAAAAGCTTATCCCTTTTATAACTTTTTTTAATAGACTAAGTTAAATTGATTAAGTTACCTGAATTATATATCTAAGTTGCTATTGGATAATAAGATTATAAAGCGTAAACGTTTTTGGACATGCTTGTGAGTGCATAGTATTTATCGCTTACTTTTAGAGCCTGAAATTCATTGGTTGAGAATATTTAATTGTTTGACCATAAAGACAATACTTTAATTTGACCATCCAAATAATTTTGCCATTCTAGTTGTAATTGAGACAAGTTTTCTTGATCTAACAGTTAAATATAGTCAATAAAGTATTGCCTGCATTTTTCAGCCTAAGTGTTTTTGAGTTTGAATTTCTTTAACCCATCCAAAATCGAGGAATTAGATTAAATGATCATTCTCTCCTTAGGGGTGAGATGTGTGCAAAAAATAAACCAAGCCCTGGACAGAGTGTCCTCTTCTGTCTTGTATGATTGAGTGAGATATCTTAAGAATACAGATAATTTTCTGATACGTAAGAGATGCTTACTGTGGTTTTCTAGATAATTAGAGATGATGAAAAATGAGTGATCTACACAATTACACCCTGTCCATCTGACACGGAATGGGAATTTTTTGACTCCTATTCCAATATCATCTCCAAAGGTCCAAGCTGGTTTGAGTGTCTTTCTCTTTTCTTTCTGCTTATTTTGTATGTCATATTCGATCTCAGACCTCATTTCACCATGATAACATTATTCCATGATGAGATTAATTTTTACTTTCATGCGATACTTTTGTCTATCGTTCATTTGTTTAGCTCCAAATTTTTAGTAAAGCTTCAATCCTTATTCATCTGCTGATTCGCCAATTTGCAAGTATTTTTATTTGAAAATTTCAATTTCTTCATTGTATTACATGATTCGAATATAAGCAATTTTTGTGAAGGCCAAGTTAAATTTTAACAACAGCATATTGTGTTTGAACACCTGATTCTTCTCTTTTAAGTTAGATCCAAGATGGTTGATCTTATCTTATAGAAATTTGAGCTATTCAATTATTATTGGGATACAAGCAGTAATATCAATAATTGCTTTAAAATAGTCATTTAAAACTTCCCCAAACCATTGCAATTTTAAATCACCGTTAAGACCCAAATTGTAACTTAGATTGCGACCTAAAACTCATTTTCGAATCAAATACCATCTTCTACTAGTTTGTAAAATACTCCATTGGCCTTGCCTTGACCTAAATTGCATATCGATACAAATCTTGTCCAAAATCCAAATGCATCAATCAAACTTTAATTTGCTGTAAGAGAAACCTAAACTAGATAAGTTTGTAACCTTTGTAATGCGGAATAGGATGATTCTATCACTTTCAACTTATTTATATAATAGATGAACTTCCCTTATCAAATTGTTCACCACAAAAATCAATTAAGTGAGCTCAATTGATAAAGTTCCTGTTTTCAAAAATTGATAATCATCAAAAGCCAAAGCCTTAGTCTCTTCAGAGGAAACGCACCCCATATTTTATTATTATTTATGCTATATCTCACATCAATAAATAAAATTTCACTATGGATTTATTAAATTGTCATTCAAATCTTACTATATTATGTTATTAAGACATGTGTGAAAATATCATTAAAATTTATACAACTCATTACTTAAATTATAATCATACTAACTGTCCAATTTAACATTATCACTTAACAATATTATATCATAATAATAATACAAAAAAAAACACGTTTAATCAGTTAAGAAATAAATCAAAGATCACGAATTGAAATTGTCTATCCATCCTCAACAATTAGCGATACATAAGACAAACACCAGGTTGTTGAAATTATGCACCATCCAATATGAATCATATTAATATTATTTTAGTAAAATGCTCATAAATAGCCATAATTATAAGTGTTTTCAATTATGACGTTGTGAACTAACTAATTCCTTAAATTAGCCATTACTTATCTGTTAATTGCTAGATTATTTTATAATTAATATTAATAATTATACACATATCATTTCATTACTATTTTTTACCCTCTTCTCTCTATTTAATAATCTCCATGGTTTCTTTTCCGAAATACGGAAAAATGACATTAGTCTTACTAATATTTTACATATATAGTCTTGCAAGATTGCTCTCTTTTGAGTCCTTCTGAACAAATCTCTCAAAGTCCTTGTTTAGATTGTAATGGAAAATCATTAGACAAGAGATTACACTGCCAAATCTAACCTTAAACATTAGAGGTAATCAAATACTGCATTTTTCAAGACACTTTATCTGAAGATATAGTACACATTCACTAGGGAAGGTACAAACACCAAAGCTAATGTTGAATAGAGAGAGTTTCTAAAATCCTATTCCAAAGAATTTCTAGTATAGACTTTCCATAATTAAGTATAATTTTCTAATTCTCTCTTATAATCTTCTTACATTATTAAATAATAATATTAATAAATATTTAATTATATATCATAATAACAATTTGAACTCCAATGGACATCTAGTCTAATATATATAATTATTTTAGTTATTAAGTTATGCTTCATTTTTTGAGACGGATTTTCATGCTTCATTTTTGACTGCATGTACTAATTGCAGTACACTTGTAATTAGGGGTAACATTTGCATGGTTACATCAACATTAGAATTTCGATGTAGTAATTAATTAATTAAAGAAAGTTATATAACATTAATTTATTAACGATGAAACAAATTTAGATAAATTTCTCTGATCTCAATGATGATGCCAAGAAAAAGTACATTAAATTTTTTGCAGAAAATCATATAAGTGTAGAAAACCAACCATTAAAGAAATCTTCAATGCCCCAATAACAGCGTGCTAGATAATTTAGTACATTGAGTGATATTGCAAATAGCAAGGCTTTCACTCCTGCGAGTAATTGCTTTTATTTATTTAGGAAGAGTCGCAGAAATAGGTTTCTCAGCACATTAAGACGGATCATTCAGTTGGAGCCAAATTCAGTGATTTGGAAGAGACATACCCAAAAATAATGAACAAAATATCAAATAAGGATCTATTATCAAGGCCTTTGAAATTAAGTTTCAATGAACTCAGTCTCCTGATAGAAGAAATATATTAAAAGAAGTTCATTGAAGATTCTAATCAAATTGCCAAGAATTAGAAAGTTTAAGAATTAGCTTTTGTTGATTATGTCTACGAATTCCTATTAAATAAATTTAAGCATTCTAAAAACCAAGTAAGAGTAGACTTATTTTAGTAAATAATCAATTTCTTGGCATCTGTTGATTTGCATGCCTTAAAAAGGAAGGATGTGAATATTTTCTAGTAATTTTTGAAATTCAATAAACAAGAAGTATTGACATTTTACTTGTTTACAAGGGCGGTTATTTAGAAGGAATTGAAATTATCATTCTATCATCGTAAGTTATTTTTGTTATATAATTATTAAAGCACTCAGAAAGCAAGGGATAGATAGCAATCAATTGCAATTAAATTAAAAATAAGTTCAATCAATTTCGTTACTTTTATATGGGTCATCGGATAAATATTAGGAATTTAAGAAATACATTCCTGCCATTGGTAGTATATCCGTAAGTGAATTTTCGTTTGCAGCAATCTTGATTTACGAAGCCCAAAACTAAACAATTAAGCAAAGACCATTTCAACAATAACCAAGATCATTATCACCTCTTCAATTCGCCAGTTATACTGATACCTTCGAATAGAGACAACCTGATTCTCCTTTGTTTATGCAATCAGAAACCACTGTAGAGAATAATAAATAGTAAAATGAAACATTCTTCTCTTCTGTTGTTGTTTAGAGTGTTCATAGTCAAAAGAAACCACGATGGAAAGTGCAAATAAAGTTTCATCGAATGCCAAGTGCTGTTAACAATGTGTAAAAACTAATTAATGAGAAATTGGAAACAAAATTATCTGATTTTATTGAAGAAATGTTATCAGAAATGGAAGAATTAACAGATGATTAAAAAAAATAATGTGTAAGTGGCATAGAGGAAAGAATCGTTGATACAGTGGCTATTCTTTTGGAGGCGATCTATAAATTCGATAAGTTGTTGTGGTATAATTGATAAATTTATAAAGGTTCAAGAAATTGAATAAATAGCCAGATGAAGTTGGATTGGAGTATATAGAGAATTTGCAAAAGCTCTATCGATCCTTAGTTAAGGCAAAACAGCCCTTGGATGATCAATTGGAACAGCTTTGTCAACAAATGATGCAAGTAAATATTTAATTAATAATTTAAAGACTCCAGATTTGGCGAAATAAATAGGAAATGAATTATTGCAATACTTCTATAATTGTGAATGATACTTAATAATTAAATATAAAATGTCATTAATGAATTGGGGTAATCCATACAACTGGGGTGCTGCAGATTGGTAATAGGCTACTTGGGGTGAGAGATTCATGTTCATTGATCCCTACTTCTGGAGGTAATGAATAAATTCAATCCCCAATTTTAGTTATTTCGGAGTAGGTTTGGCTTTGGCTACATCAATCATCGGAGCGTCATGGGGTATATTTGTCACTGGTGTTTCATTGTTGGGCTCTACTGTCAAAGCACCACGTATTCGATCTAAGAATTTGATTTCTGTCATCTTTTGTGAAGCTGTCGCTATTTATGGTGTAATTATGGCCATCATTATGATTGGAAAAATTCAAACCATCGAATCATACCCAGATGGTTAACAAGATGAATGCTACACAACTGCACTTTTTAATGGTTATTCCTTGTTTTGGACAGGAGTTTCTGTTGGATTGTCAAACCTAATTTGTGGGTAAAACTTGATAACGATATCTCTTATAGTATTGCAGTTGGTGTTACTGGATCAGGCTGCGCTATTGCTGATGCCCAAACTCCAGAAACTTTTGTTAAAATTTTAGTCGTTGAAATCTTCGGATCTGCTCTAGGATTATTTGGAGTCATTGTTGGAATCATCCAGTGTTCAGGAGCAACTTTTCTTAAGAATTGTACCTCATGATATTGCATATTAAAATAACATATATAATATATATAATTATTCTATGTTTTAACTTTGATAATTTTAATTTTAATTAAATAATTCGATTTAACATTAATATGAATAACTAAAATAATAATATTGACAATAATAACGAAAAAATCACAGATAGTATTTTCAATTACTATCAAGACTCCTTTTTCAATCAAACCATCAACATCATAAGAAAAAACAAAAAAGTTGAGAAAAAAATCACAATCTCCATATGTGGCACTCCTTTATTTAATTGATATTTATATTTAAATGTTTAACTAATTTATCTAACTTTAGATAACACTTTAATCATCAACAAATAAAATATAATTAAATTAAATCTCTTTTGTTGTTAAACTAATCCGTTTTCAACTAGTATTATGTACAACAATTTTAGATTTATTTTATTGAATCTATCCTATTGAATGAATATCAAAAACCCACCAAATTATTGGAAGCATTGCTCATTAGCAGGTAAAAATAAAAAATGGGGTTATGAGATTTTGGATGACAAATTGATACTTGTACTAAGAAAATTGGAATTTATTTTTCATTTTCAAATTAATTTTTACTTAGATTGTTATTACTAATAAATAGCTTTAATTTTATGTTAAATAATCTTTTCGAAGCACAAAATTTTATGAGCGAGAATTTAATTAGTAAAATACACTCTTAAATTTGATGAAAGAAACCGACTAAACTTATTTTCCTTATTTTCATTTAAATGAAATCATAAATAATTTACAATAATGAATTAAAAACTTAAGTTTCTTAATTGAATTTCAATGATAAAACTGTTGTAAAATCTTTCAGGTAAGATAAATACTTTGCCATATTTGACTTTCGGTTTGATTTAGCGTATCTAGCATGATCCAATTAATATACATGTGAAATAATTGAAATCAATAAAAAACGGTATAATTTTCATATGTAATAATATCAACTAAGTGATTTTTTTTCATAGATATTGATAACGGTTTGAACTATTTTTTTGTAATTGAAAGAAAACAGAAAATTTATATTATTAAACAAAATTATTTTGTCTTCATATGACAAGCCCTTTTCTAATAGATCATAAATAAAAATAATATATTATATTTTGGGTCTTTATTTCATATTGGTGTCACTGTTATTTTCCCACACTTGCTTTATGAATAATGTTGTAATATTTTTGTTTAGTTTGTTTGAAGTAAAATAAGAGAATATTCTTCATTGTCCACATATAACTTTAATTGGGATTTTACAAACGATAGCCCACATCTAAAATGGAAAGGAGTGGCAGAATAATACAAGGATAATAATAACGAGTATGAATTATATAAATTTAAAATGTTAATTTTCTTATAATTTCTGTGGAAAGGATGTAAGGTATTAATAATCAATCGGTTTGCGATTTAGATTTGATCATATTAATTATAATTGTATAGTATATTTTTATGGGATTTAAAGTTGATTGAGTGTAATGAATTCTGATTTAATAAAAATATTAAATAAATCATCACACATGGCATTCCAATAAGACTATGACTACTTGTTCAAGATCCTCCTGATCGGTAATTCAGCCGTGGGCAAGGTAAGACCTTAAATGTAATTGATTAGAGCTCACTATTGTTGCGATTTTCGGATTAGATTTTTAGTGAGTCTTTCCTTCCTACAATCGGTGTAGATTTCAAAATTCGTACATTTGACATGCAAGGAAAATCAGTAAAGATGTAAATTTGGGATACTGCAGGTCAAGAGAGATTCAAAACTATTACAGCATCCTATTATAAGGGAGCTCATGGAATCATTCTGACTTACGATATCACAGACAAATAAAGTTTTAAGGACATCGAGAATTGGTTGGCAGGTATACTATATACTTAACATTACAGAGGTTGAAAAACACGCTTCTGAGAATGTGGTTAGATTATTGGTTGGAAACAAGGCTGATTTGGAGAGCAAGAGACAAGTTACCTACGAAGAGGGCAAAGAGTTGGCTGATAGTTTGGGCATCAAGTTTATCGAGGCTTCAGCCAAAGCAAACACCAATGTCGACTAAGCCTTTATGACTTTGGCCAATAACATCAAGGCCAAGATTGGCAAGTCCGAGGACAAACCAACTCCTGGAGGAAAGACCCCAGCTGGCAATTTGAAGAATACATCACCTGCAAAAAAGGAAGGAGGCTGCTGTTGAAATTAAGATAAATTATTAAATAATGGGATTTAAGGAAGCATTCACGAGACAAGGCGATGGAGAGAATTTGCTCTTCGATGATGATGCATTCATCTATTTCGCCATTTCCATTCTTACTCTAGTTATTCTTCCTCTGGTTTACTCCGTTATCAAGCCACTGTTCACAACATACGTGTTTGGAGAAGACAGAAGAAAATTCGCACGTGTTCCCAAAAGCTCCAATGATCAGCAAAATCTACAACTAGCTAAATAGGAATTGAGACTTAAATGGCTTACAAAAGGGTTTGTGGTTAAGGTAATATGTTGATTCTTATCTTAGATCATAATACTTGTGGCTCTTTTGTTATTGCTCAATGCATCTATTTAATCGTTGCCAAAGGCTGACAAAATTAAAGGGTTTGATCCCTATGAGATTTTAGAAATCGATCCAAGTGCAACGGAATAAGAAATTCGTAAAGCCTATAGAAAGATTTCATTAAAATTGCATCCAGACAAAAATCCTGATGATCCTTAAGCAAATCAAAAATTTATTCTTCTGACAAAAGCATATGAGTGTTTGACAGACGAAGACAAAAAATCATTATGTATGAAATATGGAAATCCAGATGGACAATAAAGTTTATCTGTGGGAATAGCTATGCCATCATTTCTTCTAAAAAAAGAAAATAGAGCTGCCTTCTTAGCAGTCATTTTTCTGTTGCTTTTGGTTGTAGTGCCCATTATTGTTTTGTATGAATTGAGATCAATAGGGAAATACGATCAAAATGGAGTCATGCTTAGTAATCAGGAAAAATTCGAACGAGGCTTAGAAGAAAACCTATTAATCAAGAAAGGAGTAGAACTATCTAGTTGCAGTGATGAATTATGCAGATTGAGATTGAAAACTGAATAACAAGCAATTGCTTTGGAGAAATTAGTTAATGAATTAAAAGAAGAAGCTGAATTAAGAAAAATATAAAAATTTGAGATTACAGAAGCACTTGAACAATCCAAAAAATAAAAGAATAAAAAAAGAAGAGTGACCATTTCTATTGCCATGATTTTAATATATGCTCATCTCTTTGGTAAACCAATTCCTGACAGTGTTAAATCTTTATATAGATCTACTATTAAGATCATTCCAAAGTTGGTAAACTCTATGGTAAGGTTGGCTTTTGAATTCTCAATGAAATACAAAGTAATCCAATGGAGATAAAGAGGGAGATTCTAAACTAAATTTATGGGTGCAAGATGCATAAACAACATATTATAATTCTCTCAATGCATAGTATAAGGAATATATGAAACCGATAACCCAATAAATTAAATTGAATTCTTTGCTAATAAAGCCAAAGATTATATTAAAAAAGGAAAGATGCCAATATTCCAAGAATTAGTTCAAAAATCAGTTGATTAAAGAGTGGTAATTCATTTAATTCAATAAATTAGTTACCTAATTGGGTACCTGAAGAATTCAAAGACCAAATTATGAATGAAATAAACATGTTTCCTTAATTGGATATCAAACACGAAGTCACTGTCGATGACGAGTCAATTGTTGAATAATGCAATGAAGACATCTTTAGTGTATACAATATTTCATATGTAGATTAAAATCACCTTAACAAGATTGAATACTCCTGAAGGAGAAGACATTCCCTTTGCTCATTCAAACAGATATACATATGTGAAGGAAGAGGGATGGCACATTTTGATCACCTTCCAAAATGAGGTCTTTTATTATGCTTAATTGAATGGAGCGAACAGAGTGTAATCTACTGAATTCAAATTTTAACCCAAAATGTATTTTGGAGATGTAGTCGATTTTGAATTTGTTTTATTCGTCATTTCTGATTGTTACAGAGGGTTGGATGCAGAAATACCCATCAAATTCAAAGCCAAGAAAACCAGTCAAATAAGCAGGGTATATTTGTAATGTAATCATTTAAGGCTGTTGAGTATCACAAGGAAGATCAAGAATTAGACAAGTCCCTTCCCTTTATTCAATCTATGTTGTTCCCCATGTAAAATAAGGTTGAGGATAGTGATTCAGAAGATGAAGATCAAGAGAAGAAGGAGGATGAATGAATTTGAGAAGTAGAATATTATACACATATTGTTATCTTTTGTTATTATTGTTAAATGCATTCCCAAATAATAGTAGTAAATAGAAGTAAAAAATTTAAATGACTTCTTTATTAGTTTAATATTAAAAATGAGCGCATTCAAGAGCTGTCCTTCTTGGTAAGATTTTAACCTATAATTCAGTTTGGAACAAGTGTTGTCCACCAACTTCTTGCTCCATTCACTTTATTGCGAAAGAAATATTGTCCAATGTGAATTATGCGATCAACGTATAGATCTAAATGAGAAAGAGGACCACATGATTTTACATAAAAAAGTATGTATATTAACTCTTATCACCCAGAAAGCATGTCCATACTGTCAAGAAAACTACGAATAGCAGATATTGGAGAAGCATTAGATCAATTGTCCCAATAAGCCATTATTGTGCTGCTATTGTGATTTGATGGTAAACCAATTAGAAATGGTGTAACATCAAGTCAAATGTGGTGCTAGAACTGAATAATGTCCTCTTTGTAAAAAGCACATTCAAAAGAAAGGTATAAATATATAGAGGCTTTTAGAATATGATATTCATGTATCTATTTGTTAATTGCCATCTCCATCTTCTCCTAAAAGAGCAAGACTACAACAAGTTCTTTGTGATAGCTCAGATGATAATTCAGTTCAAGAAGTCAAATAGAATCCTTAAAACAGGCGTCCACTTAAGAAGGAACCCAAAAGTTATGCTCTAAAGTAGAAAAAAGAACAGAAGGATTAAAAGCAGCAATTCTAGAAGCCTTTCCTAGATGATGATGAAGATGAAGAGCTTCAAAAGGCATTATAGTAAAGTTTGAATTAAAAATGAATTAATAAAGTTTGTGCGTAAGATTTAAAGCATTGCATCAGCATAGGCATCTCTCTCATCCAATCTATCACACACCTAAATCTCAATTGCAACGCAGTTTCAGTTTGCCTAAATTCTTTGTCTTTAATCCCAGGAAGCAATTCCATGGCATCCCTCAAAAAATGAGAAGGAAAAGTTGTGATTGTAAAGAATGCGGGCAAATGACTAACTTTCAATATAGAAATATGAATGTCCCATTTGTTCTTAAACCCTTTAGAATCAGAAGACAACCATCTCTAAAAACTAATCGATTATTGACTGCATAAAATACAAGTATACACCTGCACTCTTTATATTTTTAGAAAAACTCTTTCGCAAATTCTCTGCTTCCAAATAAGACACTCTGGTTTGTACATCTTCTTCTCAATTAATCCTCACTTCTCTCCGTAGAGCTTCAGCAAGAACCACTGAAAAACTTATTGAAGATACTCAAGTTCGAATACTTGAACCTCCTAAATCTTGCAAAAGTCATTTATTATAAAATACTAACAAACCAGAAATGACAAAGATAACTTTATAAATCCCAAAATCTTTAAGAATTATCAAAACTCAACCCTCAGAGCACTCAAAAATCAAACTACCTCAAAACCTAAGAAGCTTGTAACAAATTTACAACAGAAACTTTCTTTGTACATACTTAACTAAATATAAGAAATCTAAAACCTAAATCAATTTATCAAAGTATTGAATCTTAATAAAATAATTGTTCAATCAAAATTAAATACAATCAATACAATTCTACAGTCCTATCAATATATATTATGCTTTAACTAAATTTCAATGCATTCTCAGTATCCTTGATCGAATTCTTTATTTTATAATAATAACTGATATAATATTTTCTTATAAGTTGAAATCTAATATGCGTTGAGGAATTCACAGTTCAATTTAATACCTTTAGTTATATAAATACTATTGTAATGGATATGCTTCATGACCTTTGTTAATCATAGACATATCATTAGATCCCAGGAGAGCTGATATTTGTTGATTTAAAATATTAAATGCCCAAAAACGAATTAAAATTAGAAAATTATTTAATCTATCTAAAAACTTGCTTAAATCTAAAAATCACAATTGAATATTTTTCATTCAGTTTTTGCTTAAATGTATTCAAATATGCTTTTTTCCTTTGTGATTGTAATGAGATTATGATTAAACAGAAGCAAAATGTTTGAAGTTAAATCTCTGATTTAAAAAATGTCCTAACACTCGTAAAGGTTGACTTGTAAATAAGGCTAAGAGAATGTTGAGAGGAGGGGTGATAACAAATCGATGGTATATTAATTAAATGATCAATTAAAATTGACTTAGGATGTGAGAATGACAGAATAAATATTTTTAATATAAAATAAAAACTTCAAAAACGCATAGTTTGTGTAATTTTAAGCCAATGAAGGGTGATCAAGAAAACATTAATAATATTAATGAAAGCTTTATTGATCTTAGGATTAGTGATCTTCACACAAGCCGTCTTCGTCAAGCATGCTTCTGAACCACATGCTGCCGTCTTCGCTTAACTCGAAGCCCTTGAAGACCACCCATTGGGAAAGAAAATTTTGGACACAATCGCCTTGTAAATGAAGAACAAGTCACCACTCTCTGACATTGCCAAGATGCTCTAAGACTTGAGAGAAAACTTAGTCCTCTAATAACAAGATGCTGAATTAGTCCACGTCGCTTAAGAAGCTGACTGTGAAGCTGAAATCTATGGATATAACAGAAGAATCGACTTCGCATCCAACGAAATCACCGAAGCCACCATCGATATCAACAAGTACACCGCTGATATTGAACTCTTGGAAACAGATATTGCCAACAAGGAATAATAATTAGAAATCTTAGCCAACTAAGAAGAATAACTCAGATAAAAGAGAGCTGAAGACCACGCTTCATTCGAAGAAAGATAAATCACAACCCCAAAGGTCGTTGAAGCCCTCGACGTCATCGCCGCCAAATTGAGCGCTATCCAACCAGAAGCTGATGCTGAAGCAGTCCTTGCTGAATTAGAAAGAGTCGGTGGAAACAACCCCATCCTCGCCCTCGTCCAATTGGCCTCCACATTCTCAGCTGAAAAATTATAAAACGTTTAAGACAAGATCGCTGAATTGAGAGCCTCATTGGAATAATCCATCATTGACGACTAAGAAGAAGAAGTCTAAGCTTAACTTAACTTCGAAGCTTAAATCGTTGAAATCAATGAATAAAGAGCTGCCCTCTAATCCGAAAAGGCTGACTCCGAAACCAAATTAGGATAAGCTTAAGTCTAATTGGCTGCCGCTAAGAAGAGAAAGTATGATGCTGGAAGAGAACTCGACTCAGCCACCAGAGGAAAGGTTGCCAAGGAAGCTGAATGTGACGCTTGGAGAACTTAATATGCCAGAGACACCGAATAAAGAACCGTCGAAATCGGTATCATCAGATAAGTCGAATAAATCCTCGCCACCAAGTTGGAAGGTGCCTCCTCATACATCAAAGGAAGAATCAACTGAACTTGATGATTATAAACCATTATTCAAATTCTTCAATTTTTTATTTATTTTTCCCATCAAGAACCAATCCCCAAGGCGTTCTTCTAAAATTTAAAGGACCCTCCTCCTTTAAGCATTTAAACCTCTTGAAATGCTATCTAGACATAAAAGTATTTAATATATTTTAACTTTTTTCATTTGAATTAATTTCTATTCAGATCAAAATCTACTAATACAATTTTCCTTGACTTCATAATCATTTCATATTTATCATGAATAAGATAAAAATTACAATCATAATTTTTTTTACTGGAAATATGAGCTAGCTTACTAATTGATTTCACAATTTCAATTAATACCATTTCCCCTAATTAAATTAACTGAATTTTGTTTAAACTCTTTTGAATGAACATAAATGATTCAAATAAATCATTCAACATAAGCTCGTTAATAATAAACTATGTCAAATGTAATAAAAACAAACAAAAATATTGTATCACAACTTGATTTTATCATTCTCTAAATTGCACTTTTTTTTAATGTTTTTCTTTACCATTTATAGAACTACATGATGACTCAGGGTATTGGTCATAAGTTCTTGCACTTAGTATTCCTTTCATGCCTTCTTACTAAAATTTAATTTCTTCTTCTTTGACAATTTTTGGTTCTAAGTATATAATGACATGTTATTAGCGAGGGGAAATTGGACGAGAAGATAATAAAATGTCTCCATCCTGGTATGTGTATAATTGGCAATGATCTTATATCAATTCTTTAAAGTTAGCTATTTGCAATGAGTCTCCCAATGATTTCGTGATGCTCTCTTGTTAATTTGAGGAGACTATCTCTTCCTCAGTTTAAGTAGCTGGAATTGAAGTAGAACAGCAATTATTACCCATAATATATAATAATAATAATGTTATATGAAAACTCCTCCTAATCTATCTTTAAATTTAATTAAGAAACAAAAAGGATTTAAGCCATTGACAATATATAATATTAATAATCAAATCTATAATCTTAGCTACTATCAGATATACTTCAATTTATTTATATTTATATGGTAATTAATTTAAAATATTGATTTTCGGCTTTAAATTTACTAAAGTAAAACAAAGTCTTAGTTGTATGTCATTTAGCAACTTTGGAATACACCACATCTAATTCCTATTATGATATACCCAATTGGAATTTAAAAATAACTCAAATCAATATTGACAGTTGTTGAATTATTTTCAGTCAAATATAATCATATTGAGATGATCAACAAAATTTCATGTCTTTTACATTTGACATATTTACCTCCCTAATAGCAGGCTAATACTAAATACATCATACAACTTAATCATCATTAATAATAATTTAGAATTTCTATTAATTTACCTTATAAATGGTAAATGATTAATTGATCATTCACCTTTTTGTCTTAAAATTTTATTTGTTATTCATATTCATACCCCTTATTTATTTGTCCCAAAGTTAGAGAAAGATTTAGAACAATAATGATATAGAATTCTTAAAATATAGAAGAAATTGTATGTCTAAAATTCAGTTAGCAATTATTCCTGTATTTGATTCAATTTTATCAATCATACTAAGAGTACTTAAATTTAATTTTTATTGATTGTATATTTATTATGAGGAAGAATGATTTACATTTTAGTTAACATCTAAATTCCGAAATGAAATTTATATAAAATTTTCTTCGAGTTTGCACAATTTTCTAAAAAAAGAACTAATTAATTTTTGATCATATCATATTTTTCGATATTTATCTAACTTCATTTTGAATGCATTAAATCTATACTCCAATATAGATACTATAAAATAATGCTAAAAGTTTAAATTAAAATATATTGAAAGAGAGTTTCCTCCTTTATTTTAGAATTGCTTGATTAAGCAAAAATTGTGAAAAACTAAATTCTCTTATTGCATTTGTTGACAACACACAATATTAAGTATTTCTGCTTTAATAAAACTTCAACATGTTATCTTATTTTATAAATGTCATTGATTTTCTATAGATATTTATTTTTTTTAATAATTGTAATTATTCTATAAATAAAAATTTTAGTGACAGATTGAATAACAATTACAATTTGTTTAGTTTTAAGTATTTTTTGTGTGTTTAATTATTATTTTCTTTGAATTATGTTATCCAAAATTTTTCAAAAGATAGATTTGCTTGATCTATTTGAAAGATGCTAAGTGTATTGATTTGAAGTCAAAAATTTTGATTAGAGACTTTCTACCTTATTAGAATGTATTAACTGTAAATGGATTGAATCACAATCCTTCTATTTGCTACTGACTGGTTATTTATTGAACTTTTTATTTTTCCTTTATTTTATCTCATTTGTATTCTTTTTGAAATCCGTTGTATTAGAATAAGATAATTGTTAAATAACATTTACTTTAAAATTATTTATTATCTTATTTCGTCAAAAGATTTATAGGTAGATCAATAAGAATAAAATAAATGGCTTAACAAATGCAACATTTAAATAATTTGTAAATGATTTATATAATCACTATTAAATAATAATTTAATAAACCCTATTTGATAGCTAAGTAATTGTATAAATTAGAAAAATACAGCTAATAAGTCAATTTTTAAGTATAAAATATGGCCAAGAATTAAACACCTCAGAAATCAATATCTTAACTTCGTCCAAAATGACATTAAATTTTATCGATTTTACATAAAATGAATGTTCCAAACTAGAAGACAAATAAAATTTATAAATTGATCAATAAGAATTAAGTATTTAAATAAAATCGTAAACCCTATATTTAAAGGAAATAGAATAATCAAGAGAATTCGATTTAAGAATTAAAAATTTAATTTTATATTTAATTCTTATTTAAATTCTAGAATTTTTGTCAAATACACGTAATAATTAAAATATGAAATCGCTTCTCTTGCTCTCTTTACTTGCTTTTGCTGTTGTTGCTGATTACGAATATGATGGAGATGTTATGGTACTCACAGAAGAAACATTTGATTAAGCCTTCAATGAATTCGATTATTTGATGTTTGAATTCTATGCTCCTTGGTGTGGTCATTGCAAAGAACTCGCCCCTAAATATGCTGAGGCTGCTACTGCTCTTAGACCTGAAGGAATAGTTTTGGCCAAGATCGATGCCACAGTCCAAAAGAAATTGGCTGAAAAGTATGGAGTCAAAGGATATCCAACTATCAAATTCAGTGCCAAATAAGCTGTAAAGGATTTTGAAGGTGGAAGAAATGCTGATGGCATAAAGAATTGGATTTACAGCAATCTTAATCCAGAGAGTGAATTACTTGATACTCTTGAATAAGTCAATGAGGCTATTGCTCAAAATAATGTTCAATTTGTCTATTTTGCAGAGGAATAAAGCGAAAAGGATAGAGAATTGAGAAAATACAAAGAATTCTCTTTCACTATGAAATAGCATTTCGCCCATACAACAAATAAAACAATCAGAGAAGCTCTCAACGTACCAAAAGGAACCTACTTTGTTGGATTTAGAAATCAAAAGCCTTATTACTATTAAGGAAAGCTTTCATTCCCAATTATGAAAACCTTCGTTGAAAATGTTGCTCACGAAAGAATTCAAGAGTACTCTGACAAAAAGGAATAACTAGATGAAAGAATAACCAAAAGCAAACCATTTGTTGTTGTCTTTTCTGATGAACCTGAAGTTTAAGCTGCTGCATAAGCTTGGTCTTATTAGGACGAATTACTTTTCATCAAGAATGTTGATGAGGAATTCACTAGAAAGATTCAAGTCAGATCTCAAGATTAAAAAGGAGTTTTTATCATCAAGGGAGATTAAAGATACAAAAGGGTTTAAGGTCAAAGCGTTAGTGAGTTCTTGGAAGCATTCTAATCAGGAAATGCACACAAGTACCTTAAATCATAAGCTGCTCCACAATAATAAGGATTGGTCAGAATCCTCATCGGAGATACTTATGAAGCTACAAGATCAGTTAATGATTCTGTAGTCTTATACTTTGATTCTCAAAATGAAGAACAGTAATACATTAAATTAATTATTTAGCAATGCGGTTTAAGAACAATTCTTAAAGGTGGCTGAAAGACTCCAACAAAACAAGCAATTGACTTTCCATAAAATCGATTTGTCATAAAATGAAGTTAGCGATTTGGCTGAATCAGTTGAAATCGTTAAAATCAGATTATACAAAAATAACCAACCAATTAAGTTTGTAATCAGGGCAAATAAAATCTAAGAAGAAAGATTTGTTAAATGGATTGTAGATAACGCAGCTAGTTAAGTTGTGGACCCTAAAGTTGAATTATGATTTTGTGTAAAATAAAATAACATTTTTAAATTTCCATATAGAAACTTCTAATTGAACTATTACTTAGTTTATATCCAAATTTAATTCGTTATTGGGAAATTAATAAAAATGGCAGATCAACTTGTTGTAGGATATTGGGGAATCAGAGGATTGGCTCAACCATGTAAGTATTCATATCATCCCTCTAGTGAGATATTTGGTAGAGTACTTGGGATTACCATACGAAGAGAAAAGATACCTCAAGCCTGAAGAATGGTTCGGTGGACTCTGTGAAACACCATTCAACATCCACGTTCTTGTCAACCTCCCTTACATCAAGGATGGTCAGAAGTACGTCTACGAGATTGCCGCCCTTTATGTCTATTTGGCTCATAAGGCTAATAGAGCTGATCTCTTGGGATCCACACCAGACGAACAAGTAGCTGTGGCTTAAGTGAGAGGTGTTATCTAAGATGCCTTGAAAGGTTTCTTCCGCCTTATCACCCTCCCTGAAGATCAATATGCTACATAGAAGGAGGAAGTCTTTGCAAATGAAGTTGCTTGGTTGATAGAAAGATTAGATAAATTCATTGGTGACAAGATAATGGGCTGCTGGAGCCAACCTTACTTATATTGACTTTGATAACTTCGAATTAGAGGAGACATTGAAAGCTTTCAATGCTGAGGATTGGGCCAAGTTTCATAACCTCCAAAAACACCATTAAGAATTTTAAAACCTTCCTTAAATCAAGGATTACATGGCTTCTGGAAGATTCTTAGCTGGTCCCTTCTATCCACCAGGAAGATTTAGATGGGGATTCTGATTATTAAATTCATAATTTAATACAAATATTATTGGAATTAACAACCAAGAACATTCCAAAAAATACAATTTCTTTAAGTCTTATTTATCCATATGTTCTTTATATATTTTACAATGTTTATTAAAATTTATTAAATTAATTTTTTAAAATCATTAATAAATAATTATTTATTTAAGATAAGAGATAAATTTAATAATAAAAGAAATGTCAACTATTATTAATATACTTACATAGCTATTATAATTATATTAGGATAAATGAAATTTACAATCATTTCATCAAAATTTAAAGGACCAACTTCAATATTTTCCCGTTTCTATAGTCAAACATTCAAATTCATTATGTTTAACATTAAACATTTCTCCATTAATATTTTTTGTTCATCAAAATAATACTAGAATAAATTGAATGAGAGCATCGATTTATCTAAATTCTATTTTCTTATCCTCGAAATAAATAAATGACTATTCAAAATATATAAAACAAAAACCCTTTTTTATTACTCTTAAGAAACGAATACTCTAAAATATGAGTATAAAAGTATCAATAAGTCAATATTATTCATCAAAATCAGCATAAGCAATGATCAAATAATAAATAAAGTTGTTTTCTGTTTAAGTTACTTAAAATTATTCAATAAATCTAAATAGTTTTCTGAATATTAATTTAATAATATTAGATCATTTAGCATAGTGTTATTTACTAAATATGAAGATAAGTTGTTAAAATAGATAAAATTATAATAATTAAGCAGCAAATTTGATGTATTATCTAGGGATAGTAAAATATAATTTTGATATATATTGTTCTATTAAAGCATATCGAATGGTCATAAGGATTAATTTAAATGCAAAAATCAAGAGATTAGAAGCTATATCTCCAATGTCCATGTCATATGTCTACCAATAAGACTCAAAGTAGACCCACTTATTTTATCTAAATTTCGATTTATGACCATCTTAAGAAATTACAATAACATGTCTAGCATCAAATACTAGTGGTATTGGTATTATCAAATATGACAAATTCTTGAAAAAGCTTTGCCTACTTATTTTATAATTTCATATGTATCAAAGCTCAAATATAAATGACAAGATTTGGCATTTCTAGAATTAATATCCCCTAAAAATAGATATATTAGAACTGTAATTATAAAGTTTGATTGACTTTACAATCTTAAAAATTAAATTAAACAAATTGGTTTCTATGGCGAGCGTAACACATTCAATAGAAAACTCTCCAACATCCACCATGTCTTAGGCTCCTAAAATTAAATAGGAATCTATTAGTATTGGCATGAGCTGGAAAGCCATACTTAGAAAAAAAAATTAGACTAAACGCCCCAATCAAAAACTAACTCCAAGGCTATCAGAATCGATTAAATCAAAGAATATACCCAAGAATGTAGCCAAAGCCATCATACAATAAATCCTTAATAACAATGTATAGGAGTAGATAGAAGAAGAGGAGGAGTTCTTGAAATTCATCAATAAACACAGAAAAATTTAGAATCTAGCTTATCTGATGAAAATAACAAGACCCCATAAATTAGAAAAACTAAACAAATTACATAAATAGTTTAGATAGATTTGGTATATAATAGATGTATTCATTTTTTTAGTTGGAATTTTCTGAAAAAGTAATATGTGCCATATATATTCAATTCTAGAATTAAAAATCCAGAAGGCCATTTACAATACAGGAATCAATTAATGAAAGTGTTTGCTTAAAAATAATGATTTAATATATGTACGACTTAATAACAAATCCATTCATCTAATGATTCAATTCCTGATTTGTGACCTAAAAGAGCACCAGTCATAGAAATTCTTAATTTCATACCTTCTGATCTATATTTTTTTTGAATATAACGAAGAAAGTAGCTTAATCAATACTAATTTATTAGAATAGCATATTTTCATAAATAAAATAATCAAATTTAGACAATCATGTTTTTCAAACTTGTAATGAAAGTTGGAATTCAGAGTATGAAACATCAAATAAGACCCTCTATTGCAGCATATAGAACTCTTGCTAATAATCACTTAAACTTGCATAACTTGAATACTTTTTATCTTAATTAGCTAACAAGTTTCACAGAAGAAGAAGAGAATGATATTAACAAAGTTAATATAATCAACTGTTTGTCGGAGGTGAAATCTTCGAATTGAATTGAGTATATGAATTATAATTACATTATTCCCATTCGTTAAATAAATTAACAGAAAGCTATAAGTTAATAAATGAAAATTTATTGTTAATCATAAATATAAGATCAACATCTTCTGCCCATTGATTTTTTGCGGTTCATATCCTTTTTATCTTTAGCATCTTTTTCATTCATTTTCTTTGATTGCCCTTTACCTTCATCTTTGGTATTTTTGGTTCCTTTTTTACTAATCCTATAATTATAAATAGCTACTTGTCTTTGTCATCCATCTTTTTATCTTCCTTCTTCATTTGATCTTCCTTCTCATGTTTCTATTATGCAGTTTCTTCATCATCCTTCATTTTTTTGGGACCCCTCTTATAAGGAGGCAGTTCCTAATACTACAAGTCTTGTCTTGTAGCCGATCTTTTAAACTTCTCCTCTATCAACTGGTCAAATTGCTCTCTCTTTTCTGAATACTTTCTAATCAATTCTATATTTATTTGTATTACTTTGACCATTCATCCATTTGTTTATGGTAATGTTCTAGTTTCTTCTCGAATTCATCATCGTACTTCTTTCTATCCTTATTTGAAAGTTAGTTATATCGATCCACCAATGCCTTTGTTACTTAACCAAAGGATGCATCAGGATTCTCTTCAGAATACGCTCTTCTGTTCTCAGCTATATATACTAAACAACCTGATACTGGTTTCTTTGGTTTCTCAGGAATTTCCAGTAAGGCTTTGTACTTTTTCAAATCTTATGCACTCCCGCCATAATATAAAAGTAAGTCTTCCTTGTACTTTGCCTCCATTTTTTCAAATTCATCATCATATTTCTCTTTCTCCTCCTCATCTATTTATCTCCACATTTCGGCGATTTTGCTTTGGATTTCCTTACCTTTCATCATCCCATCTTTTTTCATTTAAGCAGCCTTCTCAGCATAGAATACCTGATATGAAGACATGCAAATTCTGGCAGGGGGTTTCTTTAATGTTCCGCTTCTTAACTACATCATTTGACAGCAATTTTTTCAAATTTAAAATGTAAATATATATAAAAATGTTGTATACAATTAAAATAAAATTGAACTTAAATGAAAGAAATTCTGAATAGATTATATTTATTCAAAGAATTAAGTAATATCATTTTAATTTCCAATTTTATATGCAAGACAATCGACTTAATAGTAATTTAAAAATCATTAATTATATTAATAATTAAAATATGTAATAATAAAATACTAAGGTATTGTCTTTAGAGGAACTTTATTTTATATATCTCAGTAAGTTCCATATTCTTATTTTAAGGATTAATAAATTGTATTATTTTAATTTGATAATATCATGATCATACTTAAGCCAAAATTATAAATACATTTTAAAGAGAATAATCTTGTTATTGTATCTAAATAAAACCTTGAAATGTTTTCAATTTCTCTTAATAAAACCTCATTTGTTATAAAAAAATTATGTAAGAATTTGATTGAGAATTTTAATACTTTTATAAAATTAATAACCTATTCTAATTTCTAATCTTATCTTAAATTTCACCTCTTTCATTATAAACTTAAGCCTTAGACTCTACATCCTAACAATATATATTACGTATCAGACAGTCTACTCCTCAATTTTGCGACTCAACATAGTAAAATAATTGAGAAATTTTTCAGAGAGAAATCTTTTAGTAAACAATAATTTATTCTAAAAATACTAGAGTTTATTAATCTATTGGGTTTCAAAGTCAAAAATGTGGTTTTGAATTAGCAGTCGAGTCAAGAATTAAAAATTTCTTTTTTTCAACAATTTAAGTTAAAATAAGTTTGTATAACGTATAAGATCATTTAACTTTTTAAATGGCCACCAATGATGGAAATATGAATTTAGTTGGACTGAAAATTGGGATTGATAAATGAGGCGAAGTTGAAGTGTTTAGGTCATCGAAATCTTCTTCTCTGATTTTTATTAATAAAAGTGGATTTGAGGATATCTTATTTTGGGATTTCTTCTCTTTTGCCTTCTTCACGTATTTATTCTTATCAATATTAAAGGTGTTCATGCTGATTTATAATTATTAAAAAATAAAAATTCATATCTATGGAATACTAAGTTATTTAGCCACAAGGAAATAAATCCTATCATGACGGTAGCTGATTCTCACAATAGATTATTAGGATAATTAGATTAAAAAAAAACTTGTAATATTTTTAAAAAGATTTTTGATTTTCTTAGAAATAATAAATTATATATAAAAATACATTTATTAACTTTTTAGACAACTTATGTGTGGTATATTTATAAAATTTGATAATTACTCAATTTTCTTTCTTCTTGATTGTGAAACAACTAATATTAAGGTATGTGGTTATTTAATTTATGACATTCTTAATAAATAAGAGAGTTAGAACAATCGTGGAAATAAATTAAATCCAGAACAATATTTTCAAATGTTCCAAACTGAATGGAATAAAGAAGGTTAGTAAACTAATGATGATGAAGGGCAACATTTCCAAGTGGAATAAGGGAGTTTAATCCTGGGATAAAAATTGTATAATTTACCTTGGTTGTTGAACAAACAATTGTTTTGCAGACAATTGATGATAGAATAATTCCAAAATTAATCAGGAGTGGACCAGCAAGTTGACTATAGATTGGGGATGAGAACCAAACAAACTCTAAGGGATAAGACTAATTCTTACATAAGGTCCAAAACAAAAACAGAGGTATCCATTCGCTGAACACTCTAAGTGGTTTTTAAGATTTGAAGATATTTGAGAAAAACAAGAAAATGTCTGAAATGACAGCGGCTCCCAAAATAGTTGTTGTGACTATTTTATATAGATTGAATCCGAATATTTTGTTGTGCCAAGCGCTTTATCCAAAGATTGCTGAAAACTATGGGATATATAAACTGATGATACCAATTGGACTGAAATCGCTACTAATTCCAATTCAGTTACACCAAAATTAGCCAAATGAGTATGCAAAACTCCAGTGTAATATTCTTTTTGGTTTATTGCCCAAAGTCCTATTTGACAAAAGAATTAAAAATAAAATAAGGTGTCTCTGTCCATCAAGGTTGCCTATGCTGCTCCGATAATGAAAAATTGCATAATGAATGAATCACAACCATGATCAAACAACTGACCCAGAGGCGAGGATGATTGTGTTCTTCTGGCTTGTTTTCCATCGGTCGCGTCAAGAGTTTGATATGCAAAAATAGCGAATGCCATAAAGTAGAATGTCCAAGAAGGGATGTCTTAGGTTAATGTCATATCGCCAAAAACCTAGAATATGCAAGCCAAGATCATTGTTATGAATCCAATGAAGGTAATCAGATTTGGAGCAAGCCACTATGATAATTATGTACTCAAATTTACAGTAGGGTAGAGTTCACTTACAAATATCCAGAATGGATTAATCTTATTGTCCAAATATGAGTATCCTCCAGAGACGTATTTATATTTTTTTAGGTTTTCCAATCCAGTATCGGAGATGAATGCCATAATAATTAATTATTGAAAATCAAAAAGAAATATCTAGAATTAAATGTAATCTTATTGAGAATAATTTTCGAAAGGTAAGGAAAACCCCACACACAAAATATTTATAATTTAATTAAAAACATGATTAGAAATCCTCAAAATCCAATTGTATTCTTCGACGTAGCTATTGCTGGTCAAAAAGGTTGGTCGTATCAGAATGGAATTGTATGCTGATGTAGTTCCAAAAACAGCTGAGAATTTCAGATAGTTGTGTACAGGAGAATACAAGAGATTTGATAAACCTTCTGGTTTCAAGGGTTGTTAATTTCACAGAGTGATCAAGGATTTCATGATTTAGGGAGGTGATTTTGTGATGGTATCCATTCTTAATTACAATAGGGAGATGGCACTGGATGTGTTTCAATTTACGGAGACAAATTCGAAGACGAGAACTTTTAATTGAGACATGATGAACCTGGATTATTGTCTATGGCCAATTCTGGGCCCAACAGTAATGGCTGTCAATTTTTTATAACTTGTACCAAATGCGATTGGTTAGATGGAAAACATGTAGTGTTTGGTAAAGTAATCGATGCAGGATCAATGCAAGTGATAAGAAGAATTGAAACCACTCCAGTTGGTCCACAAAATAAGCCAAAATAAATCATCATTATAGAAGAGTGTGGAGAGTTGTGACTAAATTACATTAACATTCTCAAAGAGTTTAATATTATTATAATCAAATTACTATGTAAAGGGAAAATTTATATTAATGTTATTTTTATGCGTATTGAAAATTTCAAAATTTGCCTTAGTTTGATATCAAACTAAGAAGTTCGTCACCACAGTGCTCGTCGTATTTTTTCTCAATTTTAATTGCAGCTAAAGCTGAGATAAGTTATGTAATCTATTATTCAGTGAGATTCAGTTATTTAATTTATTGATCTCCCATTTGCATTAGCTTCTATTCAGATATTTTGAGTCCTTACAAAATCTTATATATATATTCCCCCTAATATAAAAATATTTAAATTTACCTCGTTTAATTTAAGAATTTCTTCATAAAGTTTTTTTGAGTAAGTAAGATGGGAATTACTTTAAACAGTTTGTTAAACTTTCATTGTGTAATTGTTGCCCATTATATGCAACTGCTTTTAATCAGGTGTAGTAGGTGCTGTTCGATGTTTCTTTTAAGATTAAAATTGTTGTTGCGCATTATGTTTTTTCTTTTGCATTTTGGATCCATCTGAAAAATCAGAGCCTCTCCTTGAATTAGAGTCAGATGTCTTTGTATTTGTAATGGATTATTAACAAAACGGTTACCCAATTTCCAATTTCTCTTTGCTCATATAATCTTGGGGAATGTAATTGGGGATTATAGGACCTACATAATTCGATGTAGGCTTATATGGTTGTCTTTTTGCTTCAATGTGCACATTTGGTTCTTCTATGACCCATGAATTATCAGGCAATTACTTACGAACTCTAATAAAATTTAACTGAAAATTGTACCTTCTCTCCTGATCTGAATGGTAGAATGCACATTCACCTAACTTCTTAGTGCAATTAGACTAGGTGCATGGTTTAGTTTTATAGATTAGAGGATGATATTCAAATTCTTTCCATCCATGACAATATTTGCAGTCTTCTTAATCTGGACATCCTCCTTTATCATAATTTAAAATCTGATTGGTTTTGTTCCAATGTGGACATTCCTTTGGCTATAACTTCCTTGGATCTCTGCGAAAGTCCTAAGCGTTATGAGCATAGACACAGGAAGCCCTATCATGACTAAAAATGTTTTTTAAGATTAAGATGTTACTTGATTGTAAGAGGACACCAAACAGTTTTGTATTAAAACATCCAGAAGTTTTTGTCTTGAACCATTCCATCCAACTTAACTGGAATGATCAATTCTTGATCATTATGAGCAAATGAACAATATACTCCATAATCACATTCCTTTATGTGAGTGCAATATTTGGTCTTGTATCTGTTGGGATGGTACACTTGCTCCACTTTATTGTGAGCAAATTGACATTCATCCCCTTATGGACAATTGTCAGCTTGCGGGCATAATTAGCATCTGAAAATAAATATTCAGATTTAAATTACTTGTAAGAATAATATTTGAGATCTCTTCTCCTGTCAGTTTCGTCATGAAAAAATGGGCAATACTTTTTTTAGTTAATTTGATGTTGAATCTAACATTTTTGAGTTTTAAATTGATGATGGTCTATATGCTGTTAAACTCTAACTGGTGAATTTGGATTGTAAATATCTAAATTAGTAAGTGATGATTCGTGAGAACGAACTCTTCGACTTCCTAGCATTCGTTAATAAACTATTTTTTATAATAACTATTAAATCAACTCATCATCATCATAAAATTTATAAAAATGTTAGTTGTACCAAAATTTGAATTCAAAGAAACACACGTTTATCCCAAGAACAAGAACAATTTTTAAATATATATTATTTCATAACTTAATTGAGTTTATTGCATTCAAATTAATGCTACCCATACCTTAAAATTATCTATTCTTTAACTTCCCCTTCTCCTTCTTGAAGTTGTCTCCCCTTGTGAACTTCAACTTCTCATTTCCAAACTCACCGTATTCATCCCCCTCTCCAAACATCTTTTTGGCCTCAAAAGCATTGACCTTGAAATGTTCAGGCAATATATCATATACTGAGTCATCACACTTTTGGAAAAACTTCTTCTTTTCCTTCTGCTCCACAACTTCCTCATTGATTTGTGCAACTTAAATTAAAATGCCTTATTACTATCTATTTTAGTGAATGTTCTTTTATCTAATAATGGTTTTGTTCCTTTTTTATTGCTCTTCTCCTCCTACTTCTATTATTCAGTTTCCTCTTCTTATTCCTCAATCTCTGCCTCTGCAACAAATTTTCTCGCTAGCTTACTAATCAATGTGCAATTAATTATTACGGGTGTCCGTCAATATAATATTTGATAATCTTTGATAAATCCTTATTGGCCATTGGAGTTTCATCATGTTCATATAAAGAATCAATTTGCTTAGCAGATTTCTTCAATCCGATGGATTTCAAGTATTCCACTATCAAGGGTAACACATCCTATGGAGTCAAGTCTCTTTGCATCAAAATAATAAATGGAATTTATTTTAATCACACAAAAATCTCTATTAAATTTTTATCTAATAATATCAAAAAACACACCCTATAGTGTAGCTACAATAAATTAACAATATGAATAAGGACTAAACTCAAAAAATAAAATAAGAAATAGTAGTCATCTAATTACTAGATAATTCAATAATCTTAAATACTCTAATAACAAAATTTATTAAATTATCTTTAACATTAAAGATGAAAGAAAATGACATATAATTCAAATGAATAAAAGATATAGAATCAATTAGGATGTCATCAAAATTAAACAACTAAAAGAAAATGAGATAAGAGATTAAAAACAAAAAATACAATTAACATTTTCGATATGATCAATAATTTTAACAATTTATAAATTTAATTTTATATCCATTATTATTCATTAATTTTTAGCTAATTACAGTAATGTATTTAATTTATTGAGTCTTACATCTATACTCTATAAATCTTCAGTCGTAGCTTCGATTTTGCTTTAAGGAGTAGTTATGATTGTATTCTCTTTATTCTTTTCTCTTAAATCTCTTAATCTTTTAATTAAACGCTATTCTTCTGAATCCTCGAACTTATTCGAATCTGATGGTTTAATAACATTTTTATTTTTTTGTAGTTTTGAATTGGATTGTTTAGGTTAGAATGACTTTTTTTTTGATGAACTTGATCTTGCTGAGGGACTTTATTCAGTTCTTTTAGAATTGGATTTTCTTCTGTAAGAAGACTCTGTATCACTATCCAAACTATCTTTTCGCAACTAATGATATTAATATGAAAATTACTCTAATTGGAGTTGTTTTCTCAATGCTTTTTCTTTTGGAAGGTATATTACTGGTGTTGAGTTAGTTTTTTTATTTATTGTTAGATTTTGAAACAGACGGAGATCGAGAAAGATTCGAATTATATTTGGACTTTGATTTATTTAGAGTTTACTGTAATTCAGATTCCAATGAGTTTATTCTTTATTTATTCTTTTTATCTTAGTTCTTCAGTATTACATTTTCATCTATCAATTATTGTAAATAGTCTTCAAATTCGATCATTTTTTTTGATAATTCTGAATTTGTATTTTCACTTTATAGATATTTTGATCTTAGGTCATTGTATTCTTATCTATTTATCATTGTATTGGAATATTGATGATTCATATTTTTTAATTCTAAAATTTCACTTTCCTTTTGATCAATGATGTTTCTTAACATTTCTAATTCTCTTATTTATTCATTCAACAAAATTGAAGGGTTGGATTCGTTTCGTTTTTAATCCTTGTAAAATTAGAGATTTTTATGCAATGATTCATTTTCTTTCCTTAATCTAATAATCGTATTCTTCATTTATTATAAATTTGGTTATTCATTAAAATTTAATGGTAAAGGATAATGCACTTTATCAAATTCTACAACATAACTAAGGATAAGGTAGCGTTTATTATTAGGAGCTAGGTTTTGAGTTGGTTATTTATTGGACCTCTTATTTTTTATTTGCTCCAAATCTTAATAGGTCAGGATGTCGATATACACGGTCTCAGTTTAATTATTCAACGCTGACTAGAGCATCTTTATGAACGTGGCATATTTCTTATAATTTCCAGTTTTTGATGCAATATCTTCAATATATTGAGCTTAGAAATTGGCAATCCAAGAGTCACCAGATTGTTTCGATTCAATTTCAATATTTAGAGTCTCAACATTTGCATTAATGTTGATAATGTAATTGACATCATGAAATTAGCGTTCAACACAGATATCAAGGAGATCTTCCATTTTGAATTATAAATCAGTTAATTTATTAATCAGATTTCAAAATCAGGAATAATAACATGTACTTATCTATTGGACCAATAGGGCAATTCTTCTGCAATTTACTAGGCCTTGATTATGAGTTCTATATTATCAATATGATTGCTATTTACATTCTCCTTCTCCACTTCTATTGGGCATCTTCTTCAACATACTTCCAAGCAATTGCATACATAATACTTTATTATATGAATCTGAATTCTCAAGCATTTACAATACTATTCTATACATGCTTTCTGCTCTATCAAACTGAAAATTCATCATAATTTTATACATATTTATTAGTACTGCACATCCAAGCTAAAAATAAGAGAGATCTATCCATATTGGTTGGATCTTGTTCCTCATAAAAATTGATTGTAGTTTTCAACCAAAATTGTAATTCAGCCCTTTTTGATGGTGCTTTATTCAAAACAAATTCACTTAGATTGAGCAATGGTTTTCCAACATGCAAACTCTTAAATTGGGTTTTGGTTAGATTGGTTCTATCTTAAGGTAGAAGATCTTCATTCAGTAACCATTCCAATCCAGTTTTAATTTGATTGTTTGAATGCTCAATGTAATAAATTGACTTTTTAAATAGAGGTATCACATTTTCAAAATCGGCATCTATGTTTTCTGCTGGAATATCACTTTATTGAGGTCCTGTCTCTTCTTCGTCATCACTTACAAATTCTCTAAGACTTGGGAACTTGTGCCACCATGAAGCCACAGCCAAACTATTGTAAGCCCATCCTTTCAATTGATTGGAGGGGTCTGAAGCCAGACACTCTCTCAATCTTGATTTGGCATCAGTGTAATTTTCCTTCAATAAATAGGCTGTCTTTTAATAGTGATTAAATTTGATACGCCCAAGAAATACTAGAATTGTTTCTAATACCCTAAGGGTACATTTTCTCGCTGCATTTCGCTTAACAAAGCCTTGCCCAAGAGTATTGCCTTGTTGAGATTATACTTCAAACAATGAGTCAATAGATCACTGTATGCAGAATACACAAGGGCGTAATTAGCTTTTTATCTCAAAAATTGTCTGATTATTTCTTCCAATTGAGCTTCTGCATCCTCGTATCTTCTGAGTTACAAGTTGGAATAGACGATTCTATTGAATGATGGACAAGATGTACCTCCTTGAAACATCAACCCATTCCTTATCTTTTAAGTTGTTGGTTTCTAAGAAATTCTTAAATCTTCCAAAAAATTGAAGGGCCACTCGATATTTACCATGTTGCATTTGTTCAAGGCCATATCAACCACAAATATAATTAAATTTGTACTTGTATTATTCTGTTGCCAATACTGTTGAATACATCTCATCCGATTATGATTGTGTGGGCTCGATGGTTTAATTGAAATAAAATCTGGGAGTGGATTTTTGCATAGTGATCACAGCATTCCTCACAATTTTAAAAAGCATTGAGCAATAATAATAATATTATATGATAGCAAGTAAATGAATTAGATGATTTTTATAAATAAATCCTGCCAAAAAGTATAAACATAAGTAGAGTGCCTTAGTTTGAGTTTGCTGTTTATTGGATTGATTGGAGATATAATTAAAATAATTTAAAAAAAAAACAATGACTTAGGATGAGTTTTTAAATGAATACATATCAAAGAATCATCGAATTAGCGAGGGATATGCATATGCTATACAAGCAAGCTGGTATTATCGAGTGTGAATACTAGGTACAGATAATTTGAGAGATTCCTATAAAATCCATCTGGTGTGGATGTTACGAGATTTAATAAAATTTAAAATAGTCAAATAGCAGAAGGGACCATCGATATGTCAGTCTCATTAAAATAATATTCTCTACCTCCCTATTAGCAAATAAATTATTCGCATGTTTATGGATTGAAACCTGATGCTAAATTCCAAACTGATTTCTACATAGTTTCAATCGACGTGTGGCACTTCTTTAAACTCTATTATGGTTCAGGTATGTTTACTGATTGAAGTTGTTTTAGATTATGATGTAATTGTTTTTGTTACACAGCAGCATCCTCAAATGAACAACTATTTAATTTGCGATAACTTCGAGGAAGGATTGTGTATTTGCAGAGAAATCATAAACGTTCTCTTTGTAATTGTATTTCCAAGAAACATCTCTGTAATGCAAGCCATCTTAACACCAATAAGTCCTTGGATGGATTTAATCAAATTTCGTGCGTTTCTGTTTGCCATGCACAATTTTGGAATCGATGCCATCAAATTTATTAATGAAGGCTTCATTTATTTTAACAACAAAAAAGTGCCCTTCAAAGGAAATCGAAAACTTTATGACATTGGCATAAACAAGGATATCCAAATTGTTATGGCATGTCAAAACTTGTTAATGTAAGACATAGAGGAGGAGATTGAAACTGACGGAGAAGAGCAAAAATTGGAATAAAGTAATTATTATCTCTATTATTTTGAGATTTACATAACAAACAAGAATTCTTAGAAATATTAGAAAAAACTCTAAATGAACAGTCCGTCATTCAATTGCATATAAAATCAATTGAAGAAATTCAATAATCTATAGATCAAAATGACTTCTTTTAAGTTTGAATTTATTATTATTATTATATAAATATTGATATCTATATTTTGGATTGAAATACTACAACTAAAAGTAAATATCGAATATAATCCAAATTATCATATTACAATGATTAATACAATATATGGTAAGATAATCAATTAGTTTCTCAAAAAATAAACATGGAAATAAAAGAATTATTGACAAGATGGCTAATTCGATAATTCAAATATTCCAAAACTATCTTAGAACTCAACTACCATAGACATACTTTCCAGTTCTTAGCAAAAAAATGGTTTTCTCGAGAAAAAATTTTCCTTTAAGCAGATGTGTATCAAATTAGCGTCAGTTGCATATGAATTACTTATAATTTAAATGATTTATATAAAATCCATTAAATAATAGAATAAAAGATAATCAATATACGAGTTCCTATATAGGGTCTATTAAATGACCTATTTCAAAGGTAGTTTAATTTAATGTCTTGATCCTTTAAATACTTATAAAATCAATATTCTAACTATATATTCTCAGAAGTCGAGTCTTAATAAAATTAATGCAAATAGTTATGCATTATCAAATAATTATGGATATATTTTATATATTTCAAATATAAATATAAATATAAACATAAACATAATTTTTAATGATTTTATATGCAAAATATTGATATCTTAAATCTTATAATAATTTCTAGGTATAGTCATTTTCTTGTGTTTTTGATTTTTAATAATGTTTATTTAAATAAAAAAAATACCTTCCAAGGGATTCGAACCCTTGATATGCGGCTTAAAAGGCCGACGCTTTAACCAACTTAGCTAGGAAGGCAACTTGATGAATAAAGGGGCGAATTTGTAAACTTTTAAAATATGATATGAAATTATTATTTTGTTTAATTTTTAAATAATTTTATCATTTAATAGGCTTATTGATTTCAAAAATTTTAATGTTTAATTCATTTGATATCTGTCTTGCAATATTGTATAGAAAATGAATATGGATGAAAATGCTTGATAAAGCAATGAATTAAATTAATAATCCTTCATTTAGTATTGGCTGTCCTAATAGTTATCCTGAAATTGTATTTATTAAGAGAAGAATAAAGAAATAAATAGAATTCAAATATGCTGGCAATGGCGTATTACAAACATGATTCAAAGCTACAATACCTACTGATTTTGACATAGTAAAACCAATTGTGTACATATAAGCTCTAACATGCTGTTCAATAGCATTAGTTTTTGAGAAATATATATTATAGAGTATGACAGCATTGCAAAACAGGAAGTATCGAAGTTATTTAAATAAAGATGATGCTGTGGTGAATTTGCGTATTTTGAATATTCTAAAATGATAATATGAGAAGCTGTTACACTGAAGGCATAGTGATTAAGACAGATGAAGCAAAAGCAACTAGAACAAAGTGGTTGACTTATAGCTCATAAAGAGTGGGTAATTTAGTCAGCCACCAATCACATCCTATTAATTTATGGATAATCACATATTACCGAAATAAGCAGTGATTGCAAAGAAAATGGCTACACTAATGGTGCCTTCTGCTGCAGCATTAATGATTGGCAGATTCATTTCATGTGTATAATATTCTTCATGAGCAATTAAATAAAATGGTATGGATGGGATGATATAAAGAACAACTGAAAAAATATTATTTCCAACTTACATGGCGGTGGTTAGATTTGTACCTAAATAGTGATTTACTTGTTACCTTATAATAAAATAATCATAGAATCAAAATTATGGTCTAAGATCATCCCTAGTGGTGAAGAATTTCCTGATAAAATTTATATTCAATCATACTTGTTCTTCTAGCTTACTTTCCATCTAAATTATCAAAATTCTGGGATACTGATTATTATTACCATATAAAGCATATGGAGAGTGGCTGTAAACCACAACAACCAATTTGGGATGAATCCATTAAATGTGTCACCCATAACAAAATAGAAAACAATGTGTGGAATTATCACGCATATCAATCCCAGTAATGTGAGCACATTAGGCCTAAATGTATGGTTTGCTTAAAATAGTACGCAACATTCAAAGGAACGAATTTTAAACAATATTCAGCAATCGGTGAAAGTATGTAATTATAAAGCAATGATAGATCTGATCCTTTATAACGATAAGTATGAAGGTATTTTAAATGATCAGAAGAGATGAAGTCATAATTTAGGTATTTCATTAATATTTTTTATTTTTTTAACTGTTCCTTAAAAGTATAATTCTAATTCTTAAAGAATATTCTTAAATCAAAAGATTTATTTTTCAAAGAAATCTCAGAGATACATTGGGCAAAACTAACAAAAAGCGAGAGAATTAGAAAATATACTATAATAAAGAATCTGAAAGTGTAATCAATCGATTAATCTAACCATTATTTTATATAAATTTCAGTAAAACAATAGGTCCTGATTCCTATAGCCTTGTGACTTCAACTTCAAAATTCTATATAATCAACTCCTATAATTTGTTTGTGTCCCTATACAATAATTCAGTTTGGCTGGTATTCTCTATCTATAAATTAAAAATGTCTATAATCTCTGCATAGTCCACTTTTATTAAGTCTCAAAAATATCAATTACTTTAAATTTTATGCAATGATTCATGAATCTCCAATTATTATAAAAATGAATGCTAAAACTTGCACAAGGGAAACTACGAAATAATTTTTACCATTGTTTAATGATATAGATTTATTCCATTTAGTAGGCATGTTTTTGGACATTCTTTAATTACATTATACATACTAACAAATTATTAACAATAAAATTAGCTCATTCAATTAATAATTTCAGGATATAATGAATTCATGGAATTTAATTAGAAATACAATTGGACTATTTGGTTCTGCTGTCCATGAAGGATAAACAATAATTGGAACTGAATTAGCACCTAGAGTACTTCGAAAAGGGGGATTGATATCGGCTCTCTATAATTTAGGATGAGAAATATGTAAGGGAAAGGTTTTAGGACGAATAATGTTAAGAGTAAGTTGTTTAAGAACAGCCAGCAATTTGGGAATATTAATGGAGAAATACGCAAGAGAGTATATGAAATAGCCTCTAAACAAAGATTCATGCTAAATATAGGAGGAGACCATAGTGTGGCTTGTGGATCTCTACATGGGTTGCTTGAACATTACAGTTATGAATTAAGGGTCATTTTGGTGGATGCTCATGCAAATTGCAATTATGAACTTGATTTAAATAGGAATTCTCATGGGATGCCTTTAGGACATCTTTATGGAGCTATCACTGAGCAAATTAAAGGATTTGAATGGTTGAAACAACGATTGGATACTAAGAATATCATATATGTTGGAATTTGAGATATTGATTATATGGAGATAGAATTCATCAAAGATCAGAAGATTGTACATTATGGAATGGATGAGATAATTGAGTTGGATATAGGGCAATTAATGACACTGATTCTAAAATAATTTGAAGGAAAACCTATTCATTTGAGTTTTATGTCGATTCAATTGATCCAGAGTTTGCTCATGGGACTGGAACCTTGGTAGACAGAGGGATCAAATCAAGGGAAGTTCATAAAATTTGCTGAGTCTCGATATTTGATAGACATGGATTTAGTAGAAATCAATCCTTAATTAGAAAAGACTCCAGAACTAAGAGAGGAATTTTTGGGGATTTTTAATAAGTATGACGTATTGCTCTTATTAAGATTGGCAGGATTCAAGGTACTTAGAGAGTTGCCTTGGGTATAGAATTGATAGCTTCAGCATTAGGCAGAACTTTGGTGTTATGAAATATTATTATGTGTATTTAATTTTATATCAAAACCATCCTTGAAATATAATAAATCTTAGACTTTTATAAAAGAAAATTTTGATGAATTTCAAATGAGAAATGAAATCGATTATTAATATAATTTCAAGATGCTACAAAAAGAACAACAAGACAAATTTAAAGAATTCCTTGAGAAAAGAAATAAGGGAAAACTCTACTCCAAATATAAAAAGATAGAAACTGAAGCAAAGATATGTGATCTAGTATTTGATGACCAAAATTTAATTGCAGCACATGATGTAGACATTGCAATTTATCATATTGATTAAAAAAATCAACTTTAGTCAGAATTAATTGAAAATCTACATTCCTATTTGATATACTCTATATGTTTCAGCAAATCAAGCAATATGTTTTTTACAGCAGGATATGAAAAGGAGATAAAATTATGGTAAAAATATGATAATCAATGGAAATGTGTATAAATACTAAATGGTCATAAAGACTCTGTTATAGTTTTGCTGTTGAACAAAGATGAAAATTAGTTGTTCTCTAGAAGTAGAGATAAAACGATTAAAATATGGCAGAAACAAGATGAGATCTGGAGTTGTATTTAAACAATACATGCCCCTTCTGGAATTATCGATTCTTTATGCGTAAGTCCATAAGGAAACGCACTATCTTTTGGATGTAAAAATAATTTATTTATTTGGTACAACACAAATTTCAATAAGTGGAGAAAGTATTAAGCAATAATATCTGCTCATACCTAATTAATAGAATCTGTTTGTTTTATGTCGGATGATGCATAAATTGCTTCAGGGGCAAATGATATAAAATTATGGAAGAAATGTGCAGTAAATCAATAGTATAGATTGACTCAAATAATTTCCACTTTGGGTAATGTCTCAATAATGGAGTATAACAACTTTAACTCACTCTTGATAGCCGTAACCAATAAAAAGTTTGTTTAAATCTGGAAGGCAGAGGATGATTCCATCTTTTCGCCTTAATAAACAATTCAAGTTGAGAAATCGGATATTTTTTATGAGGAAACTCAATTTTATGAGGTTGTTACTATGTCTCAAAATGGATAATTCTTAGCATTAAAAGATAATTACAACGACTATGTTGATATTTGGAAATTGAATTGATATAAATTAAATATTATATTAGATGGTTGTTTAATATTTATATAGTTAATTAATAATAATAGTGTTAATAATTATACTGATGGTTTCTGATAAGAGAACACATCTCTTTCCTTCGACTCTTGTTTTCATTGGTTGATCCTGACTCAAAATGAGTAAATCATTCGAATTTTGGATAAGATTTCTTGGACTTTCAAAAAATACAATGTTTCAAACAAATATTCTTAGTCAACCAATCATAATACAGAATTAATATTTTAATAAACTTAAAACCCCCTCGATATAAATTCAAAAATTAAATTAAACAATCAAATAAAATGGCTAGAACTAAGTAAACTGCAAGAAAGAGCACTGCTGGTAATAAAAAACCAACTAAACATTTGGCTACCAAGGCTGCAAGAAAGACTGCACCAGCTGTTGGAGCAACTGGAGGTTTGAAGAAGCCCCACAAATTCAGACCAGGAACTGTCGCCCTCAGAGAAATCAGAAAATACTAAAAGTCAACTGAATTGTTGATCAGAAAGCTCCCATTCTAAAGATTGGTCAGAGAAATCGCACATGAATTCTAAAAGGAACTCAGATTCTAAAGCTCAGCTGTCTTGGCACTTTAAGAAGCTGCTGAAGCTTACCTCGTTGGATTATTTGAAGACACCAACTTGTGTGCTATTCATGCAAGAAGAGTCACAATTATGTCAAGAGACATCTAATTGGCCAGAAGAATCAGAGGAGAAAGATTCTGATCAATTAATATTATATTCAATTAAATGTGTTTCATCTCTTAAAAGCAACATATTCTCTTTATTTTTTTTAGAAATCTAGAAATTTAGAAATTTTTTATTATAATTCTGAATTGGGATTTTAATATATGATTGAGTATATTTTAAAATGAGTTTGATTAGGATTTTTGGAATTATTTTAATTTATTTCCTAAATCTATCAGGATGCCATTTGCGCATTAAATTTTACAATATAAACTATAATTTTAATACTTTATGAAAAAACTTGATTAAATTATTAAAGGCTTAAACAAAACTGAAGGAAGGGATAGAGTTTGTAAAACACTTTAATATGGGGCGAGGTTTTTATCTTGGTACTTCGAAAAATATAGCGAGCTCGATAAAGCAACATAATTTAATAATTTATTTAGTATGAATGAATATCAAATAATAAGTGGCGATTAGAGAAGCTAGAAAAATATTTAGATTAGCTAAAACTTTAAATGAAATTTAATTTATCATAGAAATGATCAAAGAAAATTCAGAAAATCTAAATCAGATAACAAGAATATTAAAAATATTTGCGAGAATCTGGTATTCACTATTTTGGTATCATATCTCAATCTACTAGGCTTTTCGATAATCTAAGCATCCTGGCAAAAATTTAGATAATTAATTCTAACCAAAAGGTCTTAAATAAAATTGCAATGACTTTTTGGACCATTGGAATACTTACAAATCTCTTTGAAATATTGAGAGATTTAATTGGAAATTTTTCATCATTGAAGAAATATTCGAAATCTGCTGAATACAAGGAAATACATAGGAGAATCAATACGAATTGCTTGAATCTTATAAAAAATTTCTGTGATTTAATTCCAGCAGGGACAGGCAGTGAGTTTTTCTAAAAGATTTTTGCCTCTCATCCAAATCATGGAGTTGTTGGATTTGCAGGATTTTTAGCAGGTGCGATATCAACATATCAAACCTTTTGAAATAAAGTTAATTAATTATTTTATATTAATGAATAATTATCCTTAAAGTGGAAATTTTTAGGTTTTTCCTATTCCAGAGAACATTAAAATCTTACAAAATTTTAAGAGATGGAGGAGAACTGGCGAAAATCTGAATGGAGCTATAATGATTGGCTTACTGGAGCATTTTCAAATCAATAGTCAATCTGAAAAAATATAACAAATGATAAATAATATGCAAAGCGCCTCAGATGAACAGATCATAAAAATGAGAAATATATTAAACAACTCATTGCAATATTCGAAAGGACAATAACAATAAGATTATTTAATAGATTAACTAAAATAATAGGACCCTTTTAATATTTTCCCAAGTAAATTCATTTTGGAATACCTTAAAAGAGTAAAAGGACATGTTTCTGATGAAGCAGTCATACCAGTTTTAAAAACTCATTTTTAGGTTAACATACTAGTCATCAACGACGATTATGAAAAAAAGGCTTATACAATATTAGATCCAAAGGACAGGGATCAAATAATTTTATGCAATTTTGATAGATATTATTATGTGATACAAAAAGAGCCTGGTCCTTAGTTATATAAGTGCCAATTCTGTTAAAAGCAAATCTCTGAGGACTATCATAAAATGAAATGCAATCAAATTATTTGCTATTAATGCTTAAAGAAATTTTTTGAAAAAGGTAATAGCATTGTGCAATGTAAGGAGAAAAACTGCACTTAATCAATAACATTAAAGGAATTTCAAAATATCTAGAATAAACAGAAAGAAATGGAGAAATCCTAAATAAATTAATCAAACATATAAAAAACTGAAGAAAGTTAGTAATATTACAAAACATATTGTAATAAATGCAAAAATAGAATGAGTCAGGAGAGCTTGCTTTTACCTTTGGGTTGCTCTCATAGCTTTTGCAAAAGTTGTCTGTAACAATGCTTCAGTTTGCTTCCAAGCGGAATCGTTACATGTATCTAAACAAGCTGCAAAGGAAAATTCATTCAAAAAGATTTGGATTCTTTTATCAAAGGTTAGAGTTTTAAACCAATAGAACCACCACCAACATAAATAAATAAAAATTAAACCTAAAACATGAGTTAATATATAACTCCATTAGGTAATTAAGAACCGGTTTATTAATGCGAGGGCTGCTTTAAGGATTATTAGTAATCATCTATTTATACATCTGAATGCTTACACAAGTTTTGTAAAATATGTTGTGATAAGGAGATTTCCAAAAACATCAGTTGCTTTTAATGTTACAAAGTAAATTGTGGGTATAAGTTAAAGATTGAAGATATTTAAAAATACTTTTATAAAAAAATTAAAGGCAAGACTTTTGGTGAATGCGCTAATTGTAAATAGGAATGCAAGATTTTTGAGTCCTTTCAAAATAGCTGTTATCATTTAATTTGTTATAGTTGTGTCAAATAGATTTACACAGAGGGCCTTAATCCACAATGTAGGTAATGCAAAGCTTCGATCATTTCAAATGATTTAGACGATTACTATCTACCACAAGCTTCATAAGAAATTCAATAATTCGAGACTATTGAAACCAATATCAAACCAGCTTCTTGTACATTTTGCAATTCTCCTTTTACGGATTACAATTTATAACAAGACATACCTTGTTCACTTCATACTCTAGGATCTTGTTGTGTGATATTTCCATCAAACTGTCCATAGTGTCAAATTGGTTCTTTGATTATTGAGAAATGTAATTTGCATATTAATTTTTTAGAAAAACTAAAATTTTATTTATTGCAAAATACTATGGATAGATTTTATTTTGCCTCTGAGAGCTCGATTAAATGAAGAATTCTTTGTTATTATCATCATTTATTTTTATTAATTTATATCATTAAAAATAGTCAGCAATGAAATTTATTGATGTTCTAGCCTACATTAGAATTGGGTATTAGATAAATAAACCCAATTTGAGAATTTAAGATTGGAGATCCAAATTGTAATTTAGATAGAAATACATTTATTATATTAATTAATAAATTTCATAATATAACTAACAATATTTTTTACATAAATACAATCTTTCATTGTCTATTATTTCACATTTTTTTATTTCAAAGCCTAATAGTTAAAGTCAGGAATTGATTTAATTCACTGCCATATATGTTGTAAGCATATTAGAAAACATATAAATGATTTTAAATGATAAAATATTAAAGAATTTATATTTTGTAAAAATGCACAAAATAAAAGAGAACCAATTGATTTGATGCAAAAATAAATTATCTACACTTAATAATTATTATTATCAAAAAATAAAAAGGGATTGGAAAGAGTCGAACTTTCTTATTCTTTATGAGGACTAATGAATGCCACCTTGGCACAATCCCTTTGTTCTGATTTAAATTCTCTTTCAAGTGTTTAAATACATTTTTGTAAACAATTCTCTCTCATTATCCACTCCAACAAAAGTAAACGCCGATAATTATGCGTGCCTTTGTATTACTAAAACTTTATTTACTATTTTATTCACTAAATGTTGTTTGATGCATTTAAAGTATCCATCATACAATTATTTATTGATCATGTTATAAATTGATAATCTGTATATTATATTGATTTTAAGCTATCAACCTAAAGTATTTGTGTTGTTGAGAGTTTTTTCAGTTGATGAGGACGAGAAAACTGTTGACACAAGTTGTAATAAAAAAAATTGGAAATAATTTATTTTTCTGGTTTCTTCTGATCAGGGAAAATTTATTAATAAATATCAAATGATTGGCCTAAAAGGAGAAAATCAAGGCTGAATCTGGTAATTATGGAAGGAAAGAATGATGACATTGCATTGTTTATGGTTCTATAATTTTTTAGAGTAGTCAGATAAATTCGATAATGTTTATATCTTAAGAATTGAAGGGTTATAACTTATAGTATACTATCATGGTATAGACTAATAGGATTATTACAAGAGTTATTAAAAGAAGGTGGGAGCATGATTTATAAAAATATGTTTTGTTTTGAGTTAAAAAATCAATTTTATTGCTTGAATACTCGAATATCTTAAATATCTAATTAAGATATAAAGGATTATCGAGGGTAATTAATCATTTGGAGCAAAATAAAAAGGGGTCGGAAAGAGTTGAACTTTCTTTTTTATTCTTTGGACTAATAAATGCCACCGCTGGCACAACCCCTCAATATCCTGTTAAAGAAGTAAGAAATGAGTATATATAGTTTTGTTGTTATGTTGCAAAAGAGAAGCGAAATAGAAGAGCTTATAAGGTAAGGATGAGATGGGGGGGTGACAGAATAAGTATTGGAAGGTGTAATTTATAATAATAATATTGTGATGATAAAAGATGATAATTATGAAAGGGAATTTGAGTTAAAAGAGTTGGAAATTGAGACAAGGAACGCAGTTCAAGTAGATTTATAAGATTTAGCTAGTTTCAAGACCTGCTAAATGGTTGTGTAGCTCATAATCTGACGAAGAGAAAAGAGCTTTTTGAGTCATTTGAAGTTGAGGTGGAGGAGAAGGTTCCGGTTTTATAAGACTTGGATTCGGTTCGAGTGATGACGGAGTAGATGCAGACGATGCAAAAGAATCTATAGAGTAAGTACACTTTGATAAAGAGAACGAAATTGCTGTTTGAAAAGAGGGTAAATTAGTTAAGGGAAACTTTGATGAATATTCGAGTGAAGGATTTCGAAGTGAATGATGATTCAGTAATAAAGGAATTGCATTAAGCGAATAAGAGGATGTTGGAGTTTTAGTAATTGTCGGAGAAATTCAGAAAAAACTAACTGAAGCGCTAGGAGATGCAATAGAAGGAGTTGGAGCATGAATAGGAGTAGCTTCGAAAGTAGTAACAACATATCTTGGAATTGAGAATGGAGAATTAGAAGTTACTAGATAAAATATAGTAATTGGATTTAGAGGAATAAGAAAAAAGAAGGAGATTGCATGAATGTTTTTAGACAAGTGAGTACATTGAGTTTTTTACTGAGGTGCAAATGTTATAATAAGACAAGGAGGTTTCGACAAACTCGAATGATCAATCTAGATAATTAGGCAGAGATAAATAATCGACGAGACATGAGATAGTGACGATGATGGATGAATTTTATAATAACTAAAACATCCATCAATTGAGTGAAGAGATAAAGGAGTTTTACAGATCCATGGTTGAGTAATTGAAGGTTCAAACCCAAACATACAATGCTTTGATTGAAGAGAAAGCTCTGAGGAAGTTACAGTTAGAAGAGGTGGTTGAGGAGATTAACAGATTGAAAGAATATAATTGTAATACATCTCAGCAAGATATAAGTGTGATCAATTAGGATGGTTCGATTACTGCAACCAACATGGAAGTGCCCTAAGTGATCCACGATAATAATCAATTAAGTAACTATGTGAAACAAAATCAAATGTGTTTATTAACCATCCATATGAAGGCCATTGATATGATTTCAAGACTTTGTATTGGATTGATCTGGTTGAGTGAGACATCCAAAATGGTGCCAAAATCTCTGGACAATCTATGCTCCAATTATCTGAAGGGACACTCTAAAGCGGAAATTAAATTATTTATACCCAAGAAATACATGGGCAATCCAAAACCTTAGAAATATGGCTCATTTATATCCATTATCAATAGAAACAAGAATGAAATCAGTCCGAAAGGCAGCAGCACTAATATTATGACAACAACCATGAACAATTAAGATAAAACGTTTGAGAATGAATAGTTGATTCAGTGTTTGGCTAGATTTAAGCAATTGAAGAATGGATACGAATAGATCTAGCTTACTTGGATGGCACTGGTTAAGAATGATTTATTAACCTATAAATTTGTTAAGGATTTCAACTTTGACTAGATTGAGATCAATCAGCCTGTTTAAGATATTATACTACAATTGCATATTGTTTATGCTGAATTGATTTCCAAGATCAATTACTTCCAACATTATGAATACTAATTTGCATATTTCAGAGACATCGTGAAGATGGCGAATCAATCCAAATAAAAGATCAAAACCAATATCTTTAATAACAGTCATAAACTATGTGATTCTACCCATTTGAGTAGTAGTTACACTCCGAATAAATACATTGAAACAACTTACAAGGGACAATTGAAAAGATTAACCAATCCTCAATTAGAGGAAGATGAACCTTTATATACCCAAGACAATGTGAAGAAGATCTAAAAAACTAGTGATGAAACCAAATTCCATTAATTTTTTATCTAACAATCCAGCATTATCTAACGTAAATCTCCATTATTGCATGAAAAACTCATATCTTAAACCTTATAAACCATTGATTAGATGCGCAAAAAGGAATTAGATGACAATTACCAAACCTCAGATTAAGCTGCTTCAGACAACGATTATCTCAATTAAGAACGTAGAAATCTTAAAGGCATGCTGAGCAAGAAAATCCAATAATAACAATAATATATATCAAAATCAGAAGAAAAGGATCTCATCTCATCAAGATCAATAATGAAGTAGGTTAGTCTGTTATCCAAAATTTCACATTGTAATTTATTTAAAATATTATAGTATCTAGAGTGAATTCCAATTAGAACTATACCCAAGTCAATAAGTCCATTCAGAGATTGAATTAAACGGTTCAAAAGAAAATGTCTGAATACTTTACTTAAGATTAGAATTACTAGGAGAATAGGATAAGGTATCCACCTATTGAGAAGAAGGTATCATCTCGCTCTCCAGAATAAAAAAAAAAATCAATCATCGACACTTTTCATAAGGATCTTTCTTCAATGATCATGAACTCTACCTCAAATGGTCGATCATTCCTGGCCTGATGAAAAAATAGTTAAATAATATATCTAAATCCAGAATATTAATTTCATATTATAAATCTTTCAAATAATCTATGGATTATAAGTTAATTAATGTAATAAAGCATTTTTTTTATGATTAATTTAAAAGAATTTGATTAACATTATTTGATATTTTGGATAAAATTAATTTAATATTATTATTACTTTCAACTTTCTTCTTGTACAATCTTTATTTATTATTTGTTCTTCTTCTTCTCCAAATTTTCAATAAACTTTGCGATTCTCTATTTTAGTTCAGGTTACTCTATAACCATCTCAATTGTTAACGGAGTTCTATCGAATGGGTCTACCTATTGATTTAATAACTATTTCTTTATTGTTAACCTATCAAGGACTACCTAAAATTGAATTAACTTAACAATTACATTGGAATGTGGCAATTTAACTGGATCAGTCATTAAGGAATAGCAAAGAGGATCTAAAAACTCATCAGGGACATCATCAGGCAATTAATTGATGATCTTTTATTTCTCTTCATATTCTTAGAGCTTAAAAATCAAGTCTCTAAACTATTAAATTCGTTCATATGGTATTATATGGTGTTTGTCTAATAAATTGATGGTCACTTGGAACAATTCAATAGAAAAGCACCTATATTTAAAATAAATTATAACCTGTCATCCTTAACAACTTGCATCAAAAATTTCTCATTTTGACTGAAATTGATATACAATTCTATGACATTTCCCATAATTAATTTTGGATCAAAATTGACGGATTCTAAAGATTGGATTTTATATTGAATAGCCTATTTACCATTCAATTGCTCCAAGGTGTAATTTAGATTGTTAGCTAATTTGTCTCTAATTTCATCAGTCAAAAATGCCTCAGGTTGGACTTCACTGAAAACTTAAATGTTTTTGTAGTATTCCTATAAGAAAATAGTGTAGGTTTTTAATTCTTATTAGATTTTTAAGTATTCTTATTTATTATCCATAAACTCTTGTTAATTTGATTCTAAATTTTTCATTCTCTTCATTCTTGTTAGACACTCATCCAATAAGAAAATCATATCATTTAAATAGTAATTGGCAAAGGCCAAAAACATTTCCTTTTCTTTTTCAACAGTTTAAGTTAACAATGAATTATACCTATCCCTGTGTTTCTCGAGTAGAAATCTAATCAACTTACAAAATTGGTATCTGAAGTTAAACTTCTCATAGAACTAATTACCCTCACCTGTTCTTTCACAATCAATGAATACCTTTAATATTCCACCAATCATGTGTTTTTCAATGATCTCATTGTACCTAAAAATAAAATCATAAGATTGAGGTTGCACTATTCCTCTTCTGTTCATTCTGCCTTGGTCGAAAATATGGAACAGTTCAATGCCTTTTATTCTTAGATGGGGATTGGTCATATTTCTAGTATTCATAGCAAAAATGGCAAATTCACAACATTTCCCTAATTCATTTGAATGCTTAAGGATTTCATCATTATAATTGTACACGACAAAGAATGAGTGAGTATCATAAACAAAACTAGACGGTAATAAACCATAAGGATATTTTGGCTTATCATTTTCATCCACCATGCTCAGTGCCAATTGGCTTGAAAAACTTAGGAATTGCATTGTATTTGTAATAGTCTTGGGATGCAAGATTTAAGCATCAAATGACATTTTTAATTTCAAGATATCTCTAAATTAAGGAGACTCTTGACCATACTATTGGGCAATGTCTCTCAATTTGCTTAAGACTCTATTGTAATAAAATTAATCGATGTTAGTGGCTACAATGTGATTGATTCTTTAACTGAGCAAAAACATTATAGTCATGGGATCCATTCTAGTCTCAAGTTCTTAAAGTTCTTGGAGTGGTGTCAAGTCTGGGGCAAGTAAATCAATATTCTAGTAGAGGGTGGAAAATAGGGGATGCTCCTTTAGAACAATGATCATTTAGGTTTAGATGTTTTTGATTCTCGAATTTATTTTGTCTTGGGTATCAATCCAGGGATTAAACATTTTAAGTAAAACATAATGTAAATTAAACACCATTCCAGGAGAGCTACATTGTTATTGCAATCCCTGATTGAATTACTTCTCTAAGTTGAGATTCAGAGTAATGATAGTTGATATGAAATTGTAAAAATTCATCTTAAGTACATTTGATTTGTGTTTCAATATCCTAGTGAATAGATTGCAAACATCATCATTTAAATTGAATATCCTTGTTCTGTACCTATCTCTCAATATTGTCATTGAACTGTAATCTCCAGTAAACTTATTGACTATCATAGAATCAGTGTAGAAACAACTTCCACTTAGGATTTTCCCAATAATACTGTAATTTTAGAATTGCTTACCAATTTAAATTAACTTGAATTTTCCAAAGGCCCAACTGTTCAATAAAATGACTTCGATGACGTTTGGATATTCTGCTATTATTAATAATAACTTCAAGGTCTTTTATGGCTAATCCAATGAATCCAGAGTCCAATTCGCATTAAGTTCTAGCTCTCTCTTAAACATCAGATCCATAAATTTTTGAACATCATCAGCACTGACTTTTGAATTCAAATACTCTAGTAAATTGCTCACAACCTATTAGCAAAACAATAATTGGTTTGAATTGAATATTCTATCATAAAAATTAGTTGCTCTCAAATTTCTTTTATCATCCATTCTATTTGAATCCTCGTCAAACTTCTCCCATTCCAACCCTTCTGGATAGAGAATGCAAGTTATTAATTGTCCTTACACATAATTGAGAATCTCGAAATACTTGGTTTTCTCAATATTCCCAGCCCAAACTAAATTGACTTGATCTGAATGATCTGAAATTGAAACATCTGTAATATTGGTGAGAACTTCCATTATATACTCAAACTTCTCTTGCTCTTTAAATTAGGCGCATGTCAAAAATGAATAGCATAATTCGTCAATCAAATATTGTACAGTGATGCGTTTATCTTTAGGAATAAAGTCAACCATTCTGTCATTCATAACCTGATTATTTGAGTCAATTTTAAATATTTTCGAAAGCCAGACATGCTCCACTTCTTCAGGAGTTAATTGAATCATTTCATTTTAAGGCTCTTTCACTTGATTTTCGAAATATTATTCAATTTATTCATCCTACACCTATTATTATATTATTTCTTATTTAATGAATTGCTAAGAACTACTTTAATCGTGATTAATTAATTCCTCTTTCTCCTCGATTTCATTCACTTTCTAGTATTGGTGTTGCTATTGTTAAACTTATTATTAAGAGGATGTTTCCTTTTGATTCATCGATTCCTCCTCATTTACATTAGATTGTATATTTTTCTCAGCTTCCTTCTACTTACTAGCCCAATATTTTAACGCTCTCTCTTCTGAGCTAAGTTATGGTTAAGATGGTTGTTCTCGCTACTACTACTATTATTGCTAGGCAGATTAAGATTACCCCATTAATTATTTATAAAAATTATCAAGTTATTACTCTACATATAAATACTATAGGAATTTAGAAATTAAAATTAAATCAGCAGATAACTTAATACTGTAGGCAGATGCACATAAGAATAATAATACTCAAAATAAGATCATTTAAGAAATCTTAAGTGAATAGAACTTTATAATTCTTAAATACTTTAAAATTTGATACACCTTAATTAACCTTTTGAAATTCTTAATTAGTTATATCATTCCATTCTCAGAGAATCTAAAATCCACGTTACCCTCTTATATCTAATTGTTGAATTATCTTAAGAATAATCTAAATTATTATATTTGTTCTGTCATTCTTCTATTATTGTATAGTATTTTGAATGAATAAAAATGAATACGTATTTTTATTGAATTTGTAAAAAAGTCAAATACACTTATTATTCATCATAAAATTAATTAATTATGTTTAATTAATCTTCCTTATACTCAATAAAATATTTTGCTTAAGAAAATAATTTTTATTGTTAAAATTAAACATATATAAACATTTATTATGCAATTTCATTTAAGGCATTCCTCTTTCATAGAGAGCTTTCTAACTCAGTTTGGTCCAGAGAAGTAAAATTAAGTCATTGAATACTTGATCATCATGGGAATTGACTTAGCAAATAAAACTGGAACAAGAAACTCAAAGGAATTATACCAATTATTAAAACAACTTTCAAGTATTAATATTACATTATAAATCACAGAAAACATTCAAGAACAAACTTCAGGTGATATAAAAAACGAAATAAAAACAATTCAAAAATAATTGAGAGACTTGAATGATCTAATCTAAATCTCCCAAAGAGAAAATAGAAATGTTCAGGGAACTCATAAAAAATATAAATAAGTGAATGAAAACAACTCAAATCGATATGAATAATATGAAAATAATCACCTTCATCCACCTGATTACTAAAACACTTATCACACATATAACACTCAGAGATCACAATCTAAATCTCCAGTCCATCATAATGACCGTACTCCCCATAAATTAAAGCATTCGAGATCTCATTCCCAAAGAAACCTAACTCCTAAGATTACTGAATCACCTCCTCCTCCCTAAATTGTTTACATCAACAAAATGCACAACAAATTCGACATCAAACCCTAATTTGACGATCGACAAATGTATTATTTCAATAATTTCCTAGCAAAAAATTGATGTATGGAGATCCCAAAAACTAAGACAGAGGTAGGTACTATGGTAAAAGTCCTTCGCCTCAATAACTAATTTATTCCTCTCAAACTAGTGGAGGTCTATCATATAGGCAGTATCCTGGGCAAGTCATTCATAATTAGGCAGACAAACAGAAATAGAATACTTCACCTAAGAAATTGCCTGCCTATTTACAGAATGTGGAATCTAAAATCAAGCCTTTGGTTGATTAGGATAAGCTCTAATATAAGGAGATTTAAAAAGATAGGGAGAATAATAATAATCATAATAATAAACAAGAAGGTACTGTAAAAAAATTAAATAACAATTCCCTACAACAATAGAATAGTGCTGAAACTGATACATTCTTCGATATCCAACAATATATTTAGGATTAGAAAAAATACTAGTTTTCTCCGGTCTAAGAAATGAATGATGATGGGAGAAACGAAGATGAAGAAGCAAGTGACACTTTCTCTAATTTCAGTCCGCCAAATGAAGAGGTAAAGGAATTCTTTCAACAAGAATATCTTTAATAACGTAGATGATATAAGATTATTGAATTTCTAATTATTTTTATTCATTAATTAGTTGCTCTAGATAATACATCGTAAAATTAATCCTTTGTCACATACCCTTAACTAACAATGATATTTCAAAGTATTCTACCTTGGGTTTTTGCTATTCGCTTCTTGAATCATTAACTTTAATTCATCATCTGACATGGTTTCTCCTAATTCAAGAGCTACTTTTTTTAAGTTTTCAAAAGTAATGAAATTGTCATTGCCCTGAGAAAATAGATGAAAAGCCCTTTCTATTTCTTCTTGAGATTCCTTGGCATTCTAGAGTTTTTTAGTAAACATTAATGCATACCATCTTCTCTGTCATTATCTAAAGAAACTCATTGAAATCAATAGTGTTTTTATTTTCCTTTGAATCATTGTTGTTGTTGAGGTTTTATTTGAGGTTTTAGATTTCTTCCTTGCCTGGTTCGAAGCCTAAAGCACGCAAGGCAACTTTTAATTCTTTCTCATCAATAGTGCCTATAAGGGATAAAATAATTATAACAACCTGATCCATCGACATCGAATAAGTCAAAAGCTTCCTTAATATCCTTCTTTTACTTTTCACTGAGCTCTTAACGGAATGAATGACCTGCCTTTGCTTTCCGTTATCCTTTTTTTGCTTTTCCCTACATTTAATTTATTATTAATATGATGATTATAAGCAATATTGATAAGTTTGACAAAGAAATTTTTTATAACAAAACATATATATGGTTATAATTAATAAATAAATCTTTTAGGAACCCAGAAATTTCCAATTCTTGTTTTTTAACAATATCCTAACAATTAGCAATAATCAATAATTATTATGGCAGAATTACCAAAATCTTATTTAGGAGCACAAGTTATTGAACCTGGAAAACCAATAAAAGTCAATGAAGTCCAGACTCCTGAATTGCACTAGGGCGAAGTATTGATAAAAGTGGAGGCAGCACCAATTGATTAACTTGATCTTGTGAGTGCTGGACCTGTTAATTATATGCATAAACAATATCCTTTTGTGCTTGGAGCAGAAGGTTCAGGTGTAATTGTGGCTAAACAGTATATACTATCATTCATATAAGTGAGTCGGTATAGAATCTAGAGATAGGACAGAAAGTATCATTTCTAACGCTTTCGTAATTCGGAGCATATGGATAATATGCAGTGGCTCACATTTCCTTGGTGTTGCCTCTTCCAGAGAACCTGAGTTTTGAGTAAGGTGCCTCAGCCATTGGAAATCCAGTCACAGTGATGTTGATGTTGGAGGAAGCAAAAGAATTGAAAGCCAAGGCTGTCATTAACACTGCTGCAGCCTCATCCTTAGGTAGATAGTTGCTTAGATACTTTTAAAATAATGGAATTGAAGTAATAAATATCATCAGAAGAAAAGAATAAGAAAATACCTTAAAATAAGATGGAGCCAAATATATTCTCAATTCATCAGATCCAAACTTTTTCAAAGATTTGGAATAATTGATAGCTTAGTTGAAGTATTCAATAGGATATATTAATTTAGTGTATCTCTCTTTTTTGATGCAATCGGAGGAGAAATCACAGGCTAAATCTTTAAATTACTTCCAAGTGGGTCAGTGACATTAATTTATGGAATGCTGTCAGGCAGTAATTTCGAAATAGATGCAAAAGAAGTCCTTCTAAGAGGGAAGACCATCAAAAACTTTAGTTTATTAACAACTAAACATGCTTTCAATCCTATTTCAAATAAAGAAGCATTAGAAAAACTCTATGAACTATTACAAACTCAACTACAGACTCATTACCATAAATAATATACCTTAGATCAAATCAATGAAGCATTAGAAGATTAAAGGCAAAATGGATCAATAGGCAAAGTCTTAATACGTCCAAATAAATGAATATGATTCTGAATAATAGAATTGCATATCCTAAATTATTTATTCGATTAAAATAATTAGGCCTAATCTAGTTAGGATCTACTTTACCTAAGTTTTCATATTAATTACTAAAATTATAATTTATTTCTTAAAATGAGGATACTGCATTTTAATACAGACATTAATAATCACTTTTTAATGTCATGTATGTTCTTACATACTTACCAATCAAATACTTATTAAATAATAGAATTATAAGAATAATATAAGAAAATCACAATTCACTAAGTTGTAATATTTTTCTAGGTCTGACTTTTGGAACAGGTCTATCTATTACCTAAACTATTTGCTCTTCCTTAGGATCCTTAGTCTCTTAAACACCTAATATTTTTCTTTCGAGAGCTCTTAGAAATATTTAGCTTAATTTTCCTGGAACCTATCTTGCTTTTAAACATTATTCAATTTTAGACACATTTGTTTAAGACACTGTGTCGAAATTACTTGAAAACGATATTGATTCAGATTCTAATTTATTTTACGTCAGAATTTAATCGATAAGTTCATTTTCAATTGATTTAGATGGAACAGCTGGTTATTGAATAACAACTTATGATATTGGTGTATTATTATTCTCATTTATATTTTCTCGCTTAATCTCAACAACTTGCTATTCTTTTTCCTTCTAATTCTCCTCTTACTCAGGGATGGCACAATTCTTTTCTTCACTTTTCTCTAATTCTATCACTTGTTAGTCATTAGTTGGCACATTTTCTTCTTAATTTACAACTTGAAATATAGGATTTTTATTCGAATTATCTATTTATTCTTCCCTATTGTCCTTGCCCTTATTTTCCAAGCAATCATCGACATTTTCTACTATTTCCTCTTCATAAATATGACTTATTCTTTTTTTAACTTCTTATATGCTTTTTCTATAAGAAACCCCATTTACTAATCCTAGAGATGATTATTCATGCCTTCTTTAGCTACAACAATCTTATCCCATTTTCTAATATTTTAATTAAATTTATTAACATTACAAGATTTACCAATTGCCATAATAATATTGAGAACGCGAAAGAAATGGAACCTTAGGATTGTTAAGTAACTCTATTCTGATATAAATGGCTAGTTACTTAATGAATAAAAATAATAACAATTAGATTCTAATCAACATGATACAAATATCGGGTATAATTAAAATTCTAATGAATATTAGTTGGAATTAATATAAATGTTAGGTTTCCTATAAGTAAATCAAAAATTTATGAATTCACGTTATATTGAATACTGAACATTTTAATTCCTGATTATTTGATTGATTAATTATGACTGAGTTAATTAGAATAAGTATTCAAAATCTAATAATACATATTATTAATCCTTTAATTAAGATTCTTGAATTAAAAAATGAAGTATTAACATATTTCATTGCACATAATTTATTATAAATCTTACATTTTAAAAATGATGTCATCACATAACCAAGAATAATTGGTCCGATCTAGAGTTTAAATCCTAATGGTTAACTTAAACATCGCCTTAGGGTCATTAAATATTGGGTATGTTGTTACATACTTGACATTGTCCATTGATACGCTATTCGCAGTACTGTAAAAGCCTATTCTTTGAATTTAGAGACATTAATGAGGAGGAAAAAACAGAAAAACTTAGTCTGCTTGCTGGGATACTTCCATTAGGTAACGTAGTTGGAGTGTTTGTTGGCTATTTACTTAAATAAAAGTTTACAAACAAACAATGTCTCCATATAGCCGATCTAATAGGAATAACTAGTTTATTAGCGGTTATCTCAAACTACTATCTTATTGTTGTCATAAGATTTATTCTCGGAGTCTCGAATGGAATATCAAGCTATTTGATGCCAGTTTACATAAAGTCTATCTGTCCATAATAATATTTTGGTTAGTTTAGTATGTTTATTGGATATGGAATAAATACAGGATATGCCATAGGTTAATTAATGGGGATTGGTTATATAGAGTATTTAAATAAAATATACTGTTTTAGATACTCAGGACCATCTTCGAATTGGTGGAGAGTAGTTTTTTTGTTCCCGACGGTTATATGCGTCATTCGTTCTTGCATAATGCACTTTCTTTACAATTATGACAGTCCTGAATAATTGATAAAGAGGGGAAACTTAGAACAAGCAAAATATGTAATTTAGCATTAATATTTAAGGTGATTTGTTAGATCTATAAAGATTAATATGTAGATGAATAATTTGAAAGGTACAAAATATTGGCTGCTTAATTATAATTATAAAATAATTAATCATTTTATCACATTTTTGAAAGAAAGAAACTAATTACTTTATAGACTGGGATTATATCGGTATTTCGTAACTTAATAATTAGATGTTAGTTTAAATATGGTGTGGAGTTTTTGCAGTCTTCTATTACAGTGCTTAAATCTTTTCGGATATGACAAATGATGATGTAGTTTAGAAAACCATATATACTTGTTGTTTAGGATTATCAGGATTTGTGTCTCAGTTTTTTACAATATGTATGGTCAATAAATTGGGGAACAAATATATCTTAAGTATTAAATTCTACTATTCAAAAGTGATTGGATCTTTTGTAATTGGGTCACTCAATTTAGCTGTTTCCATCCTATCAAAACACGCTTCAGAAGGAAATGACGTTACTATTTTTGTTCTCTTATTACTCTTAATAATGACCTTTGGTTCGACGCTAGGTCCTGCAGCTTGGGTATTGATATTTAATTTACATATCATTAGAGCATTGTACCACAACTAAATGACTGTGAAGGAACCTTTCTTGCCACAGAACTCCGATGGGCATTCTAAGCTATTGTTGTATTTTGCTATCCTTTTATGGAAAAGAATCTTAATATATTTGGATCCTTCTTATTGTTTGCTATTATTGACTACATGTATTTCATCTATTGTCATTTCTTCTTAATAGATGGCAGAGGGAAAACCAACAATGAACTAATAGCAGCCTATCATAAAAAATTTTCCTATCCAGTTGTTCCAATAACAAATGAATAATCAGAAAATCTACAATCAGATTTACAGTCAAGACAAAATTTACAATAACCTAACTAATAATAAGGTAACTTTACTAATCAAAGAGAACTATGATTAACTAATATAATATAATTCTATTGAATAATTTGCATTTTATTGGTGCAGAATAATAATATATCCTAATTGAATATTTAAAGGGTCTAGTTTCTTTAATTTAATATAGTATTAATCACCTACACTCTAAATCATTCCACATCTACTATTTTTTATTATTGATTATTCTCATAAAATAGAATAAATATTTATTTGAACACTTAGATTATGAAATCTTTATCACATTTCAATATTTTTTATTCTATGCCATAATTCTTTAATAAATTACTAATTTCTAATTAAATATAACATAATTAATACAATTATGCGTTAATTTTATAGATATAATTGTCTGATAGGTTGTTTAAATAAAAAAAGTCTTCCCATAAATTTGTATTTTATCATTCTTTTCAGATGACTAATCAAATATAATTATTAATACGATATAATTAAATATTCTATGATTGGTGTTTTAGATATCGGAAGGATTTAAGAGTAAAGAGATAAATAGAAAATTCCTCCCAAAATAAAAGAAAAAACCCATGTCTCAACTGAAAGATTACGGAAACTTGATGTCAAGGATATACCTCTATGTGCAATTTGTTGTTTATACATGACGGAGAATTTGGCTGCTTTAGTTCCTTGTGGGCATACTTTTCATCAAAAATGTTTAAAACAGTATTCAAAACTAGAATGTCCCATATGTAGAAAATAGAATTAATAATCAATCCTTCTACATTTTTCAATAGAATTAAATAAAAGTCAAAGCCAAGAAATGAAATAGAATAAATAAATTTAAAATAAAGCACCTAATTAATATAATAAATAAAATTAGGAGATCAATAAGCTTAAAGATTTAATTAATAAAGGAAAACAATCGATTGATCTTTGTATTTCTTAAAGCGCAATTTCCTAACAAAATGATACAATTTAAAATTAAAGACTTAAATCTTGTGAGCTTCAACTCAAAGAAATCAGCAAAACTCTAATGGACATTAGAAACTTAATGGATAACGGTGAGAATTCAGAGAGATAAATAAAAAAAGAATAAACTCTGCCCTAATTGGTATAGAAATTCAACAAAACTGAACAATCAGGATTTCACCCTAATAATAATGATCGTTATGCTAAATTTGACCCCTTCACTAAAATGCTTAATATAGGCTAACCATCAAGGAGCAATTAATTTGAAAATCCTCCGAGAAATAATAACTATGTTAAAAAGTGAACAATATTAATACAAATGATATAAATCAATAAAACAATATTATTATCATAATTATATTCTAAATGGAACCACATAAATAATATTGTAAAATCTCAAAGTAGGATAGAAGGTAAATTATACATGAGGTTCTTGTAAATAAGAAATTAATACTGGAAGTAATTCGTTAGAGTCATCATAGGTTGCAAGAGAATTCAAAGTTTTGCCTTCAACTTGCAAATCCATAATAAATACATACATTAAAGAGGGGAGGATTGGCAAAAAAGAGAGAAGAATAAGAAAACTGAAAAAAGTAACTGCTATTTACACCATTACATTAAACCCATTAAATCCACTTTCCTCAACCATCACTACTGAATGCGAAATTGCTGAAGTAGAGTAACCGTCTCTCCAAAGCAATTTCTAATAATAAGAGCTTCCTTAGAAAAAACCATTTGATTTTCTGAGTTTATGGACTGAAAACTACGTTCAAGATTACAAAAAGTACAAGCTTGGTGCAAAATATCATTGAAACTTTATTGTAATAATATAACACATATAGTAAATTCTAAAAAGTTCTCAATATTTTTATTTTTGAAGCAAGTTCATTTTTCTATCAAATTCCTCTTTCAACTAGTTCTTCCTCTTGTCGACCATTACTCTTATTTCCCTTTCCTATTGCTACAACAACTGCTTCTCCCTTCTAAAATAATAAAATTAAATGATTCTTACATCATTTAATCTAACTTATTCATTTTATATTCAGTCATAGATTTTTTCATATTCAAATTCTATTCAAACCTTGCCTTTGCATAATCTGCATTTGATAATCCATTTTCTAAGGATGCTTTTTGAGAAAATAATTTGTTGTTTAATTTCCTCTCATTTTCTATTTAAATTTGCTATGACAATGAATCCTTTTAATTCAATTTATTCATAGTTTTATATATTCTTTCATTTAAAATATCTTAGGCCTTTTTATAATTTGAATCATTCAATTCTTATTTGATTTAAAAACTCATTGATTTTTCAAGTTATTTTATATTCTTTTCACTTTGCAATTATGATAAGTATTGGTCCTTACGTGTTTATTAATAGTTAAAATAATTTATCTTATCTTAGTGAATTTAATTTGCCTTTGTAATTGCCTAATCAACTGAGTCTCTTAGATGAAGACTTCTTAAAGTAGCTTACTCTTCCCTTTTTATTTTGGCTTCTTGTAAAATCTATTGATGCTTTTACTCTTAATTAAACAATCTCTATTCAAGACTCTGAAAATTAATTTCTTAATTACTTTGTTCTTCATCGTTAGAGATTCATCATATTTTTCCCTGATTGTTGACAATTCTAGTTACTTTAATCGAGCTTAAAATTCACGTGCCTATTTCATTTCTGACCTTTAACCAAGTATGATTGATTCTTTCTGTTTCATTCTAAATTCTTTCTCTTTGTTTTTTTCAGTTACATCATTTTGTAGCTCCAGATATTTTATAAATTATGATAGTTCTTTGTCCTACTTGATTAATTGTCTTGAGTAATTTTATTCCTCTATTTTTAACATTCAATATATATATTAATAATAATAAATCATATTGTATTAAATAATTCTTTTAATCTGCCGTCTTTGTGCATTTTCATTATGTTTTCGGTTCCACCAAGTAACTCTTATTTAACATACTAATTAATTATATTACTACAGCAATACCAATTATGGGAATGTTGACCAATTTGAATATATCTTGATTTCTTATCTCATCAAATCGTCAGGAAGGACATCAACAGAATGATAATTTTAGACTTAGTAAAATTCAAGAATCTAAACAGCATAATACGAAAATCCACACCTTGGTTGGGCTGGAGTTCCCTTCATGAATAACACAACTTAGTTTGATTTTATGATCTACAAAATACTTCAATCAATTTACATTATCTATTTCCTTATGTTTCTATTAGATCTATTCTTGCATGCTTTATGGCTAAGCCTTTTGTTATGGCTAAACGTCTTGATCAGAATGATCGTGATTGTGATTGTGATCGTGATTATTGTTAAGCTAAGAGGGTGAAGCCATTATTTTTTACTAAAGAATTAAAGTATTCTTAATATCTGCTTTGAAATTCTTTAAATGATTCTTAAATTTAAATACAAAAAAGTATCTTACTTTGATTTAGATAAACTATTCCTAGAAATTTCATAATTATTAACCTATTAAATTCTTTCCCTAGTAATATTCTTAATATTTACAGTATTTAGATGATATTTAATTCAATTTCTATCAGGATCTTACAAATATAAACAGGATTATTCTAAAAATCTTACAATGTCACTATTTTAATGCTTTAAGTGCTTTAGTTTGTGTAATTATTTTTGAAATATAGAAATGGTATGTTTAAGTTGGAATCAAATATATAACTATATGAGATGAAGAATAAAGATTAAATTTAGTTTATAAAATATATTTATTAAGCTGTTGTCATTCAAACTAATTATTTATACTGTTCGATTCTAGATTTCTATAATGATATTTGAATGTATACCAGATATTGTATTGAAAGATCTTGCTACTTAAATAGGCTTTCTCCTTAGGATATTGCTTTTTGTTTCTATTTTTTTTCTTCAATTAATTAATTCATAACAGTTTAAATTTCTACTCTTAATATAAGCATATATTAATTTACTCTAGATTCTTTTATTCCTTAATGTTTTAAGCATCAGCATCATCCACCAAGGAGTCAACTAGATTATTAATATTCTGCATCTTAGGACAAGGAACAGAACATGATCGAATATGAAAAAATTTATGAGTAGTTTTGGTTTTATGTTTCTCTTTAATCATTTCAGCAGCAGTAATACATTATTGAATAAGTTAATAAGTGGGATTATTACAAATGTGCAGAGATTAATGAGTGTTAATAAAACTTTGGGTATGTCTCCCTTACTTTCTGATCAATTTTATAGGAGATGGCTAAATATCCTTAGTAACTATCATATGCTATGATTTGCAAACTGATTTGTACTAGCCATTTAGATTTTTGAGTTATAATTCAGGGTTTACTGAATGTCTCTTTTTAATTTGCATAAGTTAATGTTATATTATTTTCTAATAAATTTATTTTCAAGATCTTTTGCCCCCAATTCCTTCCCAAAATGCCTGCATATTCAGTTTCCATTCTCCACTGATGTCAAATTCCCTCATCAAATAATATTGTTCCTGCAATGTTAAATTGAACCCTAACTCTTACAACCCAGCAGCAAGTTCCTCAAACTCAATCTGGCCTTTCAATTACTTGTCAAGTTTCCTAAGAGAATACGAATCAGAACAAAAGTTACTTCATTAGATCCAACAAGAAGGAGTCAAAATTAGGATAATGGTCTGCAAACAACCTCAACTTTGCAATTATTTGTTTAATATCTGCTTCTTTGAAGACATCAGACTTCTGCTTCATGTAATTTACAGTGAACTCATCAGCTCTCATCAACTAAAACTTGTAAACATTAAATTGCACAATAGCTCCCAATTGGAAATCCTTTAATACTCACAATAAAATAGTACTTTCTCAGTGTAATAATCATTGGTTAATGGATTTTTCTATCTAGATCTTTCTTAGAATTTTCCTCCCTTAAATCATATCACATAATCAAATTACCCAAATTCCACTATTCCTCTCAGAAGTTTGATAAACTTAGACTGTGTCATCTCCACAATAGAAGGATATGATAAATCTTCTGGAATTCTCCTCTCTGATTTCACTAATTAATCTTGATTCAAATCTTAAAATGAATTAATCTTAAGTAAAGTTCTTCCTCACATCCTTCTTTGGAGGCTTGGGTTAGAGGGAATAAACAGAACCCAAGGAATCCTCTTCATATCCATATCCATTATAAGGAGGCACTGGCTGATAAAACTTCTTGCCTCTCTCTTGTTTCAATGTGGCTGGTCTATTTACTCTATTTTAGATATTACTTTTATTAGATTCCTAAGACTTTTAGGTAGTATTCTTTAGTGAAGTCATCACATCCATAGATAAAGCAATCTCTTCCATAAATTCTGACTTAGTTTCCACAAATAAGGTCTTATGGACTATAAAACTCTTCCTTCTTTAATGTCATTCCTGGATAATGGGTTAAAATTGGTTATTTAGGTATCTTTTATCTTCTCAACATAAGTGGATATGGATCTTTTCCTGAATTTTGCTTTCTAACTTCCTTGACTTCACAAGTATCATCTGCTAAATAATAATTGAGTGTGTAATAATTTAATTAGCCTTCAATTGAAGCATCATCCCAAATGATATCAAAAGATAGCACTTTTCTATCATTACTAAGGTATTTATTCAATCCTCCATTTGGATGTCCTCCTCCCAATTTAACTTCAAAGTACTCCTTATACTCTTTGGTATCAGGAGGATTGATTTTCAAGTCCTTAGTCTCTTTTTGAGCTTGAAAACAATCTCTTGGTAATTATTCAGGTAAGGATAAGGGCTTACCCATATATTCAAAAAATTCTCTTGTGTATGTATCACAATCACAAATTCGATACACCTAATTTAATTCGAAATCATACTCTATCATAGAAATTGATGTTGGAACATAATTGGAGATCCTCCCAGGTATAAAAATCTTATTTCCCGAGTTTCTTTGGGATCTTCTATCTTTTTATAAAGAGTCCTTAAGGAATGCCAGAATTTTATACTCGAGGCTACAGTTATTTAAATTATTACTTCGGTGACATGGATTGTTCCGTCAGAAAGGTAATAATAGATGATAACTTATCTAATTCTATAGTTTTCGTTGGGATTTTCAACTACTGATTCTTGGAAGTATGAATAAAATCGTAAAACAGCTCGATCATATTTCAACCAAGGTGGTTGAATTCGTGGGATATAGTCATTTTCAGGTGGTTATCTACTACCATAAGTGAGATTTGGAGGTGTTCCCATTTTCATAGAGTCCAATAAATTCGGATCGAATTCTTCGTGAATGAAGTTTGTTTTTTCTTGCACAGTCCCATTGATATTCGAAAATTATTGGGTTTTGTGATGACTTTCTTTGTAAGGGTCTGAAAATACATGTCCAGGAAGAAATGGCACTTGCTTTGGAAACTATGCATTCAAAGACATTTTTTATTAATATTAATATATGAATATATGACTGGTTGGATTAAGCAATTAAAATTTAACTTTTATTGCTAACAATTAAAGCCTATATTAACTTCTCATTCCCCATAATCCTTATATTTATTGAAATATTGAAATATTGAAAAATTTTCATGTAATAAAAAATTGTGTTTGATACCGTCAGTCTATCTCAGATGTAAATTTTGATCCTTATTGAGATGTCCAGAAGAATAGAGGGAAAGCTACAAATTACTGGGATAGAAACTTTAAGAAGCAAAGGACTTTGAAGATAAATTGCACCATATGAATGATGAAGATCATGAATGGGAGAAGTTGCAAATAGAATTAGATTGCACACCCCATAACATTAAGAATAGCAATTATATTATTGGTACATACTCGAGAAATCAATTTAGTTAGGCATGCTTTGGCTTGGCATAATTATTTTAAGAGAGCCACAGAATTCAAGGATAGAAATATTTACAGCTACGAGTTAATGGATCCTCCTCTCCATTACTTGGGCAAAAAGTAATGTGAAAAAATGAGACCGGAAATCAATTTGATGGAATTTGATAAGGTGTATATTTCACCTCTATTAAGGTATTTAATTTTATAATTACTTCATATTAGAACTATATAAACAGCCTAATTATTATTCTAGGACCACCCGCAGAAAGATAAAATACAGTTTATCCTGTGTCCTCACATAAGTGAGAAAATCAGCAGCCAGTATTCTATCTATAAATGGGGAAATTTGACCAGTCTTCTTTAAGATGTATTATTGTAAATTCAATTCAAATAGAATAATAATCCGATTAAATTTGACACAAGCGAATTGCCATAGGAATTGGAATTTTGGTAATTTATCTAAATTGGGAAATAAGAAAAAGTTTAAGGCTTAAAACCAAGCAAAGAGGATTAAGAACAATATTTGGTTGATAAATTTGTCAAAAAGGGAAAAAATATTACATTAGAAAAAACTAAGCATGCTGAGAGGAGAGTAAAAATATTTTTAGAGAAATTAATACAAAATTAGAATAATGGAAAAAAAACAGGAATTGTCACTCATTCATAAATCATCAAAATAATATTGGCTCAGACAAATAAAGTGGTTGATACAAAAATCAAAAATGGTACAGTTTTAGGAATTAATATTTGATAAATCCAAAATTTTTAAACAATATGTTTTATCGATGTGCTAAACATTCAAATATAATTATTTTTAGAAATAATATCACATATATATTCTGACATTGGTATTGAGCATGTCCACCCAGGGGATGCTACATTCAATAAGTGAAAAGAATTCTTGTCATGTTCAAAAATAAAATCTTATTCCATTTTTCTTTATTCGGTATCAAACAACTATGATCTGATTCCTGGTTTACCCCTGTCAAAGTATTCATGCAATTGATTTTCTGGAATTTGATCAAGTTAAGTGGTGAGCTTTTTGGCTTCTTTAATCATATAAGCTAAAAGTAATAATTTTAAGTATTAATACTTTTGTTGATCTTCTTTAATTCATTTAAGAGGCTCTAAGCATAGAATTTCATATCTTTGGATAATACATTTTAAACATTCAAACTCAAAATTTGTGAAAACTCTGAAAAAACAAAATTATCTTTCCAATTATATTATTCTCTCCATAATGCAGGGAAGATAGAAGGGCCAATTTTTAAATGACCATCAGTAGTTAACGTTGTATGAATTCCTAAAAAGTAGTTCCCAGCTAAGGGTGGAACAGGATAAATAATAGCATTTGCTTCTGGAATAGGCCTATTGTTTATAAGATAGCTCCCTTTAAATGGCCAAATAACATATTTGTTACAAAAATTAAATTGTTTAGCAATTACGTCAGCATATAATCCACCTGCATTTATAAAGTATTTGGCTGAAACTAATTATTTTTCATTCGGCATTTTTAACACATTAAATAATGTTTATTAATCTTTATTTTCAATTAAATCAGTATATTTATGATTTGTAAATACTTGGACATTCTTACACTATTTAAGATCTTCATGAATACTCTTCATTAACCCTTTATTATCAGCAACACTTGTAGTTGGTGAATATAAGAATTAAAAGTTTTTATCATTAACTTTAAGATACTTTTCTATCTTTAATGCCCTGTCTACTTCCATAAGCTCCAATTCCACACCATTAATATCGCCTTGCTTCTTAATTTAGGCTAATCTCTCATTCTCAACTGAATTCCTGGCTACCAAGAATTTTCCTGTCTTCCTGAGATTTACTTTATGATCTAAGCAATATTAAGTTAAGGTCTTGTTTCCTTCTCTACATAATGATGCTTTAACAGTGTTTGATGCATAATAGAATCCAGCATGCAAAACAGCACTATTTCTAGTTGATGTGTGCAATCCTAAACCTGATTCCTTTTCAAAGAGTCCAATTTTATGATTAGGATATCTTGCTGATAACGTTCTTGTTAACATTCCTCCTACTACACCTCCTCCTATAACAGCAATATCAAATGATATCATATTTATTAGTAGAGTCTAAAGTTTATTTTATATAAAAATATTCAACTCACAACTATTTCTAAAAATAACATTTATATTAGACTTTAAATGATATCTCTATATACACTAAGAGTTTTAATTTATTAATAATCAAAGAAGACTGTAATTCTCTTTAGGACTAAGAATAATGTATTTCTTATTATGAAAAATTACAAATAATTATCATCATTTTGATATATCAATTATAGTATCTTAAGAGCTAGCTCTACATCTGATAAGCGGAAGAGAAATTTTAACTTTTTATTCTTCACAAATACTTTTTTTTCTGATTTCATAATCATACTTCTTCTTTCCATTTTTTAAATATGGATTTTCTTATTTCTTAAGTAATCTACGAAATTGTAAGAAGCCATTCCCTCCTATCCATTTATGAGCCAATATCTCTTACATGGATATCCTCTAATTATGTTTAGGTACAAATATTCTATTAATTAAATCCTTAGCTTCATCAGAGACATTGAGTTCATGCTAGAAATTACATTGAAGAATGTTGTTCACTTTCTCTTCATTTGATCTTCCTTTAAAAGGTAATTTACCATATAACAGACTGTACATAATTACTCCCAATCCCCACACATCTACACAAGGACATAAGAACTTGAGTTTTCCATTAAGAACCTCTGGAGACATGTATGGTAGAGTACCAACATTCATTGTTTCAGTTTCTCTCTATGTTCCAGCCACTCCTGCCAATCCAAAATCTATTAATTTAACCTTAATTAAAATTAATAATACCCATGTATTTCCCTAAGTAACTAACATGATATTTTCTAATTTTAAATCTCTGTGAATAAATGTTTTTGAATGACAAAAGAGTAATGCCTCAACAATCTGTTTGATATAGATCTTCACTTCCTATTCAGGTAGTATTCCTTTGTCTATTAAAATAAAGAGGATACTTACTTCGAATTAACTAGAGCAGGGAACCACCATCTAAATATTCCATAATTATAATAGACTCCTTGGTCTTGGAGAAATATAGAGTTTAAAAGACCTTAACAATATTTCGATGCAGTAATTCTTTTAAGATTTTTGATTCCCTTTTTATAATGGAGTCCTCTTCCTCCATATCCCTTGTTATTTTTATTGCCACAGAGGATCCAATGAACTTATGTTTGCCCAATAAGACAGTTCCTTAACCTCCCTTACCAATTTCTGAGACAATCTCATACTCCTAAAATATGATACTTGCATCCAAGTCCTAACCGAAGAGAGTGATATATAATTTATTTCCATCTAGAACTTATTGTAAATCCTGCTCTATCAATTCATGCCCATTTTAATTAAAGATTCTGACTCGCTTAGGGATGACACTCCATCCTTAAATAATTTGGTTGCGAACATCATTAAAAGTAGTTTTAAAAGTTAATGTCAATTTAAATGGAGGGAGATTTGGAGAGTAGACATTGACAATTCTGCTTTTATCAAATTAAGTCTTCATTTTAATTTATCAATTTCTGTTGATTGGTCATTAATCTTTAAAAATACTTAATGTGAATTATAAAATCTAAGAATAATAAGGATTATTCATTAATATTGATCAAATCATAAATTCAAACCAACAGAATGGAATACATCCTTTATTTCTTAGCTTTCAACTGGTGACATCGATCTTAATATCATAACTAAAGTATTCTATTTTCTTAACATATAATTCATTTTTTCCTAAAGTGATACGTTGTGCCTTTATTTTATTCTCTTTTCAACTTTTCTCCCTCTTTACTTAAAAAGTTGATAATTAATTTTTCGTTTGCTCAATTTATAATTCGTTACCCGAATTCTTTTCTGAAGAATTTCATTCTAGTTATAACTTCTCTAAAATTCTAAAAGAACAATGATCAGTTGATGATGAACCCCTCTTTTCTTTCTCTTGCACAATAGAATCTGACGCATCACATCTAAACCTTGGATTATTCATATGAAGCATTTTTATATGTCCAAAACAAAGACTTTTCGGCAATTTTGAGTTGAGTCAAATAGTGGAATTTAATAGACACTTGAATCAAGTGATTTTGCAATAAATCTTATGCCAAATTTATCTTATCTCATAAATAATCTAATTCTCTAAGTCTTTTAATTTTGCAATTGTAGATCTTTGTTTTGAATTAAGATATCTTCATCATCTTCCTTATCTTTTTTTTGAGGTGCTGTATAGTTCAGATTCTCCTACAGTTATACTTTTTCTGGTTGTTCTGAATGATGATCTTCCTCTCCATATAAATAATAATTTTCTGAGTGAGGGTCCATTATAATTATTATTATAATTTAAATAATTTGAATAATTTGAATAATAAAACTAAACAATGGTTTCAATCTTCATCTTTGTTTAAAATACGACATTCTTCATATTATTGATAGAAATTATCAAAATCTTCCTCGTTTTCTAATTTAACACAAAATTATTCCAACTTGGCTTCCCCATCGCTATGATCCTACCCAATCCATTCGTATCCAAATTGATGAAACAAACTTTTAACAATAGCCTCAGAAATTATATGATCAGCTCTAATGAAATAGGTGGCATCCTGTCTCATAAGTAATCTACACTTCTTAGTTTCTTTGTGCTGTAAGAATTTCAAGATACCTTAACCCCTTTACTTTAAGTTATATGAATAAAGCTTACTTTCCATTCCTCGTTTCTAAAACGATAAAGCTTACACTTGAAGGCAACTAGTTATTCGAAATCCTCTTCTCCTGTTTTGATTACAACTGGCAATAGTTTAGGTGGACCAACATAGGGAATAATCTCCTCTTCTGGATCTTCAGGAATAGGTGGTTCTGCAGGATCAAGACTCATTTATTTTAAGAAAATTTAAATTGTTTAAAAATTGTAATAAATTAAAGAATTTATATTATAAAAAATACAATAGAATTTATTAGTTTAAACAAAAATTCATTTAATATTTATCAAAATTATGGAATTTTAAATATATATATTCTTTTATCAAATTTATTAACCAAAGTAATGACAAAGTACCTTAATTAAACATATTTTATGAATATATAATATTATTTTTAATGAAAATATGAATTATTAATCAAGTATGTCTACCATTAACCCATTCTCCTTCTAAACTTTCTCTGCCTTAATTTGATAAAACACACCCTTTTCCATGGAATACTCCTTTCCTAAAAGTCCCGTAAAATACAAAATATGAATCATAACAATCTATAAATTGCATTTAACCAATTCCTTCTATATCTCCATTTACAAAATTGCCACTATAGGTTTCTCGATTCTTGGCTACATTTGAAAAGTTCATAAAGTTTTTTAATAACAATTTCTAGGACTTAGATTCTCTAAACATTAATTTACCCTTTCCCCAAAAAACATCATCCTTCCATTAACCTGTGTATATAATCTTTCCATCTTTATCAAACAATGTTCCAATTCCTTATTTTCTACCTCTTTCATCTGTTTATCCCTCGTATAAGGCTTCTTCCCCCATATAGATGATCTTTTTGGTAATGGTTGTTTTTTTATTAATATCATAAGTAGTCTATTTATTATTAGTTTGAGATTGGAAACTTTAATCACGTTTATTTGACGATTACGTATTTTTGCTTGCTTTAGTATTTCTCTCATGTTCCTCTAAAATCTTTTTACTAATTCGAATTCTCTCTTAAGAATTGTCGTATTTGTTTAAGAAATAACTTTTGTAATTTCCATTTCGTTATGGTGTCACTGGATAATTAAATTCATCTTGCGAAGTATTGGTATGCTATTTCTTTGAATTATTTCCATTTTGATTCTGCTTTGGTGGTAATGACTTCTAAATCTAACATATTCTGCTATCAATGATTTCAATTTTTTTGTTAATTGTTTCAATCATAACATCTGTGATTCTTGATTTATCTGGACTTGCAATTTGGGCTGGAATTTGCGATCTAATTTGAGTTTAAACTGATGTCGGTGGCTATTTCAAAAGCAAATCTTACTCTAATGAAAGGTAGGCTCTGATAAACAGGGACTGTTTGTTAAACCAAATAAACTTAGGGTTGTGGGTACACAATAAACATAATAAAATATAATAAAATTTTATTTTATTTGAATATTCTCATTCATATCATTAAGCTGGTAATTGTGATAATAAATCCAAAGCACTCTATACGATGCTAATTTCTTCGGAAATATGTGATCTTTTGCTTGTGTAACTTGTATTTTCATTGTCTTCAGCAATTCTAGTTTATTCAAGCAACTCTATTGAGGTTGCAATAAGTTCCTGTAATTCTTATTATCTTCTCTTAGCTGATGCCTATTAAATAATTTCCAATTAAATTTACTAGGTCGTTATCCTTAGCAGTTGCTTGTCTTTGATTGAATTGCTTGTCCTTATCTAAGTTTCCGTAAGTGGATTCAAATTGACTTCTTAAGGTTAGATATTATTGCTCTGAATTGGTTGAGGAAGTATTAATAGCATCTAATCTTTCTTGGACATTACTTGCGATTCCTTCCAATTTAGTTATAACTCGTCTAATAGTGTTATCATCATATTCGGATGTCAATTAGATCATTATGGATATTGGGTGTTTTTCTCCCAAAGTTTGTTTTGCTGCTTCAATGGCTCTTTCTCTTTCAATTAAACTAGTATTTCCCAAAAGAGTGTCACCTAAAAATCTTAACACTTCCTAAACTGCTGCCAAATATCTAGAGTTATTATTGAATTTCTCTTCTGCTGCTCTTACTTCTTCTTAATGATTATCATTTAATTATGTAATTTAATTGGATAACAATAATAGCTATTATCCTTGGAAGCTCAGAGATTGAGTAAGAGAGGATAGATCAGAACTCAAATCATTGATTTGTTGATTTACTGAACTCAGCTCACTTTCAGTTGTTTCTAAGGTATTTTCCAATTTAGAAATTTATTATTCGTAATTAGCTTGTTGCTATATAATTAGAAATAGAATTACAGCAGAATGTTCAGCTTCATTAGCCCCAGATGCAGCGATGAGTTTGTCTAACATTGATTAAACAATTGTAACAACTTCGCCCAATTTACTTGATTAATGCAATTCAAGCATCCCATAAAAATAATCGCTAAAAGGAGTGACTCTTGTTTTCTGGAATATAACATATATTTATTACTTCTCTTAATTGCTTAATTGCTGTGAGATGAGTTTCTGTAGTAGCTGATATTGCAATCAATACCAATATAATTGTTATTCTCATTTATTATATTAATTAAAAAACGACTTCATTTCATTTTTGTTACTTAATTTATAAACATAAAAATCATCATTATGTTTAACACAGATACAAATATCATTAAAATTCTACACAGGAACAATTTAGCAAGTTCTTTCATATACTTTCAAAAATTTTATTGGAAACTATTAATTTGATTATTAACGATATTCTTTGATTGTTTAAGTTCTTATTCAATGTCAATCAAATATAATTCTCTAGAATTCAATCCAGCTTTATTGAGGAATCGATGAAAATTATAGATATATTGATACATCCGATATAGTATTGACAATAAGAACCTAAAAATTAGAGAGAATTTCTTTATAGTTTCATAGAAATGACTGGCAAGATAATTTTTGCAAACCTACAAAATAAAGAAATAAATTTAAATTGAAAAAATACTAAAACTCCTATCAAATCAATATTAATTATATGTAGTTGACTAATAAGATTCTTATGCTTATATCTTCTCGATAGAGTTAAGTTTTAATCAAATTCCTTTTATCCAAATTTTTTAATGTCATAAATTGACCAAATTTATTTCTACTCATTTTTACATCCATCTTGGGATGTTAGAGGGAAAATAGTAACACTTTAAGCAAGTCAAAAGGAAAAACGCATTTGCTAATCTTAAATTTGTCAAGGAGTAATGTTTCCTTTAAGGATGATGTTAATTAATTAGGAAAGTTATTTTTAATATAACCAAATTTTATATTATAATCAATCAAACATCTGGTTCTTTATATTAAACTGAATGGGGTGTGATCATGAACTTAGGAAAGTCTATCAAGTCAAATTAGAGAATTGAGTATAATAGTATAACCTTTTTAAATAGTTTACAGAGTTAATAAACCATATCAATCTACTTTGGATGCATTGATAAAATTCAGATATATTCGACGAAATGAAGTGTTGAGTAAGTAAATAATAACAATGAAAAGAAGGAATCTCTACAGGAACATATGATTCCTTAGTTAAAATTTACTTCATAGAGAATTTAACAACTATTTATATTATTATTTTCCGTATTTAATTTAGAAAACAGAAGTGATTTTAATTAATTTAATGTAGTTGTAATAACACAACTCGTTCATCTAATTTGCAAGATAATTGTTAGAACAGCAATCTTCATCGAGTCCAGACATGGATGAACACAAGGACTCTTCTTTAGACATGAGTTAGTTAATTAAGTTGCAACACACTATTCCTGACAATATTTTAATCTCTCCAGAACCTTCAAAAAAGAAGGGTTCCATTCTTCTGCCATCTGATGATCCTTGCAATTGTAGCAGATCTGGGTGTAGAAAAATGTATTGTGAGTGTCTTGCCAAGGGAAGACTTTGCTCTTCATTTTGTAGTTATAATATTTCTATTTAATAGGCAGATGCCAAAATTGCCATAACAAGACTTCAAACAAGCTTGTTTTAAATGTCATAGAAGAACTAGATCAAAATAGGAACAGAAAACGATTTAGATCAAGAAGGTTTAAGGATGTAATTCATTCATCTATTCTAGGGATGTACATGCTAAAAGTCAATGTGTTTGAAGAAATATTGTGAGTGCTTCAACTCTGGAAAAAGTTGCGGCTCTGGTTGCAAATGTGTGAATTGTGAAAATTATGTTCTTGACGAAGTCGAAAAAATTATTTGCTCGCCAAATTAAAAGAAAACATCAAAATTTTCATCTAAATTCGAAAGTGCGAATACTAATACTAGATCGGATTATTATGGGTTAGTCTTAGAGAAACTCGATTTAGAAGAGTTCGAAGAATCTGAGGAGTGTATTTTTATTTCTATTTATATAGAATTGGACAAGATGAATACAATTGTTATAATGGTATTAGGTTAGTTAATCATTTGATTTATTTGTTGACTTCAATTATAATTATTAATTATTATTTATGGGGCAAGTCTGCTATAGGGAGCATGATGAAGCACGATTGCTCAATTCTTCAGATATCAAAAAACCCGAATCCATTTAAGGATCTATGAACAAATCTAAAAGTAATTCCACATTGAAATAAGAGCTAGCGGAGATTGTTTACAAACGCAAAATGTTTTAGATATGTCTGATGATCCTGAGTTTTAAATGGAAAATGATGAATTTCTCCGACTTTCAAATGTATTCCATATTTTATATAAACCAGAAAAATACCCAAGAAATGGAAGTTGGGGGTAAAATAATTGAAAAAGACCTGAATTCTCCTCATTCAACGAAAGTCAACATTGATAGTTTTAGATTGCTGAAGGTTTTGGGTAAAGGTTCTTTTGGTAAAGTTATGCTTGTTTAATACAAATCTAATGGTATCTTCGAAGTAATCTCTAGGTAAGTATTACGCAATGAAAGTTCTCTAAAAAAAAAATATATCAAATGAAAGATAAAAGAGACACACTGAAACCGAGAGAATCATTTTAGCTACATGTTCTAGTCCCTTCATCGTAAAATTGAGATATGCATTTTAATCACCCTACAAATTGTATTTGGTTGTTGATTATTTACCAGGAGGTGAACTCTTCTTCCATCTAAGGAAAGTTATTAAATTTGATGAAATAATTTCGAAATTTTATGCTGCCGAAATTCTCTTAGGCTTACAATATTTACATGAAATTAATATCATTTATAGAGATCTAAAGCCAGAAAATATCTTATTAGATGATAAAGGCCATATTAGATTGACTGATTTTGGGTTATCTAAAATTATGCTAGATGAAGATAAAACTGCATTTAGTCTATGTGGAACTCCTGAGTATTTAGCCCCTGAGATATTAACAGCAAGTAATTATGCTCAATGATTAGAAACTGGATATGATAAGACATGTGATTGGTGGAGTTTTGGTGCCTTACTTTATGAAATGCTAGTAGGAGCACCTCCTCATTATAGGGATAATAAGAAGGAAATGATAAGAAAAATATTGACTCAACCTATTCCATACCCACCATTTCTATCTGAATCTGCCAAATCATTATTGCAATAATTGTTGGTTGTTGACGTATCAGAAAAATAAAATAATTTTAGCCTAAAAAGAGATTAGGATTTTATTAGGATGGATATGAAATCATGTAACATTCCTTTTTTGAAACTATCAATTTCTAAGAGATGGCTCTTTAAAAGGTATATTGATATTATGAAGTAGGCAAAACCTCCCTACGAATTTGATAAAAAGGAATTGAAGTATTTCGACGAAGGATTAACGAAATAAATTGCAAAAGACACACCTGTAAATGGAACTTTGATACCAAACTAAAATTTTTCAAATTTCACTTATCAACCGAGTGTTGCAAAATGAAAATCATTAATTTTTTAAACATCAAAAACAAGTAGGTTTATTATATTATATAATTATATATATCACTTGAGATTTAACATAAGCAATATACTTAGACCCTTATTCAAGTTAATAATTTGATGCATTCTAATCTTAGTAATTGTAGGCTGCAGGTTGAAAATATCCAGAAAGAATTAAATCAGTCTTACAAAAATTACAAATTTATAAAGTTGATTATCCTAAGAAATTTCAAATAACCCAAGCAGTAATGAAAAACAGTTAATTTTAGCTTGATTTCAAATATCCTCAAAATTCTTTCTTTATTAATTGGTGTCCCAACAAAATTTCTTTTTATTCTCTTGATCCTGAGAATGTGTGATAGTCCAGGGTTGCCCTTTTTTTGGACCCAAGGATGCCAACATTTAATGATTAATATTCAAAAATAACCAAATTTGATTCAGTGACATATCTCTTTCTCTATTCTTTATTCTTAAAAAATACTCTGATTAATCAGGATTTGAATAACATAACATTCCAAAAATTGAATTACTAATTCTATTTGAATATAATAAATAATAATTCACAAATTCAAATGTCTTCATCTTTGACATTATAAAAGTCGCTGAACAATTAATAAATACTCTATGGAGTATATTAACCCTAATTAGTGATATATAGGCTTATATATTCAGGAGGTACATAGTCAAATGTTATCTAAAATTTCCATATAAAAATACTCCAATGCTCATCTAGTCTATAGTTGAATTTGGATTAATTTTCAAGGGTGATACAAGTTAATTAAAAGTTGTCTGATCAAAGGCATATTTTGGAGTCAATTTATGTGCTCCAGATAGTACAATCACTGGAACAGCAAATTGTTTAGCTAATACACAAATGGCGTAAGTTCCTGGATGCATCAAAAGACCTCCATTCTTAAGAATTGCATCTACTCCCAACAAGATTTTATTTACTCTTTGCATAATAGCGTAAGCATTAGTAAAAGGTGTTAAAGTGACGTTTAATTAATGCTTGCCCAAATCAGTAGCAAATTATTTTCCTAAGTTTTCTGTTTCACTTTCTAAAACTATAATCTCAAAGTTTCTAGTCTTTTTGGCTGACAGCAAGAAATTTAACACTGTTGTTGAGTATTCATAAACCAATAGCACTTCATTTGTGAAAAAATGTGTTGATGCCTATTCATAAATAAATAATATACAAATGTGTTTATATCATCTGAATGAGCCTCCAATTCTTCCAAGACTTATTCGATCGCAGGTAGAATTATATATTATTAATTTGCATTTGAACCTGTTTCAGGGCCAGTTTCAATTGTTGTTTTAGATCTACTTGATTGTCTTTATATAGTAAGACCTAATGCTTTAAAATTCTTTTCTTTATCTTTATTAGGAAGGAATCCATCTTCAGAACTCATCAACCTTATCACTTATATTACACGTCGAAAAACATTAGGAATCCAAAAATCCAATGGACCTTATTTTAGTCGATTAGATAATTTTTTGATATATGTGATATAATCCTCTATCGTGGGATTTTTTGGTAATTTTGCTTATTTGGCTGATAAATGAGCTTTGAGTGCTAAAATCGATTCTTTACTAGAATATAATCGAGCTAAAATAATCAATAACTTCTACGCTGAGCCTTTTAAGTGTTCATAACTCAAAAGAATGAATTTTCTTTAATAAATTTATTTATTTATTTAACCCTATGAACCAGACTTAAGACTAAAAGAACAGATAAAGATTGAGTGAAATATTTATTATAAAAAAAATTAGATACATCTTTTTTGAGAACTATAATCTCTGCAATTAATATTAATTCAAAATTATAATATTTGCTCATTAAATAATATAAAGAAAAAGTTTATATCGAACAGTAATTATTGATGATCATAAAAGAATAATTATAATTAGGAGTAGGAAGTAGATGAGGATGGGTAGGAAAATGAAGTAAATGATTAAATTTACTTAAAAATAATGAAAATAAAATGAAAAATGCTTAATTCAAATGAATTGGAGAAGAATTATAACATTTTTTGGCAATTAAAAGTTTTTTTTAACTGTACAACATTTACTAATATAAAAAGAGAGAATAATTTCAATATTTAATCTAATGTATACTTATACCTTAATGAATATACAATATTTCCTTTATTCCATTGCTATCTAACTAATTATATTAAACTAATTTACAACTGCAGGTGATACTTTATCTTAATTATTTTATCTCATAATTTATTTTCATAGGCAATGAGCTATTAATAAAGCAAGCATTCCTTTTAAATCTAAGGTTTCTACTTCTTAAAGATTGTTGGCCAAAGAAGTCTCGATCTCGATCCTTTCAATTTTATTTTATAAGACGAAGCATTATCATAGCTTATGAAGTCTCAACAGTTCTTCAAAGTTTAATGAATTAATATATAAACTAAATCCTCAAATATAGAAGCTAAATTAATTACTTTCATATTAACTTGTGAGATATTCTCCAAATAATAATCTATTCAATAAGAAGGGTCTTTTTCTATAAATCATATTCACAAAAAACATCTTTCCTTTGCTTCTTTTTCAATTTTGTATAAATTCCTGTCCTAAATTATTTTCAAATGGGTTTGGTTTAACCCTCTATATAGTGAAAGCGAAGGCAAATAATCCTTGGCTGAGAATTCCGGAAGACCTTCATGCGAAGCCACTGAATTAGAAGCTACCTCTAGAGAGACCCTCATAAAACCTACTTTGATGTGTGCGATAACTTTTTCCACTCTGCGGATACAACCTCCTTTGAGATGTGTGATAATGTTGTCCACTTTATATAACTTCGGGTTTGGTCAAGACTGGCAAATATGACTGGGGTTGGTAGAATGACTCTTTTTAGTATTGTAATTTTTGGATCTTTGCATTCTCTCAGAATTTAGATATGCTTAGACCCAATTCAATCCAAACACAGAGAATGTGAAAGAGCCAATCTGAAAACCAAAAAAGAAATATAATTAAAATGGTCTCATAATAGTTCTTTAGGCTTAAAACACATTAAATTGAAAATAACTAAACTCTAATATCATTATTTTGATTTCATAAAATTTATGATAGTATTGAGCAAAGTATCAGAGGTTGTTAAATGAACTTAATTTATTTTCTTGAACAGATTTACTACCAATAATTAAGGATTTGCAAGCTCATTATGTCTAAACACTCAATTATAACTGTCGAACAATTAGTAATTGGAAATGCAAATTTTTAAAGCACAGTAAAGTCCTTCTCATAATTCTTTAAAGTCAAGATACATTATAATACAGTGTACATATATATTTCGCTTCTATCCCTCTCAACAATCAGATAAAATTGATTTGCTTTACCACTAAGCATAACAACTTAAAATAAGATTTATGATTTTCTTACATAAAATACAAAACAAAAGATATTCTGTATTTATTTGCTTAATGATTTTAAATCTTGTATAAATATATCATTGAAATGAACATAAATTTAGGCGAAAGTATGAATAATTGTTGAATTTTTAGTAGCTAATTTGTGGTAGAATGCATTCACACTTGTAGAATGGAATTAATTAAATTGTGTGAATAAATTATAGAGACCAGCTTCTTGGAAGATTTTGTTTAATTAATATTAACTAGCTGGAATATAAATAATCTAAGCCATTTCCACCACAGAGAAACCTTTTCCAAAATTAAGAAGCACAGAGAAACATACTTCATTAATAATATAAATTCGCGTTTGGTACACACTAACTAGAATTTAAATCAGAAGACAAGATTCTTTTTAGAACAATTCAAAGCTCGCCCACCCATCGTAGATGCAAATTTAATCTCTACAGCGATAACATATTTCTTTAACAAATTTACGATTATTTCAGATTTAATCTCAAAAAGAACAAAAAAAAGGATAGAATAATATCTAAGAATTATTTTTCTGGAAATATTGTTAAATTGATTTTATATACATACACAAAGGATTCATGTTTAAACAAAAAGTCGGATTTTATTTATGATCAAAATAATAGTTTAATTTTTGACTAAGAAATGAAATTAAAATCCTTAGGAGGGCTAATCGCTATATCTTAATATATATCCCAGAACATGCTTACTTCTAACAATGGAAATTCAGATGGACGAATTGTAGGGATCATGCATAGTACATGAACATCAATCACATCTATGAGCACTTGAGAGGCCTTCCTGGCATTGGATCTTCAAGATTGAGAAAATCCTTATCATCTCTATTTCTCTCCATCTTAGTAGAATTCTATTTTATTGGTGTTGAGTATTTTTTGTTAATTCTGAAACAATAAACATCTCATGTTTCGGCTTATCATTAGTTCCATTTTTCTCAGTAATAAGAGTTAAGTATACAAAAACCAAAAATAGAATTTTATTGTTTTAAGATGATTAGCTATAACTTAAAAGGAGTGGAACAACTGAAAAATTAATAAGAAGCCTTCTGAAAATAAGAAAAAGAATTAATCATTTTCAAACTTAAAAAAAATATAAATGGCGTAACTTAGTGAGGACTCCTTTCTTATCTTAGATCTTCAAAATAATATCTGAACTTATTTGAAACCTTAACATACTTTTAATTTAATGATTTTTGATATTTCTTCTTTAATTAATTGAAAAAATTAACCTTACATAATTAAATTAGCTAATCGAATACATAATGATTTAAGAATTAATGAACAGTTACTGATATCAACTTTGAAAAATTAGGAAATAATATTCTAAAAGTTATGCTGATTATTTTTAAAAACTAGTTTGAACCTTTCAAATTTCAAATTATTTTGTTTTATAGTAAGCAACAATTGTTATTGGCAGATTAAAATTTTGATTTTGTTAACATAATTCAAATGATTGCAAAAATATTTTAACTCCAAATTTTGATATCTTAATGGTTTGTTCATCAATGATATAAAAATCCATAATAATTAATTCATTTATTTAATAATTCATATATTGAATATCCTTTTTTTTTGTCATCCCAAAATACCAAACACCACTCATTATTTCTGATAGTTCCATAAATTTAGTATGTGTCACAAATCAATTAATCATAATTTTTGTACTTGCCATCATTAATTTCTCTGATCATATCAATATATGCTTTTATGCCTAACTAATATCATAATCCTCTCATTATTATAAATAATAGGGAAAAAAAATTTATCATAAACTGATTATTTGTATACAGGTGAATTTCCTTGTTCTAGTTTCTTAAAAGACTCCTTATACTAATACAAACACATAAAGTTTATCTATTTGTTGACCGTCAGTATCCAAATAAATTAATTCACTTTGATAAACATAACCTTATGTCCTCATTCTTAAATTGATTATTTATGATTTAGAATTGATAATGAATAATGATAATGAATAATTTAATATTCTAAATACTATTTATGTTATAAGCTTCCTCTATTATAACAAAATATTTGAATTTAAAATTAACTTTGTCTCCCCAAATAATAATTTAATTCTAACCTTCTGCAGATAATACTTATCAAACCTTGATTGATTTATCCTAATATTCAAAAATTATAAGTCCTCATTTTAGTTTAATATGATGCACATAACACAACCAAGATGTTTTTCATAAGGTTATGAACTAATCCAATCATTTTAGTTCAATTATTGCCAGAATCTTAAGGTTTTGTCTCCAGAGCATGATATAAATGAATTCTACTTGTTAACATAACTAAAAATTAGATCTAATCAGTATGTCTTTTCAATGTTTTATACTAATTTGATTGTTCCATGAAGAAAACTCTATAATTTAATATCTTTATAATTTTTGATACCGTAATTGACCCAGAAGAATCAGAACTTTTGTAGCACAATATTCATTTTATCTATCAAATTAATCAATTAATAGTAATTTGATTTCACAATTAGGAGGCAAATTGAAATAAAGGATGGGGATAAATTATTTCTTTATCGCTTTAATGCTTAACTTAGTTAGATATTGATTGAATTTATTTAACTTATTGCATAGTTTAGTCATCCAAGATCTATTATTATTATCTATTAGTTTTATATTAGAATCTTATATAATTTTCTTGCTGATTACTATGCTTATCTCAGATTTTTGCACATAATAGCCTTGTGCCGCTTTAATCAATTTATAATCGACATTGTAAACTTTATTATTTACTCTTTTCTTGATTATGGATTTCTTTGTGAATGCTATTAATTAATATAAGCATTTTTGGCTAGTAGTTGAATCACCTGCCCTTTAGAAACATGTTTTATTTGTTGAACTTAATTGATTGCTCATACTTGTATCAATCATATATTGTTACTTGCCTTTGACTTGTGCTAAAAGTTCTGATATTGGCTTAACTCATGAATATTTAACACGTAAAATTTTTGTTAAATCAAATAATTGCTGACATTGTGATATTTAAAAAAAATCATGTTGGTTGGATTTAATTTTGGACAGCACTTGCATCTAGTGAAACTCTGTGACCTAGCGCAGAGCAAGCAAATAATCCGACCGATCCTCCCCCACTTTTAAATATAGTGATTGTTTGCCGCCATTAGCCTATTGAAAGTACATCTTACCTTTGTATCTAGTTGATGCATACTGCCCACACCTGCAGTGCAACCTCTAATCCGTAAACACCAGAAGATCTAATTATGGCCACCTCCA